GGGTTTTATACCTCATTTTGGTGGTAATTGCAAAAAAATTTCTTAGGTGGGCTATTAATTGCTTCTCCCCCCCCCCCCCCCCCCAACCCCCCCCCCCCCCCCCCCCCCTCCCTATTCCTTTTATCTTTAGGTGTTCGGACTAGAACAGCAAGAACCGACTTCAAGCCCATCTATGTCATCATCATAACTACGCCTTCAGTCATGCTTTGTTAGGATATTCACTCTAGAGGTCTATCGTTTAAGCATGATTACCCCCTTAAGCGTATGAACAGCACCGTTGCTAAAGCCAACACTGACGACCATGGCGTGTTACACGTTAGCTTAGGACTTTTATGCAAGATATGTATAAGAAGATCCCTCTCTTTCGAGGTAATCTTTCTCGATCAATCTATTTGACGTTAGTGGATGATTCAGCCATAAGTATACCCTAATGGATGAAAACTTACTTCTCAATGTTCTGCTTGATTTCAGAAGTATCGACAGCGCCACGCTTCTTAGTTTGATTAATGACTTCGGCAACCAAATTGGCATGGGTCATTGTCTTGCGACTCTTCATAATGCGAACAATCGCTGCTTGGGTCTCAAACTGCCTATCTCTGGCAACTCTTTCGTGTGTTTCTTGGTTCTCTTCTTTGGTTTCCTTTAATTGGATCTGATTAATCTTGATGCGAAACTTGGGGTCAGAGAAGCTCTTATTGACAAGAAATTTATCTGTTGGATTGACATCCTTGCCCTTCGGATCTTTTGTTATGACACGGACTTTGCCACAAGCTAACGACTGCAGTGTTCGATCTAAGTCCCGGCCACTGAGGCCCGAGCGTTCCGCGATTTGCTGATACGATACAGGTTCATCGGTCTGGTTGAAAATAGTCAAGACGATGGCCTGGTAGGCACTCACTAACAGCTCTTTAGGCCCTTTATTGAACGATGCTCTCACTACACAATGGGCAAGGGAATGCTTCCAAGTGAGTCGTCTTCCTGTGTGCTTGTTGGTGTAGTATGTGGCAAACTGCTCCAGTTGAGACGCAATGCCGTCAGGTAGCAGGAGTTGAGTGTCTGGGTAAGTGGGCCATGCTGCAGCTGACAAGATGCTAACATTGAGATCGAGTTTGGTCTTGGTGTACCCATTACCCTCTCGCCATTCTTTGTACGAGTCCATCTCATCACGAGCCATCTGCTGGTCTTTGAACATTTGTTCTAGGTTACGTGTAAAGTCCGAGCCACATTCGCTCTTCAATTTAGCAAGCATGCTTCTTTCTGCATCTGCGCTGGCGCTGCGACCCATTAAGAGCCGTCTGGCAAGATCCTGTTTATAGAAAGCCTCAAACACCCCTTTACCTTCGATAAAACGGAATAATTCGAGGGCCTTATCTAGTTGACGATCCAACTCCGCATCCTCGTCACCCGTGCTGGCCTGGCCGCGCTTTTCTGCATCTACGCGGTCTTGTACATCTGAGAGAAGCGATGCTGGGAGAGTCTTTAAACCACCACGGAGAAGCATATCAACGTACTTTGCGATCATCTCCCCAACCTTTGACGTTCCTGAATTGCGTGAGGTCATATTCTTCTTGTCGTTGATGAAGTTGTCAAATGCTTGTCTTAAGCCATGAGTAAAGTCGTCATCTTTCTTGAAGGCATCTCGCACCATAATGTCTAGTGTTTTCCTGAATTCAAGTAATCGGACTACCATCTCATCTCCTCTTGAGGTATCATTAACGATAGCCGAGCCTGCATTCTTGATATAATCTTCCCACGGGCCCCGCAGCCGCCTTTGAAGGTCACTCAAACGCAGCAGATCGTATAGCGCCTTCATGGATTCCACAGAGTTCTCATCTAGGATCTTGCCTATACTGCCACCATCTAGCAACTTTTCTGAGTAATCATCGATCAATGTGACATGTGCCGCATTCATCAGTTGCCGCTTCGTAGTACTGTCAAAGTTGAAAGCATTGCAGCGGTCATCTTCCCGAGCCAGAAGCTTTTCACAGGCAGAAATATAAGACTTGAGTGAGGAGGCGCTGAGCTCCTCGGCAAATTCATGCAAATAGGCACTGGATGTCTTCAAGAAAAGTGGCTCAAACAATTTTCCATAGACGTTGAGGACGTTGAGCATAGAAATAGAATCGCGCAACAATGCGGGGTCGAACCGTGAGTCGCCTTTTCGATCATAATCAATCAAGTCGCAAAGGCCAACCAAGGACTTTGCGCCTACACTGGAAGGAGAGGATTGCACGGAAGCAAAAACCATTTTCCTGAAAAGCATTATGGCTAAGTCGTTGATTTGTGGGAGTTCTTTATTATTTAGTAAAAATGAACGATCGAGATAACTGAAGATCGAACGGATGGTTGTCTGAAGTCAGCGTTAATATAGGTCCATGGGAATACGTTGTGACGTTACTTGCGGACTGAGAATTCCAGATAGTCCAATACTTTGAGACAGCCCTGAGCATGTCAATATTGGATGAGCCTCCATTTGCCATGATGGCCTGGTGCAGACGGCTGTTTAGATAGGACTCGCATTGAGCTCGCAGAATGTCAAATAGGTCTCGGGCATCTCCATGACGACATATATCTTCGACACCCCTGTACAGAGTCTCAAGTGGTTGTTTAGGTTGTTGGTTGTTGAAGATGGCTGCTAGAGCCACCTTCAGCTCATTCCTCCTCTTCTCATAATATTGCTCAACATCATTAGAACGCGAGACTGTACGAAGTCTCGAGACGATAAGCTTCTTGGCACCCTTGTTTGGTTCGAAGGCTGATCGTACTGGCTGTGTCGCTGGCCGCTTCCCAAGCGCCTTACTCATAGTGCAAGAGTCCGGAGCACTCGGGACGGTGTCTCTCTGTCGTTTGTTATCGTGTCGAGAAGACAAGCTTTCAGTTTGGGGCAGCCTTCGTTTGGAAGGGATCACAGCAGAATGGATTGGACCGTCAGGTGAAAATCGGAAAGGCGAAGGCATGGGCTGGTCCAAGCAAGGTCCTGCAACAGACAGTCACAAAGGCCGAACGGTGGTGTGTTGGGCTGTAAGACTGGCCTGACTGCTAGCTGTCGGTGGAGACTTGTGGACGAGTTCACAATTCGAGGGAAGCCTCCTGTTTTGCCAATAGGACCAGTTCAGATTGAGGCCGGAGTCCAAGCACAGTCGTGGAGTCGTTGAGCATCTCAGCTTCTCTAGGAGGCGCCTTGGATGTCTAGAGAAGTAGAACTGGGTCGCTTCGAGTCGTCATCAACGCCTCTAGAACTACCTGTACCTCTCAGAGGTGGTGCTCGCGTCTTAGTGGCGACCTACCTATGTAGGTACCTAGGTACACATATGTAGGTATCCACTTACTTTAAAGTACCTTAAGGTACCTGCAAATACTCAGTGCCAACCTAGCAGGTAACAGGGGGTATTCTAATCGCGGGGTTTCTTGTTAAATCCGGGGCCACACAGTAAGTATTCAGGAATTCTGCCTAGCTCACGGACTGATGGAACGAGAAACCCATCTTCCAGCCAGTTGTTGTCTTTTGCTCTGTAGATAGATCTCGAGGTTGGGTTTATGTGGGCTTAATTCCTTCGGTGCCTATAGAAATGTCCCAAGTGCATACTATGTACTTACTGTAGGTAAGTAGTTTCCAACCCGTACGTCAAAGACATGTACCGGTACTATGTAGGTAGGAGATGCAATCAAGGTATGTAGGTATACAAACTTAGCGCTTTGCTTCTGCCTTCGCAGGCACTCACCTGTATACTAAGGTAAAAAACTTATACTACCTTTATTTCCTCAGGTAGCCCAGCTATTAACCGGAATTAAAGGTTGCAAGCTAGGTAGGGTGCTTCTGTTTCCTTATTATGTAAGTACTTAGGTTGATATCAATAAGTATGTACTCATCACTTACGAATGGTAAGGTATTGCCTACGTACAGGTACGTCTAAAGATGTATTTGAAAGAAATATGGGACAGTCGGCGCATTGCCCAATAGACGGTGGGATTTGGTGCTGGCTGCAGTGCGGCGTTTGTGCTAGGTAGTGCAGTTGATCGTACCTAGGTAAGTCCCTACCTACCTAGGGCGGTACCTATCTACATAACAGTAGAGTAGTGCCTAGGCGCTGGAATAAAAGTTCTCGGAGATATCGTCATCTCGATGGTTCTAAGCCGCCTTGCTGATGACTAATTGACTTGGATGGCATTGGAAGAACATCCCACACACCCCCCAGGAGTACAATTTAACTTCCGTCACTTGTGCTTCTAATCGCGCCATCTCGCTGTTCTGGTACCTAATGCTCTGAGCCTCTCTTCTCAGCGTAACCGGTCATGCGATTCGGCGACCAATCCCAGGCGGTCCTCCAGCAGACCGGATCCTTTACCGGCTACCGGCCTATTCTCGACCTTGGAGATCACTATCTCAGCGCAACTGATTCATTCAAGCAGCCACTATGTGGTAACGAGGAGGGTTGGGGTCCTCTGAGCCCCTTTCGTTACGACTTCACGCCATGCTTCGTCGACATTTGGGTTTTCGTTGTTGCTGCCTTCGGTCTTATATGCGGGCCGCTGGCCATTTGGTATGTGCTGCGGAAGCAGAAGGCCATTGACGTTCACAAAGGTTGGCACTTTTGGACGAAGCAGGTAGGTGCACGCATGCAGCTCTGTCCATCATCACGCCCCCCAAGTTGTAGAAGCTCCAAAATGCTGACCGCAAACTGTGTAGTCTCTGCTCGTGCTCGTTATTGCCGATATTGCCGTTCAACTCGTCATCCAAATACATCACTTTCCTCGCATATGGTTCGGCGACTTTCGGTTCCTTACTACTCTACTCACGCTCATATCGCTCGGTGTCATTTTCACTATTCAATGGCTGGAGCACGACCGTTCAAGAAATGCCAATGGCGTGGTCCTGTTCTACTGGCTTCTTTTATTGATTGCATATACCGTCAAGCTCCGATCGTTGGTGTCCCAGCAGTTGTATGAAAAGGACTTAGCGTACTTCGTCACATATACTGTAGGATTTGGCCTCTCTCTGGTTGAATTTCTTTTCGAATGGCTCTGGCCAAAGCAGGCAAGCGCATACGAGGCTTTGATAGACGAGGAAGGAGTAGAATGCCCTGTGGAATATGCGAGTATTTTCTCTCGCCTCACTTTTTCGTGGATGACACCAATGATGCAATTTGGGTACAAGCAATTTCTTACAGAGGAAGATCTATGGGGTCTTTCCCCAGATGCCACGACCCAAGCAACGGGAACCCGTTTCGAAAAGGCGTGGCAATATGAGTTGACGCATCGCAAGAAACCTAGCATCTGGATAGCCATGTTCAAAGCCTATGGTGGGCCCTATCTCGTCGCAACATTCTTCAAACTTATCAATGATCTCTCTGCCTTTGCTCAACCACAGCTCTTGCGGTATCTTATCACTTTTGTAGCCTCATACGAAGGTGATCAAGTACCTCAGCCTCCAATCAAAGGGGCCGCTATAGCGATTGCAATGTTTTTTGTCGCAGCACTGCAGACTATTGTGGTTGTAAGTGCAGGTCCCATCGCTCTGGTCTGAACTTTTACTAACAAGTATAAGCATCAATATTTTCAATTAGCATTTGTCACTGGAATGCATATTAAGTCGGGTCTAACCTCGGCCATCTACAAGAAGTCTCTTAAGCTCTCAAATGAAGGCCGTTCGTCCAAAACTACTGGGGACATCGTCAACTATATGGCTGTGGACGCGCAACGACTTCAGGATTTAACCCAATTCGCCCAACAAGTTTGGTCTGCTCCTTTTCAGATCATAATCTGCATGATCTCGCTCTACCAGCTTGTGGGTTGGTCTATGTTGTCTGGAATCGGTGTTATGCTCATCATGATCCCCATCAATGGCTTTATCGCTCGATTCATGAAGCGCCTACAGAAACAGCAAATGAAAAACAAAGATTCTCGAAGTCGATTAATTGCTGAAATAATCAATAACATGAAGAGTATCAAGCTTTATGCCTGGAGCACAGCCTTCATGAACAAGCTCAATTTCGTGAGGAACGATTTGGAACTTAGAAACCTTCGTAAGATTGGTGCTGGACAAGCGTTTGCTAATTTTACTTGGTCTACAACCCCATTTCTGGTCTCCTGCTCCACCTTTGCGATCTTCGTTTGGACGCACGATGTTCCTCTGAGCACAGAAATCGTTTTCCCAGCCCTTGCTCTTTTCAATCTGCTTACTTTTCCGCTTGCTGTTCTACCCATGGTCATTACCTCCATCATCGAGGCTACTGTTGCTGTTCAGCGCTTAAGTGAATATCTTACCGCTGAAGAAATCCAGTCTGACGCCGTGATTATTGGCCCGGCCGTGGAGGAGCGAGGAGATGAAGCAATTATCATTCGGAAAGGCACTTTCTCATGGAACCGCCATGAGACGAAGAATGTTTTGAACGGTATTGACTTTACGGCCCGCAAGGGTGATCTCAACTGTATTGTTGGTAGAGTCGGGCAAGGCAAATCCTCCCTTCTGCAAAGCATACTCGGTGATTTATGGAAGGTCAAGGGAGAGGTGCACGTTAATGGAACGGTGGCATATGCCTCTCAACAGCCATGGATTATGAACGCGACAGTTAAGGAAAATATCATCTTTGGGCATCGATACGATTCGAATTTTTACGAAAAAACTGTTAAAGCATGTGCATTGCTTGACGACTTTGCTCAACTTCCCGACGGAGATGAGACACTCGTCGGTGAACGTGGCATCTCACTGAGTGGCGGTCAAAAAGCACGAGTCGCGCTTGCTAGGACTGTCTATGCACGAGCTGACATTTATTTGCTTGATGATTGTCTTTCCGCCGTTGATTCTCATGTTGCCCGGCATATAGTAGAGAACGTACTTGGTCCACGAGGTCTTCTCAACTCCAAGTGTCGCATTCTTGCCACTAATGCCATTGCCGTTCTCAGCGATGCTGATTTCATATACCAGTTGAAAGATGGGGAAATTGTTGAAAGTGGAACCTTTCGTCAGCTAATGGCTATGAAAGGGGGCATTTCTGAGCTTATTAAGAGCTCTGGACAAGAGTCTGGCCCATCCTCTGTTGCCAGCTCTTCGGGATCTGGTCCCGACAGGTCTGGCAGCGAAACTTCTACCTTTATTGAACCTGGTTCTCATCAGGATGAGGTAGAGATAGAGGAAGCCCAGGAAGGGCTAGCTGAACTGGCGCCCATCAAGACCGTCAACTCTTCGAGTGCTCGGAATCGTAGAGGCAGTATGGCAACTCTTAGACGAGCTAGTGCAGCAACTTTTACCGGTCCTAGGGGTAAGATAGGGGACGAAGAAGACCCAAGCGCCAAAACCAGGCAATCCAAAGAACACTTGGAACAAGGCAAGGTCAAGTGGGATGTTTACCTTGAATACGCCAAAACAAGCAATCTCTTAGCTGTTGCCATCTATATGTTGACGTTGATTGCAGCTCAATCAGGCCAGATTGGTGGTAGCTTCTGGCTCAAACACTGGTCAGAGCGGAATTCCGCAGCCGGTGGCAACCCTGATGTAGGTAAATATCTCGGCATCTACCTCGCTTTCGGTGTAGGGTCGGCCGCATTGACGGTTATTCAAACCTTGATTCTATGGATATTTTGCTCTATTGAGGCTTCAAGGAAACTCCACGAACGCATGGCCACAGCTATCTTCAGGGCCCCAATGTCCTTCTTCGATACTACACCTGCTGGGAGAATTCTGAATCGCTTCTCGAGTGATATCTACCGGCTGGACGAAATCCTAGCGCGGACTTTCAATATGCTATTCGTCAATCTCTCCCGCTCTGGTTTCATTCTCGTGGTTATCTCGGTTAGTACCCCGGCTTTCGTTGCTTTGATTGTCCCACTGGGCGCTGTGTACTACTGGGTCCAACGCTATTACCTCCGAACGTCGCGAGAATTGAAGCGACTAGATAGTGTTAGTCGAAGCCCCATGTACGCACACTTTCAAGAATCACTTGGAGGCATCAGTACCATCCGAGCGTATCGACAGCAGGAACGCTTCGAGCGAGAAAACGAATACCGGGTCGATGCGAATCTACGAGCTTACTTTCCATCGATTAGTGCCAACAGATGGTTGGCAGTGCGTCTAGAATTTCTTGGCGCTGTGGTAATCCTGGGAGCTGCCGGATTCTCAATCGTCTCAGTGACAAGTAACAGTGGTTTGAAGTCAGGAATGGTTGGGCTTGCAATGTCTCACGCTCTCCAGATTACCACATCCATGAACTGGATTGTTCGACAAACGGTGGAAGTGGAGACTAACATTGTATCTGTGGAACGCATCCTAGAGTATGCGCGTCTGCCAAGTGAAGCCCCCGAAATCATTCCTCGCCACCGACCCCCCGTCGCCTGGCCTGCAAACGGTGCCGTTGAATTCCGCAATTATAGCACTCGCTATCGTGAAGGCTTGGACTTGGTATTAAAGAACATAAACCTGGATATTAAATCGCACGAGAAGATTGGCGTAGTTGGGCGGACTGGTGCTGGCAAATCATCACTCACACTCGCTTTGTTCCGCCTTATAGAGGCTGATACAGGCCAGATTAACATTGATGGTCTAAACACGTCTGCAATTGGTCTGTTAGACTTGCGACGACGTCTTGCTATTATCCCACAAGATGCTGCACTCTTTGAAGGCACAATTCGAGATAACCTTGACCCTGGTCATGTGCATGATGACACGGAGCTATGGACTGTGCTAGGTAAGATTAGACCCATTGACTCTATAACGTTGCGCCTCTTTTTCGTTGCTAATTCAAGCTGGTAGATCATGCACGACTCAAAGAGCATGTCGCGAACATGGAAGGGGGCCTCGAGGCAAAAATACATGAAGGAGGTAAGACCCCCAGAAGTGGCGATGTTTACTTCCTTTCCACTCTTGTCGTGGTCTTGACATAGCCGATTTGTACACTAACGCTTATTCATAGGCTCGAACTTATCAGCTGGTCAGCGACAATTGATATCTCTGGCTCGTGCTATGCTTACTCCGTCAAATATTCTTGTCTTGGATGAGGCAACTGCGGCAGTTGATGTTGAGACGGATGCCATGCTCCAGGCGACGCTGAGATCGGATATTTTTTCCCACCGCACTATTATAACGGTTGCCCATCGCATCAATACTATACTTGACAGCGACAGGGTGGTTGTGCTTGATAAAGGCGAGGTAGTGGAGTTTGATACCCCGCAAGCTCTCATAAAACAGAGAGGCATCTTCTACAGTTTAGTGAAACAGTCTGGTCTGGATACGGAATAAGCACGCCAAGATGTATATAGTCTACGTTCAGCTTACTTCCAGTTGTTATCGGGACTGTAGAGGACTAGCTGGGTGAGACAGTCAGTCACCTGAGGCATGTGTAGATGTATTCGTGGGTTTTGGCAAGGCTGGCATAGACGGAAATGGAGTTACACTAAAAGTATGTAGATTTAATTGCATTCCTGATCGATTTCTCAAGTCTACGGGTCGGGCCGAGTTGTGCCCAGAGACTGCCCGTTCAACCTCACCCTTCTGGCTATATTGGTTGAGTCTTCTTGACTGACTGTACATGGACCACCACCCCAAGAGCACCTGATAGATCAGCATGTCTTTTTGTTCCAAGGTTACTATGATAATACTTCGACTTAGAGAACAAGGGATTCTCCACCAGGCGCTGTTACCTCTTTGCCCTGGTGTCTTGATGACCGCACGTTATAGCAATCATACATCGACATTCCTCACATTTGGTCATGGGTGGGCGGGTGAAAGAGAAGGAGAGCATGCATGGTGATCGATTCTACCGATGCCACCCGCCTTCGCATGCAGAAGCAGTCATAGGACTCAGTCATACAGATGCTCACTCACCTCGGACGGCCTCGCAAACAGGACAGTACAGGACAGGGCGGCGAGCACATGCGGAGGGTAACAGCTTGTCTGTTGCACAAGAGGGTGGATGGAACAGGCCCGATAGGTAACAATGCAGCGCACCCGACGGCATTCCGTGGCCCTTTAGGTACGAGAAGAATTCGCGGTGTGGAGATCAAAGGTGTTTGTGTGCATGCTGCTTTGGGCTGTGCAGTCGACTCGAAGCGGAATGTTGGATTTCCCGATCGGTCGACCTGCGTGATATTGGGCCACGCTATTAGACGAGTGCTGTATGCTGAGTTCTCGGTACTTCTGGATGCCTTCAAACAAACGTCTGTTGACATTGGTTAGGTAGACTGTTGTCGTTCACCATACCAGGGGGCCAGGGGGCTGCTACACTGCGGGCTATCCGGACGCCATGTCTAGATGCTGGCTAGCCACCCTGATCGCGAACATGCGCGCCACCATTTCCCCCCTAGGCGGTATACTTGACTGCCGGTGGTACAGACAAGACAATTAACTAATGGGTATCTCGAGGTTAGGTTTCGTTACAATGCGGGGACAACTGGCACACGATCATGGGCGATCAGAGCGATGCTGACCGCAACAGGTGGTATTACGGAACAGTAGACTGGCCAGTCATCACAGGGAGTCTTGTGTGCTTTGCTGCTACCAAGGATGTAGAGACGCACCCTCCGTCAAGATATATAGGCACAGGTGAGTGCTGCGCATTCAGTTGGTAGGTCCTCTACTCGGATTTCCTGAAGAGGAACGACAGCGTAAACAAAAGCGGCCTGCGATGTGCGTGCCTGCCACATGCAGAGTCTCAACGACGGAGACGTAATCAAGATCCAACGGAGGGGTCTAGAATGATGACAGCAGGATCGACAAGAACCGCGATCACCGGCCTGTCGTTAGGACTTCCTTCTAGGGCTACACACGCGGCGGTGAGACCTGCTAGGATCCTTGACACTACGAGACACTCACCGCATGTGGCTAACTAGGTAGACTACCTAGGCATCCAGTACTCGCAGAACAGAATCGGGCTCCTGGTAGCATGAGCTGCTTCGACATGAAGGCTTTCTCTCTGTGCATGGGGGAGTCACCAGTCAGCTCGGCAGTAGCTACACTAACAGGCTAGTTATTTGACTGATGCTGCCACTCAAGATGGCGCTAGTATCTGGTATTTGGTTCGATTTAAAGGCATCATGCACGTGGTTATCAAAATGGCCTAGATCGCGAATTTCGAGCGCCCAAAGAGCAGAGTGCGGTGGCCAGATGCTGTGCAACTACATCACACCGGCATAGGAGGGAGGGTGACGGATGCCGTTGGGGAGCCTGATCTTTTGGCGAGAGAGAGAAAACAGAGCAATTTGGCATAATACAGTTAGCTTGCATGGTCTACGAGAAGGGCTTGAATGATCCTCGAGGTCACTCGTCTTATACTTATATGTACACACACATCTCGTTGGCGTCCTCCTTGCGAGGCATTTATGCCCGTCTTATGCAAACGTCAACGGTGGACTGGGGTTGCGACAAGGAACCTCAGGTGTGGCGGCCGGCGTTGTCGCCCCCAACGATGTAAGGCAGGCATCTGAGACTGCAGAAATTGTTCCTCTTGAGTGGTCCACAGGGCGCGTGTTGGGCAGCCTGGGAGAGGAAAGGGAAGCGTCCGGTTGGGTGTTACGAGCATCAAAGTGTGATCACAGACGCCCGGGACCCCGATCCCAATTCCCAAGCGTTTGGGTCACTGTGTACATCTGTGCACACTCCCATCTGGACGAAGTTGCTGGGCGTGGCGCTCCACGAAGGGCTCTGCTAAAGCAAGGTAGCTAATATTACCCAGCGAATCCATAAAAGAGGCGTGAGCGAGAAGGGGCCAGCCATCCCATGCACGATGACCAGGCGAGTGTAGCCGGCCTGGCGCTTCTTTCAACAAGGCTTGGTGCATTTAGGCGGACGCCCATGTCGTTGTTGTGTAACCCTAGCCACGACTTTGTCCCTGGTCACGAGTTCACTATCTGACATCTGCTTCCACAAAGGATTCGGTGCTGCGTGCCAGCCAATCCGCAACTTACATGGCAGTTGGACGGTGTGATGGTATATCCAGTTATCCTTCGCCCAATTTAAATCCAAACCACACATCACCATAGGTGCCACCCATTGACCTAACGAACAAGACCGGGTAGATTGATCTGGAAGGTAAAACGATTTCATGCGGCGCCGAGCCTGATCTGGATCGGTGGCTAGACATCCTCCTTAGCCAATACCTTATTGGTTAGCGTAGGGATCAGGAAATCGAGCGCCAGCAAGCCGCTGAGTTACATGCCGGTATGAAGCCGGCGCCCACATGGAACAAGCTAAGCATCGTCCGTCTGGCGTTTCGTCGCGGCTTGATGATTTTCATGGCTTTCTCGGTCCTATTAGTAGATGCGGTTTCCATCTAGCATGGGAAATGAGACATGAACGATCACAAATGCAGTTAGCTAAACGGAACATCAATTCAAGACTCCAGTAGACTCATCCCTAACCTCGCCAATACGGGGAAGCATCGGAAATCCATGCTATTCGTGATATAGTACACACGACATAGCAATGTAGCGAAGAGATGCTGCCCAATTGACAGCTCTGAATTAAAGGTCAGTTTGTCAGGGGAGCTGGCCTCTCAAAGATCACGGCACTTGGGTCCTTGCTTGTATATCTGTAGACCGCCTTGCAGCAACCAATTCTGTGCCTCAATCATATCTTTCTATGCAAAGAGGACAAACGGAGCATAGGTAGGGTGAGGGGGACCATATAGCCATTTCCTCAAATTAGAAACAAAGTAATATAGTTTTCACTTAAAGATTTGAGCATACCTGCTTGGAATTGCTGCAAATGCTCGAAGATCATAGCCAGTTGGAAGCAATTAGTGCCTAGCAGTCGAATTACACCTACAAAGTATGTTTATTCTTTGATTGGACCAGCTTCGGTTTGGGTGGAAAAAGAGACATAAACAGGGCGTTGGCATTGATGGCTGATCGACTAAAGGAATAGACAGTGTTTTATTAACTACTCAACCCAGAATCAGTCGTAGTCTTTTCTTATAGGCCGATGCAAGACTGGCGGCTATAAGGCGGAGTTTGAGAGGTAAACCCTTAAGCCGCTTGGAACAACGAGTGGCTGGATCTTTTTCTCGCGTTTGTTAGTTTGTATATGCAGACAACAGCTAAACATACATTGTCTTGCTGTGTATTTCTGAGTACACCATCTTCGAAGATATGATTTATTGCCTTGTCTCACTGAGTACTCTCCTTGGTTAAACAGTGGGCTAAGAAACACGCCTACCCATATCATGGACTGATATCAGTAGATACAAGTGGGATTTGAAACAGGAGTCTTCATGGTTATGGAATTGGACTAGGGCTGAGCCAGAGCTAGGGCAAAATCAAAATGCGCGTCCCTTACATTGTTGATACCTTCGTGTACCCTACATCCACCTACTTCGTACGGAAGTCTTGACAAATCTGCTAAGGATAAGTTTAGGTTGGCAATTTATTGGCGAACCAGTGTAGTCAGATCCTAGATATGGTACAAGAAGATGCTATGGAAGTTCTCACCTGCTTAGCGATCATGAGCTTGGAGGTTGTAGCCTTATGGATCAAAGCAATATCCTGTCTCCTCCTTCTCTCTAACGATATGACTTAGACTCATCTACGGCACCAACGTTTAATTTGCACCTTCATTCTCGTCAGTCACTTGGCGTCTCCGTGTATGGCAAATGCAAGTGAAGTTGTCGAATACCCGAAGCAGACCCGTACATAGGTAGGTAGGTAGTCTCCGCCCTAAACTCTAGTGCAGCACTAGCTAGGTACATATACACACCCACGGTAGCACCTTATTTCAAGGTTGTTTAAACACACATGTTACCGGTACAACCTTAATGTGAGATCTGGGCCGCTACCATGCAGTGGGAACGCTAGAGGCTTAGTACTAGAGTATACTTACTTACTCGGGTTAGATTTTTAGGGGCTTTTAGGTGCCTTACCTACGAAGTATAGTAGTATGTGGTATGCTTACCTAGGTACATAAATAAGTATAGGTACCTAGTAGCTTGGAGTAAGTGCAAACTTCTACTGTACTTAAACAGCCATCCCCATAATGGTGTCTGAGCTTCAACGCGACACTAACGTGACATAGCACTTTACATCTTGGGTCTTGTACAGGTCCTCAATCGAATTCTTCATTCACGTTTCCGGTCTAGAAGCTTGGTATACCTTAAGGGGAGGTAAGGTAGCATCTACAGCCACCTACCTTTACTGGAAATACCTATCTACATACAGTAGGTAGGTCCATACCTAGTAGATAGGTATACGTGCGCGTGTAAGTATGTGCGGTTTTTCGCCGCATCGGGAGATGCAGCAGCGGGTCGGCGCCTAGGCCCACCAAGAGCCCACTGAATTGCCGCCGCTAATGCCACTCCTAACGACTTGACAGTTTGTACTACCTAGATAGTACTGCCTACCTACATCGGTAGGTACCTACATATGTACCTTACCTAAGGTATAGCACAGCAGCTTTGGTTTCGTCTTCTTCTTCGGCCCAGCTGGGCGAGCTACTTACAACCTGCTGTGCCAACATTAACCTCACCTTCAAGCTTGTTCAAATACTACTAGTAGGAAGGTGCTGCTGTTATAAGGTAGGTGCATGGACTGTAATGTAGGTATGTACCTACGCAAATACCTAAGTAGGTATAGCCTGGAGTCGGTACCAATGTCCATGTAGGTCTGTAGTACATACCTAGGTAGGTAGGTACATAGTGAAGTACCTGTGGAGGCAGTGCGTGCTCTGAGCTCCAACGTCCCAAGTCTTCTGGTTCCCAGGCTTTCTTTTCCCCCCCATCTCTTTCGTGTTAGTTCACGAGGCTTCCAACCACTTGCCATGCCACACCTCTTCCTTCACCATCTCTAACCCCCTTGGATCCTTGGATGCTGCACTAGTCTAAGTGGGCATGGCCTGCATCTGTGGTCGGTCTCGAGGCTCGTTGCTACTGTATAGCTCCAACTGTAGAGCTCCAAGCAGCAAGCACACGATACCTAGGGCTACCTATCTACCCAATTCCTTACAATGCGTGCTGATAATCTAATCTCGGGTGGATGTGGTGTCTGTGTGTAGCTTCGTGCTCGACTTACGAGGAGGCCTACGGTGCCCAGAACTACACTCGTGTCTGGCACTCGTCATGGGACAGGACAGTACATGTACTGTCGCCTCTGCCTCTTCCTACCATATCGTCGTATGTCGATGATAGGTATGAGCATGTGTATGGCTGATGTCGCCGTCCGTTTCGGCTACTCTGGTGCCATTCTTGGTTAATCTGCCCTAGCTTTCTCCACGGGCTATGGATATCCTGACCCGAGTGAATCGACTAAACAAGCAAGGCGATTTCGTCCGTCCACTCCGTGTTCGAACGTCCATTTGACGCTGCTGTTACCTTGCAGCTAGAGCGGCCTTTGCAATATGCGCAATGGCTGGCCCGCAACCCAACCAACTGCCAGCTTCCCACACTACAGATACAAAGTACCCTAATGTAGGTAGTATCATACTCTAAAACGAGTATGCCAATCGCTCTCCTCCGCCCGCCTTGGGCTTATACATTAGTAAGTACAGCTAGGTATACCTAAATCTCTGAGCAGGGGTGGCAGAGAAGCTGTCTGCGAGATCCCTGCGGCATACGGGCCTCGCGGCACAGTGCCTCCTACTTCTACTCCGCATAGGTACTTACTTCACCTTTTGGCGGACGAGTGGTTTCTTTTTCTTCACTTCTTCGTCGACTGTGTGTTGTGCTGGGTATGTATAAGTGAAGGACGGTTATCATGATTGTTCATGGTTGAAATGGGACAGTATCGCCGGGTCCTCTGTTTGTCTATCCCTTACCCCCTCGTTCTTACATTCTAGGTCTCCCATTGCCTATCTTCAGTGCTGTTCTCCATATAACAGCTCGTGCCATCTCTCTCCAGCCGTTCAGCCTCCGCGCCCTTGTTCCCGCCTTGAGCTACAGAACACCCTCGCTGTATACTTGACCTTAGACGACACCGTGCTGCTCACCACGATCGCCGTTGGCACCTAAACCCTGAGGCTTCAAGATTTGGAACGAGCTCTTTCGCTAGTTCTAAGGATTACTGCAACGCTCTGCTATCATAATCGACAGTACGCCCTTCATATACCCTGCTAACCAACTTGTAGTTGCTCAATCCTAACGAAGAGCAGCAGGCAACATTCTAGGAGCAAGTAGACCAGTCTATTTTTGTCTCAGAGTCCTGGAATATTGGAAGACAATATTCGTCGTCCATATTGCTCGCACACCAGATTAGTCGATAATATTATTTGGCTTCATTTAGTAGCCTGATATAAGTTTCATCTACAGAGTGCCCGGCGACTGGCATATTGGTTTTCTTTGTTCCGGGTATCAGATCCATGTTCAGCTCGACCCTTCTCATACCGATAGCACACTATCTTTGTCAACATATCGCCCCAGACTACTTGAATTTCCGTATTTTCCGACCAGCCTCCTTATGAAGCAAGCTCCAGCGGCCTCCTTAAACAAAGGAACACTGTTTCGTCACGGACACACCACCAAATAGCCAATGTAGCTACCCCCACCTCGAAAAGTCATTACCAAGATCGTTCAAATAACTCACACGAAGCACCCTCCGTCCTTCTCCCTACATCTTGGACCGTCTTCAATCAGACCTGCATATACTCGACTCTTGTATTTCGCAGTCGACTCAGAAGCATACTGTTATCTTGAAACATCCTTTGCGTTTTATTTTATAGACATTGATATTACACAGCCCTCTACTTTTACGCAATCGTTCCCACATACATATCATCCTGCGTCCAAGTATTATCTCCACAACGCACTTGCTTATAACATCCAGCCTGCGTTCCATATTGCAGAACTTATTCAAGAGGATAGATCCGTACGCCTGAGCCTGGAAATATCCACATACAACAATTCTGAGAATACCTAGCTTGAATATCGAGGCTTTAACTGTTCCTAGTCTGGCGAGCAACTAGTTCGTATCGTTTGAGGTCACGCGAAGTATTAAGTCCCTTTGCCTATACTCTACTTAATCATGGTGAATGGACCTTATGCGAGAGGTCAATATCCTCCTCGGCCGGGATACCAAAATCCTAGCCGACTTGGGGCAGATTATTATTCCCAGGATGGCCGCGCAGAAGCACCAGAATGGAGAGGCCCACCAATGGTATTTCTCCAACCTTTCACAGTTATCCTCCATACTGATAGAGAGAATAGACAATTGCGAGGGGATTACGAGACCTCTGTCAGATACCGGGACAGAATTTTTTCGTGGCTGCTGAAGATAATGGGAGAGTAATCTGCCTCTCCACTCCTATCGGTTCATCGCAACTTGACCACGAGCAGTTCTTTGACCAGAATGCTTTTCTCAATAACATAAATCAGATCAGACGAGGTAGATTTCCCAATCTGCGGGGCTGTATAGGAAGCTTGAACTGTGTTGACACCCCTCTCACTAGGTGATCCTCTTGACGGGCCGGATCTGAGCATTGGCGCAGAATTGGGCACGATCCTTCAAGAAACAGGTAGGACGAGGACTCAAAGCCGGTATAGCTATCCTAACAATGTGGTGGCCGGGTATGCCGACGATGCAACCCGAAGGTCTAGAAAGAGACCAAGAGCTAGTAGTCGTCAACCTGGTAGTGCTAGTCGGCAAGCTGTGGAGCCCAAAAAAGGCATCAGAATCGGCGATAGTGATGCGGTCTATGCCTTCTACGATCACCATTTGAGATGCTGCCAACAGTCGGCATGTAAGATGATCGCTAAGGCATGGGTGAAGGCTGTAGCGCCAAAAAAACAATCGACCCATCCCTACACACGTGGAGATAGGTCGCGTCCGGACTGGTGGCCTAAAGTATATTGCAAGTATGGGGAGGATACTTACAAGGCGCTGCGACACAAGGAACCGGACCATCTAGGGAAGGACGGTAAGTGATATTCATACTTGCTTCTCAAAATTACAAACTAATCACCCTCTAGAACGAGTCTACTTACTTTGTCACATACTTCGCATGATAGTAGAGCCAGAGTACAGACGTCATGATGCAATTCGAAAGGTTAACCTGGACTTAAAGGGCCTCGAAATCGTCACATATGACGCGCTGTCAGCATTCTTTGGCGACAAAGATAGCCCATCTAATATGAGCAAGAAGCCTCTTTTGCAAGATATTTTCAAAATTGCAAGACAAGAGGCGCGTTACAAGGACAACGAAATCAGTGAGTGTGACGACTCTTTACTTAGTTTTCGTCTCTTTTGCATCCCTCCTCCCCATCTGCCCGCATGAGAGATCGCAGTCGAACTAATAATAAATAGGTGGCGATACCGAAGTCTTCGTATCTTCCGTGTCCGACAACGATGCTGGCAACGACCCAGCATCGGATTCAGAGGACGATGGCCGCATATTCACGCCTGCTTCATCTGTTGTATCGTCAGTGGAGCCAACCGGACCCCAGATGATGATGTCTCAAGTGCAAATTAGTGATCATAGCGAATCTGGCCAGTTCTCAGCCCACGGCTTCCCCCAGGATATTGCTATTCGTGGCGCACAATACCAGCAACCTGACTTCGAGTCTGAGTTGTCCGAACGACCAAATTACATGGAAACACATGGCGCAGGCAACCAAGCCTCAAATTATAGCCACAGCCACCTTGGCCTACCTGATATGTATCCTAGTCCTCAGGGAACCAGTCGGCGATCTTCGGTGTTCAACTCGGGCTCTGAATATGGAAGCCCCGCGACGCCGGTGACATACTCCCCGTGGCCGACCTCTAGTGCTCCCAACAACACGCCCATGTATGGCTTCCCTCCGCAGTCGTCTAACGTGCAAGTTTTCGGACAATTGAGCCAGGGCCAATCGTATGCACCACCATCTATTGATGGGCTACCTCGACAAGCTAGCGGTGCGCATCATACGGACATTTTCGCCTCTAGAACGGTCGGTCATTGTGCGATACAGCCACAACGAGGGTTTACACATTACGTGACGACAGATGGAGCATCATTATTGGAGCGTAATGTCAAGTCGGAGGGAGAGCATCAGCCTTCAATCTCTCAGTAGGTTGGGCCACCTACGAAACAAATAAGGACGTTCAGTCAATGGTAGTCGGGTCATGAGCATGACCCTATTCCCATATACATTCTACGCTGGAGCTGAAAATCAGCTATTCCAACCCATGCCCCTTAGGCGAGTGCTTATGGATCATGAGATATTTCAAATAATTCTTTTAACTCTTCCTTGCCCCTTCGTCACGCTTCATTCCTTGGTTGAAACGGAACATTAAGACAAATATAGCCCGTTGCCTCGTGCAGTTGAGCCGCACGATCTAGGGGTAGCATTCATGGGCGCCAGGTCGTGACTACATATATTGGGATGGCGGCACTTTGCATGCAAAAGATTTTAGGATACCTCGATGGCAACTTCTTCAAGTAAGGTTGCGTAGCTGACGCTTTTCGTCTATACATCTAGTCATATTGCGTCATCTTTCTGCCTTTCAGTTCTACCTATTTACTTCGACTTTGCGAGTTTGTTAGATAATACATCTGTGCCTCCGGTGAGGCAAGTGGTTAGCTTTGTCCTTTTTGTACATGCGGTTATCAAAGTCAAGTTCATGCCATCTCATGAGAACCCCCCATGTTCCCCTTTGTTTAACATTCTAGTCAACCCGGTGTGCACTTTTGTGACATGTGCTGAATCAGGTTCAGAGGTTGTTTTTTTTGTCATGCTTCTCACTCAAGTGTCATTGAGCATGTTACTGTTTAAAAAAAGGGGGGATGGGCAAGCTGGACAGAATGAGGTCATCTACAGTATGTCAATGTTTGGAGTATTGTCTCTTCACGTCGCTTTGGCCATTGCTGGGAAGCAAGGATTAATGGGTATAAACGTCAGCAGCTCTAATAGGCTATTATGTCCTTAACATCTGGGTCCGATTGTGGGCTGCCGGTTTGGTTGTGTGTTCAAAATTGATGTAATATGGCTCATCTGTCTCTGAAGTTTTTTTTTTTCGAAGAGGTCTATTGTAAAATTGCACCATTTGTGCCCCAGTGGTCACTGTAAGTATAATGCGAAAAGCGGAGTCTTACTAGGCTTAATTAAAACACAGGAAAGGGCGGGAGTATCTCACTAGAAGATATCCATGAGCTGAGAAGTCAACATGATATTATTCTAGAGTTTCAGTCCACTAGCATGGCCTGTTTCAGTATAAACTAGCTCTGAAAATGATCGCGGCAGCAAAAGCTCTTTTTTTTTTTTTTTTTTTTTTTTTTTTTTTTTTTTTTTTTTTTTTTTTTTTTTTTGGTTCGTTCTATTTACTGCACCGCTGATGAAGTTGCTCGCTTTCGAGTATACACCATCCATAAGTGAGGGTTCCTCCTGAAAATGCCTTTTTACGTAGTGGTTCCAAGAAAGGGTCAATATAGATGGTGATAGGATCGCTTGGGGCTTTGTAACATGTCATATCTGTATAACGTCATCTACGACCATTCGATCTCCTCTGTTCTATGCAGCTCTAGAGATCACCATGCATTGAAAACGATACCCGTGATATGAAACAGCCAATCATTGTCAACTCCAGTCAAATCCATATAAACCGCTAGGTATGTTCGATCGTTGTGGCCGTGGTGCATCCAGGCAGAGCTAGCCGAGACCACTCTGATATGGTGATAATTGACGATTATATACGAAGGCATGGTAGCTAAAGGCTATTTGCTAACTAATACCTAGGATCATGCCTAGCTGAACGTGGATTACTGGCTTGAACTGTGGCTTGCTGCGAGTCTTACACACCCAACATCCAACACCTAACCTCGCCCAGAACGTACACACCTCCGTGGCAAGATACAAGGTGCAAGGGCAGATTATTACCCTGATCGCCGGCATACCCATGATCTACCCGGGGTCGACACTTACGACTCCGTAGTTCGACGGCCTGTAGGGGAGATCATGCCTGAAAGTTAGGTAAACGACGCGACTTAGGTACCAATTCTAGAAAATACCGCATCGAGGTGCCTCTAATTCGAGTAGCCATAGTAATAACAGCGGAGGTGCCAATGGATGACTAGGATACACAGAGAACCCGGAAATATACCACCCCGGTGCCGCGGATGGCAGGCTGCAGGCACCTCTTTTCGCGCCATTTGGCGCCACGGATAGCCAGCCATTTCGGGCTCCCGAACACGGCCATAGGGCGATGCGGCATGCCGACACATCTTGACAATGCCGGTAGGCTAATATCCCGTCTTGCACTCCAACTTTGTAACCCCCCTCCTCATCACGCTCATCTCGTTACTCCGCATATTTAAATACTACAGTTTCAGCGGACGGATGACTATAAGGAAAAGAAGGGGGAGAAAAAGAAGAAGAAGAAGAATAATAATACTAATAATAATGAAGAGATAAAGTTTTCAACGAGAAGGCATGTCTTGATGTTGTGTTGCATCGTGGCACCCGGATCTCAACGGCGATACATCCGCGAAGGAAGTCGAGGGCTATACGAGCAGACGGACTACTGTAGATGGAGGGGTATTATAGCATGGCAGTATGCAGTTGCTGTTATTTCTGGCATACCTATATGCATGCTACACCGGACAGGGACATGTGTGTCGACGTTGTTTGATGGATAAATGCTCACGCTACACCACAAGCTTGAACTTCCAAGATTGTGTAGGAGCCTGGAAAATCGCGTGTCGTGCAATGGTTTGATACAGACCCTTGCTCACCGTGTCCGTGTATATGACACTGCTCAATAGTAAGAGAGCAAGCGACCAGAACCCTGAACAAAAATAGGAGTGGTAAAGATCGTGATGGTGATGCAGCCAAGAGAGAACAAGGCATTATTTTCTCCTGGCGATGTTCATCTTCTGAGTCCCTCTAAGCAAGGATCAGGCGACTTGGGGGTGGTTGAGGTTCCAGCAACCGGGTTATTACCATTTCAGCTCGATTCTAGTACGTAGGTGAGTGGGCGAGACATGATCGAGTGAGCATGGTTCATGGTTTGATCCGGTTCGATACAGTGTGCGTCTTGCTTACAGGAGCTATGTCGCAGAGACTATTAGACGAGAGGGGCCGATTCACCGCCGTAGATTCAACGTCCTTTAGTGAGCTCTTCTCCATGGCTAGGTATTCTTTTCATCATATTATCCATGTTCATCCCATGCCAGAAGCGTCCGTATACCTTTAGGCAAAACGCCCATTGAGCGGCTCGACCGGTATTGAGTGCATCGTGGAAGAGACCGCCGATCCGGGGAACGTCCCCTCGTTCCTCTCCATATACGCCCCCAGAGTTTCGCCTACCTAGCATACTACCTAAGGCCTCCCTAGTTATGTGGATAGATTTCCTTGTGGATTTCTCCTTTGTTCTCCACGTGAGACATGTGTCTCCCTAGTCGTATTTCGAATTCCACTACCTATACCTAGATCAAGTAGTTACGCAACAAAGCGAAAAGTCGTACAACCTACACTGCCCGCTCATTGGATTCTACGGCTCCAGTCTCTCATCCACGCAAATTTGGGGGGCAGTAGAAAAATAGACTGTGTGCTGGGCGGCAGGCAATATCACCCACATCGAGTGGCCGGAGTTACAGTATTGTACTCCAAACAGCAGCCCCCAAATCCCCCCATCAACAAGCTACGCCATCCAGGTAATCGTCTTGCTTTATGGAGCTTTGTTGAGCTGTTGCTGTCTGTCTATTAATCTGCACTATACTCCCCTTGCCTTGCACACCGGCCCATAGGTTGAGAAATCAAAAATGCAGAACAGTAATCCATACCTACAGTACCTACAAGGCGATTCCATCGACCAACCGGAGATCTTCATTTCCTTCACCGGCTTGACCGGAATGCGGGCCACGCTTTGGACTGCAGGACCTTTGGCGTGACGTAAATCGCAGGGCAAACTGAGCAAACCGAATTTACTCGTTCGTTTGTCTCGAGCTCGTGCTTGACATCTGCAAGGCCCCTTCCCTTCCTCCCTTTGTTCCCTCCCTATCCCTTGGTTCCCAAACGCATGATGCCCCGTGATAGTGATGTGGCATAGAGTAGACACGCACAGTGTAACTTTGTCTCATGCGTCAAAACGGTCTGGCCTGCACAACCGATACCAGATGCAGGAAGCAAGCGGCTGTGCTATAAGCGGCAGGCCACGTCGAGGGTCTGTATGTGTACGTATATGATATAGGTATGTGTCTACTTGTGGGTGGGTGGATGACTAAATGGTTGGTCGCATTGAATCTCGATGGTTATCGAGTTGCAGCCGAAGGGCTGCCTACAGTAGATACATACACATATACTACATTGCCATGGCATGGCATGGCAAACATACCACTGGAAGCTGTCGACTTGCATCCGAAAGTAAGAGCCCCTGGCCCTTCGCAAAGTCTATTAGCACACCCACTAACTGTTTCTGTTTCTCGCTACATGGAGGTGGCGAGGGCTACTCTTGGGGAGGAACAGGGGCCATGACTGGTAGGACCCCCGCGAGTGAACCTCGTCTCTCATCAGTGGAAAGGGTCCACTGAGGTGAGAATCAATTGTCCTTACCAGACGTGTGACTAGGCACATGCAGATGCGAGGCGAGAGTCATAATAAATTCTTCGACGAGCAAATATCTACATAGGTAGTCATTGTAACTCGATATAGGGCTGGGTCGAACAATGTCGAGTTCTGGGTATACAGTTAAGTGATATAGTGATATAGCGTTTCCCCAAAGAAATTACACAACATAGGCAGTGTTCTTTTAATAAGTCTGTTTTGCCCGCGTGAATCTCCCGAATATCTTGGGCGGACGTAACAGAACACCAGGCCGCTCAAGGGTGATCTATGATTTGGATAGATGATTTACATGAGCCATATATCGATTTGTTCTTATCTTTCATTCGTACGTCTGGGTATCATTCTCCATTAATTCAAGTCTCAATAAACACTTCTTACCCCTAGGCTGAGATGAGATAAGTTGATCTGCCATCTGCATGTCCTCATCGCTCATTGTGATATCAGGGAACGTGGTGAAGCGCGTGTAAATATCCCTCAATAATATCTTCATCTCAGCGAGTGCTAAGTGTTTACCGATGCAACCCCTTCCCCCACTGGCGAAAGCGAAGAATAGTCGCTTTCGATCAGTCTCTCCTTTTTCTTCGAGCCACCTTTCTGGATTAAATAGGTCGGGCTCGGGGAACACTGTTTGATCAATGCGATGAGCTGAGTATGCCTGGCTGCTGACTATTGTCCGCTCCGGGATGAAAAAGCCGTTAATCGTCCTCCCGCCTGTAGGGACATACCGTGGCAAAGACATTGGTATCGCCGGAAAGCATCGTAAACCCTCCATTACGACCGCATCGAGATAATGTAGCTTGTCGAATGAGACACCAGGGTTAGCTATTAGTTCCTGCTGTAGTCGGCGCTGAACGTGAAATGAGCGGGGCTGTGAAAGCTCCCACATGAGGAAGCACAAACTGTCTCCCGTAGTATCGATCCCAGCGGCCATACTGTTTATACGCTGAAGTTAGTAATTGCCAAAGATATTAAAATGTTCAGCTCAAGTTTCGGGAGTTTATGCATGGCCTATGAGTCCTGAAACTTGCCACAAGAGGGAATAAATGACTGCAGGGAACTAACTGGTCAAGGCATTCGGCGGCCATATCTATATATTCCAATTTGTAAGCCTTATCTTGCATACGATTCAGTAACGTAAACTGAGCAGGGTCTGTCTTTCGAGCTGCGGACAATACCAACTCATCCGCCAATGGTGTCTGCCGTGGCCTTACAAACACGGAAAGGGCCTGCCCGACAAGTTTGTGAAGTGATGGGCAATAGTATTGTATGAGGCGATCTGTAATGTTTAGCACTACCCGGCATTTTTCGTAGTTAGAGAGGTATTCACTTTGTAGACTGTCATCAAATGCCACCTGCTTCATGATCTCTTCGTCTTGCGAATTGCGAAGAGAGTCAGAGCCATGTGGATGAAAAAGTTGATGAGTGACCCCGTCAAATGCGTAGTCATGTAGACCTTATTCCGCGTGAGCATTTAATATCACGAGTCGCTTCAGTGTCTAATCTTACAAATCTATGCCAAGTTAGTGCTCCATATAATAGACGCAAGTCCGTGTGAAACTCACAAATACATCGATACTTCGATCAACCGACTGGAGGCATCTTTCAATAAACCTTGCCGACCGCTCCGCGATCCCATTGAGAGATTGGGATTTCATGATGTTCGAGTTAGCGTAGCGATCAGCAAGTATTCTCTTCCTCTTGGCGTGCTACTGAGGTCAATTTCACTGTCTACACGACTAGCTTGTGTTGCGTACATCTTCTTTGTTTAGCGTAGTAAACAAAGTTCTACACACGTCCATCGTCAGTAATTGTCAGCACAGCGGATTAGCATCATCGACTCGTAGTGAAAAACAATATGCATACCTTCTCTCGTAAACTTGGAATAGATCATAGAACTCTGTCTTATCGTACCCGCTCCCACCAGAGCCGTATATCTCCTTAATGCCCTCCAACGAAGCAAACGAAACTTCATTAGGTGCAATCCGAACCACAGGACCGTACTGTAAGTGCATATCATGGACATATCTGGTTCGTAGAGCCCGAAACTCATGAAGCTTGAGCACACATGATGTGAAGAGCGAGATCTTCGGGCCTGGTAAGCACCGAAGCGGAGAGCACACGCATTTCCACTGCAAAATGAGAAGTTAGAAATCGAGAGTTGGAAGAGTTGAATACGAATCGGGGTTTCTGAAGAATGTAAAAGGTTTATGATATGAGTATATTGAGACTTTCAAGAAGCCCTGAGAAATGACCAAGATAAGAACACGACGCCAGAGTTTACTCACAATATGCCATCCAGCAAAAAGGAGGCTGACGAGAACGAGAAAAGGAGTGTCCAATAAAATCATTATCGTATAATTTCGGTTAATTTGTCGAAAATGTCGTGGTGCCTATCAACACTTCAAATCTTAGCCAATATTGAGATACACCCTACTCGAGCAAGATGAGTAAGAAGTAACCTAGGTACTTAGTTTTTAAGGCGGCAGTGGGAGCCGAGGGTGCAGCGGAGGCATATCGGACCCAACCTACAGATGCACGTAACGAAGAGAGCGTTATATCGCTTTGTTGTATATATATCCACATATTCTGACATGTATGTACTTAAACGATGTACTCTCGGAGATCACCCACGTGACACCTTTCTTGTTGACACATCCATGTTTTGATGAGATAGCATCGAGAATTATAGTGCATATTAATGAACTCTGATGGCACTAATTTGAATTGAATGGTGGTTCTATTGAACAGATTAACTAATATACCAAACCCACAGTTGATGGATATAGTGAATGCAGGTGTGATGGGCTGCCAATAGGTTTGATGGTAATTAATACAAATTCGTTAAGTATCGTGAAGAAAGAAGGAAGGAAAGCTCTGCTTCTTTGCTGTCCCTAGGCATCTATTTAACTACTAGAGATCTTCTAGCCCTAGTCCAGATATCTCTTAGGCCAAGGCTTACTCCGGTGAGGGAAATTAGATAAGCCTAGCCCATGACAGTGAGGTTGCTGAATCAGGTTGAATGCGGGAAAGGGTATAATTATGGCTTCGAGTTCACGCGACCTTAGAGACAGGAAAATCGAGTTAAATCATATACTAGTATCGATGAACATATGACAGTTTGTAATTACCATTGGTTTAGTAGGATAAATTGAGGGGCACTCTAGCAGTGGTTGAGAAATAGAAAACTCATGCCGCAGGTCTTTAAAGTATTAGCTTTAGGAGTTACTTACAGAAATGCAGCTACAATATCAGTGGTTCTTGAATCGCCTCCTATGCTTGCAAAGATCTCTTAGCCACCATCTCCCTTCTTAGTCGTGGTAGCTGAAATGGACGCTATGTACAACTATTAGGTCTTCCCTATTCTTCAAAGTCCGACAGTGTCTCAGGCCGGCGAAAGTCTAGATAAATTCACTTTCAATATTATGAGATTACGGTATTATCTACAGCGTTAACCCCGGGGCTTGTTATCAGCCCTTGTTATATTAACTTACCTTTGTAACCAACTTGTCTCTATCTAGGTTTAACTATAACAAGGGCAGTTGAACTGGGCTTGGAACTGAGGATTCTGATTACAATGATCAACTAGGGCTGCAGTAGTCCTTGACCAACCAACTCCTTCTCGGCTGTTGGTGGCTTGAGATGACTCTATATACAAATGATCTGCCAGCCCAGACCGCCTGGGTCTCTAGGGTCTGTTTCAAGAAGCGAAGTCTGTATAACCTCACTTTCCAATATCACCCAATATTGCCTGCATGTCTTGGAAGGTCATGAACAGCCTGCAATGGTCCTTCGTACGGCCGAAGTGCAAGGCGAACTGCATTCTTTAACCGGCACAGAGGTTACACGTGTAACACTATCTAGGTTTAACTGTGTTCTCGCTTTATCCTAACCTATTCAATATTTGTTGCCAGTAGCATGAATAGACTATCCTACGCAATATTAACTCTTCCCATTTCTCCCTCATGTGATTTTGTGTATATTCATTGACTTGAAGCTAGTTTTCAGGGCCCTAATTATGTTTCACAACGGACCTCCTAGACCAGTAACTACAGTAGCCTATCATTTAACTGTCACGATCCTAGGCCTACACACAGATAGAGTCGTTGTAGAAATCTATCATGAATCCCGATCGTATTTTCAACTGAGACTAGTTAGCTTTCGGGAAGATAAAATGTTGGCGGACTTCAAAATTTAGGAAGACCAAGTGTATATACTACAGTTAGCATCAGGCTCCAAGGTCAGTAAGGAATCTGAACGAGCTACACAGACCTTGGCAGCCGTACCAGATTACATTCTTGTATTGTGAATAGCTTTAAGCCCAAACCCTACCCCCGAGCTCTATCATAGGAGCAAGCGGTGGGAGTGTGTATACAGCGACCTAAAAGATAAGTTCATATCATTATAGTTTATCCGGATCTAAATAAAATGGATAGGTAACGACGCGTTGTGCGTATGCTGCGCTTTGCGAGATCATTGAATAGTCTGCAGAAACTTGGCCACTGTGGTGCAAAGCCACTTTTCAGCGTCGGGCTCCTCAACTCTATGCGTGGCACCGGGTATTGTTCCCGATAGCTCGCTCGCCATGTTTGGCTTACATAGGTCGCGCCAGTGACTGACTAGTTCCTCCTTGTTTACCCGGTCGGGAACAAACTCATCGTTGCCAGAATGGAGTATAAGTATTGGCCTATCTATTCTGTTCCAGTATGAGGCTGCCACATCGTCTTTCAGATCAGGCGAGAAGTAGTTATCGTCACCATCTTGTGCTACAAGCGAGTACCATCGCGAGGCAGATATTGGCGTATCATGCATGAATTCGGGTAGCTGGGTGAGAGACATTCGATCTTGACCTCTCCCGGCGTCAATGAGCTGCTTAGCGGCCTTTATTGTTTCATCTAGCTTGTCAATGCCCATCTCTAGCCCGATAGCGTCTCGATCGCACACGGGGGCTTGAAGAATATATCCATCGACAGAAGGCGCATTATGAGCCAGGGCAGTGTACTCCATACAATCCTAACTCCATCAGCCATCACTGTTCTGCGCGGATCAGTTGGAAATTCAGCATTTACCTGGCAGCCAGTGGAATGGCCCATGAGAATGACTCGTTTCCTGCCAAGGCTTCGGAGATATTTCACCAGCGCGGCGATATCGGCAACGTCATCGGCGAGCCGCGCGAAGCCAAATGCCGAAAAAGAGCTTCTTAATCGAAACTCAAACACGGAGTAGTCAAGACTTGGGTTTTCTTGTAGGAGCTTGGCTAGTGCGCGGGGATAGGGAACCGTGTGTGGCCCGTCGCCCAGTCCTCCGATGAAGACCAGCGCGTTCCTCGCATTTTGAGGGCCGATTTCGTACGCACAAACATGCGGCGTTGTGTTTGAAGGGAACGGGTGTACCGTTGTCGTAAAGGTGATTGGAGCAGACACCTGCATTTCTCTATTTCCACCTATTATGTGAGATGGAGCAACTATTGGGGTGGCCAATGAACATATATAAATATATGTATATATATATATATAAGATACTTGGAATAGGTCATGAAATAGTCAGAAGCGTTCAGGTCAAAATGGGCGTACTTGTGCATAGTAATCTGGCAGGGGAGTACTTGTACTAGATCGGCCGTTCAGATAACCGATTCTGACCGATAAGAAGGTACCAGCTAAGTACATATGTAGGTACCGAGTACCTAGGTATTCTCTCACCTACGGTACTCGCATTTCGTGCCCATGAAACAAACACACCGCGCCCGAGCCGAACATCAGGAAGCATGGCCTATCGTTCAGCTGGGAGATTGACGTGAAAACAATGTATCAAGCCTAAAAATGGCCGATGATTCTTTGTCTGCCCGGAACCAGTTTTTCAAAGAGGTATCCTTCTCTGTCAAACCTCCGTCATGGTAACAGCAGCCTGCTAACTAAGACCTTGGGATCCAGCTCAAGCCACGATGCGTCTCCATAAATGATTTGGCCGTGCGCTCGCCTGACAAAAAGGCGAGTGCAAAGGACTTAGTCAAGGTTACGGAGGATTTGGCCGCACTTTTAGATCGGCAAATATTGCAGGATGCCTCTGTCCTTGATGAAAAGCTGGCTGACTATGTCTTCTTCCCGCTCTCCAATATCCTGCGAAACGAGAAGGAGTATCCCATTCGTCTGACCGAGGTCACCATCAAGTGCTTTAGAATCCTCGTTGAATATGGCTGGAAGAGCAAGCTACCCAAAGAACTCGCTCAGCAATTACTCTTACTTCTGACTTTCATCATCGCCGGTGTACCTGGCCAGGTGAGGCAAGATCGCATTCCTGAGGAAACCGAGCTTGAGTCTTTCAGGGCCATAGGATCACTTGTCAAAGCCTCGGGGTCATCGCCGACAGGCGCCGCGGCATTGGTCGAAGAAAAGGCGATACCCGCTCTCGGCCATGCTGTCACCGTTCTACTAGATGGAATTAACAACGGTCGCACACCTGCAATTCAGCTGGAAGCGCTTCAGGCTCTCCGCGCATTAGTGGTCGCAATCAAAGACCAGACCGCTTTAGCCGCGTTCTTACCTGGAATTGTGTCATCTCTGAGCAACCTTCTGACGCCCCCAGGAGCACTCAAAGTACAAAAGAAAGTTCTCGTGCAAGGTATTGACACTCTGAGAGATGTCCTCACAAAGGTTCTCGGGGACATCAAAGTGAGGGGCATACTGAAGAAGCCAGTCGACGATGGGGTCAATGGCGATGCCGGTGGAAACATTTTATCATATTCGTGGCTTAATGCAACTGTCGCTAAGGTGAAGCTTGCACTTGCAAGTGTCCTGAAGTTACGAAATGATTCGTCTGCAGATGTACAAACGGCATTAGGGAAGCTCTGCATCGCTCTACTAGATGAGTGCCATCAGTCTCTTTCTAATGCCATGTTGATATTAGTTGAAACAGCAATGATCGTGGGAGATGGGCATGATAATGAGTCGATGTATGAGACGGGCTTTGCTGACCTAGCCAGAATATATCCGGAACTTGGGGATGCCGTCAAAACCACCATGTATAACTGGGTTACAAGTCTTCCGCGACTGGTTCAATCTAGCGACGAAAAGGTCAAGCACCAAGCTATGCAAAATCTCCTGAAGGGCCAACATTTAGCCACCACTCTTCAAATCGATTCATCTATATTGGACGATTCATTAGCTGCTTCGTTAAGAGATAGCGCAACAGCGCTTGTCGTTGGATCCAAGCCTAGGAGTGGCCTATCTGACATAACACTCTCTAATGCCCTTGAACTGAGAAGCATGGGTCCAGACAGAAAATCCGAAATAGAACCTTTCCCGCCAGTTTTGATCGCTCGCGAAACCGAACGTCTCACGCGCGCCGGCCTTATCGACCTCGTATCCAAGTTTGGGTCGCATTCTCAACGCATCAGAGTTGCCAGTGACATGTTGAGTCATATACGAGAAACAACTGGACCTACTCAAGTAACTTCTTACTGGCTAGCGTTCGAGTTAATCAAATCGACCCTTACTGATTCATCTGAATTGGATGATTTTCTAGACTTCTCTTCGGCGGCTGAAACGTCGAACGGCAGTGACTCTGCATTGCAGGAATTGTATACATTCTCGGTCTCGATCCTCGACTCACAAGCTGAAGCTAATGACATAGACTGGAGAATGCAAGCCCTTTCCATGGAAATCACCACTTTTACGGCGTCAAAGATGCAAGAAGGGTTCCGACCGGAACTGATTGACGTGTTGTACCCTATCACGACGTTCCTCGGTTCTTCTAACCCCCAGTTAAGGCAACATGCAATCATCAGTCTTAACAATATTGCAGCAGCGTGTACGTACCAGAATGTCACTGATTTGATCATCGAAAACGTCGACTACATGGTGAATTCAGTGTCTCTGCGTCTTAATACTTTCGATATCTCGCCGGCTTCAACCCAAGTACTACAAATGATGATTAAACTTACCGGACCGCGACTTATTCCGTATCTCGATGATGTCATAGCATCCATTTTCGCAGCCTTGGATAACTACCACGGTTATACTATATTTGTGGAAAGCTTGTTCAGCGTTCTCACAGAGGTTGTCCAACAAGGCGCCAAGTCAGATAATCTGTTGCTCGAAGAATCTCCAAGATCAATTGATCACAAGAAATTGCCCCCTAGAGTAGTATCTACTAGCGATTTATGCAAGGTTCTAGATGGGCGTCACGAACGCCAAAGCGCGCGACAGCAGGAGGAGCTAGAACTAAAAGAGCTGAACAGACATCCAAACCGTCCCTTCAAAGCAACCGATGCTACCAAGGCCGTAAACGAAGGGGACCCAGATCACGGTGAAGAGAGCAGTACTGAGATTGAGAAGCCTGCGGCGCCGAAGACACGCACATTTCAACTTCTATCACGTATCACGAGTTTGACACAACACTATCTCACCTCTCCCACACCCACGCTCCGGAAGTCCCTATTGAATCTCCTTTCAACGGTGTGTCCGGCGCTCGCCCCAGACGAAGAAGAGTTCCTGCCGCTCGTCAACGCAGTTTGGCCTGTGTTAATCGAGCGGTTATATGACCCCGAGACTTTCGTCGCCACTGCGGCCTGCGAGGCGCTATGCGCGCTCTGTGCCGCTGCTGGTGATTTTCTAAACACGCGCTTCAAGACTGAGTGGTGGGATAATGGACTTGGGAAGTGGTGTCGAAACGTCAGAGCACAGGCTCTTCGGTCTCAGGGCCGAGTTAAACATAGAAGAGGGGGTCACGTGGGAGGCCCTACAGCTGTACTCCCTTTCGGCAAAAGCAGAGAGGAAATAACCACTGGGATAATAATACCTACCCATGTCGGTGATGGGGAGCTCCAAATAAGAGAAAATAACGAGGAAACTGCAAGCTCCACTGGCGGCGGTGGTGTTATTAGCAGCTTGGGCTTAGGTCGTTTTGCGCAGATAGCGCAGCTCTGGGAGGCTGTACAAGATCTACTTATCGCCATTGTTACCTACGTGCACATTGACGACGACATCTTCGATCAAATCCTCCCGCTCCTTGGTGATGTTCTGGAGTCCCAGAATTCGGTTGCTCGCGAGGCACTTGAAGCCGTTGATGCTGATGCTGTCTGGCTTTTCATGTATGAACGCGGTATGCTTAAAGTTGATTCGAGCACGTATCCTACTATAGCTGGCGTAGAGTTCGTAGAAGTGTAATAAAGGAGATATCTAGGTAGCGGACACAGGGCGAGATGGGTTGATAACCTATGCCTGAAGATACGCGAGATCCCAGCGTTTATCTTATTGCCATATATTCAATCATTTTCGTTCCTCGTAGCCTGGGCTTACTAATTATCTGGGACAGCCGAAGTTTTGTCCCTGAACTCATGCAACTTGCTACTCAAATCGCAACGACTATAGACAACTAGTTTCAAATACGAATTCGACAAATTTCAACATTGATTATCTGTCGATTTAATCATGCTTTGACAGCTACACATACTTTTGAATCACTTTGCCAAATTATTCCGTCTGTTATTCCATCTATTCTGTCAATTGCAGCTCCCTTACTATCTGCTTTGTCGGTTAGTTGACTTAGTCAGAGTGCAACCTACAGGATCGTGATTCAAAACTTCTTGAGTATTTGGTGGCTGAAATCATAACGAACATGGTCTACAAATGAGATTACGAAACAGCCATCTAGTTGACAAGGCCGCTCAACTTGAAAGCTTCATTATATGTAGTTTAGCACATACAAAGTATGCCCAATAGTCGAGCTTAAAAAGCCGTCACAAACAAGCACAATCGTTGTGCATTTCTTAGCATAATAAAACAAACATTAGGCATAGTGGCATTTAATGAGGTATTGATCCACGTTATAGATATCAACTCATCTTACCAGATTTCTACGAAAAGATCAATCGTCCCATTATAGTCTCGCGAATTATGGGATTCCTTTAGTAGGCTTTCTCATATTTCTGGAGGCCAACTCACCAAAATAGTCCTAAACATCGCCACAAAACGACAACTTGCTATTCTAGAGATACAGCCAGACCCATACAAATTAGTCGCCAATACATTGCCGCCATAAGTGTTTGAATAACGGTAAAAGTCGAGAGGGAGTGTCTGGGTAGGAGGGAGCGATTGGATGCTTCGATAACATCATAACAAACAAAAAACCCTGACTAGATCTATTACCACACACTCTTCTAAGATGATCAGAAATGCCCAATCTATATCTGCAGACGACGTCAAACATGTTGAGATTGGAGTACCGTGAACTGAATCAGGAAGACGAGTGGTGGAATCCTGAAGAATTCCCTGACACAATATTTAGTAATGACGAGGTCTGCAGGCGCATTGCAGAGTCGTAAAAGAAAACCTCATCCACGTAACATAAAAACAAAACACCTAGACTAGAGCTGTAGCTCTCAGCATTGCTTATTTCGCGCCCGATCCGATATTAGATGCCTAAGACATCCTACAACCATCGAGTAAATTTCTCGTCATAACATATCGGGCGTTTGTGAGACTAGGAATTCATCGGCGCCGGAAAGTGCACGAGTTCGTGTCAACCTTTGGCCTGGCGCCGTGCCGGTGATTGCTGCTTGGCCGCCACACCCGACCCGTCAGGGTTGAAGTAGATCTGATACTACAACCTTGTCAGCGGGTAGCCACAGGCGCTTCTTTTCTAGGAGTCGTGCCCCATGCAGAGGTTTTAGATCTGGGTCATTTCTGTGTACATCGAATCCCCGGCTCTGTGGTACATGATGTTGGTCTCGAAGGGTCCCGAAATACCCCATTTCCAGAGTTGAGTAAAAGACCGGGGTAAATCACGGGCCGTTACCTGCCTGCTTTATGTGAGAAGGCAGTCACGGCAGCAAAGGGTCGGAGAGCTGGGCATGTCTATTTGCTGTATATTGTTACAATAGAGCGGCTCTTTTGTGGGACTTCATTTCTTGGGACCGGAAATCGCGCTTAGTATAACGTCATACGTCAGGAGACTACTCGCTGCTGCGCGCTTCGGAGATATTGGTTACCGTTGAAGATATGGAGGAAGCCGTGGACAACTCTAAATAGGTAACGAATGGTATCTGATTGCTAGCATCATATCATCGGAAATGTAATTCTGTGGCGTTATAGGAGCTACATTGCCTGCATAGTTGTCTCAAACTTCTTTATTCGACTTTGAGGCACCAACGCAGGCGATTTGAAGTAGACATATGTACAGAAGACTAAGCGCCTCATGGTGTCAAATCATCTATAAGAATGTCGGGGGGGACAACATGGGCGTGTTTGATCAGGAGTTGCAAGGGTTCACCTATACAAGACTAAGACTCAAGCAGTTGGAAGAGACTGTCTGCCTAACGCTCTTTGGGACTTTACATAATGAAACCCGGTTACTCCCCGATCCTCTATATGCAAGGAATCTTCAGGTCAGTGTTGTAGAAGGCGGCGGTCCTCCCAAATTGGGCAAAACCGAAGATGACGTGGGCATATATTGGGCGATAGAATGAATTCTATGTCTTTCTGTTGTTGCTACGTAAAAACTGGGGCTTTGGTTCGCATAGCGGAGACTATGGTCACATTCCGCTCTCCCTGCAGATGCGGTCGGCTGAGCCAACATCTAGGTTCAAGCCTTACCGCACCTGTCTATATGCACTACAGTCTGCAAGCAGAGGGTCGGTATCTGCTGTTTCACACGGGCGACTACGTTGCGTGGGGGGAAGGAGAGTGACGAGAGGGAGGCAGGCGGCAGGTTGGAAAGCTAGGACCCGGGCCCATGAAAGGCGGCAAGAGGCTGAACCGGAGAATATGGCCGAAGGCACGGAATACCCAGGATAGGCCCAGCCGCCAGGTGTGCTAAATGCATCTTGGACTAGCAAGGGGGTCGTCTTGCAGCCGGATCCGAGTACCGCGTATAATGAAGCGGCTATTCGCCAAGCAGCAAGCGATGACGGGTTGGAGGGGGGTCCCTCCGGCCGGCCCAGCCTAAACAGCCCAAACGCCCTATCTACCAGTCCTTCTCGTTTAACTGCGTTTCCTGCTTGTCACTCGCCGGATGGTGGGTGGGCAGACGTGAACATGTATAGTAGACACAGCAGAACGCCCAAGAATGTAACCATCAAGAGGCGTAGAAGCTAGCAAGACAAAAAAGGGGACGAACTGTGCGCGACATGGTCAGGGTTCTCTGCGTATGCCTGAGTCGCATCCTGTCGGGTATCGGCAGACATGCATGCACGTGTTGTTTGCGTTACCATCACGTGCATGAAGCGGGAAACTCAAACCTCGAGCGCGACAACGACACGTCTACACAATCCTGCTGCTAAAACATCAAAGGCTATGATAGCTCGGGCTGTGTCGGCGGCGTAGAAAGCTTGTTTGCTTGTAGAAGAAAAAAGTTCTAAGCTCCGTAGGCACTGACTCTCTCTAGTCCTAAGAACACTCACAAGTCTTGGTATTTCTCACTATAGGCCGAAGAAGCCACTAGTAAGAAATATATGAGGCTAATTTGGGTTCACATTTGAGGATTATTAGCCCTGGGGCAACGATGATTCGTAGATTTATTACGTATGGAATGAGAAGCATGGATAAGCCATAACCATGTTATGAGGGAGTACCCATTAGTACCAATATGAACAGTTAGAGTATAGTGAAACATAAAATACGTCTCCGATGTTCCTGACTAAAAATACGAAGTTGAAGACCCATTGGCAATTACAACATCGGACTCGGAGGAAGACAACTTTGTCTTCCTCTCGCTGGTCGTCTTCTTTTCACTAGAATTAGCAGCCTTGTGTGAATGTTCCTTCTCTTTATTTGTTTTATCCTTATCATCGTGACGGTCTCTCCGTGAATGGTGAGAGTGATGGGAGTGACGATGATGGCCAGAGCGGGAAGCGTGGGAGGCCTGGTGGTGATCAGGCACGCTATCCTTGGTATGCTTGACTTCTAGAATGCGTCCTTCGTATTTGTAATTGTTGAGGCGCTTGATAGCCTTTTCGGCTGCATCGTCTGACACAAAAGTCGCGAATACATAGCCCCGGTTTGCCCCCTGTGGATTATCTGCCAGAGGCATGTCGAGCTTCGTCAGTCTGTCGGAATCAAATCCAGTTTTGTGGCGGATGAGCTCTCGAACTTGGGACTCGCTAACCCAGGGCTGAAGCTGTCGAATAATAATCTTACGCTTTTTATTTGACACGGCCTCAACATGTTTTTTCCCCTCGCGATAGGCCTTACCATTCTGAGGTACAGTGTAGCCGTTTCCATGATACTCGTTTGGTGTATACTGCTGCGTATAAGGAACAGATGGATAAGGCACTGCCGTAGTACAAGAATGCTCGAGGGCGCAGGTGCTCATCCCATAAATAGATGCTGAATCTGGATATTCGGGCATCGCACAAGGCATAAAATAGGACGGGGACTCCATCACTGGACTCATCATGTAAGATGGACTGGCTGACACAGCTGGCCACTAATTTCGGCGTTAGCACCAACATGAAGCAAAGGTAGTGCATTCAGAAACATCTCTTTAAAGAATGCTACATACTTCGGCGTAGCCGGGAGAAGATGGATGCAGCGGTAAAGATGTGTGCTGAGCGGGGGCTGCTGTATGTCTCAAAGCCGCCGATGAGTGCGTTGAAGCACTTGGACCGTCTATATGCTGCTTTATTAACACCCAGCTGTCTACATTTCTTCCGTCGGCGATGAGTGCTCGATCTTGGAAAATTCCACCATTCAGTAGCTCTAAGGGCGAATTAGCGTGCTATCGCAAGACATAACTTAAATCTGCTGTACAACCATACGGAAGGCTGCATCAAAATTCGCTCGGCCTTTCAGGACTACATGGCCGCTAGTGCTGTCCTCATTTATCTCAACATGCTCAACCGAGCAGACGGATCTGACATGGTCCTTAAGCTCCTGCCACGATGTTTGCCATGGTAACTATAAACTCAGACGTTTTGTCAGAATCATTCTTGTGGCCCCATATCAACAGGCATAAGCAGTTGGGCTCTACCACCACAAATAGCTTACATTTGCAATGGGAATGTAGTAGTAGCCCGTCTCGTTTCCAGGCGGTGCCATGCCCGAAATGGTCCCGTTGATGGGCGTTTGATTTTGATGTTGATATACTATTTCTGAAGGCATGACGTGCGGGCTGCTGTAGAACACGAGGCTCTACTTAGTAAGGGCTTTGTAAGAAATGCCTTAATGAGCGAGGGGTGAAACAACGACGACAATGGGAATGACCCAAAACCTATCTATATATGTTGCACGACAAGAAGATCGGTCGAGGCCGTTGATAGAAATTGGGTTTCCGCTAAGGATATCCATCACGACGATCACGTAAACGCTGTGTTGGGAACCCAAAGGGTCAGATGCAAGCCGGGACCATGCAAGAGGACGTATCTAGGTTGTTGGCGTAGTATCGGTGTAGGGAATGGAGGGATATTTGACAAGTGGTGAGGACAGAACCAACAGGAGAGTCGTCTATTTCCATCAATGTATTTGTGACAAGGCCAGCAACCTCGTTCACCCCTTCGGTGTTGCATGTGGCCCTGCGTGGCCTCCCCTCGATAAATCACAATTGTGCGCCTGCACTCGGCATCATGCTGCCAGCCCTTTACGGCAGGCTTGCCGGAGGCTACTATTAATTGAACATGGCAGCGTTGCAGTAGGACACTACCGACTTCTAAGTGTTGGTTTGAGCCTAGAGAGATGAAAAGCCTCCAGTCCCATAAAAGCTGGACATGATGTTAACGAATGAAGATGCGACTTGCTCAACAAAACCCGAGTTTAGGCGAGACGAAGCTGCACGCAAATTTGGATGATCCCTGGAATGAAACGGATTGGCCTGTTATGGGGTAAACTAGAGAATTCCTATCATACGCCCATACTGACTTGGGTTCTAACCCGAGAACCCGGTTACCTAGCGCTTTAAATTCCGGAAAGTACTGATGTGAGGGCTGTTGAAAGATTCGTGGGGGGTTAGTAGGAGTCGATGGTGTTCGAGATTTACAAGTCAGCCCCCCACCACCGGTACCTCTTGCTAAAACTCACAAGGCTTTGTGAGTTCCATGCTTTCTTCGTGAAGATGCACTTCTTCTGTACTCCAAATACCCAGAAGGAGCCCTATTTACAGAATCTTGGTCATGCCTCAAGGCAGACAACATGTTGAATTATGCATCTAATTCTATTCGACAGTGCACCGCCAAAAGCTGATGGCAGGTACTCCACAACGATGTCTCCGTGCATGGGGATGCTGGAAGATCACACACCTTTTTGTCGGGTGGCTGCTGAACGGGACAAGGTCGTATTGGCTGGCAAGCCGCGTCCCCGATCTTGTCATGCCGATTGGGCAAGCCATAGCACAGTGGTAATTTCAACCTGACCCATGACTTGTATACAATGTTACCTATCACAGCAGACCATGTTCCCTCGACTCCAACATATACTGCTCATATCAAGTCCAGAAGTCAGCAAACTCAGCGCCTGTTCAGAGATAGCTATCCGAGAGATCCTTAAGGTATGCATTATTGATTATGAAGGAGTATCGACAATGCCTAGAGTGTGACGAGATGCAACCATGGGTGGTGGTCAGACAGAGCGCCCAAAAAAATCCTGAGCCAAAATTTGACATCTCATTTTTCTGAAATGTGACAGAATTCCAACACGAGCAAGGGGAGCCAGCCCAGCACGGTTGCCATGACAGTACCTATCATGGCATAGGTGACTTCTTAAAGTGGAATGTATCATCCAGCTCGGTTATCGTCTCATCTATGTCGGTGTTGTCGATATCATCTGAGCTGTTATTTGAAACGTCGAAACCTCTTGAAGTGGCCGACTTCACGTGTGAATCGACAGCAGTCTGCGTTGTCCATGGTAGAGCTGTTTCTGCGCCAAGCTCGGTGTCTGCGAGAGAAGCAAGGATGTATTTTGTATTATCGGTGAAAAATATAGCTGCAGCATCTGTAATAGTCTCCAGCCATATGGCATCTGTGCGACCAGTAACCTTTGCGCTTGGTAAGTGGCGCGAAAAATCAATCGGACACGGACCGTTGCTGAGGGGATCCCAGAAAAACGCGAGACCGCTGTAGGCTTCACCTTCACACCTCATGAGCAATAGCTCCGGTTTTGAAGGATGCCACTCCACTTTGGAGACGTTCGCGTGGTACATCAATACCGCTCGAAGTTCGGATGTAGGAACGTCCCATATCCATATGGTGCTTGGTGCATTCTCGAGACGCGACGCCAAGAGAGAGGAAGAAGAATCGAATTTGGCAAGATTGCAACCATGTCGGGTGTCTGAGATACTGTTTGGTAACAGGCCTGGTGGGCTCACGGCTTGCGTGGCTCTAACGAAGGACGGAAAAGCCCGTTGCCCAGCCCGTAGTTCAATCTGTTCTTGCCAGATCTTGATTTTAAATTAGTAATGATACATGGGGATAGTGCCGACAACATATTGAACTCTTACTTGCAGTGTCTCTATAATCTCAACGGTCGACGCATGATGGAGCCGCACCTCCTCCACCAATCGATCATTGAGTATGGAGATACGATTGGACCCGTCGGCTACTGCTGTGTACCGTCCGTTTGGACTAAAGGCAAGAGTCCTGACACCGGGTGCGTATTGACCCATGTCATCGTCCAATGCAGAATGCGAAAGGTCGCCACGCCAGTCTTTGTAGACGTGGCCATCATGAGTACAGAAAAGGACCCTGGTGCCATGGGCCGGGGAATCCCACACTACCAACCATCTCCCATCTGGCGTCCACGACAAGCCCTGAGCATCGACGGTTTCCGGGCACCAAGATCGCAGAAGTTCGCGAGTATTTACAGAATAAATACTAACCATGTCTTTGCCGGCAGACCTCGTTAGCAAGGCCATATGGCGTGTGTTTGGCCGAAAAGAATATCCCTTCGATGCAGCCACAATGCCGAAGAACTTGGGATTACTGATTTCCACTGCCTTAGACGACACGATGTTGAATATAGACAGCTTAATGCCAACCGGGGAAAAGACGCAGACTTCATCATCAGTTGCACCAAAGCTGGCAATGGCCGGCTTGGTGCCCGGTGGCTGCGGAATCTGCACAAGACCGTGAAAATCGCCGCTCAGTGCAGAGAATACATGGAACTGGTCGGTGAGGGCCACTAAAAGTCTCGTGGACGACGGCGACCACGCAAAACTCGTCACACCACCATAGGCATCCAACGCCAACTTGATGGTCTGAATGGTGCCCAACGATGAGACTGATCGGACGATGATGCTAGCTGGTAGTAAGGTAGCCACATAGTTTCCGTCCGGACTCGAGATGCTGTAGGGAGACGCTGTTGGTACGCAGGGGTCAGAACCTTACGTATGTTTCTGGAGAGACTGGAGGTGTAGAGATGAGCCGGGATCGTCAACGAGGAAGAGGAGGGGCTCTGTGGGAGGGGCAATACATTTAAAGGGTTTGGTAAAATGCATGGCGCTACGTGCTCACGGGTGCGCTTTATCTTTGCTGACGGGAAGATGACCTCGTGGTGATGTAAGCACACGATAAATATGACCGTATGGACGACCTATACTCGGACGACTCATTTGACACTCCGGTTTCAACCAGCTGGGCCAGTCAGGATGGGCAACGATCACGTCACGAAAATAGACGCTTATGTATTCGCTGCTTAGGCTGGAACAGGATGCTGAAGTAGGTAGGTGATTGGATGCCGACGTCAAGGGACCTGTCCTTGTCGCCGTTTTGGGATGCGGTGAAGGCTCACGATGTTGTTTATCAGTCTCAATGCACCACATGCCTCTCTAAGTAGGAGGTATGTAGGTAAGTAGGTAGGTACCAGTAGAAGTAAGTATATGTACCTATGTAGATACCTATGTACCTACCCAGGTACCTACATACCTACATCCCAACATAGAGTACATATACCTACGTAGTAAGTACCTAGGTAGGTACCTGAGTACACGGCATGTACAGAACACCGGCGCCAGGCCAAGGGCTGGACTGGACTGGTCGGCCAGTGGAAGGGGCGCCTACCCGGTAGGTACCGAAGTATCGGGTTCGGACCCACTTGTTCTCGTGCCGGTTGTCCAATTACAGGCGGGCCGATTGAGAAGCTGCTACTTACCGTAGCAGCAATGAAGTGAAGTAACCGGCACTGGCCGGCCCGCACTTACTGCTGGCCTTGTCTCTCCTCTTGTCGCCTGCGATTCTGGATCGGGCATGTCGGGTCCGCATACACGGTGGCCAAAATCATTCACGATTCCATTTTGTAGTTATTCCTGGCTGGTGTTGAAAATTATCCGACCTCTCCTGGTGTCTTACTATTACCCATAGAACCTATTCTCCAGTTACGATCGGAGTCAAGATTGAACATGCGTTAAATCTCCTGTTCTGAGAGTCGCCACCAAATCTCCCTTTTTGCCGCTTGTCTGTCATCAATCATGCCGCCATTGACTGCGGCGGCCCGGTTGACAAGGGCACCGACGTCGCACTTGGTGCCGGTGCCGATGCTGTTTCCCAAGCCCCAACAGTATATCGCGCTCGTGCGACACGCCGCAACGGCAGCCAATACACCTGCCAGCCGTGATACCTCAGAACCAAGCCCGGTTTCCGGGCTACTCGGGCGCACATCCCGTCGGCAGCTCATAAATGATGCCAAGCCCTTTTCGCACTTTCTCACCGACACCTTTGACCGACAGCATGACTATCTACGCATCTCACTCACGGAGAGATGCAATCTTCGGTGTGTCTATTGTATGCCAGAGGAAGGCGTCCCTCTGTCCCCGCAAAAGGAGCTGCTGACGACTCCTGAAATCATCATGCTTTCATCCCTCTTCGTCTCTCAAGGTGTCACAAAGATCCGCCTCACAGGTGGCGAGCCAACAGTCAGGGCCGACATCTTACCGTTGATGAGACAAATCGGAGCCCTCAGGTCGCAAGGGCTTCGGGAATTATGCCTGACAACTAATGGGTTGGCCTTACATCGCAAATTAGAGGGTATGGTCGAAGCTGGCTTAACCGGGATTAATCTGAGTCTCGATACACTCGATCCGTGGCAATTTCAAATCATGACCAGGCGAAAGGGTTTCGATGCGGTCATGAAAAGTATTGACAAAGTCTTGGAACTTAACAAGCATGGTGCAAGTATCAAGTTGAAGATTAATTCTGTGGTTATGAGAGGCATAAACGACAAGGAGATCATGCGTTTTGTTGAGATGACGCGCGAGAAGGACATTGAGGTGAGGTTTATCGAGTACATGCCGTTCGATGGCAATAAATGGAACAAGAGTAAAATGTTCAGCTACTCTGAGATGCTGGATCTTATCAAGGAAGAGTATCCACAACTTGAAAGGGTAAAAGGTCACAAGAACGACACGAGCAAGACCTACAAAATTCAAGGTTTTGCCGGCAGCCTTGGTTTCATTACCAGCATGACACACAACTTCTGCGGAACGTGTAATCGATTGCGTATTACGAGCGACGGAAACTTGAAGGTTTGTCTCTTCGGCAATGCAGAAGTTTCACTACGAGATATCATAAGGCAATCCAACAACGGGCAGCCCATTGATGAACCGACGTTCGAAATTCTGAAGCAGCTTGAGATAGACAGAAAGCAGGGCCTGAAAGATGGGTCTACGCAACCCAGCCTCGCGCCAAATGAGGAGGAACTCTTGAATGTGATTGGTCTGGCTGTGAAGAGAAAGAAAGCAAAACACGCGGGTATTGGCGAGCTTGAACATATGAAGAACCGGCCGATGATTCTGATAGGTGGGTGAACATCCCTGGCCGTCGGTAAAGACGAAGGAAGCATGATACCAACCTCATGAAGGGTTTGGCATAGGCTCTCCTGTAGGCTCAAGCTTAGTACTTCGTCTGGCAGATTCTCAGAACCCGAGATTAGATGACCATCACAAAACCTTACGTGGAGCCCCCCTGATAAAGCAGACCACCCTAGAGTCATATTTATTTAACGGCCTAATGCCACTACCGACCTGGTCAAGCAGTATACACTCACAGCAACTTCGTTGTTTCTCCAGCGCGCGCGAGCAGTTGGGACGTCAGGAAGACGGAAGCAAGTTAACGCATGTTTCTGAGTCGGGTGCCGCTCACATGGTCTCCATTTCGGATAAATCACCGACCAAGAGGCTAGCCAAAGCTATTTGTAGTGTTCTGTTCACAGACAGGAACGCATGTCGTCTCGTCCAGGAGAATCAGATTCAGAAAGGCGATGTCCTGGGCGTGGCGCGAGTTGCTGGTATTATGGCCGCAAAGAAGACATCAGATCTCATTCCACTTTGCCACCCCATCTCACTGTCGAAAGTGACTGTAGACCTGCAAGTCGTGCAAGGTCCGGACGGCGCAGGTCGCATTGATATCGAGGCGACTGTCACTTGTGAAGGCAAGACTGGGGTTGAAATGGAAGCGTTGACCGCCGCTTCGACGGCAGCCCTTACTATCTACGACATGTGCAAAGCTGTGGACAAGCGAATGACCATCGAGGGTCTCAGGGTCGTCCTAAAGGAAGGTGGTAAAAGTGGACGATGGATCGACGGCATGCAGGATGGTTCACCGACTCTAGAGGCCTAATACTCACTTGTTGGCTACTCATCACTGCTGAAGCTCGAGCTGATATCCCTCTCCTGTACGAATATGATTCAATATGCAGCTTTGACCTGTCTTATCAAGTCGGCAGACGCCGCCCTTTCTTTTCTGACATCAGGATCAGACCATCTTCGCATGTGGTTGCTATTGGATGGACTAGATGCAAGGCTATCTAATTGGGCAACAGGGAGAGAAAAGGAAAAAATAATAATAATCCAAAGCTAAATAAATACCTAAGTATAAACATAAGTAGCCATACAATGACGAGTCTGCCTACTCAAAAACTTGGTAGGGTTGAATATTCACCCTGTTTCACCGAATACCAAGGCACCCCCGTCCGGTCCAAGGCGAGAGACATGTACGATAATAATAATACCTAGACCGTTCGGCGGACACCTACGAGAGTCGTTGAAAATACGAGCGCTATACCATTCACTGAGTCGACTGAAAGGTGTTTGCTACCTTGTAAGGTCTTGGAGAGTTGAGTTGCCATGACGGCGCTGACCATCGTGCACAGTATAGCAGAGTCATTGAATTTTGACTGGAGAGACCTTGAGGCTTCAACGATCTTGAATTATATACAGGTATGTATACCTGTACTCACTATTGCTATGTAGGCATTTCGCATTACTTACATACTACTACGTAGTATACACTACTCAGATTGATCCATGCAACGCGCTTCGCATGCAAGGTCTAGCTGGGACCACGATTCGGCGCAAACCCAATTAAAAACGAGCGATAAGAGCGCCACCCTCAAGCCCACTTGGCGTCTGTCTTTGTCTTTGTCAGGTTGAGGTTCAGGTTCAGGGTCCCTGGCCAAATACGTTGAACCTTGCCATTCTTTTTCCCAAACTAATTACGTATGGGATTGTACATACTTCGTAGTAGGCATATTTCAGCTGGTTGCGTAGCTTCATCACCCGTTGGAACAAGTCGTGGATGAAGGATTACACATATAACTACCTACCTACCTAAGTAAGTATTGTACGTGTTCTGTTACCGTGCTCGCTATTGGTGCTGGGACTGCGATGTAACTCGTACACTACATATGTACAGTACGAGAGTGTGAGTGATGATACTGTAAAGGTTACCTGCCTCTCGTGAAGGTTGCTTCTTTCCTCTTCTCGCATCTGGGCACTTTGGACTGTTGTGGTAGGTAGTACCGTTAAACTTGTGGTGGATATGGCCGTACACTGTACTTAGGTAGGTAGTATAGGTAGCATACTATATGCACACAGGCGCTTCACATGTCATCGACGTAAAGTGCATGAGGATGAACCCCTCGCTTTATTCTGCCCGCTTTTGCTTGTTTGCCGTCGAACAGTCAATTGCAACCGAGCGACCGAGCGAACGAGCGCTCAACATGCAGTACCTGTACTGCCAACATATGTAGGCACATGTAGGTATACAATACCACGCATGTGGCTACATAGCAAGTACTCTACATGTAAAATGGGCCTGGCTAGTGCCCAACCCTTGCTCCCATTAGCGGCTTGGGGAGTCCAATGAGCGCTGGCCGATAGATAAACCTGCAGCACACGAGCCACACTGTAAGGGGACAGTGTGTTGAAAATAAGGCGCACAGTCGCACACGACAGATTGATACATTCCCCGTCATGTCGACTTTTGCTTCTGATACCTTTTTAGTGCCGTGTGTAAACTGATCGTGATACCAGCGTGCAAAGAGGTAGCAGTCGCAGACAGTAAGTACAGAGTAAGTACATGTAGGCGGGTAATAGGTAGATAGGTAATATAGGATGGATCACGTGTCTCGACATTTTAACTTGGGTAGGCGAGTAGGTAACCTATCTACCTACCTCGCCTACCTTTTTGAGGATAAAACGGAGGGGATCGTTGAACCGCCAAGTTCTGTCATGAGTATCGGAGAACCCGCGATGGCGGGGTTACGGAGGAGTCGAAGGCTTTAAGGGATAACATGCTCGCGCGTGTGTACGGGTCTGTACGGGTAATCGTACTTCATACTTAGGTCTGGCTCAGACATCTGCGCCGGGTATGGGTATATCCATGCGAGCCCAGATACCCACGCATATATAGTACACCTCACGATATCGTACTGTAAGTAGACCTGGATCTGACCTAGAGAACCATGCCTTACCTGTAGTGCAAGACATTTACTATCTTATAGTTGTCTTACTAGTCATTTTCTGAGGGGCATACGGTCATACCATTCATCGCCACGGAACCTTAAGTGGCTTTGCTATTGTGGTCTGGACTGACAGCTAACAAAAAGAATACTTAAATAAACCTTTAGCCATCATCTTTAGCATACCTAAGTAGGCTCGGTAGGCTCGGTAGGTAATGAATGAGCAGAGTAATGGGATCGATGTTCGCAGTCTTACCAAGCGACCAAGTACCTACTTCTTGGCACAGTATACTGAAAATGTACTGGCCGTGGTACTTACTATGTAACATGTAGTAGTAGTTATTGTCCCGATCTCGGCGCCACCGACGGCAAAAACTCTTAAATAGTTATGTATAATATGTACAACTTTGCCACAGATCCCATCTTTTGAAGAGACTGCTGCAGGTAGTCGAGGTAGTGATCATAATGTCTGGTATTGTCCATGTTTTTTTTTTTATATCTTACATACTCTACTTACATGTACAACAGGAGATAGAAAGTGTGAGATCTTATGGGAAATTAAATAAAGACGTCATAACATTGACGGTGAGATGACGAGGGGTTATGATTTTGAGATAACAGATAAGCAATCAAGAGATGAAGAAGTATTGGCTGGCACTGACAAGGCAAAGTTGACCGCCCTTTTCAACTCAGTATGTAGAGATAGCAGAGTAGAGATAGCACTTGTCTGTGTACCCAAGGGACACATAGTACTGTAGGAGTACTTGTACTGTAGAGAATGACTACAGTACATAGGATGGTACCACTCTGCTGTTGCTCATCGAGATGTTCCTAGTGAACAGACACTGTGGTAAATGCCGCGATAGGTATCGTATAGCCCTGTCTCGACCTCTGCACGACTCTTTCTCGTCTCTCGTCTCTGCTCTTCTTCTGACTTGGATGGATCTGGATGGACTACCTACTACTTACTCAGGTACTTGCAAGTTGGGAAGTTCAGAGAGTTCCAAGGTTGCTGATCATGATTGGCACAGTAGGGATGTTGTTGGTGTGCTAGTGCCAGCGCTACCCTGCGCTACGGCAAGTAATGCCAAGGGAAGCGAGCACACCACTCGGGACTAGTGCGGGCCACTGTTTTCGAGCGGGCGCAACGCCGCGGCGAGCGCAGATGTACAGTAACCTGCTAGACTGTTTCTGGCAGTCACTGCGACCTCTCCAGACCAAGAGCCCACATCGGCAGGCATAGACCCCGTAGCGGAGGTACCGCCGTAATAATACCTTATCAGTAGGGAGCCTCCCTCTAAAATACACATCGTGAACCTTCTCAGTGTCGTGTGCTACTTTATCCCCATTATCTCATCGACATCTGCAGCGTCGTTCACGCGCCATCATCCACAGAAAGGGTGTCGTCGCGAATGCTCATGACCTGCCTCCTTGATACTCACGCATTCACCCGCTCCCTCTAGTATCGGGGCTTCGTCCAATACTTTTTCCCCGGCTCGCAAACGTCCCGCCGCAGCCTGTCAGCCACCACCATCTCGAGCCGTGGCTGAGAAGGTGCCCAAACAGGGTTGGCTGTAGCAATCGAATCATTTCTATTCGCTTTCGACCCTCGGCCGGCCAACTCGGCTTACCGCAACTCAGCACCTACTACGCACGAGCCAAAAGCAAGGGCATTTGGCTTGCCGTCGGTAACCACGCCGCTGAGCTCCGACACGACGCCGCCCGAAGACCAAAAAGCAACCGGGTGGTGATTTGCCCGACTATTGTGTCCGCGGACCGGCTACTCGAGAACTTTTGTGCTCGTCTCGCTACGCTCCAAGGGGGCAAATCAGAACCTAGACCGGCCAGAACCGGCATTTACCTCGTCGTGCAGCACTATTGCTGCTTGCGGTGGCTGTTTTCCCCCTCGGATCAGCCGAATCATATCGCATCGCATCCCCCAACCAATCTATCCTCTCCAATACCAATTTTCTGGCTCTGGTCTAGCGACGCCATTCGTCCACAGCCACTAAGCCCACCCTATTATCTAAGTTATCCCCAGGGTCCGTCTTGCACGCGTAGATATCGAATTTTGATCGCATCTGCCGACGGATACGGAGCAGACGTGACCTCAATTGTACAGGACTATCAGGAGGGATGGCGACCGACTTCATCATGCCTAGGCTGGCCGATGCACAACCATCGCACTACTTCCAACCTCAACTGGAGTCGCACGCTTGTGCGCCTGCACAACTACCAGGTCATGCGCCTCGACCGGTAGCCCAAGGTTATCAATCTCGGCAGGTCTCGCCCTTGAGCTCCAACAATGGCTCCCCCACGTCCCCCAAACCATATCAGCGCCAACGTTTACGGCCACTGTACATGCCCGCTGTTTTGCGACCAAACGAGCACCCTTACAAGGGCCACGGCAACAAGAATGAAAGTGAACCGCGAACACAGGGCCAGGAGGACGATCCACCCTTATCATCTGCCAACAGCTTCATAACCTTGCCTGGGTTGGGAGGCTGGAGCCGTCTAGGTCGACGGACCACGGGTGATAGTGAGAGATGCACGGAAAGCGAGTGGGATTTAGATTTATTTCCTAAGCCAACAGCACCACCCACGCGACTTCATTGGAAGGTATGTTTCAACTATGAGCCATGTTTCACGTGTATGCCGATATCACTCCAATCAGACATGGCAACTACCAACGCTGGGTCCAATAGCTAACATGAACGTTCTAGCCCGACCCTGAGGCCAAGATTTGCGACGAACCCTCTTGCTTGCGCCAATTTAATTACTGGACAAGACGACACCACTGCAGACGATGTGGAAACATCTTCTGCGATCTGCATTCTGCTTTCGAAATCCCACTCGACCAAGATGCAAATTACAATCCTAGAGGAATTGTCAGTCGAGCGTGTAGGCATTGCTACACTGAGTTTCGGGCTTGGCGCAGTAGAACAAACAGTCAAGCATCTAGTGACGACTCGTCTGTGAAACAAATCTCCCACACAGCACCCACGAGCCCTGTCATCAAAACGCCAGTTAGGGCAAACCCCCAAGCGCCACCACATCCGGCCGAAGTTGCTATGAGTGTGCCTCGAGACTGGCATTGGAGCACGTTCTGAACCATCTATCCCGGATGAGCACGTACGTCATAGATTGGCCCCTTTGCTCTCTGCTGAGGTGTCTATTGCACATCATGATCAGCTTCTTTTTTTCTTTCAAATTTGGACCAATTTGGATGGATAGTCATCTACGAAGCAACCCTTAGTTAAATAGAGACAGCGTCTCTGTTGCATGAAATCGACAATCCACTGAGACAGAACACCAAGGGTTTAGATGACCGTTACGCACGAAGTAATATATGGTATTAGGGCGCCGGATCTTAATGGATTTCTTTTCCACGTCATGATACCCAATGAAAGGCTGGTTCACGGATTGGTCATGGAGAGCGAGGTATAGATTTACGGACTACCTTTATTGTCGTATAGTTTGATAAAGTTGCATTTTCTCATGGTCGGTGGATAGACGGCTATGCAACATGGGCTGGCGTTAAGAGAGGTGTTTTACATCATAGCATCGGCAATTTTTTTCGAGGCTCGGCGTTGGATATCATTAGCACTCATCACTGTGCTCGCCCCCGATGTGGGTTGTCAGAAGTTTATGTTTAGCCTGCGAATTTAGAACACAGACTTTCCTGTGAAATAGTTATCACAGTATATTACTGCGGCTGTTCATCATGGATATCGTCTGGTGCATGATACTCTTTCGTGAAATCAATGATAAATCAACCACTCCTCACATGGGCGATGCCTTATTCCAAGTCTGTCATATGATAAATAGTTAAGCCTTCAAACACCTGCATTATCATCTTCTGTATCAGCATGAACAAATGCAGTTGGGTAGACGCATCATCGAGTATGACCCAATTGATAGCTACCTAGGCTCTCGCTCTTCATCATTAGCATACTGGGTATATGATATAGACTGACTATCAGCGAGCAGTCCCAGACTCGATCGATCATTCCAAAGCGTCTTCAGGAAGTGCATGCGACAATTCATCGGCGCCCGCTCTACTCCTATTCCCTCTACGCCCACCGACTCCTCGAATGAGCGTGAGTTCAGCCACGGGCAGCATGTGAAAATACAATAAGTCCGGGTGTGTACGGCGCTGATAGTAGTAGATCATCGCCCGAGCAAGAATACCTACCGTATTTCCATGTAGTTGAATTCATGACTAGCGCATCTCTTGTGTGTGGTATATACGTGACGACATGATATTTCTTGGGTGGAGATGTGCATCAGAACACCAAAAGGCTTTGTTCGTGATGCTTCGTTCGTCTCGAGGAGGCGAGGATGTACTAACTAGTAAATTAATTTACTAGAGCAACCAGTTTCGTTCATTGCATGCACAGTGAAGCTATATAGCCTCGTACAGGCTCCCCCAAGACATTCCAGGCCTCCTATGAGCAATTGGTTTTCATTTCAATAGTTGCCGGTGCATCCCAGAGAATAAGGGTCAGGTTTAGACCTGATTGTACATAGTCCGGTATAAGACGTTGATACTACCATTATGGTATTCACCAGTTCCATACCATGCAATTCACGTTCTGATTTCAGAAAGAGTAAAAACTCTAAATATCTGATGAATCAGATGTCATGTTTATCTTTCGCGTAATAATACAATGCATTCAACCGCAGATCCTCATAAGCACCATGATCTCATACGCCTGGCGTTACCAAATGACTCTTTTCCATGCATGAGTGTCGAAACATTATTTTCCTACGCCTAAACTCCAATGACCCTTGTAATCCTTTTGATGCAATCTTGAATTCATCATATCCCTGACAAGGACTATAATCCACTAGCTCATTTCGTCTCAATCTTGTCGATGCGCGCCAGCTCCCTAGTTTTTCCTCTTGCTATTCGCCTCGGCAGAGCTAGATGACTCATCGCTATCTTCGATGATGACACCTTCGTTGCTTTCACCATACATCTCACGCTCAATCCCACGTGCTGCATCCCAACTTGCCTTTTCGGCTAAGACGGCATTGCTACGACGACGATCGGTCTTTCCTCGTACAACCTCGGCCTTGCTTCGGCGGAGATAACTTGCAACGAAGAATGACATGAACAGATAGGTGAGAGGTGCAAGATAAGATACATTTAACCAGATGGCGAACGTCTGGCCAGTCGAGTGAATGCAGTCTACCTTCTGATATTTCGTCCCTGAGCCACTACCCTGGACAGGCACAAGGTAAGAAACGAAGGAGTGTACCATAGCTGCCGAGGCACCGACGATGAATTGAGAAATCTGGAGCGACGTGAGGGAACGCTTGATCAGAGTGGGCACGCGAATATTGAACGCGGTCACGGTGTAGTAAGTATACTATGAACTGGTTAGGCGTCATCTGGCAGTGCGATATAGGGGGCTAAACCTTACCATGAGCGAATGAATAGCAGAGTTGAAGAACACGAAAATCCAGATAGGGGCAGACATGTAACGCATGCCCGCCCACATCGCCATCATAGCACCAGCATGATGGTAACTTTGCAGGGTCGAGCTGTATTTACCCTTGGCGAGGATAATAAGGGTATCGAAGACCTCGTAGAACTTGCTGATATAGAAAAGCCAGCCATAGAAAGCAAGTCCATTGTTCCAAAGCCGACCACCCTGCTCTCGGCTTGGAGAACCCACGATTCCAGATAACGAACCCCACGTCTCGGATGCTGTGCTGTACGTCTGAGCGTTTTTCAGGCCGGCAGGACCATTCATCTTGCAGAAACTATCAACAGTAGCAGCCCAACCATCAGGACCACTGGGGCTAACAATTGTACTTTGAAGCGCCCTCAACATCCCGTACCATGTCCAGGCTGAATACACAGCTAGAAAGATGTTATGTAGAACGACAAAGGCATTGAAGGCTCTAGTTTTGCTGATCGCCCATGGCTTCTTGCCAGTGGATTTGTTGTAGGCATTGAGAGCTTTAGCAGTGACTGCATAGACCGTGGCTACTGTGATAGGAACCTTGGGATCCAGTGCTGCTGTGTACCATTTGTCTGGGATGGTAAAGAGATAATTGAAGTGTGGCGGCGGAATCGGCTGCGGGTCTGAGTGTGGAGGAAACTTGAAAAGACTGCTCGCAGGATACGAGGCGAAGACTATGGGAGTAGCCATCGTTCCGGAGATAAGACTATGATTCTATCCGCTCTGGCTGAGACCAATGCCGTTGTTCCGTAGTTTCTCAAAATGTACACTGTTGACAAGTAGATGTGAGCCCGCTGGTAAGCTCGCCTTCACAATAGGGTTTGCTCAGTACTAAGAGGTGGTGATATCCAGGTTCGAAAACTGAAAAGCACACGACGCAGAGATGCCCACAAGGCCGGGTGGCCAGGTCGAAATATATATATATATATGGCGTGGAAGAGATGAAGGGGGAAGTAGAGGGAGGACAGAGGGGGAGGGAGGAGATACGATAGTCGCCAGAAGGGTAGGTAGGCAATGCAAAAAATGAATAAAGGCTGTAGGTCCGAGGACAGGGAGGAGAGGGCGTAGGAAGTGAATCTGGTAGATATTTGTGAGATTAGAGAGAATACCGTATTCACTTACCAAGCCAGTCCCGGTAGGTTCCCGCCAATCTTATCTACTTCCTCACTACGTAGATGATATGTTGGACAGCGAGTTGGCAGTTGACTGTTGACTCGAGACAGAGCGGCAAAGATGATGCTAGCGAGCAACGAGGGGGAAAAGAAGCCGCGGCTCGGAGGTGACTGGCCCCTTGACCGAGATGGCGGGGATCTGGGTAGGCGACGCATTGTGTGCATTGTTTGTGATGGCACTGCTCGGGTCGACAATGATGAGCGACAATGGTGAGTCGGTACGCAACCTGTTGTGGCGCGCAAAAAGTCAACTCAACAGTTGAACTTGGACGACGAAACTGGGCCAGGGACGACGTGCTATCATTGGGTGGACATAGGGTGGCAGGGATCATAGCTGCAGCAGCAGCATGCAAGCCCTGCTCTCTGCCCTGCTGCAAGGCCCACGCTAGAAGCTGTTTTCTGCTGTGGAGAAGGGATCAATCAGGGTCCACTCCACTACACTCACTGGAACAGCCAAGGGCATTTCAGAGGCATTTATTCCATGTATACATATTACTTACATAGCATCAATGGAATGTATACGTATCTGGTACATGTATTGTTCATTCAGAGTCTAAGAATGCATTGAAAGAGCCGTTGAGAGAGAAGTCAATAATCAAGAGTTTTCGTGTACCGGTATCCTGCCTCTTCACCTCGACCCTTCCGCGGCGGTCATCCGGCAGTCATCCGCCTGTCACCAACTTCACTGCGTGTTACGTGTTACTTGCACCAGGCTGCTAGACAGCACTCGCAGCTATGGTTCCTCTAGTAGCATTTCTACTTGACCAAGTTTACCACGGAGCTTGCCGAGATTCTGCTACCGGAACAGGATCATGAACATGAACATGAATATGAACAAATGCTAGATACATAGTACAGAGAAACTACATAGATGTAAGGTATTAAAGCTAGCTGTGCCGAGGCCCAACAATCCGGCATTATCTACCCACCTACTTCGTAGTGTACGAGTTTCGTGAGTACCGGTACACTACCTACTTACACTGGACCTCCGGGTACCCACCATCCATTTTCCCAGGCTTCTACTTACTTCAGCTACTACATATGTAGCAGGCGAGTAGGTAGAGGTTAGGTATATAGTCCATCTGAGCGGAATCCGAGGTTCCCATCACACGTGGGTGACATGGAAGTTGCTACACGTACGTTAGCTCGTAACACCGGAACGTTCTCATTTGTACCATGATCTTGTGCATCGCCTCCTGTTCTGGGCGCGCGGGGCTACGTCTACCTACCTTGGAGCTCTAACAGGTTTCGGAATCAGTACTCAGTATGACCATGTTGCGTCTAGTAAATATGTGTTGCGGATAGACTCTCGAGACTCTCTCTCCTCATTTCCAGGCTATGAGATCTCTCATTTACCGTGCTTATGTGTATATCTACATTTCTGATAGTGATAGTAGTACTGCTATACGTATCCATGGGTAGTGTACTTAGTAGACAGTCGAGACTCACGGGAAGTCTTACCCGGTACGGAACTTCGGCGGTCGGCAACTGGCTTACATCTCCCCACACTATCCACTCTAGATATTTCTTACTTACTTAAGTGGTAAAGCTGGCAAAACACAAGCTGGGTTTTTTTTCCGTGCCCAGCTTACGATGAGGGGCTCGAGGGGCACCGAATTTTGTTGGGAGCCCAGAACAAGCTAACCTACATTCCACCAGCACCACCTTCACACAACGAGAACAATAGAATGCAAGTATGACCAGATGGCTAAGCGCATCTACGATAGCGAGAAGGTCCGAAAAAAAAGATTTGAGGAAAAGACAAGATAAGTACATATAAGAGTGTTGAAATGGCATAACCAAGTTGCAATACAAAAAAAAAAGAAAAAGTGGCAAGAGTCAACAGGAGCTCCCCAACAAATCACATGAGACAAGATAATACATCTCCATCCCTCGCCTCGAGGCTCTAGCACATGCAGAATGCAGCTTGTTAGTGCGCTTCTGGCCACAACAACCGCACCGGTCTATCGATTGACCATCTTATCGATATTCACGGGTGGATAAGATAACGTCCTGAGCTCATAGAGAGAGATATAGAGATATGAAGATATGGAGATGGCATTGCTGCAAGTCCTTCTCTGTGTCTTATCTGTAAACTAAATCTCGTAAACTAACCTTTTCTTGGAGATATGCTACTCTACCCCACAGAAAGCTACATGCCTGCCATGCTAGTGCTTACTAGAAACCTACATGCCACTACCCAAGCTACCTTAAGTCTTCTTTTTCAAGTTTCCCAAGTAGTCAGCCTGTAGCTAGTAGTTATTTTGCTATCGCGTGCTTGAATGCATGACTTCAATTACCGTTAATTCAAGAGTTAAGTCATGTATGCATATGCTTTGTGGTGCATTCCTCAATAACCTAGTCGTGGGAAATTCTTCCTGAGCAACCGTGTACTGACTGCAATTGTGTGTAATTATTGATTTAGACCCTGTAACTCTTGTTATTAACAGTTGTCGAGTAGCTGCCCTAGCAATACAAACCCGATATCGTCGAAAGCCAGAGTGCATGTGGCGGACACCATAAGGCGTTAAAATTATTAGTTATTGATTATACATGTAGGCTAGTATTGATTAATCCGATTCTATAGGTAGACGAAGTTCAGGTAACTCAAGCTGGGCTTGTGTAGATAGACAATTACATATCCTATGAACCAGAACAAAACTAGATTTAAGGACTGTATCAGCTAAATGGTTACTCTAGATATCTACGACACAATGCTGGTTAGTCTTTGAATTATTTGTTCAATATCATGAGAATATTGCCTGCAGGGGATAGAAATGCCATTCCCAAAACTAATCTACCTAATACGACCAACCATCACATGCAATCGCGAAACGTCCCTTTATGGAGGCTTACCTGGCAGCCCCTGGGAGTGAAGCTGACCTGACGCGCGCTGCGGTTGGAGTTTACACATAAGCTGATATTGCCCCTTCCCCCCCGTTGGCCTGATAGTGCCCCAAGCTTTTGCAAGTAGAATCCTTTTTGGTACTTTGCGCTATAAAAATATTAGAATAATATGCAAAGAACGCGGCTTTAACCTACGCGCGGGTAGGTTAGTTATCAACTAGTTAGGTAATTAGGTACTTGTTTTCACAAGTGACGTAACGTGTATGCGAAGGTCTTCGCCGTTAAGGTTAAAAGCAACAAAGGTAACTAAAGCAACGAAGGAAGCAAAGGCAGCAAAGGCGACAGGATCATGCGGTTAATTAGTTATTTCTATGACGTAAAGTACCCCCTTTGGAAATTCTAACTATAAAAGCTTAAGGCACTATCAGGTTAACAGGGAGGGCCAATATCAGTTTGTCTAATCACTCCTGCGGTAGGTGTCTGCAAGGTATCGGCCCCTGGCGGTCATTTATGGTCAGATACGGGGTAGCAGGAAACGCATTGCAAAGTGTACCTATTTACATAGTAGCGCACGTTAGCGAGAGAATACTAGGGAGGAAGGATGTTAAGCTAAGCGCAAACCTCGGCAACTAAAGCTTCCCCAGTTTCGACAGGGTTTAGTCACGGATAGCCTATTACACTCCACGTTCTGGTCAATAAGGAGTACTGTACAGTGTCCGTATGTAGACAGTCAGCCCATGATTACCTTTCGAATGAGAGTTCTCCCAGACTATGGAAGAGAACCGCGGACGTTATACGGATGCGACAACAACAACAACTCCTGAATACCCCAGATATATAGCTGAATTACCTCGTTGGTTGCATTGGTAACCTTACGCAATGGCTGATGCATCGATTCCCATCCCTGTTGTACTCCCAAAGCCGCGTCAAGTAGACAGTTTCGGTCAGCAGCAATGGCAAACTCTATTTGCGCTGCTCGACGCCATCACGCCCTCAATTGCTGTCGAGTCTGAGGTTACGGATAGCAAGAACCAGCTGCGTATTACGGAAGCCCAATGTCTAGAAGTATACGAGCATACCAAGCGGAATTTAAGCAACCCGCCCGACTACGAGAAATTCAAGGCATATCTCCGCTCGCGGCCGGTAATCTCATCTGAATATATTCAATACACGAAACGGTTTGTCGGGCACCTTCCCAAATCCGCCCAGAAAGAGCTAAGCCGACTTTTGACGGTACTGAAGTAAGTATAAGAAGGGCTCTGGGCAATGCTCGTGCACACAATGCTTCTGAGTAATTTCTGACCTTTATGGTGAAGTACTCAATTGGGTAGTCTTCTAGCAACGGGCTACCGTTTCCCCTTGAAAGACCAGCCTGTCCATGTGCGAGAAGCTATTTTCCAGTCATGGAGTCGCGCCTGGCTGAGTATATTTCCTCAAATGGCCAGTCCTTTTATGATATTAGGAAAACTGGCGTTCACACAGTTTGACCCCCTCTTCCGGGAACTCAATGATTATACCGACTTTTCGGATGATTACAAACCGGGTCCTTCGTTCGACTACAAGTTTATGCAGTTCTCTACCGGCGATGAGCCCGTCGTACTAGACGTAGACGTCGTCATCGTTGGTTCAGGTTGTGGTGGAGGCGTATGTGCTAAAAACCTTGCCGAAGCCGGCTACGATGTTCTGGTCGTTGACAAGGGCTATTACTTCCCCCCATCGCAACTCCCTATGGCCGCCGAAGCGGCGAACGAATTTCTGTTCGAGGGCCATGCCCCAGTTCAGACAGATGACCGCTGTAGTAAGTAATACCGACAGTTTTTTTTTTTTTCCCTTTTTTTTAACCTTGGGAGGTTTAGAGGCATAAGAGCTTGCCTCTAAATTATGATAGGAGCCTAGAAACCTCTAGCTATGTGAGAACGGTCATGGCTGACGTGAGATCTCAAAGTGAGCATCATATCTGGTAGCACCTGGGGTGGTGGTGGTACTATAAATTGGAGTGTGTCACTTTTACCACAAGGATACGTGCGACAAGAATGGGCAGATACGGGTCTTGATTTCTTCACTACACAAGAGTTCCAACACTGTTTGGACCGCGTCTGCAACTTTATGGGTGTGAGTGATCAACATATCCGACATAACCACGGTGCACAGGTTATCCTGGAAGGGGCGCGTAAACTTGGCTGGCATGCAAAGGCTTGTCCGCAAAATACGAACGGCGCAGAACACTATTGCGGCAATTGCTACCACGGCTGCGGCTCTGGCGAAAAGCAAGGCCCAGCTGTAAGCTGGCTTCCCGCTGCTTCACGAGCTGGCGCTCGATTCGTCGAAGGTTTAGAAGTTTCCAGAATTCTGTTTGATAAGAAGCGTGGCTCAAACAGGGCTGTTGGAATTGTAGGCAAATGGACATCGAGAGATAAAGATGGCGGTCTCCAAGGTCCCGAGTCTGAGAGAGTACAGCGGAGTATCAAAGTCAAGGCGAAGAAAGTCATAGTTTCCTGTGGCTCTCTGCAAAGCCCCTTGCTACTGATGCGGAGCGGGTTGAAGGTAACGCATTCTGATTCGTTTCGATTGCATCAACAGTGTCGTTAAAACTAACGCCTGATCTCATTAGAATAAACAAATCGGCAGGAATCTCTACCTTCATCCCACTACGAGCGTCCGTGCAACCTTTGACAAGGACGTTAAGGGGTGGGAAGGTGGTATAATAACCTCGGTATGCACAACATTTGAGAATCTCGACGGTAAAGGGCATGGTGCTAAAATTGAGACAAACGTCATGCTCGTAAGTAATGCTCGCCTTCGGTCGTCTCTGTGATGCATGCTTGTCCAGGTCTGTGTGCATTAGAAACTGACTCCGCGCTCAAAGCCCTACGTCTTACTATATAACCATCCTTACGAAAACGGTCTGCAATGGAAGCTCGACGCGCTTCGTGCTCGTCAGATGAATAACTTCATCTCTATCGTGCGTGATCGTGATACCGGCTACGTGGTAAGGACTTATCGGTGTTTTCGTAATATTCTTGCTTGGGTCTTTCTTTCAATCAAGTCCATGCACTGGTAGCTTCCAATGGCTTTTGAACTTCCATATCACCTTGGATATCATGATTGCTGACCGAAATGTAGTACCCGGATCCAGATGACGGAAGGCCACGCATCGCTTATACAACCTCAGCATTTGACCGTGGCAATTTGCTCACCGGCGTGGTGGGGATCGTCAAGCTCTGCTACGTCCAAGGCGCAACACAGATCTGGACAGGAATCCCCGGGGTCCCTTCTTTCCAGCGTACAAAGCCCTTGCCCACTGCCACTACCAGTTACGACGAGGCCACCTTCGATCAGGGCATCAACGACCCCGAGTTCTCAGCCTGGGTCAAGTTGATTGAGAAGACTGGGTTAAGCTCGCCGCTGGCGCAGTTCGCGTGCGCGCATCAGATGGGCTCTTGTAGAATGAGTGCGAAACCTCAGGATGGAGTTGTCGATGCCAAAGGGAAGGTCTGGGGTGCGCAGAACTTGTATGTAGCGGATGCTAGTGTTTTCCCCTCCGCGAGTGGTGTTAACCCTATGATCACCAACATGGGAATTGCGGATTACATTTCTCGAGGTATTGCGAATGAATTGAAGAGTGGTGGGTTGCGGGCTTCACTGTGAGAAAGGAGAAGGTGTGTAATGTGTCGGCGTATCTACATTGGTGTCCAGCTATTATCACTCTGCATGTTTTCTGGGGTAGTTATTGAAGGCGAAATGGCTTAGCAGCGATCTCTATTGACTATTGTGGCAGCGTGTATCTAAATGATTTATGTGTGGGATGTAGGAATTTTGGATAGTTTATCAGTTAAGAGATGAAAAGACAATCTTGTCCAACGGCTTATTATATCGCAACTCCATAAATTAACGAGTAAATAAACAAGTCTGCTCAAGTCAACGAATGCTAGGGAATGTTGATAGCGCCCATTGCTACATGAGGCAGCTCGTCACAGTTCTTATATGTGAGAGCAAGTAATTAGCACGCTCATAGCATGGTAGTGCTAAAACGTAGATTGTAACAGTATTTATAAGTCTTTGATCGACAATTGCTGTTCACCTACAATATATTTTCTAAGCACCGTCGAAGATGGTGATATCTTTTTAATACCCAAGTCAGACAGGGGGATCCTGAAAACAGCTAAAGTAGTGAAGTTGATTTGGATTGCTGTGGGAACATTGCGTGCCTCTGTGGGGGCTCAATTGAAGAATGATGTGGAATATATGCAACTCATCGATCCTTTAACGGTGAGCAGGAGAAATTGAGTTGTTTCTCTGACCTCTCTTTGACCTAGTGGGGAGTCGAATCACATTTGCTGCATTTGGTCAACAGTGTATTGGCATCTGTCTGTGTGTCTGTGGTGAGGTCGCAGTATTGATCCGGCGCCTAGCACATCAAACAAACTGCAAGATTCGTCAATCCACACGACATGCAAAGTGAATAACCAATACCGTACTCCCCTCCTTTGCAGCTCTTATTGCGTAAGAGCTGCGTGTCTATGAGATTCTATCATTGCGAGGGCGCTTTCGAGTGATGTGAAGCTATCAACCGCGAGTGCTCCATAGCAAAGATTTCAATTACTTCTTCGCCAATCAGGGCCAGAGCGTTGTTTCACTGCCACGCTATGAAAGTAAGTAGACGCTGCGGGTAAGGGTCGTGTGATGTCAGCTGATCAACAACGTCCGATAGTCGAGTATGGATTTTCGCGACTGGCGATGGCTAATTTCATGCCTAAACAACTAATTTCGAGCCCAGAGACTTTGGGAGGCGAGAGTACTTTGGACTCAGGCCTTTAATTTGGGCCCGGCGGCTCAGCTTCGGGTCTCTCCAGCCCAATCGTCTTGATGGATATACGATACAAGTCCCAAACATGCGGCCTTACTTGCATAGGAGCCCGTACAATTACGTTTACTTCCACAATGACGACGATGAGGCGAGACGAGAGGCGAAACGGAGGCTTCTCGAGAATGATCGAGGTATGATGCACATGGGTAGCTGTGCTTTGCGTGGGTGAGTCAGTGTGAGTTGGCGTCTTCGCAATCACTGGTCAACTGATTGTCGCGGCGAAACTTGGGCCGCGGGCATCTGCAAGACGAGGCCGAAGGCGAAAAGAGCCTACCGTATCCTGCTTTCTGGTAGACCTTGCGCCGGCGCTGCCCAAACCCCCCCTCGCCAGCTGAAATGTTGATGGTAAAATGGTGGTGTCGGGCAGTTCAGTTGTTCTATGAAGTCATCGCTGTGGAACATGGTACCAACGCCTCGGAGTTGTCCTGTGGCTAGTGCGGGACCGAGCGACGTTACCTTAAGTACCTAGGTAGATACCTAGTGGACGTACCTGGTGCAATGTGCTGGCAGCAGCGCTGGCAAAGTGGCGTAAGTGGGGTGGGAGGCCGCTCACAAGCCACTTTTGGGCCTGGCTCGCCTCACCTCGCCTCACCTTGGTCCCCACGATGTTTTGTCCCCTTGCTCTAGTTCAGCTCCCCAAGGATCTGAGGTTGTGAAATTGTAGCTAATACCTAATATTATCCTCTTAGACGCCTTTAGCGCGTGACATAACAGCTGCAGTAGCCGCTGAGAATGTTGTACGTACGCATGCGCGCATGAGAAAGGCGTATGTACATCCTATTTTCGATTGCACCTCTTACAATAGATGATTACACACAGATATGCTTCGGAAGTACCGGACAACAAGCAGTCTGCTCTGGTCATTATAGTACTTACATGCTATGGTATCTATAACGGTGATATCGATCTACTTGATCTTGGTACTCCGAATCATTAGGGAGGGAAGATAGCCGAAAGAGACCAAAAAAAAAAAAAAAAAAAAAAAAAAAGCCCTCTGCTGCGCCAAGATAGCTAATTAGCTAACCTTCAAAAGCTACTATTAGTGTGCAGTAGCACAGAGAGGATACCACTCGTTGACTCATTCTCAGTATCATAGTGTTAATGTTCCGGCCAGTCGAGCCACCAGTGTTGCTCTCCGATCTCTAAAGCACTGATCTTGTTACTAATTGCTACTTAGTTTGCCCCATACTCACATAGTGCACACAGCAGTAGTCGATTTTCAGACGCAAGGATCTGTGAAAGTGCCGAACCTTGCTTTAAGTGTCGGCAAACATGCATTGTTGTTGACTCATTCTACTTGCAGACACAACTACTATATGGTCTTTGCATGTAAATCGTTGGGATGTCGATGGAAATACCAGTAGGCAGTAGCAAGTTAATCTACAAGCAGTGTAGGTATCATATAGCAAGTGGGAATAGTTCCGAAAGCCTTAAACCCTTCCCTTGTGTTCTTCCGGGCCAGGGCATACATACTATAGCGAACGGCCGGATTTGGAATATTTCTATGGAGCATATGTATATACGACGAGCATATGGACGAGGATCTATGGTAAAAAGTAGGCTGTCCACCTGAGAGATGCACAAGAGCCATGGTCAAGGATTTTACATAGTACTGATTTTGTGGCTCATAGTAGTTGCTTGATAGGGTGTCGTCAGCTACCTCCATTACTCCGCATCAACTATGGCCCAACTTGTGAGACCCTCCATTGTCTTGCAAGCGGCTACTCTTACACCTGCGCTTCATGCAAAGCCTGTATTGCGCTTACCTGTGGTCTAGGTTTCTGCTATGCGCACGACTCAAGCTTCGTGGCGGTTAATGCCCGCGCCTCTGTTGGCTGTCTAGATCTGCGGCGGCTTGCATGTGATGGGGGTAGAGTGACGAATATATCACGAGGTCACGAGGTCGGACAAGGGTCAAATGCTGAGGGCCCCGGCACGAAGGGTCGATTGTGAAGCAGATCGATAATGATGTAATGTCATGCCATTTGTTCTGAACGCGCTCTGCGACGGTACTGATGAGGCCTCGAGAAGTAGCATGCGGTAAGAAAAGCGGCAAAGAGCGGATGCGACCTGAAAATAGGAAACGCGCCAAAAGACGGGGAGGCCGCTACTAGCCTGCCGACCGACAGTGCAACACTACCGAGACGGGGGTCCGTCAATATCCACCCGTCGTCGCTCAAGCCTCAAGCAGAGTCCCCAGAGCAGACCCAGAGCCTACCTTAGGAGAGCCCAAGGCACTGGGGACACTCTGCGCACAGACCAAGACCTCGTCGCATTTGGTACAGACGAATGTCGTGCACACGTTTTCCGGTAGCAGGTTGTATGTACTTCATAGTGACTGGGCTCGACTGGCGAGCTGGTAGCAACTCAGATACCAATACCTGCGCTTGTCAGCGGCGCCGTGGATATTCCCTGGGTATATGCATTCGGCTCTCAATGTCCCCGTCCCTTTTTGGTCCGATTAACCAATTCATTTGCACACGCGCTCTTCATTATGGTCAGATGACCACACCCTGTTAGCTCATCACTGGATCATCGCTGGAATCCTCCACGTTTAGCTGCGGCGAACGATCTACTGCTCTTCATCTTCGCTAGGTACCTAGGTATGCAGGCGTCGATAGGTAGTCCTTCCCTGCCACTGGCTTTCTCTTATGCGTTTCGAAACGACCAGTCCTGGATGGATGGGAGGTCCCTCGGCCTGTCGCGGGCCGCGTCGCCTTCATTGCTCTTCAGCTACAGCACACTGGTAGTCAGTGTCTGCCAGTGGTAGGAGATTACAGTTACAGTACAGGCCTACAATCATTATGCCCACGTAAATTGCCCGACCGGTCTCGACGCTCACTAGCCTGTTGTCGTCGCGGCTCGCTTTAGTATCAGTCCATTGAAGGGGAAGTTATGTTTTGTTTATCTCCCTACGTCTGGGGCAGCATGCCAGAGACGCGCACTAGGTATAACATACCTGCGGCACGGCTGTATTCCTCTTTTGGTGAGCGTTCATCTCTCAGTAGCCCCTGATCCTGACTTTGAGAGCATTAGATAGTCATTCATGAAGTTAAGCTCTCTTTTTCTATCGCTCCCATTCGCCCCATCCACGCTTTATTCCTTTGTTTCATTCTACTTGCTGCCGCCTCGGCCTCAGCAAGTATCATTCATTTTGGGGCTTTCCTGGCCATTTTGAATTTAGAGCCAATCAGCATTCACGGTTTCTGGTGCCCCACTTGGAGCCCACCTTCGACTCAATCCCAAGCAGCCAATGGAAACGCAGAAGTGCCATATCTCGTCAACACACCTCACTTCACCATCCGCCACTAGCCAGGGTCTCAGCCAGGAAACATGCTGTCTATAGGCTGTCATTGAATCTCGATATTTCTCGGTCTCTTTTTCGTTTCCATGGACAGGGTCACTTACGAAGTAGTCTCGCCTGCTCCCAGATTCGGTAACATTTGGGGTCTTTTCATCCGCTTCGAGCTCCTTCTCCCACCGATCATCTGAGCTTGACTACTGTAGTGCAGTTTGTTCCTTGTCATGAGGAACGCCCCTAATTTCTATAAAGTCAAGGACCACGATATATTAATGAGCTGATACCCTGGAGGCACGGGGCGACGACCAATCCCCATCAGCTGTATGTTTCCACCCAAGTCCGCTCATGTGAACCCGAGTCACTGTCGCCATTGATGTTTCGAGGATCGTTCTACCACAGTGTACTCGTCTGGCGATCCTGCATAATGCAGGTTGGAAACATCAAGGATGGACCAGCTTCAGGCCAGGCGTTCATTGGAGACGGCCTTATGGCAACGGTACTCGTTGATGTCCCTTCATGCCCTGAATATCATGGCGTAGCTTGAGACTTTGATACTACATGAGATCGCCCGATTCCTCTACTTAAGCGTAGCTTATTTATGCTCCATATACCCCTAATCTAGTACCTGCTATGTACTATTCGCCCGTCCAACGTGGGATGGACCGAGACTTCAACTAGGTATCGCTATGAGCACCGTAACTGCCACTGAACTCAGCCCATCAACAGGAGAGGCCAGTAACTAGTGCGTATGTGAGATGCTTAATGAGCGAAGACTATCTATGCTTGGCCTTCCTATCGAAATCTCGAATAGAAAGTTGGGGCAGTTAGTCTACACAATTACTCTGAAACACCATGCTGTTAACGAACATCTATCATGCATCATACATATACGTACAAGATGGTCTGCATAGCAAGCCATAACAATCTAGGTCTAGGTCGTATGCAACTGTTGTACGTGTATATATATATATATATATATATTATTCTAAAAGGATGGCCGACTAGGCAACGAGACTATTGGCAATGGTACAGTACCCAGATACTATCTACATAGTAGATAGTCGTGTTAAGTAAATCCTATCGTCACTGTGGCTAACCTGTAGTGCGAAAGATCCATCCAATATGCCCTCGGATCCTTGTCAGACGTTATGGCCATATATCCGAAAGGATTATCCGGAGAAGACACGGTTTGTTCTAGAAGTTGTGTTGATACTACGTCGATATGAGCCTGGTTTCGGGCAATATCGGCATCACTATTCTTCCTGTGGCGCTTTTTGGCCGAGACGTCTACTACCGGCACTATTAAGTAGGTATATACCGTACTGCTGCCATACCTAGTACACTCGGTACATAGCAGCAAGCAATTTCTTCCCCAGGGATGAGCGGGTAGGAATAGAAGAGCATGCGAGCATGATAGGTCACGGAGCAGATCTCCCTCGCGCAATAAAACAGCCAACACCATTAACACAGTCACTTATGGGCCATCATAAGTAAGTGCATGTAGTTGTCTCAAGCTAGGAGAGCGTGTTTGTATGAAGCGGGCGTCGTGCACATGCAAAATCTGGAGACACGGAGTCGTCGTACCGATACTTTTGGAGAACAGTAACCAGCATCATGGCTCTACCGCCGTACGAGGCCAAAGGTGGCGTTGTGCAGTGCGTGGTGCACCGGCCACGCATGCAGCTTTCAGCTTGGGTTGTCAGCATGCAGGACTTCGATTTGCTGCGCTTGGGTCGACCATCTGCACGGTCGAGACACAGCCTACTCTGCCGCGCATGACCCGAGTGTGCAGCTAGTGCAGGGTAAAGGTGTACCGGGTCGCTGTCGGAGGCACTGCCTGATGCGGCCTAGCCCGGTGCTACCGGCGCACCGTATCCTCGCGCGGTACATTCGGCAGAGTGCAGGCCGGTCCCTATCTATCTCGCTCATGAGGAGTTGAGATGGACTGACAGACCAGACGCAGTCCTCGACAGTACTACCTAGTACCTATAGTAGGATTTACACAGTACTCTGGGCTTAGGTAGGTATAGGTATCGGGTCTGCCCTCTCCTAGCCCAACCCAACGGCCCAAGGCATGGCCTAAGGAAGAGCACTGCCATTAGGTCTCAAATGTAGGATGTCTGGGTGGTACTCACCTACTTACGGGGTACTATGTGCATTTCCATGTACTATGTATGTGCGGTGAGCTTGTGATGGATTAGGTATCAGTTTAGCCCAGCGCAGCGAAACGAAACCGCAGTAGGCTTACATTTACATGTATGTACGAGGAACGATTGGGACGCAGAAGTAAAGTACGGTAGGTACTTCGCCATTCGCAGACTCCGATGGGTGCTGGTTGCTGCCGATGCAACATGCCAACTTTTTCGGCCGTTTCATGCACGAGAGCGGGCCAGCGACTTTGTAACCCTCGGCTTCCAAGCCAAGGGACGATCTACTGTACCTAATGTACGTATGTAGGCAGGCAATCGAGAAGAGATCAATTAATTGCTGTGAGATATTAAAAAGGCGAGTCGCGCGATGGCAACTTGCTCTACTTACATGTACACGCAGTAAAGTGAGAATGCTAAGCACACGACATATACCCACCTAAGGAAGGAAGAAAACCCGCTGAGAGAGACCGACCGACCTAGCACGCTAGGCTACCTACCCTAGGCAGCTGCTATCACTCCACTACCTCCCTACCTACCTACTATATGTACCTAAGGTAGTAGGTATCACCCAGCGCAGAGGCCCAGCGCATTTAGTCTGCTGTACAGTCAGTCACTTAACCCACCTGCAGGCGCCCAGATACACCACCACACCCACCCAGGTGGTACTTGGTACCTAGTCCCGACATCTAGGACTTCTCTATATCTCAACCCCACCACCCACACACCATCGCGGCTTGTCTCACCCTCCTCTTTCCTTTCTTCACGACACCCTCGTCCACGTTCTCTTCTTCTCGCGGCTGTAGGCGTCTTAGCTAATAACCCTGTCTGGGGAAGCGCCTCGTTGTTCCCTTGCCGCCCTTTTTTATATTGTTCATATTACCTTGACGCTCTCCCGCTCGTTTTCTTGCTTAGCCCCCCCTCATCCACGTTCCTCGACCATTAGTCCTCCGTCTTCGTCGCCTTCTCCTGTCTTTGCTCTCTGAGACAGTCCGTACCAATCATGCCTCCCCAATTGTTACCCGCTTCCGCTGCCGCCTTCGCGCCTCGCGCGTCCTCTGTCAATGTTGTTCTGGGCTCCAAGGTCGAACCGTGGTTAACTCAGACCCTCAAGCGCATCAACCGAGTTAAACGCCCGCTTAATAGCGTACCTCAACACCAGAGATGTCTCACAGAAACACTGTCATCCCCCAACGCTATATGGAACCTGGCCTCCTTGTTACTTCCCAAGCACCCAGAGACCGAATTGCATGAGGAGTCGAATACTGCCGTTGAAGTCATGCGCAACTATGGGTTTATTTTTCTCGAGGCATATATCGTTCATGTTGACATGGTGTTGCGAAACGAGGTCGCTTTCAAGTTAACTCCCGACACAATAGAGGCTCTAATCGAGCATCACAAGGATATCTGTTGTGTCGAAGCCAAGGCCGCTTCCTATGATTGGCCGGAGAAGGAACAACACGCCAAGAAGCTCCACGACGAATTTGTCCAGGCAATTAATAAGTACGTATTCAGGACACATGTTTCCGCCTTGGAAGGTCTGGAAGAAGAAGGAGCCGGAGAATTGCTGTGCGGGAAGAGTGAAGAAGTCAAGAACAGTATCATGTCGCTATTGAACAAACCACTGCTTCCACCGCCACCCAAGATTGTCGACGTGATCCGTCAGCCGCCTCTTTTACCCAGCTCACCTGCCAATACAGCCATCTGGTCTCAAACGACTCACTCACAAGGGATACCAGCCCCAGTTGACTCATGGCGAGTTCTCCCTTCGAGTCCGGCTGTAACTTCAACCTCGGTGGATTCTACGTCGATATGGTCAAGCATGGGTCTGCACGAGATGGACTTGCCCTCTCCCGCCCCGTCGTTTAGCCAGCCATTCTCTTCCGCAGGACTGTTCTACAGCTCACCGATGGTTACCTCTCCAATTCCGGCATTGCCACTCCCGAGTATGTTAGCCTCTCATTGCGGTGTAACCACGGGCTATGGTAGCTTTGGCTGGGACCGGTTTCAAGACTACCCTACGATCATGTGACAATCACCGCCCAAGCCGGGGAATCGCTATCCCATAGTGACAACCTCATAAGCGTCAACTCTCCATCATGTTAGCGATCTAGGTGCTTCATTCCTCGACTCGGACAGAACACGCGGCGTAATCCCATCGCATTCCAAAACATTTTGGCGTTCTGCGTCGACCAGTGGCGACCTTGCGAACCAAACTACCGAGCAGCATAATTTCGAAGTTTGTTTAATTTGTCGATACGTTTAGCGAACGAGCGTCTGATATTCTTATTCGAGACAACTACACAGCAGTGCGCCGCAAAGCTTAGCTATAGCGATTTTCTTGTCCATTCTTTATGTTCTTTTTTTTTTCTCTTGTCTGATCTCGTCATGGCAGGAACCGGGTGGGTTTATATTGATTGCATTTACACTACGGGCGGGCCTCAATAGCATATAGCGTGGCCGGGTTTCCATCTGTTGAAAGAAAAAGATATACGCAGCAATGCACCCTATATTGACCGGGAAAAGACCGGGACAGGTTATATTGGATTTCAGGCTTTCCCCTCAAAATTTCTATTCATCTTACGGCATAGAGTGGCTTTCACATACCAGAACCCCGACCAACGGCGAAAGGACACAATCACACTTTGTCCTCGGCCAGTCAACACACTCGCTCTAAGCGTACCTACTCTCATCAAGCCGAATCTTGGTTTAATAATTAACGAATGATTGATCGACCTAATGACGAATTTCCGCACAAGCTTTATGGAGGTTTCCCGGTACGACTGAACAAAACTCAACTTGAAGTTGAACTTTTGCATTCGAACGATCGAAGTCAAAACAAGCCATAACGGACAGTTCATTGGATTATGCATTCGGCTGGACCTGAAGATATGCATTTCCAGGGTCAATTTTCGATATCATTTTGGAGAAGCAGATGAACTACGGTATCTGTGATACCGCTGTTCAAGCTTGGCACCGGCTGTCTACCTTCTCACCAAGATTGATTCGCCCATTATGGGTCTTGCAAACCGTGGCAAGATCGGTGAGTTGACTCATTTGCGTGCAATCACGAGGCTTGAGAGCGAGCGGGGATAGATCTCGCGATCAACAAAAACACCAAAAACAGAAGCCGGGTATCAACACGTGACAATCTCTGCTGGACAGAGACGTCAGACCCTTTGCTCGCCGTTAATGTCGCCATCATCCTGGCCCGATGAATCCTCTGCCGTCATGGTTCTGGGTCTCAAAAAGCGCCGCGTCGAGATTGGATTACAACGAATTCTTGCCCTGTTGATCACCAGGTTTTGCGTGAGGTCACCTCGACGGAGTAAAAGAAGGAGTATGTAATCGTGGATACGTGCTTGCATGTATAGTCGCGTGGTGACCGGGCTAGGAATGATGGATGGCATGCCGCAGCATCATCTCACTGCACTCGGATCTCTCCTTTCCTGTCGGTCGCTAATTATAGCGTTGGCGCCCACGGTTTAGGGGGAGTGAAGAAAAGTCGCATCTGGACGGAGAAATGGCACATCTGCTGCGCAGATCTTGCCTATTTCCTTCACTCCGGTGATACATCGTAGTACGATGTATAGTTGACATGAGATGCTGGTTGTTAAAAAGCATCAGTTCCGAAAGTCGAGTTTTGCCCTGTGGGCACCCGATTGGGAAGGTCTTTGATCGCTAATTCCCACTATACTCAGTAACCCCTGCTCCGTTTTGTTTCCTCTTACTTAGTAGTAGTTAATAGGAAGAAAATACGAAAATTTTTTGTCCAACAAACATCAAATTGTGACCAGCCTGTCGAGGATTGCTAAGCGGAAAAAAGGCTCTTTCCGTTGTTGAGCGATATTGAGTACTCTCCTACGTCTTTCCCATGTTAAGTGTCATTAATCTAAGAGTTTGCACGTGTCAAGTGGTATGGGGTAGTACTAGCAAAATCACCCACAGAACGAACCATGTCAACGGTTGCGCCACAAAGAGAAGAACACGGTATACCTACCTGACGAAAGAGAGAACTATAGCCTTCGGAAAGAAAGAAATGGATGGCGCTAACATGATGACGACCAAACTACCTAGGTTAGGTAGGTAAGCAGGCCTCTACCCAGGGAAGAGCGCGGTCAGCTTACGCTTGTCAGTTCATGATTTCTTGCACGACTACCTAGTTCTTGAACAAGGCAAATGACGGCGATATCCGCGCTATCTGCGGTAATGGCAAGTTTAGCCGCGCGGTCGCATCAGCCGGGCAAGGTGCCTTGAGGCGTAGAGTGAGGTGCATACATAACACACGTCAGGAAGTTTATATTTATATTTACATTATAGATAAGTTAGATTTAACTATATATATATGTAATTGAGTTATTAGAAAGCATGCATACATAGATGGGTAGGTGCCTAGGTAGTGAGTCCTTATGCCCCATGCAATCAGCCGTACAGCTGGAACAGAAACAAGAATACTCATGAAGTGAACAGGGGTTCTTTGCGGAGATGCACATGTTCGTGGGATTTCGTGCCGTGGTCGTCGGCTCTCTGCAGAGCATCGCAATTTATCTACAACAGTGCCTACCTGGGTACTTTGTATATATTAGCTACCCATGTGATCATGATATGTCCATGCAGGTAAGAGAAGAAGAGAATTACCCTCAGCGGTAGAAGTGTAAATACCCAGGCTAGATAGCCTGTCACATGAAAAGAGGAGGGGCGGCTTTTTTTTGCGTGTGTTCTGGTTGGCATCGTGCCCCCCCGACGGTTACAGCCCTATGACGGGCGATATCGGCGGGCGCCTCCATCTTTGGTGCTAATCTTGGACATGGGAGGGAAACAGCGGGGAAACCAAGGTGGGGGGACTGCATATACCTATGTATTTTCCATTTAAATCATGCTAGAGACTGATATTTTCTATTCAATCTCTCTTGTACTCATGAACACTTGATGAAGTATTAAGCCTGCAATACAGAAGAGATGGCCCTTTTCGCTAGCCAAGCCGCTGAGAGCAAGGTCGAAATAGGAGGCGAAAGAAAGCCAAAAGGGGGGGAAGAGGGATGGAAAGTGGTGATCATATGCAATGCGAACACGGTGAAATGGAACATACCTACCTCGCCTAGGTAGCAGTCTGTCTACATGTGTAAATGATGGGCTGTTTCTTTGCATATGGGGGCGATGTGATGACGATAACGCTGCTTGATGACACCATCTGGCCAATACTTACCGTACATGTACTTACAGATGATGCACAGCACACCTTGTATCAAAGTAAGTAAGGACCGTAGTAAGTAGCAGTGGTATTGGAATATCAACGTATGGCTGGGCAATCTTCAGCCCCTTACCCAAGCCCCAACGCACAACAGTAGGTACTTGAATATGCAGGTGCATCGCGAGGTTGCAGAGGAAGAGCAGGCATTCGTTCCCTATGCAGCGGCCACGCCTATTGGTTGACTTACGGGAGGGGGGGGCAGATATTATGTACATATACATACATGGGTACATAACAACGTACATACATAGGTATGAAGGCATTAACATTGAAATCATGACTGTACAGAATCCCGCCTCCAAAATGGGAAGCGACCAGCATCCCGGGACATTACATCGTGCCTTGATAGTGGGTAGATAGGTGCATATAATTTTAATTTATCCGTCAAAGGGCTTGATGAAATAAACGATTCTTGCCTGTTCAGCCCAGCAGGCCCCAGTTGGAGATTGCCGCGCTGTGGCTTTTGATTGGCGAGCTCCGCGTCCCGGTCGACCCAAAAAAGCCCTGACCCAAGCCCAAGGGTGCCGGACCGCTGGGTCCCGTCCCTCCCCGTCTAACCTAGGTAGGTTCTTTAGCGGCACTTTTAGTGGCCGCCGCCTACTTAAGTAGATCACCAAATCTATCCGAGGTACCTACCTACATCCCCCTACCCCTTACCCCTTTTTTTATTTTTTATTTTTATATTTTTAAGTGCCTCGTCACCGTTGCTGCGTATTCCCATCCTGCTTGCAATGCTTGCAGGCACCAATATGCATGTAGGCGAAGCCTTAGATACCTAGATCTTGCCAATGTACTGTTGCTTAGGTAAGTAGGCAACCATTACGCCCAAGGTTGATGTGGCCGGTGGGAATCACACAGACTCCGGTTGGTATCGGAAGACCAAGGAGGTGTTCACACAACAGGCCCGGCAGGCAGACGCTCAGACATACACATGTATGCTATGTACAGATCGCCCTGGTCAGGGTGCTTACTCTCCAAGCCTCTTCGGCGGCTCTTTTCGCCTCCCATGTCATCGTTCGTCTTTTGTTTCAGTTGTGCGTAAATCATGAACGGCTCTGTCTGCCTAGACAGGCAGGTGGTATACATCAGGACAGCCATGTGCATGCGCGCGTCTTGCGTTTACAGTAGTACATTACTTTATTTCTCCCAAAAATGCTAGTGTCATGACTTCCGACTAGTCATCATGCAATGGACTTCTTGTCTTTTCGCCACGCGTGGAGGACCCCAATCTCGCTTCAGATTGCGACTAGCTACCATTTGTCACTGTCGTTGGCTTGGTTCTCTGCCTACCCAGGTTAGGTACCGACGCCTTTGTGCTCGGTGACTAGAAAAGCAGTGTAACAGTGGGCACTTGATATCGTGATGTAGGTAGGTAGGGAGATGGGGAGAAGATGTCATGAACAGGGTATTACCCGTAACATGGTACCACAAACGACGGGATACCCCTCCTACGAACAGTAAGTGTCACAGACGACAACGATATAAACGTGGTCCGGGAAGTTATGTGCCACCGATACCTACCTGGATTAGTCGTGACATCGATCCGTCTGCACGATGCCGCCAGCACTTATACGTTGTGTTGATGTTACTGATGCTGTATCTTAAAGGTCCCTATTCTCTCGAACGCAAGCTACTCGAGCATCCCGCCTTCAGACAGTCTGCTCTATGTTAAGCTTGTCAAAGGACAGTGAATTCTGAAATTAAACGTTACTTAAATCCATAGCGTCACAGTGTCCTTGCCGAGTACTGCTGCCAATCCCCTTTAGCTCTACTTATGTAATTGACAATACAATCCAGTGTGTAAGGCTACACGCATGATCTTTGAGTAAATTGATAATTAGCCAAGTGGTAGCCTTGTAACTTGGCAACATTAAAGTCAATATATAAGAGACAAGTTGTTTCAAAATGTACATAACCCAGTCTCAAGGGACTAATCTTAGCGGGAGTGTCTCAAGTAAGTCGAAAACGAACGGGAAGCTCCATCATTACGAATCTAAGACATACAGGCACGCTGTAGCGATACAAGAAACTTCACCATTTTGTGTATCATATTATCGGCGCAAAGGCAGCAGGAGAACCTAAGATATGCATGCTGCCGAGATGTCGGAGGCCGGCTATAGTAGTTTGCTCATACCTACGAGGGCGCAGGAACTTATTTCGAAAAATGATTCAAACCAGAATTTTCGGCTGCGCTGCTCTGGTAAACGCTGCCCAGTCCACGCCCCTGAGTGATTACCTACCCGGGTGGCTTCGCTACAGCTCTTAGAAATTGACCGATAGCTGCCAGTCCTCGGGCTCTGAGATGATTAGCCTATTATGTGGCATTCATTCTACCGAATCTCTGATTAACCGGGGCCATTTAGTCTTCCGTAGTGTGGAAAGGGGTGAGCATGTAAGTACCATAGGAGATTGATCTCACACCATCACTTCTTCCATAGAGAAAGGTCGTTACGAAGATTCTGGACCAGGTAGGTAACATAGGCTTTCCGCACAACGACGAGAGTCCTTTACGCCGTTGCTATTTGGAGACTTTAACTATGCATTCCAATACCTTAGATGTTAATGATGTATCCCCATACCGAAGTCATTGACAATAACTCTTGCTTATAACATTTTGCTTTGAATTTTATCGGGTGGAAAGGATACTAGTATTAATACTACATACGTATATATCTCTCATATAAAGGAACTCGAACCACGACGCTTTCTTTTTGGGTATCGACTGAAGCCTATGGCGTGAATGAGAGTTATAGTTCAGCTTCACAATTTTAAGGAACAAAGAAAGCCGACCAAGCTGTGCACTGCAAAGGTCTCACTTTGCTCTTACTTGCGGCAGAGACGTCCGTTCTGAGTCTGCAGCCACGGCTCTTGACGCGTGATGTACCAGCCCTCACTGCCAACCGCAGTAGGAGCCCAGAAAGTATCCCAAGGATCGACCTCCTTCTTAATCTTCAGGAGACGGTCGTAGTTTGTACCCCAGAAGGCCTGCTGGAAGTCGGGCTCCGCAATATCGGCCTCGTTAAGGTATGAGCCGGCGCCCTTTGACACGGAGCGGAGCTTCTCCAGCGTGGTGTATGTAATGGCCTTGTTGGCGGCCTCGATCTCGGCCGACGTGCTGTCGTCCGTCCAGGAAGAACCCACGATCACGTAGAAAAGGTTATCGCGCCACGCCGGGTTGACGGCGTTATGGACGTTTCGCTGCTTCTTACCCACGATATTGTACATAATTAGTGCGCTGCCCTGCATGACCTCCTCGAGCACCGCAAACGTCTGATTAAGCAAGACAGGATCTTCCCAGTTCTTGGCGGGGATCAGCCGCGAGCCCGTTCGGAGGTCAGCGTTGGCGACAGATTCGACGGGGAAGTGCTCCTTCCACGGCGTGAGGAAGTTGTCGTACTCGAAGAATTCGGGCTCGACGTTGAAGCCGACCTCCTCCCATTCTGCCAGAAGGGGTGCCACGGTCTTCTTGAAATCGGCGAGCTTGGTGTTAGGGGCTAGCCAGGGGTGAAACTGCCAGGTGTAGCCCGGGATGCCGTCAAAGCGGGGGTATACGCTGGAATAGCCATAATGGCCCTCTACGGGAGCGTAGTCGGGGAATCTGCGCCAGTAAGCCTCAAGGCCGGCAATGAAGGCCTCGGTGGTAACATTGGCGAGAGAGTCGTTGCCACTCGTAACAAAGAAGGTAAGGCCGGAGTAGACACTCTTCGGGTGCACCTTGACAGTCATGCTAGTCACGACGCCGAATGTGCCGCCGCCGCCTCCGCGGACGGCCCAGAAAATATCCGGGTGGTTTTTTTTGTCGGCAGTGATGAAGCGACCATTAGGAAGAACGATGTCTATGCTCAAGACCTGATCGGCACCCATGCCATAGATGGAACTGAGAGGAGAGTGGCCACCACCTTGGATATAGCCGCCCGTGACACCGACACCCTTACATTCTCCGCCAACTGCACTGACACCGTACTTGTCGGCTGCTGCGTACAATTCGCCGACTTCGACGCCGGCGCCGAGTTTCATGGCCGGGCCACTGTAGCCGCACCCCTCATAGTGCTCGATGAAATCGATAGATTTGAGATTGTGAGTCCAGATTGACAGGGCGCCGGCGCCGGCGCTCTTGCCAAGAAAATCGTGTCCGGTATTCTTGATGATCAGTCGAATGTTCGTATTGCGCGCGAAGTTGATAGCCAGCTGAATCTGAGCGACAGTGGAGATGTTCACAGCATAGCTTGGGAAACCACCTAGCTCGCATGTGCCATCATCACCATTCTGGGGCATACAAGTCTTGCCTTGGAAGAGAGGCGACATAATAGACGTCGGATCATTGGCACTTCTGGGGTATTAGCCGGTACAGCATGGTAATGCCTGATCTGAAAGAGACTCACTGAGTAGCAGACTCGGTCCAGTGGTCGAGGATATTCTGACACTTGTCTGCATCATAGTGCTCGCTGTTCGTGTAGCACACAGCACCAACAGGAACGGTCTTGATGAGGGCACCGCCTGTCACAAGGTCAAAGACCTTCCAGACAATCTTCAGGGGCCAAAGCTTGTCCCCAGGAAATGTCTTGCACCCGGTGAAGCGGGATCGCTTATCATTCTCTGTAGCTTCAACGTCGTCCGCGAAATCAAAAAGAGAGACATTGGAAAGCTCCTGGCTGCTTAGCTGAGCAAGTACGCTGTCCGTGAGAACAAGCTCACTCTGGACATTCTCGGCAGCAATGGGCACCGTAGTTTCATCGGCAGCTGTATAATGAAAACGATTAGTAATGACTAGCGTACGCAGTGATTGACTAAGCACGACGTACCGACAACACGTCCATTCTTCTTAATGGTCTGGGCGGAAGCCAGGCAAGCGAGCGCGCTCGCAAGGATCAATGTCCGCCGCAAGACAGCCATTGGTGTTGTCTCAAACAAGACAGCAAGGAAGAAGGGACCGACGAAATAGAAAAGGAGGGACTGGTCGAGGATAGAGGAGAGAGGAAAAGAGAGAGACGGAAAGTGAAGGAAAAGAGCGTCGCGAAGTAATGCGAAGGGTCTAAAAAGGAGATTCGTCTCGACTCTCGTCAAGACATGGCCGATCTGAGGACTGGTAGATTTGGTTCAAGACACTCGCGCCAGATCGCTAGAAGAGATCATCGCGTGGCAACCTCGCCCACCCACGTGCTATTAGTGCAGCTGCAGCAGCATGCAATACGATCTAGCGCGCACCCACTGATTCCACTCCTGGCGAGACGTTGCAGCATGGTGGTGTAGGCGAAGGCGAGAAGGAGAAGACCAAGTTACCAGACGAGCCAGACTCCCCCGGACTCGAACTGAGTGTTGTTGGTGGGCCGATTTCATGCCAGAACCAAATGGGTGAGGGACCGGCGATGGTAGTATCTCCAGACCATGAATGCCGAGGCTCCCGATAGAGCAACTAACGCCGGGTCAATTGTTTAGCGATAGACTACTGTATTTACTATGCAATGTATGTGCTCCTAATTTTACTTATGCCCTAAGGCAGTATCATATATGTGAGTATTTATGTGTTCTATCTAAGCTACCAGCCCTCCTGTCGTTATATCTACGAGTAAGTATGTAGCCATTGTCGCTATTGTCACTATTTTCAAGTTGAAGAATGACACATATATGCTCATACATTGTATGTAAGGAAGCTGACAGCAGTGTCCCTTTAACATGTTCATGACAAGCAAGGATAGGGCTTCAACCGCCAGCCGCGACGTTCCTCTCCTCGGAGCCGCCATCACCATCACCTTCTACAAGCATCCTTAGGTAGGTAGTCTTGGTAGCTAAGAGGAGACGCGAGACATTCTGTCCTCCGATGGTGCTAACCTCTCGCCAAGAGAGCCGTAGTGGGCCACGGATCGCACTGGTGAAAGACGACCTCTCTTGGCAACAACTTCGTCTCATATCGCGCGCATGTTAGGCCGGAAAGAGAGAAAAAGAGATCTTCTCTTGTGATGACTGCCCTCAAACTTACTTGGGGGAAATTAACTATCGTCAAAGTTTTTTTTCTAGTGTACAGTAGTGTGCATGTTCGCTCCAGTGGCTTGAGTGCTGAACAATTCCGCATCTGTTCGCGGTGGGTTTGCGAATTGCAATTTCATTCAAGCGTTGAGGATCCCGAAATAACACAGCGATAGATAGATATCGATGCTCTCGCTCTTCCCGTGCTGAATCTGTCTCATGATTTCGTGTTCTCGTACGCATAAATATAGCACATTCCGATATATCGTATCTTGTGGACCGACATATTTATGATATGTGCTCGGTCGACTAATCGGGTGGGAGTCAGATACAGCTACAACAAAAAACATACACACACACACACGCACAAACGCGTATCAATTACATATTTCAAACTAAAAGGCTGTGAGTGCTCCTATATATTCTTGTCGGGGGTTTAACTCCCTCGTCTGGACGTGCGCCTAGTTGAGAGCTAGAATTGCCTAAGACGGGTCATTGAGATGAAAGCATGGTAGACTAAGAAAACATTTTACATGTTTTCTACACAGCGATCGAATCATCACCGCGTCTCAATGGGTGTTTAAGACATTTCGATTCACATACATGTGGTCTTCAGCGAGCAGTAGTGAACCAGTACTCTTTAAGAAGTCTTTTTTGAACTCTTGCTTACCCCTACTTTTTCGACCGCGTACATAGAACCTCCTAGTCGTCGCTCCAACTCAGCTCCCGTACACTATACGATCGGACCGTGACCCCCTGAGGCTAGGCTGTAGCATAATTTTGAAATTTGACTGCCCTTAGGGTATGCCGATTCCCGCCAACATAATGCTAGTCTTGCTTAGTAGTTGCCGAGATAGTAGATTGTGCTTAGTGTACACACGACGTTAGGCCAAAGTAGTCAGTCACTTCGGTAGCTCCGTTCTGATTTCAACAGAAGAAAGTGACTGGATTTCAGTTGGTATTGTGACAGAGATGTTACCAGGGAAAACGAGCGTTATGTTATATATGTTGGGATGGGCGCGAAGTTCTGGTTAGAACCCTTATCTGGGGTTCTCCATTTTTTTCTTTGCCTACAATCCCAACATACTTTACCATTATGCAATACTTACATACTAGTGTTATTAGTACGGCCGTTCAGACGAACCATTTCTTGAGCATCGGCTTCCTTTTTAGGTGTTAGAATCGTCGATCACTTGCCAAACTGTAATTACTGCCTGAACCATGGCCATGGGTTGTGTCAACATGAACTACACGTAGATTGTGCTGCAATCCAAGCTCAAGATCGGTGAATGGAGATGGCCGTCGAAGGATCTGATGTTCTAGTTGACTTCAGCTCTTGACTTGTCAATGTTGAACGGTTTAGCAATTATTAAGAATACTTAAGAGTTGCGGGAGCGCGGTAAGGGCCAGAGAACGGATAGACGGCCCTCCCGTCGACATCCCGCGCCTTTGCGCTAAGCGGAAGTAAAAGTTTCCGTTCCTCTTAGAACCAAATGGTGTCAACTATATTTAAGATCTTCACAAACCGCTTAGCTAAAATGACTCAAGCCGCCCTAAGTAAATTAGCCTTCTGTTAGACATAGCCTAGCCACGGCAGAGGCTCTCATTTAGTAACAACCTGCTTTACATATACATAGTATACACATTCAGTACTGTAGAGTGGAATGTACTGGGAGCATTTTGAGAGACCATACCCAATATGCCATATGCATGCTTACATCGACAGATCGAACGAGACTAGAACAGGTATTAGGCGAAAAGTCTGTTTCTTTGGAGGGTTCCCCGGTAGATATCTACTACACTAGAACAGGAAATGTCTCGACGGCCAAGCCGCTGAAACCAAGAAGAGATTTGAAGAGGCTTTGTTGAAGTAATAGTAGCATTGCCATGGCGTTAGTGTAGCCATATTGTGCCTCTCTGGTAATTTCAAACTTCTGGCCTTTCTGACCAATTCTCAGATATTAATGACCCTAGTTTTTCCTCGCTTTGGCCAGTGCCAGTCACAGAGTGTATAACCACATATATCCCTGTCTCATCCATAATACCTTGACAATCCTCAACTTGGCTCATTCTCCAGGCTTCTAAAAACGCGTTTCTTCATCCAGTGTTCTGCACGTCAGCTTCAACGTTGTACGGCGGCCATTACATGGTATAAGATGGGTGTTCTCGAAGCGAGGCGACCTCCTCAACCCGATGTAACAAAGATCCCTACACCGCCGTTGCAGGCGGCAGCACTGTTCATCACCTTCTTCTTTCCGGTGCTGGCAACAGTAGCAGTCTCCCTCAGACTAGCTGCTAGAAGGATGATGCGGCAGCTTGCAATTGGTACGTGTAGATTGGAGTTCTCGAGTCTTTGACAGCGTCTCGGCCAGCTAACGAACTTGCTTACTTCCAAGATGACTGGTTGCTCCTTTCAGCCCTGGCTTTTGATCTGGCCATGGTGGTCCCTTTCTACTTTTGTAAGTGTGTGGCTTCTTTGGTAACTAATGGGATTCATAAAAAGCAGTGCTTCCTTTAAAGATAGAGACCGCTAATAGCCCGGGTCAATAGATATAAAGTTGAATTATTGGGGCTGGAGAGCAGTCAACGTACCGGAATTCGACTCAGCGCCAGGGAGTTGGTGGTTTTATCTCGGCCAGATCTTCTACAATCCTGTGCTCGCCCTAGTCAAATCATCAGTCTTGCTCTTCTTATTACGACTCGGTGGTCATCAGCGACGCGTCAGGTGGTTCATCTACGGTCTATTAGCTTTCAACGTTCTACAGGCCATTGCTGTCTTTTTCGTTGCTATATTCCAATGCATCCCCATCTCAGCCAACTGGGACTTGGAGGTGAGGGCTACTGCTACATGCATTGAGCCCTCTTTCCACGTCATCATTTCTAGTATCACTATTTTGACCGACCTTCTCGTTTTGATCATACCCTTCTGGATCTTCTTGGGCTTGAACCTCCCCGTGGCAGCAAGAATTGCCGTTATCGGTGCCTTCGTAACCGGCCTTGCGTTAGTTTTTTTGTATATCTTCAACTTCTTTGACTATTCAGGACTGACAATGCTGGTACAGAGTCACAATCATTGGCGCAGTGCGATTATCTAATGTATATAAGCTTTTCTACGTCCCACCAGCCCCCAACGCCGACCCATATTATGATATCGGTATTACACTTAACGGAATTGAAACCAATCTAGCGATTATTTCAGGATCTGTTCCAGCTCTGCGACCAATCTTCCGAAAGTGGTTCCCGAAATTGTTCGGTGGCAGTACGGATAAATACAGCAATACGCCCTACGGATATAACTCGGGTCGCCATCACGGCGCGGGCACCGGCAAACGTAGTGCTTTAAGAAGCGGAAATGACAGTGGCCTAGCTCACGGCCACGGTGGGATAGGACTCAACACCCTCCGTTCCGACAGAGGCGCGCTTACCGAGATAAGGAGCGCGAGCCCATCGGGAAGCGAAGAGGAAATCATGACGTCAAACGGCATTATGCGAACGACAGACGTTCGAGTACAATACTCGTCCGAAACTGCGTCGAATATAGCCCCTTCACGGACGTCGAGCGACTACAAATTATAATCGACGGAATCTCGTTGCTTGTATTCTTAATGCGAACCTATAATACAATACGTTTCGGGTTCTTAAGGGCATGAGCAACGATAACTATAATGAGCAGGAGTTCTTTTGGGAAAGATAGACTTACACTATGAGAACTGGGTAGTAGATGGGTTGCCCAGTCTTTTCTGTCTGCAGATTGTTATAATTCTAAAATCAAGGGTTCCCAAAACAACGGTATATTAGTCCTGTATATTAATTCCATAATTGTTTACCTAGGAAGCTGGGCGTACCATAGAACACACGACGTTTAGCTAATTTCTCGAGGTCGATCCTGCAAGAACTAACATCCAAAACATATTGCAAACCCGAATCTTTATGTCCTGCGTCCATCAATAGCACTCAACCTTCCCTGCTTAATCGCGTGTCATACTGAAAACCACAGTTTATACACCATACAATACCAGAAAATAGCGGAATATTATATCTGCCTTAGTAGCGTCTTCTCATTTGAGTTAAAAACTACAGTGTATACTATAGGGTATCTCCCATCGTGGTCGGTAACCAGCTGACTAACATTAGTAGTAACCTGTCTAGGTAATATAGTTCCCCAATAACCGCCAGGTTTTAGGATTAAACCTTTGCTCTCTTTACGTAAAGTCCGAAGTAGAATGCGAGGGTCTTTTTGATAAGCAAGGGAGCCAGCCACTCACGAAGAGAGACGTGACGTTGAATGAGACCGAATGCCAATACCGGAGCTCTTTAGGGGTTCAGGTCAAATGAAGTAACAGTGTTCTGGATAGTCAACTGACAACTGATCGAAATGGTCATTCAACTAGCATTTAACTAGGTAGTAGAATAGAGCTTAGTATTAAGACCTTTATTGGCCGTGTGCTTTACGGAGTCAATCGAAGGGAGTAATAAACTACCTGAGCTCTTTATAGCTTAGTGCGCGACGAGAATCCTCTCTAGTAGCTAGTCCTCTTTATTCTTATCTCGGCCATACTAACAGCTATGAAGGGTCTTCATTTCACCTTCAACTTTCCATATCACATCAATACCCTCGGACAACGAATGCCATCCGAAACGCGCCTAGAAAAGACGCTTGGTAGAGAGGCATGAGGGCTTCAGCTATCCACGGTCTAAGAGCGATGCCGCTTATTACCTTCCATCATCATAGTAGACAAGCCCACACAATCTAAATCTTGTAGATTTATTCACCCGTCCTGACACAAACCCTGTCCAAAACCCGAAACACAAAGATAAGTCATTAGAGATACCGAACCTCGAAAATGTCATGTCTACCAAATGAACGCCCAAACCTGTATCCCAGAACTCCATACTATGATCTTGAGTATGCTATGAACAGCAACAGGCCAAGCCCTGAAAGTACGCAAAAGGGAATATGTGTTGTTCATATACAATTGGTGGCTCACATAATAGTGCAGGATGTCGCCATTGTTCGAGCCCTCCGGCGTCCGAGCCCACCAGCACCTCCTTCTTCCTCGTTTGCGTGGAGCAACTGGGCCTCTCGGGCACGGCGCCTGCGGCGGCGAAGACCAGCGCCCGCAGTGCCAGCCTCTTCTACAGCTTGCATGTAATCTGCCCATTTTCTCTCCAATCTTGCAGCAGCGGAAAAGTCCCCTCTTAATACCCGTTGCATATGCTGCTCTACTGTTTGCTGCCACCCGAAATAGCATTTCAGGCCAATAATCTCTGTAGGATATGTCGGCAGGCTGCCAGAAGCGTGGCGCACTTCGGAGTTCCAAGACATGATCTCGCGAATGCCTGTCCAGGTCACCAAGCTGCAGTCGAAGACTACTAATTTGAGCCCCACTCGAGGTTGGTGGTCACGAACCGTTGTCCGAGCTGCCCGAGCTCGGACCATGGCAGCGGCTTCAGCAAGGACGAGATCGCCAGCTCGCGTGTTATCCATGTCGACGCTCTTCAGATTCACGCAATTTTTGATGACCGGAAGCAGACCGGCGTCCCCTAGATTCTCGCAATAGCTCACGGAAAGGTGCTGTAGTTTTGCAGCGCATGGTGCTATAGCTAGGTGTTTGGACAATATGTCATTTGTGAGCTCTGAAAGTTCCTCCAACTCCAAATGAGAGAGGCTGGGTGTAGAGGCAAGAATTGGCTCGAGGGCTGTGTCGGTCAGCTCCATACAACCATTCAGCTGTAGACCTTCAAGATCTGGGACAAGATGACCAAGAGCCTTCACTCCCCGATCGGTCAACTGAGAGCAGCGGCTCAAGTCCAAATGCCGGAATTTCCTAGGTGGAACAATCGGCTTGTCGGTCAATATATCTATTTCAGGGTTAAAGCCATGGACCATGGTTCTCAGTCCTTCGTCTGTAAGATCGGAACAGCCACTCAAAACTAGACGTTCGAGTTTATTCGTTTCAAAAATTGCCTTGGCGACCTCCATACTGTCGAACCCCTTGATCTCACCAGCTCGCAGATCCATCAATTTAGGGCAGCCCAGTACTACCATCTTGATTCCCTTTGCATCCATGTGCTTGCACCAAGACAGATTGAGAGATTCTAATTGGCGACAATGTTGGGATATGATCTTGCAGGTGCTGTTTGTCACAGCTGTCATGCTCGCTAGGTTCAAGTTGATCAATCTATTGTTGGATCGAACAAGATTGTGGAGAGTTGACCGTTGGAAGTTTCGACAACCCTCTAGAGAAATGTTGGTAAGATTTTGACAGGCGGTAACCAACACTTCGGCGCGCTTGTAGTGCTCAACCTGAAGACAACCGCGGAGGTTAAGATCCTTGATAAAGGGCCCCGCCGAGGCAATGATATTAGCCAGAGACCCCGCAGGTATCTCGCTGTAAAATTCGGACGCATCAAACGAAGTCCATAGCTGACCATCGAAACAGAATTTGTGGAATTCTCTGCTCACACGCGACACACGAACGAGCTCTTTAGGTTTCAAAAAAGAAAATATTTGGATTCGAAGCTCATCGGGCATTTCGGACAAAAGATCGTAGAGACGTTTTCGACTAGCGTGGGATCTCGGTCGCGAGACCGTAACATCGGAAGGCAGACATGCTGTAGTGGGAGTCAGAGCGGTGGAGCTGATATTGGCTGGCTTGCGAGGTGCCAGAGGAGCCTCAGTATCCTCAGTTGGTGAGGATTCGGGATTCTGTGAGCTCGAAAACGACCCATTGCCACTAGAAAAGTAGGCTGGGGTGACACTGCCCGAGGCAGTTGGCCCAAGGCTCACACAAGATAAATTGGTACGGGAGCCATACGGCGCACTAGCAGAACGGGTGCGACCGACACGAGATAGGGACGAGGACGACGTCATGCGTTGTATCCCACAGAGCAGTCGTTGGCGACGCCTATCTTTCAATGGGTTCTCAGGCGCCAACGTGGGTGTTGGTGCATTGTCAGTGACAGAGGCTGGAGGTTCGGTTGCCTCGACCGAGACGTCTGAATGTGTAGAGTCCATTTTCGTATTCGACGTAGGAGAGAAGAAGACCGTAATGGGCGAGGGACAAAGAGAAAAGCGTGCCGTTCGGGAGTCTGTCTAGCTCGGCGTGGAAGAAGTCGTGATATATACTTCGGGTACTAAGCCACAAGTCACTTCGACATGATCTCGGGACCACTCGAACTCAATTGGGCCTATCTAAGGTAAAAAGCACACAACTCGGAACAGGCGTAGCCAAATGAGAGTGTAATTACGCCGTGGCTTATTACTGGCGGAAGATAGCGAGAGTAAGTGTTGGACACGGAAACCCCAAGATGAGAAAGCAAGGAGAAACGAGAGAGCTGCAGGTGTTTTGTGTAGTTAAAACGGATGGGCTGGGATTGCCAGGACAGGGCGATTTTACTTGGACCGGGGATCGATACTACATGGAGGCAGGTACTGCAGGTTGGGACAGCACTCGTTGTGTTGAAAGCGAGTCAAGCCTGGTCCGTGTTGTCCCTGTTGTCCCTGTTTAGCGTATGGATGTACAGTATCCAGTATCCCGTCAACCAAGGCGAATCGAATGTTCTCAGCCTATTGGCGGTCTGGGGTCAGCTTATGATGCGGCTATATCGTACAGTAGCGCGACTGTGGTAAGCTCCTAGACAAGAAAGTGCCCGTTCGTCTGGAAACCGTCGACTAGACGAACAGGGCGGCGGCCGGACAGGCAGCGTGGAGAGGCGCAGCAACGAAGAGTCCTTTTTATATGCAGCGGCTCCGGATGATGGTTCTAAATCATGCAGCCGTGCACATTTAAACTTGGGAAAGACAGCAGTAAGTTCGGGCAAGTCCACGGGCTAAGATACGGTGAAGACATCAAAGAGCAAATGGAGGACAAAGCGAGCAAACAGGAGACGGCCACATAGTAAGTAATATGTGCTTGCTGGTGTTTTGCAAGCTCGCATATCAGATGGCGACAACGGATTGTCCCATGTCTCGGAGATACATGATGGACGAGACCTGACTTGTCCAGGTGAACCCTTCCTCGCCCTTCCCAACCCCGCCAGGACCCCTCCAGAAGGGCCTCTGTGGCTCTCGGATAGCGCATATTCTGGCGCAGGGTCGTGGTCCTTATCATCCTTATCGCGCCGTGCCAGCCGAGGGAAGGGGAGGAGGGGGTGGGGTCTCGCAGCCCAGTACGGGTACCTATATACATACGCAGTAACCTTCTTCGTATATACTCCGTACCTACAGTAGGTATTGATACTGAAGTACTATGTAGTTATCTACCCTAGATCGGTACGGATAAAATTCATGCGTGTTGGATACTCTTGATAAGTATACAGGGGACAGGGGATACCTACCTATCGATCACATGGAAATCCCAGAGAAGGCCGCATCGGTTTGCTGAGTTTGTTGTTTCTTGCAACTCGAGTCGCCCTCCACACCCAACCTCGCCAACTACATCGCGCAGATGATCTACTACTCTACATATATAGTAAGCTGCGTGGCACCAACAACATGCCGACGTGACCTCTGTCAGTACTCTCTGTTTGGGATGGAGGTAAGTAGATTAGGGTAGGTAGGTATTTCTGGTCCATTTTCCCGTTGTCTGCCCGTTGGGTATCCATGCCCGTAACCATACCAATCTAAGGACTGGGAGCCCATGATCAACCTCTCGTGTTTACTTACATACATCTCAACATGGAATGTACCAAGGCATTCGTGCTGGACCGCCTAACTTAATCTACTATTTAAGATACCAGTAATGCAGTGCTTACATAGGTACTTGACAGGCGGGAGGTGACTAACCCCTGCATCTCCTTAACGCCTCATTCATTGGTGCATCGAAGGATTCTACTATGTAGAGTTGGCACCTTTAGTCCAGACCACCGGATCTCACCACTCCTACGGACTATGCCTATTTGACTTTGCCACAACTGCAGGAGAAGGGATAGACTAGGTACCTAGATAGAGTCTAGAAATTAGAGACTGGAGACTGACGTATGTATGTACCTAGCTAACATACAGTACAATGCTGATAGGTATCTACTACTACTTATGGTAACCTGGGTACTGTATATGGAGGTACAGCCTGTTGGCCACGGCCCAGACCATCCATACTGTAGAACAGCTTCTTTGATCTATTCCCGCTTTGACAGCCGTGGATCAGCAGTAGAAAGGGATGTACTAGGTACTACAGTATATAGTGCGATGTATCACGAGATACCTACTATACATGTACGCGATAAAGGTAAACATACTGCCAGTATAGTATGTAAGAGCAAAACGATCCTTTTACACTTCCTCGGGAGAGTTGCCTTTATCCAATCCTGTGACTGCGGCAACATTGGTCACCCGCCCCGTCTATAGCTCCAACTCATGATCCACCAGAGCGTGCGAAGTTTCAGCAGCTGACCCACCACCAGCTCTTTAGCGGTTGTTGGGGTCTGGAGACTTTTTTTTTTTTTACCATATTCGGAACATTGGACGCATGGTGTCTTGGATCCAGGCTGCCAACAGAAACAGAGATCTAATCTACATATACGCGATGATCTCCCGGATAGACGAAGTTGAGAAAGCCGATTAGCACAGCAGAGAGTTAGAGCTGACCCGGTGCTACCTACTCGCTAGGTTTTTAGTCACGGCGACGGAGCTCTGTTCTGGTATCCGTCCACGTCTACTATGTGCGTGTTCCTTCACCCAGGTCGGGATAACTTAGATGCTAGCTTTCCCTTTGCAGGTCGCGTAAACCTATTCCGAGTCGGAGTTACAAGGCCGACTAGGTAAGCTCACTAAAGGAACAAACTTTAAAGCCATATTGTGTCTATACTCTCCTTGGGCAGCCTGATCATTCACGTAAACGCGCAGACGACAATTGCAAACGGTTCTGTCTACTACATACTTACCCGTGACAAGTATTTATTCCCGCATTTCAAGAATTCAATCATCATACTTCATCGATCTCTTCTACCTGTGTCCCACTGAATGGGAGATCATCCAGTAAATCCTGGAGTCATCCGCAGACACCATCTCTCGATGTCGTTGATTTGTAGCGTAGGCCATGGCTGCTGGGAGCCAAGATGGCTTAAAGCTGACCAGTGGGGAATGTGATGCTTACGAACGTGGCGGGTAGACTTGCAAAGTCCAACCTCGGCCACTTTAATTGATCTCTGGTTTCTTTTTTCTCCGGTGCCTTTTCTCGTTGTAAATTGCGGATATGAACGGAGAGCGACCAAACAGCAATGGTGATCATGTCACGGACGCTACAGACACCAGCTCCGATGTGAGCGCTGATCCAGCACAGCGCGGCATTCAGGTGAGACCGATTGGAGATTTTGAAGTCTAAAACGACCTCTAACGGTGCAGTGCAACAGAGACTATGCTCGACCTGTCAGTCTCTCCAATTAGGCGTGCATCGGTTCAAAGTGCAAACCCCGGTGTCGAGCTCGCGACTTGGAGTTGCTTCTACCAACCGAATACTGAGGTCGTCATCAACTTCAACGAAGCTGGGTACACTGGCCGAAATCAAAACAAATTCCTCGAGTTGCCCGCTCTGCGCCTTGATCTTTGATTCTGTAAGCGAAGTCTGGAAGCGGAGCCGCCAGGACGCCGATGAAAACGAGACTGAGAAACTTCTGCGATCGTCATGTGTTCTCACGTGGGAGATTGACGGTCGCGATGGAGCTCGGTCGAAACGCTCAGGTAGATCTTCGAACATGGTTCGCGGTCTAACAAGGCGCATGCATATCTGCGTGAGTACTCCCAGGAACTGTATCCAATCTTTGTTAGCCTTCTCCAGAAAGGAAAGGCAGCTTCTTCAGGCCAACTTCTCGTAACCTTGGAAATACTAACTTCTTCAAACCCTTCATGATCACGCTCACGATGACAAGTACTGACTCTTAGCCGTTATAGTGGAGCCATCCCAATCTATCAGACAGTTACATAGTATATGTGGCTCCGGAGAGCTTTTCTACAACTGCCTCAGATGCTGATCGCGTCTGGGATAAGAGCTCACTCTTCCTTGGGCGTAAGGTCCCAGAGTATGTTGAGAATCAAGCTTTGGTGAAGTCCTGGCTCGATCTTTGCCAGAAAACACACCAAGGGCCATGCCGGCACCAGAACAACCTAAGTCCTCAGGACTTTCATGATATGGTATCGCATTCGTATTTTGGAGTTATAGATGTGTTAAACATGCAATTGACACAGCTACCATCCAAACCAAACCCAGGAGATGGCTCTGACAGAAGAAGACAGCATGAACAAGCTAGCAGTGGCCGGGTATATGAACCGTATGTGGCTCTAAGCTATGTATGGGGAGTCGAAAGCGCGTACACAACAACGACCGAGAATGTGATGCTACACAGGACCCACGGCGGCCTCGAGAATGTAATTCAAAGATTTCCGGATGCTATCAAGGATGCGATTGAATTAGTCAGAAGGCTTGGGTTCAAGTATTTATGGATTGATCGGCTATGCATCGTGCAGGACAGCGCAAGATCCTGGAAGCTAAACGCTTATAACATGGACCTCATTTACGGAAACGCCGTGCTCACGATATGTGCTGCTGATGGAGATGCTTCGTCAGGGCTTCGTGCAATGAGACCAGAGAACCACAATCTCAATCAACCCTGGCGAAAAGTTATGCGAGGACTAGACTTGATGGTGACACGCCCACCGGAAATTCATATACGTCAATCCGCCTGGAACGAGAGAGCCTGGACTTTCCAAGAGCGCCTCCTTTCTCGTCGCTGTCTAATATTCACGAATGGCCGAGTCTACTTTCAGTGTCGCTCTACAGGCATGTCCGAGGAGATTTACGCTGATCGTAAAGGCGCAGGCTGGTCGCTTGACCTCGTACATGCACCCATGCAAATGTTCCGCCAAATAGACACATGCGCTGTCTGGGTCTATATGAGATCGGTAGAACTTTATACGGAGAGGAAGCTTACAAAGCCCAAGGATATCCTAGCTGCCTTTAGTGGCGTTTCGAACGTACTAAAGGGTCGTATGAGGGCACCATTTATACATGGCCTTCCCAGCTCACATTTTGATCTAGCCTTGCTCTGGGAGCCTATACGAGAAATTGAAAGAAGAGTGATAGAGGAGTCGGCAGAGAAAAGAAGCTATTCAATTCCTGACTTTCCGAGCTGGTCCTGGGCCGGTTGGGTAGGCCCGGTCGCTTTTAAGGATAGTATTGTGGGCGGCCTCCTAGGCAATGTGTCTGAATGGATCGACGCACACACCTGGATCGAGTGGTGGATTAGAGATGCCCACGGCGACCTACGCCCCCTGTGGGACACAAGGAAGTCCAGAATGGATCGTAGTACAGATTCCCGATGGCGGGGTTATCGTAGATCTGGGACGAGAGCTGACAAGCTAGGACGTGCTTCCCCAAGAAATAACGATAGATATCAGCCAGAAGGCGAGCACCCCTTCGAAGCACAGAATGGCGACGAGGTCGAACCATTCCTAGAATATGCTCGTGAACCAGACCAGGACAGAGATCTTGACGTCTCAGGACGATTCTCAGAATCTGATAGTATAGAAGGGTCTACTGAGCATTCGCAGGATGATTACCAACGACGAAGATCTCGTTCTCCATCGCCACCCCGACATTCAGATGAGGTTTGGAGATCAGATCGTCGGCCGGGGGCAGCGAACGATGCTGTCGTGCGGTTCCAAGAACAAACTACACCAGGTGCTCATTACGAAGACAGACGCCAAGAACACATATTCCCTATCAGGCCTCGTTCTCCGTCACCTCTCCGTCGTTCTTGGTCCGTCAATGACGATGCCGATGATAATTCCGAAGTAAATATAAATATCCGAAACCGCGCTGCACCACGACAAGAATATCTACGACATAGTCCACCCCCTCCTGTCCGATCGCGATCTTTCCGTGAACCCTCAACCCGTACGCCGTACAATGCCGATTACTCTTCGCGCCCAATTCCTCCTACAGGTGATTCAGGCTTCTACGACATGGTCTTCGGCAACCGAGGCGAAGAATTTAGCATAACTCTTAGGGACTATCCATACCGGGTAGTAACAGCGCCATACACATCGAAGCTAGAAAGTTTTGAGTTCCCCCTTCTTCCGATCCTTCAATTCCGCACGTGGCATACCCTGCTGTACGTCAAAGCCGCCATCGCTTTTTCGGCCGAGAAATACGAGAAGACAGAGAATCAGAGCGAAGATATGGGATCCGGGCAAGCGCGCTGTCATATCGCAGACGACGCGGGCGACTGGGTGGGCTCCATCGTTCTAGACGCGCAGTGGATGGCAAGGCAGAGCTCCCATCGTCACGAATTCATCGCCATCTCCGACGCAAAGGACTTCACAATGGCCGAGTGCGAGACCTGGACGTATTATATCCCAAAGGAGCGCAAGTCAAGCGAGTGGGATCTCTTTTATGTCATGCTGATCGAGAGGAAGAACGAAAAGTGGGAGCGTGTCGGTCTAGGAAAGGTCTTCAAAGAAGCGTTTAGAAACGCTAGGTGGAAGGAAATCATGCTTGGCTAAAGGGGTCATGTCCATAGCCTCTGCTCCTCATGATACCAAATCACCTGCTAAAATGCGTCTCGCCATGGTCTTGATCCTTTACCAAGAAGTTCAAAAGCCGATATATGTATGCCATGCGGGAATACTCCTATAATGGTTTCTGACAAGCCCATTTCAAACACTATCTTCCACCAGCCCTTTTCCCTCGCTTCCAATCATACTCCTGTCTGATAGCCACGTAGATCCGGTAAAACATAACAAGTGAATGCAATCTGATGTTAGATATATAGAAACTTGGTATATAAACTACCTGAACAGAGGGTCTAAGATAATATTGATCAAAAAAGACGATTAATTGAGTTTGTATTGCGTACATTGGTGATGAACTACCTCCAGCGCCTTGGATTGGGTGTTATAACTAGACTTTATCGTGTTCCTTATGTCTACGGGTATTGATATTTTTGGTCCATTGAAAGTTCCTCGGCGAGAGGGAACGCTGATATTTGAACCTGAGGAGCCATTCATAGGAGCCGCCATACTATATCATTGTGCAAATGCTGAGTATGCGAGTGAGAACACTTACGAATGCGTTAGTGGGTATGTACCTATTTAATGTTTTGCCGAAGCTCAAGCATCGTAGAGAATGCGGAAAGCAAGATATTTATCAAATTAGCATCACCCCAAACACTATCTGTTTCGCCTCGTAAAAGTTTTTAGGTTCAGTCACTAATATAGTCTTTTGTAGCTCCAGACCAGACGTGTTAAAGTGAGAACCTGTATCAGCTATATCTCGTTGGCAACTAGTAATTAAAGCATTGAGTGTATACACGTTCGGTTCTTCAGTCTCTACATCTCCCGCTTTTGATCTCGTCCTTTTTTGAGGCATCTTGAACACCATATCATTTGGCAGATATTAGCTTCAAATGCAGGCTGATTAACAAAAGGTTTATTGCCATGAAATGAAATCCATGCGCCAAATGCTCACGCTGTTCAATCCAACCGGTCAAAACTTAACAAGTTGGTCATAAATAACATGACCACATCACTCTCCACGCGTGCGGCAGTCACGGCGAAAGGTAATCTTGTCAAGCCATTGCATCTTTTGCTCATGATAGAAACATTTCTCATCATAATGCTTCAGAAGCAAGTTGAACTCGGCTTCGAGGAAGTTCCAGATCCACTGAAACTCCTCACCTTCTCGTGCCTTTACTTCATTCTCGGCAGAACGTATCATTACCTCCAACTCAAGGTACCACCACTTGCGAGGATTGGTTCCAAATTCACTCGAAATCCAGTCGTGAGTGAAATTGACGAACTGATAACCACCTTTCGACATGTGCCAACCTGTGCAATTGGTTATAATGATATCAATCAGGGCCGTCCCAATTCTTTTGCGACGGCATTCCGGTCTGACAATGATTAATAATTTGCCACCACGTCTGGAGAGTGTATCGTAAGATCCTGCGATACCTCGGCTCACCGCAGTGACAAGAGCGAACCCTAAGACTCTCGCGTGATCTGTATCCATGGTCCCATGCCAGCCTTCAACGGCAACTACGAAAGGCATTTTCTCAGTGAGACATTGACCATAGATTCTCCGAAAGTCGTTTTCCATAACCGGCTTTGTATCCATCATTCTATATCCATCCAATATCTCTTGGTTATAGATGGCTGCAACAGCCTCCATATCTGATTCGACTGCAGGACGAAGATGGCATGGAATCTGAACCTCATTCTGATTTGGGAGTGGCTCAGCTACAATTTCCGGTTCTGCAGCCGCTGCAGCCTCAGCGGCAGCTCTTGCTTGCTTCTCTGCCTTTCGTTGCGCTCTTCTGTGAGGATCTTTGCGTGCCACTGCAGCTACGTACTGTCTCATGAGCAGGCCAGAAGTCATTTCCAGCTGATCACGTGATATCAATTCGTCTGTGAAGTATTGTTAACATTAGTATGACACAAGGTCGCCTCGTAAAACACTGAACGTACGCATTTTTGTTACTGGATGCTCCACAGGCTCCATTAGAACACCTCCATATGTATCTACGTCGCAGTCCTCATGGAGATCTCCGCCCTGGGAGAGAAAGTCTGCTTTCACAACATGGGCACGTCGCCTCCAAACATCGATGAAATCAAAGACGTATTGCGGAACGGCTTTCTCTTCCTGCGTAAGGGAGGAAATGTCATCTGAAGACTTCTTCTGAGATCGCCGGTCCCATTCCTGAAACTGACTTGCGACGCTTTGGCTGGTTTTATTGGCGAAGCCTGTCTCAGTTGGCCAATGTGCCCGTGGATCAGGGACAACGTCAGTGAGAGATACGCCATTCTTCTGGGTATCGTGAGACTCTTCTCCAGAAGTCAGCACGAACGTCTCGAGCTTCAAATGCTGGCCACTCTGTTCTTCGATTTGGCTCGCAGTAGATTCTGGGTCGTCCCATCCACTAGGCTGAGTGTAGATTGGCTCCTTTGGGTGTGAGACGTTGGCGTTGCTCTGGAAAAGCGTGAGTGAGGCGGCTGGCGACTGTCTAACGCGGCCATCTTGTGGGTTGTTGTGCGCTGAATGAGCCCAACGACTCCTCGCCAGCCCACCGATAATGCGGGGAGATGTATCTATGACGCTGCCCTGGTGTTCTGGCTTTTTGTCAAGCGACTGTCGATTCATCTCCTCCACATATTTCTGAAACCCAATAGAGTTCATCATTTAGGGAAGGGGGGTGACGGAATAGGTTGCATCCGCCTATAGCTTATGGCAAGGGGGAGGCTTTAGAGGCAGGCAATGAGGTCAAGGAGAAGTAGAATGTGTGTTTGGGAAAGACGGAGGAGAAGTGATGACCTAAGAGAGTGATGGGGACAGGTCAGGTGAATGCAGGTGAAACAGGCAGTTGCAAAGCGGCGATTGCGTAGGTAAGGTAGGTACGTGTAGGTACATATGGAAGTAAGTAAGTAGATGCCTAGGGATATTGGCCCAAGGACGTTACTACACGTGGAAGCCCGTCATAAACAGAAAGTACCCAGTGAGCATACCCACGGAAACCGCATCCGAAACTCACTAAAAGCCACAGCAACCACGGCTCACCAGGGACGTCTCGACAGGTAAGGAGAATGCTGTTTAGGTTGCTGTTTAGATTTGGTACTTCATTATCCACCTACCTACATAATTACATAATAATACCTTCCTAAGCATAGATTACTTTGTGTAGCTATTACGATGTAGGCAGGTGCCCATTGAAGTACAATCGCTCAGGCAGTACCTAGGTAGAGTCATAGGTAGTAGTAGTACTTGCCTCCGGAGTAGCTACGTACGTACACGTATTACAATACTTACATATATGTACCTAGTAGGTAGTGTGTACCTACAAAGATATATATAGGCACGTAGTCAATTTACGCGCAACATGGCAAATTCATAGATCTTCCACGTGCCGGATTTCAACAGCTTGGGCCTATCTTGGATGACCACCGGCCTGTTGAGATTATGAATGCAGCTGTCTATCCAAGACCAAGACCTCTAATCCGGCTGCCTGACAGGAGCCAAATTCAACTGCATATAATAATAAGTCCGTCAGTGTAGTTACTTAGGTAAATCCTGGTGGGTTTGCTGGCGCGGAACATGATTGCGAGCAATAGCTTTCATATGTTCCCCTTCCATGGAACAGAAATATGTGGCTATAACTAGATACCAACTTAAGTACCTTGATAGCATTATGATATAATTTGGACATGTATTCCTTCTGGAAATTACCCCGGGGGGTTGTGGCGAGGACATCAGGCACCCACTTACCAGGAATATTCCCATGTTCACGTCGAAGAAATAGCATGTGTAAATCACTGGAACCTATGCTTCTATGTCAAAAATGGAGATGTCAAGGGTTACTTACAAGTCTCATACAAAATCCATTACACTTAAACAATGCACGACGCATCTCCTTTGTGCCTTGTGTGTATCTCGCTGCCTAGTTATTATAGTAGAGGCTTCAATGTGCTCTACCATGACAGACCGGTTGATTTTTCTGCCCATTAGAGTGTCCATCTCTCTTGATATGGATAGAAAATAGTTGATTCTCGCAGCCAGTGTATCAGAATGTTCTTAGGACAGGGCATAGAAAAGAGTCTCATAGATAAGTTGTCCTAATAAGAACCTTTAGGCAACCAAGAGACAACTAAACTCTGCTTGTGTGGATGGCAATACAAAATGTGAAAGAATGCAAAGAATGGCTGGAAATTATTCTTGTCTACCTGCAATTGCTATTGAAACTTCCGTCCTTTTGGTTGCTGCGCGGAACTTGCTTTTCCATGGATACGGATACCTATTTTGTCTCGTAGGAAACAGGCAGGACTTAATGTCGATAAATCACAATACTGCCACCTCTAGTAACGCGAAGATGGCTACCTTAACTGGATTATTATTTATTGCTCGCCCATCTCGCATTTCTCTTTTCTTCTTGCTCCCTCACTTTCCCCAATTTGCTTACCCCATCGATCTTGACCATACCCTGCCAGAGTTGCACTAAAAGACATCATTTTCACATCTGTTGAGAGCTCAATACTTCAGTGCCGCAACTCCTGTGTGCTCAGAGAACTACATATCTCTAGCGTCTTTGCTACGCTCACAAGTTGCCCTTCACCTGCGCTCTATAACACCAAGCCATCCATTTTCGACACCCATCCACCCAACATGGACCCATTTAGTGCTCTAAACCTACTATCGGACACGATCTACAAGGGTATTAGGGTCTATGATTGGATCTGTACGCTTCGTGAAGCATCGGACGACATACACAACGCAAGAAACGGGATTTCTAACCATTTGATACTCCTACGACGTGTGCGGCAGTTCGTGAGAAGTGATGGGCAGTTCGCTCCTCAACTAGCTTTTCTAGCCGAACGCAACGAGCTACTCGAAGAAGCAAATCGCGCGATCGTGGAACTCCTAGATCTCGTTGGTGGAGATGCGTCTACCAACAATCCATTGGATAGAGAACCGTCCGGCTGATACACACACTAGTAATCTCCTGAACTTGGCTACCTTGCATTGGAGAGACGTTGCCAAAAAAAAAAAAAAAACTTAGACATCCCCGCTTTCAAGGGCCTGAAAAATGCACAAAGAAACAAAACCTGGATTACAAAGTTCAAGTTACAGGCCAGACCTATCGATACACTTTTGGGGCTCTGCCTGCGCCAGCGGCAATTCGACTTTCTTCGTATCTTTGTTGAGCATGGACGGGCATCTTTTCAGTACGAACCTGAGGCCCTATATACAGCGATGCATGTTCTCCGGCATGAAAGCAAGGCACTTAAAATCTTGAGTTTCTCTTGAGAAATAGCGCCGACCCTAACTCAACCCCCAGCGACGAAGAAAAAGAGTTTGCGTTTGCTCCCTTGCAATTAGCTGTTTACATGCTCGAGTGTGACTGGGTTGAGTTGCTGCTTGATGAGGGTGCCGATGTCAATTGCACTAGAACAGGCGAAGTATTCCCTTCTTGTGCTAGGGAACCCGGTTTCGAGCCCGAGTCACTCGGGGAAATCAGCCGGCGAACATGCTTAGAGATTTGTTCTTATGCCCAATCCTCCTAGCTCAGTGAACCTGGCGTCGATGAGGATAATATTAGAAATAGTATCAGAAGATTACTCAAGCGTCACGGGGCTGAAGACTCTGGCCCTCTTGAAGACCTGGGGATGCAAGACAACTCGGAACTCTACGAAGATTTCCTTGTCACCGACAATCAGCCTAATACAATCGACTAAGCAGATATTATGCTTTGATACCGATGCTCAGTGGCAAGACCCTAAGAACACCAGTGCTTGTTGTGAGCTATGATGGGAATTTGAGCTAAAGCTGGATACTTTAGCATTGATATTGACTAGCTGTATTGCCTTCGCCTCTGACGCAGCAATACTGTTAGGTGATGTGAAGCAAGTGATACTGCGCAAGGCAAGGGTGCATTTATGCGCAGTTAACATACTTGGAACTGAGCCTTGGGTGATAGAAGGAGTTGTGAGGCAGGCACATTATCAATTGAGATAATTATCATACCAATACATTATTAGATAGGTAGATAGGTTATTAGGAATGAATGTATCTTCCGCCAGATATTGCTCCCATCATTGCTACGCAGGCTACTCAATTTTGTACCTATACGATGGATATGACTACGAATACACGGTAATTTAATAAGCCTGATACGGCATTATATGACGAGACGCCAAAACGGGAGATAATTCGTGAAACAGCTGTTCGGAAGTTGACGCGGCACAATAGTTGTCGAAATCGGAGGCGACTTGTATACGTCAACAGTGAAATGACAAATTGTTTGAACTTGCGTTCAACTACTACAAGGCGCCTCTCTTTTCATATTCCTTTCCATTCTTTTTCAGAGACTAAAAGGAATCGCATCATGTTTGTCTCTACTGTACCTAGTGGTTCATTTGCCTAAACTCATAAATTTGTTAGTGATTACACATCCATCTGTATCAATGAGTCTCCTACCCCCTTTGCCATACATCAATAGACACACATATCAGAAATTGAAATTTATGTATAGATGATGCTTGAGTAGACCATCACATTCAATTACACTCGGTATGACCAAAGTAACCACCTGCTAGAGTAGGGACAAGCACCTAATTCATTCCACTAGGTGGCGGCGGCCTTCAACAATAGCTAATGGCAGATGCCCATCAGCTTCACCGTCAAGTCCCCATTGTCCAAGTAACTAAGATATTCCCATTATCCCACTGTTACCACTAGCAAACATTCATGGCAAAAACAAGGGCCTGGTGGGATATTCTCTAGCGAGGTGTTCAGCCCTGATTCAATTCCCACACCAAGCCAAAGCCACTCAACTTTTCCCCTTCATCCCTCATCTGCAAATTCACCCAAACCACACAAAACTGACCGAGCTGCCAGAGGAGCGTATTTTCTAGTCACCATTCTATGTCCACAGTCACCTTGAAGCACTCTCTTGACAATGCGTGTTCCTGAAGTCTTCGTAGCCCTCGTCGGCGGCGCATCCGCAGTGCTTGGCTCCCCGGTTCCCCAGACCACCAATACAGGCAACAGTACTGTGTATTCCTTCGCAGATAGCTGCAACGGGTACAAAGTCAACCAAATTGGCGTGGACGTTTGGCTCAGTGCGTCCTGTCGCAACACAACCGGTGACTGGCCGTATTCCCAGATCAATCTCGACCAGTAAGTGCAAGTCCCAGACACCACTGCTCCATCCTTTCATCCATTATTCCATCTTGTATCTCCGCACCATTTCAGTAGATGAAATACACGTTTGGTCTATCTAACCGACTTCTCTCTTGCCTCTCTCTAGCTGTATCGCGAACAACAAGGGTACAATGGAAGCCCGTGAAGACGGCTACTTCGGTCGGACCTGTGACAGAATGGTCATGCACGGGATCCCGCCCGTCCTGTATGCCTTCTGCAACAACGGTCATGAGGCTATGGAGACGGTCCTCGACATCGGTATGTACATATGTCGATGAAGTGCATTATAACGTATTCCGATTGTAGATGTCAGATACTAACGAATATTATGTGTGACTAGGAGGTTTCGTCGATAATGACAACGGACATTTGCACTGCTTCGGCTACTATGGGGAGGCGTACTAGAACAAGGAGCACAAGTCAGTGCAATTGAAGTTCTTCCTAAGGGGTTCAATTATTGTACCTGCTATGTTAAGCATGCAGAGTGAATTCAAAACCATTGCAGAGGAAATTTAAAAGGCCACTTTCTGCTGTTGATCTGCCATTCCTTGGAGAAAGGCATCTGAGTCCGAAGTTAGATTTGTTTTCGATAATCGGGTTGTATAGGGGTCTAACTAGATAGATCAAATCGCCAATGTTGCGCAATTGCAGGGTTTCACATCATACTTCGTAAAGTGAACAGTTGGCATATCTCGTCCGTTGGGTTAGACCTCTATTTCCTTTTTGCAAGCCAGTGTGTGACTATATATCAACACTTCAAGTTGGCCACTCCCAAACGCCTCGAACTCCTTCCCATGAATTGAAAGCAACGAGCATCGGCCTCCTTATGAGCGCTTTTGGCCCATCTCTTCCATTCCTAGATCGTCCCAATCATCCCCCCATTCCCCAATCTTGCCCCCTATCCAAATTCCAGCAGCAGTTGCCATACTCGCAAGCAGGAACCAACCTTCGAACCACCTATCTACAAAACTAGGCTCAAGAGCACTTTCGAGAGCATCTCCTACGGCACTGCTGACCTCCTTTGGCAGATTACTTCGGAGGAGCAAAGCTGCGGATATTACATAGATAGCACTGATCTGTCCAATCAGTAGAGCAAGATTCGCCTGAGCTTGGTATAAGAGCCCAGGGGTCCATTTTGCGAACAGATTGAAAGTTTGTAGAACACTGTTCGCGCTTGCTGCCAATATGACCCCGGATAACAAGAAAGAAATCTGCCTTGCCCATGCGATCTGGTCTAGTTTCGGATCCCAGTGTTTGGCTAAAAGCCCAAGAAATCGGTTGATTGGATCAGCAGAGGAAAACGAGGCTGTAGGATAGTATAGGCGGCGGAAGGTCGTGAGAGTAGTAGCTAAGACTCGGTAGATGCAATATATACTAAAAGCATATGTCGGTACCAAGAGGATTTTTCCTACAGCGGTTGATGCACGTTCAGAATTGGCTTGTCGGGAGCGTAAAGCATTTAATGAAGATGCCAAGTTTGTTTCCATGGTCTCTAACCCGGCAATCTCGAGACGTAAGCTACGTATTTCTGCCGCATCGCCTCCGCCACGAAAGCTGCCGATGAACTTGGTGACGAATCCTGACTTTTCAGAACTTGTGGCATCGTTGATTTTACGTTGCAAGGTTTGCAAGCGATGTCGTTTAGTCAAAAGCATCTCATTGGTCGCATCCAACCCTGCCTGCTTGCGAGCAATATCAGAATCCGAAATGGGCATTCGTGAGGCTTTGTTTCCAAAGGTTTGCCAGGGCGATGATACAGAGGCAAATCCTGACAAGAGTGCCATGAGGGAGATACCAATAACACCAATGCGCTCAAGACATGCACGGGCTAGGCTATTGGAGGATGTTTCCGACCGGTTTGCCACCACTTGGGTACCAATATGCATGATTTCATCCTTAACAGGGACTAAGTTCCCTAGCGACCAGAATACAAATAACCATGCGCTAAAGAGACTGAATTGAAGAACCCAGGGTATTCGAGGTAGGCGGCCTCGGGCGGTCCGTTGGAAAGACCATCCCGATCCAGCAATAAGCGACTGAAGTTCCAGGAAAGGAATTAGAACAATGAGGAGAAACAAAAGTGTAGGAACCGTGATGCGCAATGCGGTGGCTCGCGCATGAGGGCTGACCAGCTCGGATATCTCACACAAGATCAGCTCAGCCAGAACAGCCGCTAACCCAATGGTAGTGGCAAACGCGCCAGCTGCGACGCGTCGGCGCAGTGATTTAGCACCATGCTCAGCATGAGCTTGCTGCAGGGCCAGAGGCGCATCGGAAGGAAGAAAGTGGTCAGCGCCGTCGCGTGAATTGTGAATGCGAGCTAGCTGTGGAAAGATATTGCGCAAAACGATAGCGGACACAAGAACGAATGTTAGGACGAAGGGAGTCAAGGATATCGTCGTTGACAGCACCGAGTGGGCAGCGACGCCCGGCGCTGTACAGAGACCATCGGTGCACTCTGCAACTCGCATTTGGAAAAGGACTTAGGTGGCGGCGGTTCTCGCACGAGGGAGCACGTATATAAAGGCCGTCGGCGGACAACGTGGGGTGGGCGCGCGGACGGAACGAAGCTGGAGCGTGTCCAGGAGGGTGACGTGTCTTCTCTACCGATATCAGGCTTAACGATACATTTGGAGATTCTTTGGCATATTGGCAGCAGATGCCACTGAGGCAGGACGTGTACGCCTGGGTGCAGAGCTTGGACAGGCGTCGACAGGGACGAGGGTGAAGCACGACGATGGTTGAAGACGATGCCGCTACACCCTAATATCACTGGTCTCGGACGAGGATGACGACGACTGGCTGCAGATGAGACGAAGTGGGGTTGGAACGTCTCACTGGGCTGAGAGCATGCAGGAACCGGCCCACTTCTCGGCCATCGTCATTTACCCAATCCTCGTCAATCCAAATCCAAACTTGGCGCTAAAACACGGGCCCAACATGATCCCTCTGCAGACCCTCTGTACCTAGGTACCTACCAGGTATCTGCTCTTCTGTGCTCTGTATCTGCTCTGTACCTCCGTAGCGTAGCTAGCACAGCCACAGATCCAAGCATCTCTCAGCCCGGGTACCTAGGTACCTAGGTACCTACAGCATCCACCGCTCTGTGGCTGTAAGTCAGAGAGCTCCGAAAAAAAGTTGACCACGATTTGGACGACAATTGCTGCTTGATTTCTCCCGCCCTGAAGGAGAGAATCATAGAGCACCACAGCGCCCATAATGACGGTGTCTAGCAGAGGAGGCAGCATCGCCGCAGCCTTGTTAAAGAGTATGTGTCTCTGTGTGTGGTGTTTTTATTCTCAACTGCTCGGGAGCGGTTGCCCCATCAAAAAGGATATTTGACCCAACGGAAACATAGCTAACACTCAATAACATATTCAGGACAAGCAAATATATGTGCCAGCTGTAGAAATGTTCAATTACGTCCTTACTCGGCCGTGGTCGATGCTGCAGCTATGGCCGAGGCTCATCACCTCAAACCTACCGAATCACACCCACATCCACCCGTCACAGCATCGCGCCGAGCAGAGTACCGAATAAGGAGCGGTGCCATTCTTACGAGAGCACCGCTAATTACCCGTGCCCTCACTCCCTTCGAAAACGCCTTCTTTTTCTACCAAAAGCGTCTAAATGAACGATTAGTGCTACCCTTCAGACACACCCTTTACTTCAAAAAGGACACCGCAGCAGACCTCGACTGGCGGATCAAATTCGAGGAGCGCGGAGAAATCGCGGCTAAAGAGCTAGGCCGCTACTATGCCCAAGGCCGTAACGCCTGGAACGACGAGCTACTAGTTGGTAGTACCTTGAGCAATGAGGAGCGTGTGCGCGAAATCCTGCTTAAAGATGCCGAGTTGCGTGTGACGGAGGATGGAGAGGAGGCGCCCCCAGACGAAATTGTCCCTGTCGAAAGGCCAATGGACAGAATCACCGAGGCCGACAAAACAAACGATATACGGCGGTTGGACCGCTCTTTGGACCGCACTCTATACCTAATCGTCCAACGGACAGATGGAACGTGGCATTTCCCAACCGAGGACGTCCCCACGGACGAAAATTTGCATGAGGTAAGCTAAGTATATCATTCCAGAAAATAGAAGAGATGGAATAAGACTCATAACGATGCAGACCGCCGCAAGAGCCTTGCAACTAGCAGCCGGCGTCAACATGAACACATGGATGGTGGGACGCGTCCCAGTAGCCCACCTCGTCAAGCACCCCGAATTCAACGAAGACACATCGCTGAAGCAGCGCGGCGAAAAGACTTTCTTCCATAAAGGAAGAATCATGGCCGGCCAGGCCGATTTGAAAGGCAACAAGATGGGACTAAAAGACTTCAATTGGTTAACCAAGGATGAACTTAAGACCAAACTTGATAGAGATTATTTTAATGCTGTCAAAAATATGATGGCAGACAGGTAGAAGGGGGCAGAGCGTCGGGTGCACAGCGAATGACCACAGTCTGGGTATGTTGTCTACTACCCAATCTAATGTATGACCAGTCGGGCAAATACCTACCAGTGTATCTATGTACTGTATCCTATCACTGTACTTACGATTATCATATACGGATAAAAACATAAGGGCTTAGGAACAGATGTTCGGGGCCCAAGGACATACATCTTCGGCTAATTCTGCTTCCAAGCCTCTATTTGATACCATATTTGGCTCTAGGTAGCCTGTCGTGGCAAGGCACTGTTCTCATGCTAAATATGGATTCGCGTTCGTTTGCCTCTGCTAAATCACGCATGGTTTCCTAGTATATAGTCCAAAGGCCCCAAAACGGCTTGTCATAGATAGGCCCGTTCCGGTCTAGTCTGGAGAGTTCTAGGACTATTCAGAAGCTGGCATATTTCAGCCGACAACTTTGGAACCAGAGTCAACTTGAACGAGAGTATATCCGAAACAGACTGTAGCCCCCATTCCAAACTACAATGATAGCGGAAAGAGTTTCGAAGATCACTTGAATTCACTCTCAGACACGAGTGGCCCAGTATCTATCGACGGGAAGAGCTGTTAACCCCTAGGAAATATGGCTTTATGGCTCTACCACGGTCATCTACAATGTCTATATGGACTCTCAGGGGACCGGGATGGGCATAAGCCACCTCGTACGTAGAAACGTATTCGTGTTATACACCGACTAAGATGTTGATGTTCGCATATATAATTCGGAGTTGAGAAGCGGTGTTATGTGGTTGGCATTTAGGGTCACCTCATATTACATACGTGGTGTACTCACCTGTCTCATTCAACGCTTCTACACATGAGATCTAGAATTGGATAAGTTCCAAAAGGTATAATACTGTCGAAGCTGATTAGTTGACAACAAGGTACCGTCCATGCTTATATTGCTCATGGATATCTTCCATTACAACGCGCTTTATTTTCGGTTTGCCGACTATATCGAGGAAAATTAATGCGTGGCTGTAGAAATTTCTCCGCGGTCTCAGGTAGGACTACTCTACAGCCGGAATCAATAGCGAGATCATGTATTTACATGTTTTCCTATCTTAGCTACTATATAGGCCTTAGTAAATGTGGTACTATAATGGCTTGAGTACTCATACGAGACCGTTTATGAAACTTGACGAACGTAAGCAGATTTGAATATTACGAATCGTCGCTGTTGCTGCTTTAGCCTATCCTTGAGCTGTAATTTTGAGTTGAGCGTTGCTGTTGACTAGAGGGTTGCTAGTCATCTTGGTGCTGATTGTCATGCATCTCGACATGACTGCATGCTCTAGAAACTCTAGAATTGTACACCAGAAGAGGTTCCTCGTATTGACTCCTTTTATGGCACTACAGTTACAGAGAAGCTATTCGATTAGCAACAAGAATGAAGGCAGCATGAAACAGGTAAAGCCAAAACAGGGTATCAATTGACCGAATTGGACGCCGTCAGTGGACACGAGAAGCTATTCATCTCGACTTGTTGACAATTCGAAGGGAGATGCAGGCAATACTGGGCAACAAATATATCTAATTCTGGGGAGCCTAATTCTGCTCCGTGATCAGATGGGAAACTGCTGGTTTCTTAAGCTATGGCAGTCATAGAAACGTTGACTATATACCACCGAGTCGCAAACAATCATCGCAGCGTGAATTTGCGGCAGCTATAGAGGTGTCGAATGGCTGCCGACGATTCGGAAGTGATCTCGGCATCAGCAATTGCCTGCAGCATCTTCTTCAATCGTCGTCATTGCTCCCGTCGAAGCATCTACGAATTATGGGTTCCATTCCCAGTACTATCTTACGCGCCTTAGATCTTCAGACAAACTCGCATATAATTAGTTCATATGAAAATACACTTGACACTTCCAGATGACTCTTGGGACGGTTTGAATTGTAAGAGAGCAATGAGGTGATGGTCGTAGGAGCTTTCAAAGCTGCATCTTCTCTACATAATGTAGAATTGCCTTGTCCAGGAGAAGAACAAGAATCACCGGGCTGGGAGCTCTGTAATTGGCTTAACAGTCCCACGCCCCCTTGCAGGCCACATAGTTAGTGTAAGTAGCCGATACCTCCGCAGAGATATGCATGTAGTGGGTACTTAATGTAAGTCTCAAGGCACTACAAGACCACCGTAGGTTAGGAGGTAGGTAGGTATAGGTACCTACCTAGGTACACGTGCATGTACCCAAGTACTGGGCCGAGGCACGACGGCATGCAATCACCGGCTGACAAGAGCTTCTGGACTTGTGCAAGTGCAGCTTGTTGACTTTATTTTCTCCTCTCGCCCAACTTGCCGTCGCTTTTGTGCTTGTCGGTATGTTCCATATGCCACAACAACACCCTAAACGCCCATGACTGTGTCCGTCTCAGTGACTATCCCGCAATTTGTCTAAACATTGCCTTCTATTTTCTGTTGTGCTGTCATGTTCAATTACTCCAGCCGCCTGTAGCGTCCATGCCAGTGTAGTCGACTCCATCCTACACCACCCCAACCGTGACTGTGCGGTCTCAAGCAGCTCATGGCGCTCGATGGTTCCTTCTCTGCCACTCTGAGCCCATCGGGCTCAGACACCTTCGGATCCCAACTGCTATCAAGCTCAATATCGTCCCTCGTCCCGTCCACAAATCCACGCGTCGCGCCGTCGCAAATATCTAAGACATATAGGCAGGCGTCGCAGCTATTCCTTACGCGTCGTCTGCCCGAAGCTTTGTCAACTCTCCTCCCACTGATCACGCCCTCGACCGAAGGGCATCAGGCCGATGGTTCAAGAGAGCCTGCACCTGTCGTAAGGGCATCACGGGCTACTAGGATCAAAGTGTGGAGCTTGTATCTGACCATACTCAATGCTGTCTTGGAATTGGACTCTGAAGAAGGCAAAGACGCCTTCGGAACGCAAGAATGGCGGACGTTGTGTCAGAAGGTCAGGAACGGCGATGTTTGGGAGGAGGTTGTGCAGTTCGGGTATCATGGTGTTGAGGGGGATGTTGATTCTGATGTTGTCATAAATCTGTGAGTCATCTATCAGCTTGCACCATTTCACTTCCAGATGTCTACTGCATGGGATAGCTATGGGTCCAAATAGTTGCCTTGATGGTGCCATGAGAACTCTCACTAACCAATCCTCAAGCGCAACGCTTCTGCTCTCGCATGCTCGATCTCAGGTTGTGAACCAGAAACGACTTGAGAATTATCTGGCTGCTTCAAGCACCCCGAATCTGGATATCTCCAGGCAGTTGGAAGCAGCTCGCTCATATAGACCCACGTCGCGAAGCGGAAGGTCAGCATCAAAGGGAGCGGCCAGTGGTGCTGATACACCAAGAGATCTCAATGCAAGAGTCAAGATCCTTGAGTTGTATACTTTGCATGTATTGCTAAGAAATAATGAATGGGATTATGCAAGAGAGTTCATCAGTGTGAGCTCAGTGCTTGACGAAGAGAGGCGAGAGGCGTTCTTGCAAGCTCTTCAGAGCCTCCAAGAAGAACAACAGGCACAGCAGCAAAGAGAACGGGAAGAGCAACAAAGACAGGAGGACAGTTTGAGAAGAGACATCGAAGATGCACGGCGACTGAGAGCAGAAAATGAAGCTAGGGAGCATCGTCGACTGGAAGAGGAACGCGTAAAGCGAGAAGCGAGTGAGGTCGATTACGGCATTGAACAGTCGCCACATCCTTCATCCCCAAGAAAGGCACGGAGTACCAGCAATGGCTCGGCTTTGTCGAAAGCAGCCCCGTCATATTCGTCTACTTCCAAGGCGAAGAAGGCGACAGCGCCCCCTAGCTTGGGAACGAGAGCCGCTATGGTTATAGCAAATCTTCGAATTGTCATTGAGCAGTTAGGATCCTCGCTTAGAACGAATCCCATGCTGCTCATGAGGCTGATGGCCTTTATTATCAGTATAATAGTAGTATTTGGTCGCAGGGATCTCCGAGAGCGGATAAAACGGATTCTCGGGTCAGGATGGAATAAAGTGAAGCAGACTGCAGGAATGGGCGTCAAAGTCTCCTACATCTAATCTAATTAAGGAGTAGATGGGTGCCGTTAGCCAAAAAGCACTACGCAGGTTATACAACGCGGCATAGTTTGTAGCATCCTGTATATCATGGAATGATTGAATGTATTATGATTGAGCACTATCTAGTGCTAAATGGGCAAGTTGATATATCGAAACTCGTAACGAGTTATTATTCCCTTACCAGCGATGTATTAGAGGTATCATATTGATTCCAAACAGACCTGAAATCTCCATAAACGCCAACGTGAATGCAGTTCATAAGCAAACGGTTGCTTCCATTCTAGCTCGTCAGTTAAATCATGGCTCCCCTAGATTATAGTAAACCACGTCCCCAATAGCCCAGACCCGGGCAACATAAAGGCTAATAACCTGTCCGATTTGTTTTCTTTTGATAGAATAACTATAACAAGGAAGCAAAGGTTTTAGTTAGCATATTACCCAGCGATGTTCACAGGCCAAACAAGACAGGAGGTTGGAAAACTCACGTCTGTCCGCGAACTTCCGAGATTTATGATCTTGGGGCACCCATCGCGATCCTTCTCGAGGCGTGTACACTCGAAGCAGTAGAATGCGTCCGATATTCCTTCGCCACCGCATACCACACACTTGTTCTGATAGTTGCCGAAGCTGCACTCGTCACAGATGCGAACGAGCGTCGTGGGGCGTACGTATGAGTCGCAGACAGGACACTTGCCGTCACATTTGTCGCATAGACGGCCGATCGCGATGCCAGACTGCTTGCGGCACATTACGAGATCGCTGTTGCGTATAAGGTCAGCATTGTCTACTAGGTCTAGCATGGGCTAGATAAAGATGCGTGCATGTCGGTTAAGCAAGGGAGCACTTACGGATGATGGCGCGACATGCTGTTAGCCCTCTGTAGTTCTTGGCCTGACCTTGATGAAGATGATGCCTACTGCGGACAAGCTGCAAAGATCTAGAATGGCGCGTGGAAGCGAGCGTGGAGAATGATGTCGGAGGGCTATTTATATTGGTACCTAGGTTATGGCGATAGTGTTTAGGATTTCTCAGCCTTGCCACTTGTTGTAAGATAACTTTTCTTAAGGCTGCATGCCGCAGCTCCAGTGTAGCTTTGGTGGGGTTGGGGCGAGGTACCTACCTACTTAGGTAGGCCAGGAACTTGATTTTAGCTTAATAAGTATATCTAGTTGACTTACGGTGAGTTATGTACCGAGGTCGGTATGCACTTTTCCACTTCTCTTTCAGATTACCTACGTTCTCGATGCCTTCTTTCTACATTTTCCAACTTCATTATTCTTAACGTGTCACTCCATATTGTCGTCAGTGCTTGCAGTACCTATCAAGACGGCTCGGGGAAGCTTGGTGGCGCAGTACTCCAGAACGTTACCCAAGTACGGGCAGGCGTTACTTGGGGGTACCACTGTAATCTGTACTCTCTGTACAATGTACATGGTAGTGGCATCTTAGGAATGGATGGGTTGGTTTGCGACACCAACTACCCAGACACTCGATACTATAACCTCTGCCTGTGAAGGCAAATCTTTCACCACTTGTCCCTTCCCACGAGTGACGACTTCCCTTCTGCTATTGTAATTGTCAAATATTATGGATTAGACGGACTTACTGATCGCGAAACGCCCTCGGGCAATACCTTGAACATTTTAACTTCTAACATCAGCCTCTCAGTGTCATATTCACAAGCCCTTGACTGCGCCGTTTCCTTTGCCCGCGATAAGACCATGTCAGCTATGGAGGAGTGAGTATGAATGGAGATTCCCTCTTGCCCTAGCCGCGGCTGACCAGAATTTCAATCACAAGCTCCCTAGATCACCATGCCATTGGCAAGATGGCTGATCCCGACTCTGAGTCCATTGTAGATCGGAGCCAAGATCCTACCATGGCCAATGCACAACAGAAGCGCAAGGCTTCCTCTCCTCTTGCTGCAGAGGACACATCTCCCAGCTCTACAAAGAGAAGTAGACCAGAAAGCAATCATACCGATGAGCGACACGAGTCTCGACCCAGGTTCACGAGGGAAGCAGGCCCAGACCGGCGCGAGATGGCGCGTCAGGAAGAAAAGAAGCGTGGAAGACGGTTATTAGGTGGTTTGATGAACACTCTTAGCCAAGCCAGTGCCGGCCCCCAGCACAGGAAGCGTCAAGACATTGAGCGACGACAGCAGGCAAAATCTACCCAGCAACGGGCTGAAGAGGATCGCTTTCGCATGCAGAAACTTTCCAAGCTAGAAGCCGTGCGCAAGGTTGAACAACTCAAATTCGACGAGCAAGTTGTACGTTGTCCATTGTATTGTAGCCTTTCTTGCTGCCTGAGGCCCCCAACCGACAAGGATGATTCATCGCTTACGAGAATGCAGATGAAAACTAGACACAACGATATGCTAGCTAAGGCCCGTTACTTACAAACCAAAGCTACACCAAGGATTGTAAGTTACGTAACAACTTGTTTTGCACGATTTCTGGCTCAGTACCAACTAACAGTCGTATTAGTACTACCTGCCATGGGAGCTCACCAGAAGGCAAGAAGAAGCAATCAAGCATCAGATCCATGAGGCTGAAAAGATTATTGACAAAGAAATCTCGGGGTTTCAAGAGCGCAAGAATCAGCGCCTCGAAGTCTTGGGCGTTACTGAAAAGCCATCTTTGAACAACAAAGAGGAAATAGTGGGTAAACTTATTGATGAATCACCTACTGACAAGTCGCAACCTGTTCCTACTAATCGTCCTCCTTCACGCGCTACTAATAAGGTCGGTCCCGAGAAAGAGTCTGATAGAGTCGATGATGTTATGATAGAGGAGGACGAAGATACTGTTATTTACTGACCGGATTGACCTTTTCATGAGGGCGTTGCTAGTTTATTGTGTACTTCGAAAGGAGTTTTGGGCGCCTCTGGTTCGTTTGGTGTATACGGGATCGGGAACGTTGCGCGTGCGCAAGTCCCACGAGTTGTAGGCTGGTAAGAGCAGTAGTCAAGATTACTGACAGATTTGCGTACCTGACAAAATGACCCCCCTTTTGCTTTCGTCTTTGCTGTGACCATCCAATCTCTTGAAGCGGCGATACAACGCCGCTGGCTCCCGGCCCCCGTGATCCTGCGGCTTACACCGCCCGTATTTGGGCGGCTGCTAAATCTTCCCCACACCACAGTCCAACAGAAAAATGCAAGCCTAACCGGGATATGTCTAGTACATATAAATCTGCAGATGTAGCTATAAGACTAAAATAGAGGAGTCTTGTGCATGCTGTCACCGAGAGGCATGGGGTTAGTTCCCTCAGAAAGGCAGCTGCGATTAGTCAATATGTCCATGTCTCTGGGAGCCTCGGGTCGGTGTCATATGTAGGCCAAGTTCGGAGGTTCTTCCTTACTCGTAGCACCACAGCACGGCGCAAAATCTAGCCGCCCGCATAAGGACGGACCTCGTTCTAGCGGGCTATGGATCGCCTGATTTGTCAAGCCGGCTTATGAATTCAGGTTCTCGTATAAAAAATAATTCCTTGTGCCTCCCCTCCTTCACCGTCTTTATCTCAAATTCCCCCCTCTCTTACCCCTTAATATCTGTTTTCCAACATCTCGACCATGGCCTTTGATGCAGGGTGAGTGACATGATAGACGCGATTCAACAAGCTGTGTGTACATCTTGGTGTAGCTCAATTCAAATCTTTGCTCTTTATTTCTGTTTCGCGTGTCTACGCCGTCATCTTTCATCGCTCTGTTGACGAAGCGCTAATAACTTTACATGAAGTGTCCTGGCTGCGAAGGGAGAGGCGGTGGACTGCCTGACTCCTAATGATCCCCGGGTTGAGCACAAGTTCGCTGAGGTGGGGGGCTTCAAGTATCACTACATGTTGGCAAAACCGGCTGAGAAGCCAACGGCGACGGTATTCCTTATCCATGGCTGGTATGACGATATACCCCTCAGATCATCGCGTGGAAGCTCACTAGCAATTCTAGGCCAGATCTTGGTATGGGATGGCGCTACCAGGTCCCTTACTTGCTGTCCATGAACCTACAAGTCGTTGTGCCAGACATGCTGGGTTATGGACAAACCGATGCGCCAGACTCGTATGAAGAGTACAGAATGAAGAACATGACAGCTCATATGGTTGAGATTGTGAAAAGTGTCACTGACCAGCCCATTATCCTTGGTGGACACGATTGGGGTGGTCTTTTTGTTTGGTAAGCCATGCGACTGCTATATACGCTATTCGATTCTTGTCCGCAACTTGCTCCTCAAATTATCGAAGCGCTAGAACTAACAACAACGGGTAGGCGCATGGCGCAGTATTACCCTGAATTGATCCGATGCGTCTTCTCGGTCTGCGTTCCCTACCTACCTCCATCTTCAGTGAGATTGGCGTTGCCAGATTTAGTGGCCAAGATGCCCAACTTCACATACCAGCTGCAGCTTGCAGGCGGCAGGGCGGAAGAAATAGTAGCGAAGTCACCCGAGCGCGTCCGCGGGTTCGTCAACGGCATGTTCGGCGGCAAGACACCGGAGGGCAAGCCGGTCTTCTCCGTCAACGTTGGTGTCCTTGAGGAAAACATTGACAGCATCGGCCAGAGCCCGATGATGAGCAAGGAGATGACCGATTTCTACGTGCAGGAGTTCTCTCGTCACGGCCTCCACGGCCCCTGCAACTGGTACCGGACGCGCGAGCTCAACGGAGATGACGAGGAGGTGATGGCGAAGGACTCGTTCAAATACCCTATGCCTGCTATGTTGCTCATGGCAGACCAGGATGCAGCGCTGCCCGCTTGGATGGCGAGGGGTCAGGAACAGCACTTTGCGGCGAGCCTCAAGCTGGAGACGCTTGAGGGTTGTTCGCACTGGGCTATGATCCAGAAGCCCGCTGAGGTGAATAAGCACATTGGCGACTTTATCAAGGGCATTTTAGGCGACGAGATTAAGCCTACTCTATAGCTCTAGAGGCTCGAGGTATGAGAAAAGGAAAGCCGGTACGGTAGCGAAACCGATGAAACTCAGGTTAGGCCACCCCTCCAAAAGGGGGGCGTTTGCATACCCCGTACCTGAATTTACTGCTCAGTACCTAATCTAGATAGAACCCAAGCTTAGTATTTGGCGAAATGCTCGACTAATTAGAGTGATCTTGATGTATCAGTATCAATGCGCCATCCACGCTTACCTGAGCACCTAGCAGATGAAAAGAGGACGCACGCCTGGGTCTATATTTACGAGGAGTTGTGAAGCCAGGTAACAGGCTACGACTTGAACTTTAGCACACATCGCTTGATGCTTTCTACTCGCTAGTACCTTAGGCATCTAGTAGTAGGTATTTAATTATAATCTACCTACTCTGTAGCTGTTACTTCCATTACTTCCGGGAGAAAACCAGGCGCCGTGGTTCGTTTTCCCCAAATGCTATTGTACAACCGTTACCCATATAGGTAGGAATGCGTAAGCCTTCTACCACGTAGCGAATTGCGCCTCACTCATGACGTCTCGCTGACCCGCTCAGTTAAGCCATCGAGCTCAGCATTAGCAGGCGGCTTAAATGAGCCAAGTTGGATAGGTATCTAACGAAAGCTATGAATACCATGCTGAGATTCTAGATGCCAGGACTACTTACATCTATATGAAAATGTACATAGCTGGTTTTCACATGTACAGATAGGAGAGGAACGAACTGCTTTGATACAAAGTGCTGTTGGAACATGTTAGGGGCTGAGCATCTACTACCTAGGTAGGTATAGTATTTTGCCTTAACTAATACTTAGGTAGCCTGCAGGTACAGGCAGCCGAAGTACTATGTAAGTGTACAGCACAACTCGTCCAATATCCTACGTGACGATAGGTAACTGACAAGCCCTGCAATGTACACTAAGACAAACCAAGGCGGGGCTGAGCTGTTGGCACACGAGGCACAGGCACGATGATGTTAACGTTGGGGCCAAGTCCCAAGAGGCGACAGAGAAGAGACAATCAAGACAATGAAAAGAAGAAGAAGAAGAGGTGAACCCTACCTAGGTAGCGACCGCCTATCCAATCAGAGCAAGGCGGCACCCCAGCAGCCCCAGGTACTGCCCAGGTGTCTTTAGCCCCTGGGTGGCAGCGTGGTAGCGCGGTACGTTTCGTTGCAGTAGCAGGTACATCGTAGGGGCTGTGCAGATTGAAACAAAACTACGCTGCGCTATGAACACGGGCTGGCGTACCTAGAATTCGACTTGCCTACCTACCTATGGTACCAGTAGTTGCGAGGTAATCAAACAGCCCGTCCCAGGTACTGCCAATCTGCTCTGGACATCCTGCTCCTGTCTTTTTTTTTTTTTTTTTCTCTTGATCTTTCTATCTCTTTTGCACCTGCATCCCGACTCAAAAGATTGCATCGGATTGAAACCCTCTACGCTGAGATTTAGACTTTTGACAACCACGGTGACGACATCTGCAGCGCTGGTGTTGGTTGTCTTGGTTGACGTGTGTAATATCGCGCCTTCATTACGGGTATCCGAACTCACCCAGCCCAGCCCAGCCCCGTTTAGGCTGCTTAATCCTACCTCGATTCTCTTACAGCTACGGGCCTGAGCATCTCGTATTGCATGCTACCCTCTTTTTATCGACACAGCCATAGCCTGGCTTTCTCGCTCGCGACAGAATCCGCTCCGTCCCCCTCTAACCATCGACCATCGACCACTGACCACCGAACCGACCACTGACTACCTAACAATCATTTTCCAGCTTGTCTCGAGCTGCCGCTTGGACCGACATCAAGAAACCGTGTCGGTTTCAACGCCTTCCGCAAACAAGCCGTTGTTACCTTTTCTCGTCTCCCATGTCTTCCATTGCTATCCCTGTGTAAGCTTCTGCATCCCTTGGCGACATGGCCGGAAGGGCGCCTCTTGGAGGCTCTTCTGACTCGAGAAATGACCTTCTCCTCGACCTCGACGACCAACCCACCTATGGTGGACAGCGCGCTCACGTGAATGACGACGAGTTGCTTCGCTCGTATAACAACAATAACCCTGGTAACGAATTCCCCTCGCGCCAGTCTGTTTCCTACGATGATTTCATTGGTGGTACAAGTCAGACAACACACCCTAGCGTGAAGAATCCTCCCGCTGGGGCTCTTGCTTCGGGTCTTCGGCCGCCCTATATGGCCGAAAGCGATAGACAGTATAGTCAAACATCTGATTTGAATAATTACCGAAGGTACGCAGACGACTTTGACGATTACCCCGAGGACGACCAATCATACTACCAACATGGTGGAGGGTCGATAAGCGGGGATAACACGATGCGCCGCGAGAACGCCCGGAATCGCAATAGTGTGTTAGGACTTGGTGGTGGGTTCTTGGGCAAAGCGAAGAGCATGTTGGGGATGGGGCAGGGCTACTCGGAGATGGACCTTCCCCTAACAGACGCCGGACATAGACGGGCAGATTCGTCAGCTGATTCTTCACGGCAAGCAAAGCAAAACAAAAAGTTTGAGCTGAAGAACTTCAAGTTTGGGTTTGGGAGTGGCAAGCCAGATCCTTCCACATTAGGTCCTCGGATCATACATCTCAACAATCCACCTGCTAATGCAGCGAACAAATACGTCGACAACCACGTCTCTACCGCCAAATATAACGTCGCCACCTTCTTACCGAAGTTCCTCATCGAGCAGTTCTCTAAATTCGCTAACGTTTTCTTCTTGTTCACGGCCGCGCTACAACAGATTCCTGGGCTATCACCGACGAATCAGTACACCACCATTGGCCCCCTTATCGTTGTTTTGCTGATTTCTGCGGCGAAAGAGCTTGTTGAAGATTACAGGAGAAAGCAAGCAGATAGTGCTTTAAACAATTCGAAAGCTCGGGTGCTGAGAGGGTCGAACTTTGAAGAGACAAGATGGATCAACGTAGCGGTGGGGGATATTGTGCGTGTTGAATCTGAAGAGCCCTTCCCCGCCGACATGGTGCTTCTTGCAAGTTCAGAACCCGAAGGTTTATGTTATATCGAAACAGCTAACCTCGACGGCGAGACAAATCTCAAAATCAAACAGGGTCTTCCTGAGACGTCAGCGTTGGTCAGTCCCGCCGAGCTGAGCCGGCTAGGAGGCAGGGTTCGTTCTGAACAGCCTAACAGCAGCCTCTACACGTACGAGGCGACGCTAACTATGCAAGCTGGCGGTGGAGAGAAGGAGTTGCCACTGAATCCAGAACAGTTGTTGCTCCGAGGCGCTACCCTTCGAAATACTCCGTGGATTCACGGTATAGTTGTCTTCACAGGCCATGAGACGAAGTTGATGCGCAACGCAACAGCTGCCCCGATTAAGCGAACAAAAGTTGAACGACAACTCAATAAGCTCGTGCTTGCATTGATCGGATTACTCTTGATTCTCAGCTCCATCTGCACCATCGGCGACTTAGTATACCGTGCTGTATCAAACGACTCAGTTTCTTATCTCGAGTTGGATCCACTGAATGGTGCTGGTAAAGTTGTTGAGGCCATCTTCAAGGATCTTGTTACATATTGGGTACTCTTTTCGTCTCTGGTTCCAATCTCACTGTTCGTCACGATCGAACTTGTCAAATATTGGCATGGCATACTGATCAACGATGATCTTGACATCTACTATGATCAAACAAATACACCAGCCAACTGTCGGACGTCAAGTTTAGTCGAAGAACTGGGCATGGTCGGGTTTGTCTTCTCCGACAAGACGGGCACTCTGACATGTAACATGATGGAGTTCAAACAATGTTCAATAGGGGGCATCCAATATGCGGAAGAAGTTCCCGAAGATAGGCGAGCCACTGTCCAGGATGGTGTGGTAGTGGGAATCCATGATTTTAAGCAACTTCAAGAAAACCTCAAATCGCACCAGACGTCCGAAGCTATCAAACACTTCTTAGCTCTTTTAGCTACTTGTCACACTGTTATTCCTGAACGGGATGAGAAAGGCGGTAACATCAAATATCAAGCTGCATCACCCGATGAAGGGGCTCTCGTTCAAGGCGCTGTGACCATGGGTTATTCGTTCCTTGCGCGCAAGCCTCGAACTGTCATTATTGAAGTCGATGGTCAGGAGTTGGAATATGAGCTTCTGGCCGTATGTGAATTCAATTCCACGAGGAAACGTATGTCTACTATTTATCGCTGCCCTGATGGAAAGATCCGACTGTACTGCAAAGGTGCGGATACTGTCATCCTGGAGCGCCTCAATGATGACAACCCGCATGTCGAACAGACACTTTTGCACCTGGAAGATTATGCCTCCGAAGGTCTACGAACCCTCTGTTTGGCAATGCGGGAGGTTCCCGAAAACGAATTCCAAGAATGGTATGCCATGTTTGACAAAGCTCAAACAACTGTAGGTGGAAACCGAGCCGATGAGCTAGACAAGGCCGCCGAAATCATTGAACGTGATCTATATCTACTTGGTGCCACTGCTATTGAAGATAGACTTCAAGATGGGGTGCCAGAAACTATTCACACATTACAAGAAGCCAATATCAAAGTCTGGGTTTTAACTGGGGATCGACAGGAAACCGCTATCAACATTGGTATGAGTTCAAAGCTCCTAAGTGAAGATATGATGCTCCTCATTGTCAACGAAGAAAACGCAGCTGCTACACGCCAGAATATCCAAAAGAAACTAGAAGCTATCAGGAACAATGCCGAAGGTTCGGTGGAGATGGATACGCTAGCTCTAGTCATTGATGGCAAATCCCTCACTTACGCGTTGGAGCCTGAGATGGAGAAAATGTTTTACGACCTTGCTGTCATGTGCAAAGCCGTCATTTGCTGTCGTGTATCGCCACTCCAGAAAGCTTTGGTTGTAAAGCTGGTTAAGAAATTTTCCGATGAGATCCTCCTCGCTATTGGCGATGGAGCGAACGATGTGTCTATGATTCAAGCAGCCCATATCGGTGTAGGAATCTCGGGCGTGGAGGGTCTTCAGGCAGCGCGATCTGCCGACGTTTCAATTGCACAATTTCGATTCCTGCGCAAACTGACGCTAGTTCACGGTGCTTGGAGTTATCACCGGATCAGCAAAACAATCCTCTTTTCCTTCTACAAGAACATTGCCCTTTACCAAACGCAATTTTGGGTGAGTCTATACTTTTCTTAATTGTAATTTCCGTGGACTTCCGAGAGGGTTGAGCTAGCGATCTTTCATCCCTCATGATACTCGCCATACATAGCTAATATTTCTCAGTATGCCTTTCAAAACGTGTTCTCCGGTGAAATCATCTACGAATCATGGATGCTTTCCTTCTACAATGTATTTTTCACTGTCTTGCCACCTCTCGCGATTGGTATTCTGGATCAGTACGTGTCTGCCCGCTTGCTTGATCGGTATCCACAGCTGTACACGGCAGGGCAACGCAACGAGTTCTTCAAAATCAAAACATTTGCTGCTTGGATTGCAAATGCCTTCTTCCATTCTCTAATTTTGTATATTTTCTCCGAACTTATTTGGTACGGCGACGGCGTTCTCCGTGACGGGACAATCGGCGGCCACTGGCTCTGGGGCACGGGTCTATACGCCTCGGTCCTAGCAACCGTCCTAGGGAAGGCTGCGTTGGTCACGAGTAACTGGACAAAGTACCATATAATAGCGATACCGGGTAGTTTTCTCTTCTGGTTTGCTTTTGTCGCGGTCTATGGCACAGTTGCTCCCATGCTCAATGTTTCAACCGAACTGCGCGGAATCATACCGGTGCTTTTCACGAGTCCAAATTTCTATATTCAGACGATATTTTTACCTCTCGCTTGCCTTATCCGAGACGTGGCTTGGAAGTACGTCAGGCGAATGTACTATCCCCGAAGCTATCACCACATCCAGGAGATTCAGAAGTATAATATTCAAGACTATCGACCAAGGTGATTTTCCACTCACTCTCATTCCCTTTTTATCCGTGCCGTCACTAACCTTGGACAACAGGATGGAACAGTTTCAGAAGGCAATTAGAAAAGTTCGCCAGGTGCAGCGAATGCGAAAACAACGCGGTTACGCCTTCTCGCAGGCCGACGAAAGCCAGACGCGTGTCATCAACGCCTACGACACAACGAGGGGTAGGGGACGATATGGAGAAATGCCAGCATCAACCGCGCCTCAAGGCAGGTAGCCATTGGTTTGATAGGGTGGCTATGCGTGTATAACGTTTTACTGGAGTCTGGTGCTATGATGACGACATCCGGGTGTATTATTTATGGCATGAGCTGATATTCCAGGCTTAATCAGAATTGGGTGATAAATTACATTTGTCTTCTTTTCACGAGATATCTGATTTGCGGTCCCTTTCTGTCTTTGTCTCTCTGGCCTCGCGGTGTTATTGCCCATGGCTCTTTGCAAGTCTTTCTACGATGAGTTCAGTTACCACGGCCGGCCCTTCTTATTCTAGCTAGATGAGGGTAGAAGACCCCAATGAGAGAGCTGTAGCGTGATCATCACAACGAGGCGAGATCCATTCTTGAATGAATGACAGCATCGTAAAAAATACCTTTAGTTTTCACTCTGCGCTATGAAGACTCGTTAGTGGCTATTTTCGGCCTTCCATACATGCTGACATATCAGTTATCGAAACATTTCTACGATTCAGACTGATCATCGCGTCAGTTGCTATGCCTCGGGTTTTGCATCAACTAGAAGTCGGTTGTCAATTCTCACTAGTAATACCACTATTAGTGCTTAGTATATAGCAATAGAGTGCCTCTTGGGACGATGGCCAAGGATATTGTATTAGTCAATAACGGATTATCCTGTCACATGTTTATTGACACTATAAATCTAGGTACTACACGTATATACTTAATGAAGACCATGGATAGCATAGCCGAGAATTGTTCAACCCGGGTGCGTATAGAATCAGGATATCGCACTTTCATAAGTATTTGGGTGTTCGAAGTTGTTGGAGCAATGTGTGGGGATCAGCTCTCCCATTTCCCTCTGGGAGAGCTAGGGAGGCTAGTAACCGATCCGCCGGGCGAGAGGAAACACACATGCGCTCAATGAGGGTCCCAATCGACATGTGAAAGATTGCAACTAGGCGGGTAGATGTCGTTGGGACCATTTTTCATAAGCACATGTAGATAGGCATGGCAATTACTAAGTGTGTATGTATAGGTATACATGTAGGCAATGTTCGCAATGTCCGTAGCCACTCCGGGCGCGGGCATTGGTCAACCCTGGCTATCGGATTTGCAGGAAAGAGAACATAGAATAGGGTCATTTACTTGTGTGAATAGCTCCAGTGCCCACGTATCTTCATGTAGCTATACTGTAGTCCGAAGTATAGACAAATGTAGAGAATATACTTAACGGAGTGCATATAGGTATCGGCATATAAACTTGACAGGGACTGTAGTTCAAGTCTCCCGTAGCCAGAAAAAGAAAAGGGTCAGGTGAGTTATTTAGAGTTTCCTAACTCAAGCTTATATCTCTCATAGGTATTATACACCTGGGCCAAGCAACTGTAAAGCTTCCATGTCCACCGAGGGGACTGCTGCTTTGGGATAGATACCTACAGAGTAGATTACTGAGCTAGGTAGAGGCAAGATGAGATATTTTCAGTCAGTTATTTACCTATCACTTGGCATTGGCGAGGTGGCTGTCCGGACTCCTTGGATGAGGCTTTAGTGAACGAGTAACGGACACATAAGAAAAAGAAAAAAAGAAAGGCATAGGTGGAAGAGTCACTGTAGCCTCATCGATACCAACTCGGAAAGAATTACCTTCATTAATATTTTTTCATATTCATTATCAGAATTGGCTGTTCACACACGTAGAGCTAGACTGTACAGATAGCGAAGAAAAACCGAGCCGCCGAGGCGCAAGGGTACCGTTGACTGTCACTAAGGACTCTACCACGCGGCCGGGGATCAGACCTAAATATTAGTGTAGCCAGATTTTTTATTTTTTATTTTTTTTTTTTGGTTCCCTGGGCACACGGACCTTGAGCTCTGCAGCCTCTCTTATCCCTTGCCGCTACCTGTAGATGTGATCACATGTAGTGTACTCACGTAACTACGGTACACTACCGACATATACCACCTACCTATACCTACCTACATAGTACATACATATGGTACAGTTACCTATTTGCTACATACACCAAAGGCTACATTATCCATTATCTACAGTAGTACCTATACACACGCTTGTACGGCACTGTATCGGGATTGGCAGGCATCGAAATGCCCTCCGTGCGACCGGAATTATGGGTCCGGGCCCCGTTGACGCCATTGGCCAAGCCTGTCGCTCACTCAGAGGCTGTTCCACCAGAGCTCGCTATAGTACAAAGTAGCTCACTGCCGCCCTGCTGCTAGTGTGCTGTTGGCGTATCTGCTAGTGGACCGATGCGTACTGTACAGCATCTCCCCTGCACTATACCGCGGACTGTCTTTTATAACCCATATATGCTAGGCTAAGCACAACCAGGCCAATTTTCTTTGGACTCTTTCTCCCGTCTCCAGTCCTTTCTCAAGCACGCACCCGCCTGCTTTCCGGCCTAGATCCCGTCGCCGCTATCCATTGACCTGCTCCGGCGAGCCTCAATGGCCTCGTCTTCGAGGGCTCTCGCTCGCTTCGGCGCGGCAGCAACACGGTTGTCCGTTGCCGAGGCTGTGCGCCCATATGCCAATTTCGCGACAGCGACAGCAACCAAACCCTCTGCAACACGCCCCCTTCTCCCATCGCCCGCTGCCGTTTCAAGCGCTGTCGGCCCAATCTCTCGCCAATTCGCAAGGTCTTACGCTGCTGGCTCTGCTGCGTCGCCATCTCCCAAGAAGAAGCCCGGCAAGATCCGGACTACCTTCAAATGGTTGTGGCGCGCAACTTACCTGTCCCTCTTCTTCGGTGTCGGCGCTATTATCTACGATGGCTACTTGGATCGTCACCCAGACGATCAGTTCACCCCTGATCCGCAGAAGAAGACTCTGGTTATCCTTGGTGAGTCATAAATCTGCCAGCCGGACCTCCCCGTGATGGTGGTGGTGGGTGGCGCTGGTGATGGGCCAATGGCGACTAATCTGGGCTTTCGCTTTTTATAGGAACTGGCTGGGGCTCTGTGTCCCTCTTGAAGAAACTTGATACTGCTAACTACAATGTGGTCGTCATCTCTCCCCGCAACTACTTCCTGTTCACGCCTCTGCTGCCCTCATGTACTACCGGAAACATCGAACATCGCTCTATAATGGAACCCATCCGCCAGATCTTACGTCATAAGCACGCTGCCGTGAAATTCTACGAGGCCGAAGCTACCAAGATTGACTACGAGCGCAAGGTTATCAAGATCTCGGATAACAGTGACATCAAAGGTACCATCAACGAGACTGAAGTCCCTTACGATTTGCTTGTTATTGGCGTTGGCGCGGAGAATGCTACTTTCGGTATCCCTGGTGTCCGCGAACACAGCTGCTTCCTCAAGGAGATCCGTGATGCCCAGGCCATCCGAACCAAGATTATGGACTGTGTAGAGACCGCTGCCTTCAAGGATCAGGATTCTTCTGAGATTGATCGCTTGCTTCACATGGTCGTCGTTGGAGGCGGTCCTACCGGTGTTGAGTTTGCCGGCGAGCTACGTGACTTCTTCGACGAAGACATCAAGAAACTGATTCCTGAGATCTCCCCTCGCTTCAAGGTTACTCTCATCGAAGCTTTACCAACCGTTCTTCCCATGTTCTCTAAACAGCTGATTGACTACACCGAAAGCACTTTCAAGGAGGAGCACATCGAGATCAAGACGAAGACGATGGTCAAGAAGGTCACAGACAAGACGGTCGAGGCTCAGGTTACTAACCCAGATGGCAGCAAGTCTGTGATCACCATCCCCTACGGTCTTTTGGTCTGGGCTACTGGCAACGCAGTGCGCCCCTTAATCAAGGACCTCATGTCCCAAATCCCTGCTCAGAAGGACTCAAGGCGTGGCTTGGCCGTCAACGAATACCTTGTCGTTCAAGGAGCACGTGATATCTGGGCCGTTGGTGATTGCGCTGTCGCTGGATACGCTCCTACTGCACAGGTTGCCGCACAGGAGGGTAACTTCTTGGCGCGCTTATTTAACAACATGGCTAAGACCGAATCGCTCGAGAACCGGATTTCTGAGCTCAGCTCCAACTTGAACCTCAAACCCGGAAACGTGGCCGAAATTACAGCCGAGATTGAAATCCTTGAAAAGCAGCTCCGTCGCATCAAGGACGTCAAGCCGTTCAACTACTCTCACCAAGGTAGCTTGGCTTATATCGGCAGCGAGAAGGCTGTCGCCGATATTGCCTGGTTAAACGGAAACGTCGCTTCCGGTGGCAAGCTTACTTACTTGTTCTGGCGAAGTGCCTACTTGAGCATGTGCTTTAGCAGTAAGCTTAATCATTTGTAGACCGTCTAAAAGTCCTCGTACTGACAGTTCTTAGCGCGTAATCGTGTGCTTGTTGCTCTTGATTGGATCAAGGCCAAGCTTTATGGCCGTGATGTCTCCCGGGAGTAGACTCATTTGCGCCTCACTTTTCGCCGAAGAAAAGAGCCACAGCAGCGAGAAAACGAGTTTTACTGAGTAACTCAAACGATAGGTCGCTGAAGAGCCGCGTCAATCTCGGAGTTTGGGTTGGCAAATTCAGAATCAGACTAATCATCCCTCCCTCACCTGGATAGATTGGGAGGGGGTGAGTCGTGTGGGCCTAGACTAACTAGCTTCATTAAATTACGTGTATGTATATGTATGTATGTGTACACGGGGACTGAATTCGATAGAACAGGGACATTGGGCAAACGGTTTATCATAACATAGACGAAAGAGGGAGCTTTGGTTGATTGGAGATGCTTTTGCTCCTTCTTTGTGCAACAGAATCAAACCTAACATTGGCATGGCATGGCTAGGATAGGGTAGGGATAACTCCTGTCGCGGTGGTTCGATACTTTTTCTTACGTTGTATCTCTATAATATATCATTCATACACCAAGCTATACCTGTCTTCTCTACTTGCTCTTCTTTCGCATTGTTGTCGTTTAATCTTTAGATTTTACGATCCAAGGTCCGTGGTTCATACCACACAGATAGATATACGTAGATGCGCATTGCCGCTAGTATTAGACCTACGTTAAGCAAGCTTGGACTCGCAGTAGCGGTATAGACGGGAGGATAGGGTCTAAGTCCGTGGAATTATAGAAGTGGTCTCTTGTCCTTCCCCGTACTGTTTGAGGCTGATGCCGTCTTTAGGATCCTTACTTACTTTATCCGATATAGGAGAGTCGGGCTGAGCTGAATGATCTTATGACATCCTAAGATGAATATCAGGCATAGAAGCTCAAGCCAAATACTAGACGTTGGCTGACGTGTCAATCTAAGAATGTGTATGTATTCGTTCTTATGCTTGTATGTCTATGTAATGTCATCCCAATGCCTGCAGTACGGGCGGCTGCATGTAGCATAGGCTCTAGGTTAGGTTATGCTGGCTGGAGGCTCTTGGTTCCAGGCCTTGGGTTCCAGGGTCTAGTAAACACGGGAGCAGATGTAGCTCAGCAGGTTTGTTGTGTTGAATGGAATGCTGATAAAATAGACTAGATTTGGAGGACTTGGGGTATTTATTTCGACTTCGGTTCCCTTACCACTATAAGTGGTACTCAGAGTCAGCTACCGAGTCTCTGAGCATAGTATAAAGAAGTGCTAAGGTATAATTGCCGTCTGGTAAAGGCCAATTATACTCATCAAGTAGCTCTTAGAAGCAAAGAAAATGTGGTCATAGTACTTACTAGCAAATAGTTTAATGGCAGTGCCATCATCGTTGCACTCTAGCTCTTCTGCGAACTTGAAGCCGAAGCGTTCATAGATCTGTATATTGGGCACGTCGCGACTGGATTCAAGGTAGCAATTCATGTCTTCGGCGTCGGCTTGGTCTGTGACGGCTTTCATCATCAGGCGGCCAACGCCGCGGCCCTGAGCGTTAGGAACAACGACCATAATCTAGAAATAAACTAGGTGGTGAGATGAAAGGCCACATAGAATTGAAACGCCTGGGCTTACGTTTAGAAAATAGTAGCCTCTCGGGTCTGTCCAGACGGTGGATTGTACTTTCGATTGGGCCGCTTTCCAGATCCAGTAACGCTGAGCAGAGTCATATTAGTATCGCGTTCTATGGAATCAAAGTTCGAAGGTCGTGAAGAGAAGCATCAAGCGTAGTTTGGTTTGTTTTGTATGATTGACACATGCACCCAAACAAAATACTCAAGACTAACGATAGCATTGGCCACGACTTTATCTTGGGATTTTAACCCAGTAGTTCATCCCTTGATCGAAAACTGAATTCAAAGATGAGTGCAACTTGGAGGACTCGAAGGACCAAGTTCAGAATCTGTCAAACAGTACCGGACGATCAGGAGATTTTATGCGAATCCTTCGAGCAAGATTTCTTCGCGATGATCGACGTACCTTAACGTTCAGCCCCCCACGGCCGTACCAAATATTCATACCAACTTGGTTGAAATACAACCGCCAATCCTCAAGCCAGTCGTACCAGGTGGGAGACTTGCCAGCTTGCTGTGGTCGCAACCAACAAGCGACACCAAGGACTTCATCACTACCTTCTTCTTTAGCCACGTGGAAGATGCCGTTACGCATTCCCCATCGACAGCGTATTCCTAACGACACCGCATTGCGTTTGGCATTAAACTAGTAGTGGCTGGTTAGCTGGGAACCGGCTTTGCTTTGTCGGGCTATATGTATGTTGAACGACGGAAGCTTTGTTTCAGCGTCAAGGGAATTTTGTTTACTATAGACGGGAGAATAATGAGAATGCTGTTGCCAGGAACACGTGTAAGACAGACAGCAGGGCTGGGCTGGCAAAACTGGTATGGGATCTAGCATGACAGATCATGCAAATGCTTGAAACCTCAGATGTGGTCGATCAACCCCTTTCGTATTTGTTGATCTGGGAAGCTCCGAGTAGCCGAACGAGGGAGATGAAACCCTGTTCATAAGATACGCTTGCTTACCTTGGTCTTATCGAATACCCAGTTATTGTAGGGATCTTCGGCGAAGGCCTCTCTGGAAGTAAAGGTGTCACATTAGTACGAGCTAGAAATGACCAATGGCCAAAACGCCAGGCGTCATATTGCGACTTTGAAACCCATGAGGGCCTTTATCCCTTTAGGTGGAAAAGGCAGACTGAGCCCAGGATCGAGACTAGAAGGGCGGATATGGCAGGATATGGCAGGGCCAAGCTTTGTTCAGTTGAAGCTTGAAATCTGTGACCGACCAAGGACAGGGCTAGGCACTCCACTCACTGAATGGCAGCAACAGCGCCGGGGATATCTCGCTCCGCTAGCAAAGAGACCTGTACCGGCATGCTTGGAGTGACTGGCGAACCAAGGGCAGTGGTTGGTGGATTTATCCCGACTGGCTGAATGATACACTCTGGTCGCTGCGTAAGCGAAGCAGAATGGTGGTATCGTTCGTGTGATGCGACAATGGGGTTGTTTACGGGGCTCTGCTCCTTCGCATTTGCCGCCAGGGCTCGGTTTCCACGTTGTGGCTGATGATCCAGCCTACCAACGGGTACCACCTGGGCAGGAACGTTGTTGAAGGTATCTGATACTCACTGCAAACAAAGGCAGATGGTAGTATACCTACATGTATGTACTTCGGTTATCTACATCCCACACACCAACCTTCAAGGTATGTACATACCTGGCTGGCTCGGTACTCGTTCTGGCGCCACAACAGACGCCATTATCTTGTACATACCTGGTAGTAGATACCTACCTACAATGTACCACCTAAAGGCTGTCAGAAGTGGACGACTGCCTAAAAAGTACACTTCAACACAACGCCACAGCAACCACTGTGTCGCGATACACATTCAATCGGTGTGGTCTGATGTGTGCTACTTCATTGTAGGCCATCGTGTAATCGTGTACTTACCTCTGAGTAGCTGTTGTCAGGTCTGTTACAAGTGGATGGCCCTCGCACAGGTCCCTACACACTGAATGAAACCCTGGTCCGTTCCAAGCTGATCCCTACCCCTGCTGAGACAAGCTACCCCGGAGTCCTGGCCGAGTCTGCCACAAGTAGAGCCTCAAGTCTATGCAATTCCACCCTTCGACGCACCAGAGACCGCTGTCTCATATACTCCCAGCGGCTCTGGTTGGCTCCCCTCAACCGTCCGCCGACAATCTATCGCCAGCACCTCGCAAAGACCAGCGTAGACACGCTCCCGCCTGCGTCAGTTGCTGCGTCACCCGTCACCCAGTCTCCCCGCACAAGCTTGACCATACACCCCTGGCGCCTTGGCTGTCTGCCTTTGCCTTGGTCAGACCTTGGTGTAGCCCATGTACGGACTGTAGTGTCCATCGTAAAGCCTCATGGTTGTATTCCTAGTAGGGTAGAAAATTGTCTCAGCTCTCGTCACCGCCTGCCACCTGGTACTATATAGCAGGTAACCGACAGGGGCTGCGTGATACCAAGATTCTACGGCAGGCCGTCGACAGATGTAACCCCCATGGCCGTGTCAAGGGACCGAACCATCCATTAATTATTCCATTATGGAGCTAGGCCGCCGTCTGTGGATTGAGCTTGACTTGTCAGGGTATTAACGAGATTCGGTTCCCTTGCCGAATCTACCTTTCTCAACTTTTGACTCTCTCCAAATTTTCGATCGCCATTCTTTTACGCTTCTTTTTTACTTGGGGCTGGTCCCGTTCGATTCTCTACTAATCTCAAGACTGGGTTCTTGGTTTGCATTCATACATAGCAGCGCTACTTTTTCTGAGGACATTCCTGGGCTCAACCTGATCATTTTTATACAATATATTATTAATCTGTGGTGGAGGTTATGTTATCGACTAATTCTTTGACGTTTACGTGCGAGGCATCGTAGCACGCAGCCTATCCAACGAAGGTTAAACGAGAAAATATGCCTCCATTATGCAGCGAAAAGCGATATTCTCGGAATAGTGGTCAACACAGAAGAGTGGCGAGCATGATTGCTCGGCCCGTTTTACTTGTCGGCGAACAACTTCACAACGACAATGAAGACACCAATGAGAGTGATGATAATACATCGCCGGACGCCGAAAAGTCAGATATCCGCTTCACTATAGAAAGAAGACAAGATGACGGTGATGACGACAATGACAACGGCAGAGGCAGAAACAGTGGCGATGGCCGGGGGAGAAATCGCAATAGCGACGATGATACTGAGGATGAGGGAGATGGGCGTGACAGGAGCAACCGAGGCGGCGGCCGGAATCGTTCTGATTTCCGTGAACAAGACGACGAAGATGGGGATAGCGACCACGAGAGGGGTTCTGATGACGATAGGGATGGCAATGACAGAGGTAACAGGGGCGGTAACAATAGGGGTGGCGGTAGTGATAATAGAAGTGATGATGATAGTGACGATGATAGCGACGACGATTCAGACTCTAGCTCAGACGATCAATCCTCTACTTCACTTCCTCCGCCACCCACGACGAGCACAGACTCCACTGTCGAAGCGAGTACAACAACACCGACTGTGATATCTATCACATCTATGGTATCTTCTGCATCTACTACATCTACACAATCTGCCTCTACATTATCCACCACGCTTCTATCTATCCCTGAACCAACGGCATCAGCTACGTCACAAACAAATACCATACCTACTCTTACACCGGTTAGTCACCCAAGCATGTTGCAATTAAGACACTAGATATTGATAGGTAACAGCTGCCTGCCTTGCCTGCTTTGGATCCTTCTTCTGTCACGACGTCAGCTACGGCAATTTTAGTCACAACAACGACAGACAACGCTGATAATAGCCTTCCTGCCTCGACATCGGGTGCACTTGCGGACTCCTCAGCATCGACATCATATCCGACTAATGCACGGGGTAGATTCGGCGACAACCATGGCGAGGATGGTAACGGTCATTGGAACGGCAGAGGGGATGGAAAAGAGGACGGGAGAGGGAACGGTAGGGGAAATGAAGGGAGGCTCAGTGCGACGTCAGAACGAATACTAATTGCTGCTGGGTCAATTGGTAAGTAGTTACTGGATGATTCCACGGGACTACTAGTCTAATAGGCTGACAACTATTGAAGGCATTTTTATCGTGCTCTGCTTCATCTTCTGGGTGGTCTATCGGACCATCAAGAAGTCTAAGCAACCTGGTCGCAAGAATCGCACCACTACCTGGACGTCCAGGTTATTTCCTTGGCGTAGAAAGCTGGAAACGACAAAAACTCAATCTTTCAATAGTTTCAACGAGTCCAATGAGGCTTTACCCGCGTACGACGCAGGTAACAATAATCCAATAGAAGGATATGGTTATTATGACCAAAGGAAGTTATACCCACTGCAATCGGAAAGCGTGGCATATCCCTCAGCAGCGACGCTTCGGAATGGCATGACATTAAAGCAGACCGTGGAAGGCCAGCCGCTGCCGCCTAACAACTACATGAATTCATACCCACAGCCCAGGAATCAGATGGTCGACATCAATGATGTCGATTCGACCTTACGATCAAGGATGCCTGGCCCGTACTATAACCAATCTGAATTCGCCCGCCAGCCATCCGACGCATACGATCCGACACAGCGACAAGTATACCGCGCGAGCGAGTTATCGTCGTTGTCATCGGGCTTCGGAGATGGTGACATAATAATACCGCAGCCGAACGCCGCGTTAGCAAAAACACCAGCAGCGGCTCGAGAGGCAGCGAGCACAGATGAAGATTCAGGCAATATTCGCCCGTTCTCTTGGATGAGCCGGACCGGGACCGAACAGCAGCACAGAGACACTATGTACACCACAGCAAGCGACCGCCGATCCAGGTTTCGCTCGGTAAATAGCTGGGTAGATCAGCAAAAAAGGCGAATGAAGAAAGCCGCCGGCTGATATCTATCTCATCCGGGGTAGTCCTTATCATTATCTTTCGTTCAATAGGAAGATACGCCTTGAATGCGAGGTTGTGTTCGGAGTTGAAAACAAGATACATAGCGCCAAACATATCATTTTCGTTTGAAGACAAATTGTCAAATAATTTAAAGAAAGAGTTTATTTAGCTCATAGCTATCTATTCTCTATATATACTCTAGAATACAACTCAGTAATGACACGGTCCTCCTCCTACTAGAAACTTTTATATCATTCTTCCGAACAAATCGCAGGCGTAGAAGATGGATCGAGTACGGAACCGACCGTAACTAACTGAGCGTATGTCATGGCGATATGGAGTTTTGACCATACCCATATAGCCTCTAATCGTCTCATCGGCGTTGTAACTAGAAGGTCAAACTCAGGCGCTACGACCAATTATAATGGTGAAACGTAATGTGTAGGTTTTTACCTTCACATTCAGCAACGCCCTAGTTCCTTAGCTGATCAGCCTTGCAGTATATATAATTCTTATCTGACCTTTGGTACTCGTGTAAGCACGGTGATGGTAGTACCATCGTCCAAAATATCTTCTTTCTCCTCTAGTCTATAGCCTCCGAGACGTGGTAAGATAATCGTCCACGTTAGCCAATATATAATTCCGAACAAAATGCTACAAGAGCAAAGTGTCAGCAAGTCTCAATACTCCTTTTCCCCTTCTCCTTTCCCATACGGCTGTACTATTTCACAGATTTCTAGATTTCGGAAAGGAAGAGGGAGGAAGGGGGAGAGAGTGTGTGTGTATCAGTGGACTTACATCCCCACTCCGACAACAGCGTATGTTGCATACCATAGCTGGCCAGGATTCGGTTTGGAAGGCGGGAAGAACGGTGCTGCTAACAGCGCGACGCAAAACAGAGCTCTAAAGTAAACTGCCGGCATCCAAGCTTTAAAAGGCCGTTTGAGATCAGGCCGCTTGTACCGCAGCCAGATGAGACCAATGGTAATAGCGAGGCCATAGATCTGACCCGGGTACCCTTCTACTTCTAAAATGAAGGAGTACACCTCGCTCGTAGGTGGCAGGGCGATGACGAGAACGGAGGGGATATAATGGACGATGAGACCACCCAAGGGGGCTCCAAATGGTTTTGAAGACGAGAGATACCTCGAGAATGGAAGGAAGCCTGCTCGCGCTACCTCCTGATTGAGTCGGGCCTTGCATATTTCAAGGTCAGTGAGTCCACTGTAAAGAGAAAACATCCGGCCGGACTCACGAGTGCAAAAGTAACTACCATGACATTACCAGCTGCAGAGATGGCTACGGCAAGGGGAAGGAACCGTCTGCCTAGATTCTGGCCGAACACGCGCTCGAAGAAAAGCGCGGCGATAAGCTGCCCGCTCTGCTTGATCTCCTCTACGGGTACCACTGCAAAATACGCAACGTTGGCCAGCAGGTAGAGGAAGCAAGCTGTGACGAGGGCGGACAGCGAGACCGATCTCAACGTCCTGACTGGGTCTTTGACCTCGTTCAAGACATTGTTAAGGTTTGTGAGCCCGGCATACGAGTAAAAAACCTTGAAGAGCGAGGTAGCAATGGTCCCGAAGCTCCAGTCACTGTCCTCCCACAGACCTTCCCAGCCCTCATATCTGAACGGTGTCATAGGTGCTTCGTCGGGGCTACTACTGCTATGTGCCGGCTGGAAAACCACGACGTATAAGGCTGAGAGAACCATGAAGATCACCAGTCCGACTTTGATCCAGCCCAGGAAATTCTGAATCCGTATGCCTGCCCGGTACCAGACTCCGTGTATTACGGTGATAGCTGTAAGTAGGCCGATAGCAAGCCCCTTGCGCCATAGGTCGGCAGGCTCCTTGTCGAACGCGAAGAAGACGTACTGGCTGAATATGACGCAGTTACTTGCCGTAAAACCTAGTAGAACGGCCTGGGTGGCGACGAGAGTTGAGGCAAGAAAGCGCGGTCGCGCTACACAAAAGTTCAGCAGTCAGAATATCACTGTTTATAGAGCAAAAGGATCCACGTCACGTTTTCAGGGGGGAGTTTGAGGGACCATATAAGTATCAATGACTTCCGCTAAAAGGGGAAAGGGAGAAAAGTCCTTGGGATATGCATACTGTAAGTAAATTCGAGATAGACTTTCTCGCCCCCCGAGCGCGGCAGCATGCAGCCGTACTCGAGACTGACAGCCAAGCCTGCGGCGACGATAATAGCGCCGACAACCCAGATAGACAGTGACAAGCCTACGCTTCCTACCGACTTCAAGACGACGCCCGGCACGGCGAAGATTCCGCTCCCGATGACACGGCTAATAGCAATCACGTAAGCACTTTTCCAGTCAAGCGTTCGACCAAGTGTTGATTCCTCAGGGATCACATCGTCTTCCAAGCGGCCGTGCTCTGGCCGTGGGGCCTGTCCATTCTCATCTGGAGATGATACGGCAAGCAGAGGCCGCTGCTCATCTTGTGGGTCATGGGCCATATCTATGACTTCGTTTCGGGGGGAGGGGGGGAAGTTGTGAGTTCAAGTCCGGAATATCCGTGTACAGATCCGCCGTGATATCGCGACTCTATTCGAGACCGTCTTCACCAATATATTATCATACAGACAACAGATCACAACTATATGTGTCGATGCTCTCTCATATCAGGAGGTGTCATGTCAAGACGAGAATGTGAAGAACAGGTGATGTTCGAAGCCATGCTTCAGCTTCCCGGCTTAGAAAGCTGGTGATAATGGATTGCGCCATGTGAGGTGAGAGGATCTGCTGACAAAAGCGAACCAAAGTTATCCGTTGGGGAACAGTGACTGATTGTTGATGTTTGATGTTTTGGGTGGTCGCACGCCATATGTCACAATGCTTGCATCAGCGAAGGAGCACAGCGAGAGATTACCCTTGAAGAAGCGCTAGGACGCCCAACCCCCAACCGCAGCCACGATTCCTGATTACCTACCAAGCAAGATATGTAGTGCATACACTGATAGATGTTAGAAATACCAATGTAATCTTTTCGTAGTAGACTACAACGACCAGTCAAACGTCTATGTCTCGTGTCAAGTAGAAAGGTTTCCTAAGCTGAACTGCTCATATATAGCGAAACATACGGCTCTTTGCCCGGATATGTCTGGACTCATTGCAATATTATGGAAATTCAAACATGAGACATAAACTGAAGACTCATGGATAGAATCCGCGGCTCTTCATATACTAGCAGAAGTATTGACGATATACTGAGTACGCAAGGGTAGCTGAGCCTCAGTCAGCGTGGTCGCGATAGCATACCAGAGTGAGGCTATTACAAAGCTTTGCCCATAATACAGTAGACCCAGTTACTCTCCGACAATTAGATGAAGAGATCGCAGGGTACTGAAGCACGTCGAGAATGTCAGGCCCAAATCGATGTGTCGGAGTGTGCAATATGGCAACAAATAAGTCTTGATCGTTCAGGCCCCAGGGTCAGTGCCTTATAATTGAAGATAGACCATGCCACCTCCTCAGCTTAAGCATATTCCGAGAATGAGAAAAGGTATCAGTATTCTGTTCCGCGCTGGCAATGTTACTCAGAACCACCGTCGGTATAATGTCTTCTTCTAGTATTTACCTAGTTTAACAGTTATTTGGTTGTCCTATTGAAGAGCGAACACAGCCTCGAGTGGGCGCAGTTCAAGCTTGCAATTAGGCAGCTAAATAACTGCCAAGGCGCAATTGCTGCGTACGCCAGCTTGGGAAACCGCAGGTCATGGGTACTTACTTAAGTATCTATCCCCTTATCCTCTTGGCTACATATTGTACTATGTAGTGCCTCGTGATACCGAGGTATTACCAAAGTGGAATGTAGGTACGTCTCAGCCCGAGTTCAGCCCAATCCCATCCCCGCTGTCTTGTGTTAAGCAGAATCCATCTAAAGATCTTTACAGTAGTCTAGTATTTTGTTACGAGGTTACCTGTACGGTGGGCCACTACCACAAAGTGCGAAAATAAAAAATCAGGTTAAGTGCGGGGTAAAACTTATTTTCCAACTTTACCTAAGGGATCTAAAAGTTTTAAAAATATAAATAATTATTTAAATACGTATTTTAAAAGTTATATAAATAATCTATAGCTTATATTAAGCATTATAATTATTTAAGTTATAGCTTTTAGCTATATAGGTTTATATTATAAGTCAGTATTATAGTTAGTACTATAGGTTTATATTATAGGTCAGTACTATAGGTTAATATTAAAGGTCTGTATTGTAGTTAGTACTGTAGGTCTGTATTATAAGTCAGTATTAAAGGTCAATATTGCAGTCTGTATTATAGGTCTGTATTGAAGGTCTGTATTGAAGGTCTGTATTAAAGGTCTGTATTGAAGGTCTGTATTGAAGGTCAGTATTGCAGTCAGTACTGTAGGTCTGTATTGCAGTCAGTACTGTAGGTCTGTATTAAAGGTCTGTATTGAAGGTCTATATTAAAGGTCTGTATTATAAGTCAGTATTAAAGGTCAGTATTGAAGGTCTGTATTAAAGGTCTGTACTATAGGTCTATATTGTAGTCAGTATTAAAGGTTAGTATTAAAGGTCTATATTAAAGGTCCTATTTAATGGTTAAGTTATAGCTTAATTAATAACTTATTATATATACGCTTATATATAGTTAACCTTTTTATATATAATTTATATAAGTTAATTATAATATAAATTATAATAAAAACTTATAATATTAACCTTTAATATTAACTTATAATATAAACCTTTAATATTAACCTATAGTATTAACTATAATATAGACCTTTAATATAAACCTTTAATATAAACCTTTAATATAAACCTTTAATATAAACCTTTAATATTAACTTATAATATAAACCTATAGTATAGACCTTTAATATAGATCTTTAATACAGACCTTTAATATAGACCTTTAATATAAACCTTTAATATAGACCTTTAATATTAACCTATAATACTGACTGCAATATAGACCTATAGTATAGACCTTTAATATAAACCTTTAATACTAACCTTTAATATTAACTTATAATATAAACCTTTAATACAGACCTATAGTACTGATTACAATATTGACCTTTAATATTAACTGTAATATAGACCTATAATATTAACTTACAATATAGACCTATAATATTAATTATAATATAAACCTATATAGCTAAAAGCTATAACTTAAATAGTTATAAAGCTTAATATAAACTATAAATTATTTATATAACCTTTAAAATAGGCATTTAAGTAATTATTTATATTTTTAAAACTTTACTTTATACCCTTTATTATATTTGGTCCCCTTAGGTAAAGTTGGAAAATAGGTTTTACCCCGCACTTGACCTGATTTTTTTATTTTCGCACTTTGTGGTAGTGGCCCACCCTATACCTGCTCAACTCAGGTACAGTAGGTAGGCGGTTCAACTAAACGAGCTAAATACATTGTAGTTTTGGGGGCGGCTTGGTCTGTTCCTGGGTTCGGGATCTGCATTTTAGTGCATGTACTAGTACCGCCGCCATGTCTTTGCTGCTATTTTCAGGCTCATGATCCACGTGGAGGGGCATCTTCGTCATCCCGCCTCGACAGTGCTGCGTAAGTTAGTACTTGGACGCTCAATTCTGTATACCTAATATACGCCATTGCGATCGCCTCGCTCATTTTCCGCGGTGCTATCACCTCTCCCTCTTTAACCCAGCTGGGTCCTAAACGCTTCACTCTTTGTTCCATTTGTTCTGCATCGGGGCCCGTCGCGATCTGCCAACGACGAACTGTGCGCTGGTTCCAGATATCCTGCCATTGTATTCCACAATGCTCGACGAAAACCTACCAACGTTCTACTTCAGACAGCCCTCAGATAATCCTCTCTCTACAAATCTGTATTTTACTCAGAATGGCTCCGAACCCGTTGCCGAATACACCTTACAAAGACTCGATCCCACGCTTCCTCAGGCCAGGAATAAATATGCCATAGCACTGGGTGACGCCAGCGCTCACGGTGTCATCTTTGCTGAGGTCCTTATCGAGCCCGAATTCCAACAACCTAGCCTCTCTGCCGCCGAAATCCGTGCGCGCAACGGTGCTCCTACAACACCTGTTCCCATAATACCTGAAAGTTTCACAGTTCAGCTATATAATCCAGACCAGCAGGTTGTCATCAGAGGAGAGAAGAGCACGTGGATGGGCAAAGAGTCCTTTGAGTTCGAGATCCCACAACAGACGTTTCGTACACCGTCGGCATCGCAGATCGATCGGCAACAAAACAACCCTGTCACCAATAGCCTCACACCCAAGATTATGTTTAAATGGAAGCGCGAGAGCAAATTCAGCAAAGACATGACCTGCTACATGACGGGGCGCTCTGTTGGTGGTAAGAAAAGCAAGGAACCTGACATAACGGTCGCGTTATACCAACACGGGCGAGAGAAGGCCGTCACCATCTACGAGCCCAACCTACAGAGGGTGGAAGTCGAAGACCGCAAAGGTCTTGAGATTGTTCTACTTCTAGGCGCAGAAGTTATTCGTGAGATTTATTTGACACCTAGTCGAGACTCGTTCAATGTAGGTGGCGTGCCAGCGAATAAGCGCAAGAACTCCAAGCCCCTAGGCAACAGCCCGGGTTCCCCTAAACCGGATGCTTACACCATGACCTCTGGCATCGGGGTTTCTGTGCCCGCAGCTGTAAACTCGCCAGCAGCACAACAGCCTACTCAACCACCCACGAACTCACTGGATGATCGTGAAAGGGAAAAGAGGGATAAAGCCGAGCAAAAGAGGATCAAGAAAATGTTAGAAGACGAGGAGAGGGAGCGACGGAAGCGGGATGCCGAAGTAGAAAAGGAGACCGAAAGACTGAGAAAGGAATTTGGCATGGAAGGGCAAGATTTTGGGCCGAGACCTAATCTACCTCCACGCCCCGGTCCAAGCGGCAGTACAGGACCGAGTCGTCCCGCATTACATTTACAGACTCCGGCGCCGCCGCCGAGGCCCTTAAGCGCCGGTCCAAGACCTACTGGGCATAGTAGTTGGTTCTCCGGTCCTGCTATGGGTCCCGGAATGCCGCCTCAGCCCGCATTCTATGGACCGCCCCAACCTCAACCCAAACCTGGACGGCGGAGGGGTGGGAGTGGAGACGGCAAGATTCACAAGAAGAAGAGCACCTTTTTCTAGGAGATTATGGGGGATGTATAGAAGATAGCCTTCTGTAGACTGTTACGTTTCCAGCGAACTTGTTTTTGAAAGCAGGCACGAAGGTCTGAATACACCTAGCATGACAGTTAGTTGATACCCATTATGAATCCATTTAATTTGTTTCCTCCTATCCAATCTAAGCATTAACAGCCTAGGTAGTGCCTTTCAATAATAAATATAGTCCTTGCCTTCTATCCCTTCCTACTGGTGTACACCTCAAGCATCAAGCAGGAAGGCAATGACAAAGCACCCTCACACTCATCACGGCATATCCAGCAACATAATTTAGGTGCAACTACTTTCCTTCACAGATATTACTTCTGTCCCATCCTGGTCCCCGTCTTACCCAAGAATTGCTATTACTCTGGCAATTGGTTAACATATTAGCTTAGTGCTAGTCCCACAGGGCAGTCACACCCCTTCAATCAAGTCCATGCCTGGAATAATACAAATCTCTCACATCACTGTTCCACCACTTAGCCTTAGGATAGGTGCCCTTGACCCAGGCATTTCTCATTGAACCATTTTTGAAGAGTTAGGCCGATCACCACTTGCAAGACAGGAGCCTGACATTACTATCATCCAAGAAAGGTAACTTACAAATCTCAAGTCACGCGTGGCAAGCCTCACTAACCCTCTCAGACTATCAGGCCAATATAGCATTTCTTAAGATCGTCCGAATACGCACTGAGATGACTATCTATAAGCTCCTGCTGCTGCTTTTGTCGTGATTAGCACAGCTGATTCCTACTTCCTCGCTTCTAGTATAGAGTTGCCATACCATAAAACTTCTCAATACAGATCAGCCTTCTGCATAGCTCGCGCACCTTCTCAAACTTCGCCCAGCGAGCAATTCGCTTGAAAATGCCTTCGATACTTAAAAATTGTGTGGTGTCGATTGCAGGCGATCTTGATGACAACGACTGGCGAGAAGAGAAGGTGAAGCAGTGGGTCAAGTACCAAGGAGGCAAGTTTACAGACACCATCGACGAGAATGTCACCCACCTCCTGTGCACCGAGGCGAACTACAAGAAAAAAATCGCCCCCGTTCGAGCGGCACTCATGAACAAGGCAACGAAGATAGTCTATCGCGATTGGCTCGAAGACTCCAGTGAGTAATCTCCGTATCACTATCCCCATTCATATCTCGATGCAATACAGGTCATACTGCAGCTATAACTGCATTTCAGAACCACTGGGCCTTTGAGGCGTTAGTTGAGAATGGTAGTTTCCTAACCTTGGCCCTCGCAGTCAACAAGAAGTCGTGCTTGAAGACGCTAGAGTACCAGCTGGATGCGAAAGAACAGAAGGAGAATGCTAAGAAGCGCAGGCTTGAAAAAAATCAAAAGTGTTCGAGCAACGCGGAGTACTTTGTCGACGAACGTAAGCCATGGAATGCGACTTTAGAAAATATATATGTATATACTGACGACTGTTGTAAAGGATTCTGGCATGCCTACCACGATGAAACCTTTTTCAAATATCAGGTTCAACTCACGCGTGCCGATGAAGAAAGTGGCGACATCCGCGAAAAGCATTTAATGACTGTAAGTTAACAAATTTTCAATTAATCTTACGCTCTCTCTACATCTCAGCAACTGACTAGCCAACTAATCATTACTTTTACCTACTTAGCTTTGGGAAAGTAATGCCAAACCGTACAACTATATATGCACTACCTTATATACAAAGCGCAGAGAGACAAGTAGAGGTCGCTTCCCAGAATCTCCAGTCGATTTCAATACAGCCTTCAGGAAATTCAAGGGGTTCTTCAAAAAGAAAACGAATATAGGGTGGGATGATCGTATCAACAAGGTGGGCACCACGAGCCCGGAGTCCTTTCAGTATCAACCACCTGTACGTACTCATTTCACGCAACCACTTTGATGTTTTTGGTTCACTGTTTCTTCGAGGCTTTTTGCTCGTAGGTCACAGGATTTCTAACGTTGAATTACAGAGCGGCGGTAAGCCAGTAGGTATCATTAAGCACCTCCTAGATACGGCTAAGAATAAAAAACAGCACAGTAATAACCATTTAAAATCAAAGGCCAGCGAGACCTCTCGCAAGCATCCCAGAGAGTCGTATGTCGCCAATAATAACGCAAATGAATCTGACAATGTTGAGCGTTCTGCGAAAAGATCTCGGCATGAGGGTGCTGAAATCGTTTGCTCGCCTGTCGAGGTTAGAGATGTCTCTTCTAAGCCTAAGCAGAGCGATATCATCGATTCGAACACTGATGGTGAATACGGGACTATTCAGGTTACCCACGAACAGCCGCCCGGAGATAACGATACTGCCAGCGAACGTGAACTCCAGTTAGAATCGAGTAATGAGCAGCCTAGCGATAGATACGAGCAAGAGCAGGACTCTCCACAACAACAATACGACACATCGCAAAGTCTCTTAGACGACGACAAACATATACCGTCATATGGCCCGGAAACGAGCAACGGAGGACCCGGATATCAATTCGAGACCAGCAACACTGAAACAGCCATACGTTGCACAACTCCCGCACGTGACAAAATCACATACCCCGAGGTCGAAGACGATTACTACACCTATGATGACGATTATGATGGTCACGATGCCGAGGCTTCAGTGATGGATCCAGAAGCAACCGGTCCCCCCACCTCAGCCTAATGTATACCCCAGAGACGAACTTTGGCGTAGGTCACACGAGTGGGTACTTGATTCTCCGAACTAGAGACGAGTGTGCGATCTTACGAGATGTAGAGACGCGAGGTAACGACATGCGATAAAACATATGAAGACTACGAGAGAAAAAAAAAAAAAAATTATAGGCCCCTATTTACAAGACTGGAGGAGTGAAAAAGTCCAGATTCAGATCTGCGCTGATTTTATGTCCATGCTTTACAATCTGCGATGATTTCTCGGGCGAGCAGGGACACGCTCGAAGGCGCTATGGGCAATTCGAATTATTAAACGGGATCAGACATCTCTGTTCCATTTCAAGATGAGGCATTGCGGAGAACTGCCAGTCGATATACGGGCTCTATACTTATATTCATACCAAAATGGAGGAGGAACATATCGGGTTTAGCTATACCCCAGGTTAGACGGATGGGCCGGTAGATAACCTTACAACGTAGATTTAAATACTCACATGTCTTCATAGATTCCTAGGTTTGATGTGCATCCATGTACAGGTATGGTTCCTGAGCTAATCACGATGAAGAGAAACAAGATCGCCGCAAGCCGTAGGCAGCATCATCCTCATGGAAGTAGATTTCACTAGAAGCATTCCCTCCTCACATCCTATCAACCAGGACGCATTGCGCTGTATGAGACCATACAATATCGACGTACATACATCTCGTCAAGTCATCAGTCATTTCCCGCCGTTGTAACACATGCATGCTAACCTGACACTTTACGTTTGTTTGGGTCTCTGACCCTGCCATCAGTAACACTTGGTACTATGCTCGTCAGACACTCATTTCCAATGATCTGCCCTACTTAGAGACAATTTGCTGATCAAAATCTGCTAATCAAAATCTGAGCTTCGGAAACACAAAGACCAGCAACACTGCGAAGACGGCGAGCCCCGCGATCCACGCATATAGGATCATGCGGCCCCACCAGCCCTTACCCTCGGTGAGACGGCGCAGGCTCCCCATGCGTCCTGCGACACCATCGAGGTTTCGCTCGTTGCGATCAAGCCCTTTACTTGCACCCTCCAACACATCTTGGTCCTCGCGCAGCGCCGTCGAGAAGGCATGCGTGGACGCTTTTAACGCTTTTGCCATTGAGACCATGGACTCAGTCAGCTTGTCTTGCTCCGCACGATGGTGGTCTAATATTGCCTCGGCCGTCGCAGTTGTTGTAGCTGTGGTTGTGGACGAGGCTGCGGCAGCACCGAGGAGCTGAGAGCGTAGCGCACTGGTTGTTGTTGCTGTGTCTGTTACTGGGGCTTTTTGTGCGGCGATTGCGCTTCCGCGAGGACGAAGTGTGGGTGACGTGATTGTGGTTGTAGCATGCGGCTCGGGAGGCAGTGTTGGCGAGGCAGCTGTCACAGGTACTATTAATGGCGAGGCTTGCTTAGTAGGCATTGGTTGAGGCGCTGCTTGCTTTGGTTCAGGTAAAATAGTCGACTCGCCCTCACAATCTTCACTTTCTTGTTGCTGCACGTCTCCTAACTCGTCGCGGATATGGTCGGCTGATCTCGAGTCAGAGCTCTGACTCGGAGTTGGAATGATATCTCCTAACAAGTCCTCGCCCTCGTCACTGTCATCTTCGTCGCTGTCTATGCTTATGTCGTCGAGCTCGCGCAATCTCTCCACAAGCTGTTCGAATATGTCTCGTTTCTGGTTCAGGTCGGCCTGCATCTCCACTCTCCTCGAGTGCACTTTGATAGCTAACGCATCCTGTTCTAACTTGGTGAGGAGAGTGCGAGCGTACTCAAGGTTCTGTGGTGGTGCAGGACGGTTAGAGAGACAGTCTATCCAAGAACCAAACAAGGTATATCACTTACTATACCAGCCTTGTTGCGCTCATGCTCGCTCGTTCGCAGGCTCCGCTCTCGCTCGGCGTCGGCGTGTAGAATACTCTGTTGTAAGCGACTGAGCAGACGGGTAAGGTCCGTTAGCGAGTCGGGATTGGACACGCTTCTGTGAGGCGTGATGGGTCCCTGAGTAAGTCGCGCCATACGGTATCCTCACTCGATGGTGTTTATCTGGTTGAAACAGGAGCTGCTTCGTCCTTGGATGTGGATATATCGAAGCTTGATGTAAACTTAGGTAGCTGTTGTCGTAGTAGTGTAGTATTGCAGGATGGTGAGCGCGGAATCATGAGCTTCGAATGAAACGGTTGGAGGGGCTGATCGGCGTCGAGTTGACACGGGCGGACACCACGCGTTGTCCACTTAGTTGCGTTAAGTACTTAGGCCCTACATGGGTACTTCACTGTTGTACCCTGGGGCCTGTCTGGGTACATACCGTATTACCTGAGATTATAGAAACAACGCGCCGTTGAGAAAATCGAGGTGGCGCTTCCTAATAAGGAATTATTTCCACTATTCTCAGCCTTAGTACCAAATAAAAGACCATTTCCCCAGTAAATTCTGCCTCAATTAGGGAAAGGCTGCGATTTTCTCAACGGCGCGTTGTTTCTATAATCTCAGGTAATTAGAGGAGTGTACCTACATAGGAGGTACCTACATGTGTACATAGAGTACATCTGGTACTTGAAGGTATTGATATTAACGGAGAGAAGGAAAAATACCTACTCTGTGGATGATGATGAGATCATTGAGAAGCAGGTCGACGCTTTTGTAATTCTCAGGTCCCAGATACTTCAACATTGTCTTCTATATAATATTGTCGCCTCTGTCGAATTGAAGAGAGTCATTAACGCTGTCAAATGCCTAATCGCTTTGGACTGCGGTACAAGCGCCCCTTCGTCAATATGGCACTGAAAGACGACGATTGTCTTTTGCAGTGCCATGGATCTCGTCACTTGAATACATTTCAAGAAGTAGGTGTTGTAAGAGACGCAATGCTGGATGGTATCTTGCTCGCCGGTCACGGTAGACCATCCCGTCATTGGCCCCAGCCTGCCTATCGCATTCTTCGCTACAACGTGGGGGTGGCTTTGTTGCCTCGTCAGGCTGACTGACTATCTACCGTAGACGAAGCGTTTCTGCTCCCGAGAACATTTGTAACCGCCGCGTACAGCTGACCAGCAGAACTTCGAGCCATGAGTTCAAAACTTGAACCAACTGCAACGGTCAAACAAACAAGATCAGCTATTCGTAACGCTTCTAAATAGTATCATTCAGCTTTGTTTAGGTTTATTATGGATTCCGACGAATGGCAGGCAAATATCACATGTGTGCCTCAAAAGCGTCCTTTCGAACAAGATCCGGTTGAGTCGAAGCGAAGAAACCATGGTTCCGAACATCGTAATGGGGCTTCAAGGCCAACAAGGCGAACAGTGGATGACTATACTGTTGGCTGGATCTGTGCTCTTCCTATCGAGATGGCGGCGGCAAAGTGTATGCTGCAAGTCATCCACGGTAATCTGGAGAAGAGCCCCAGCGACAGCAACGCATATATCTTGGGCAGTCTTCACAGCCACAATGTAGTCATTGCCTGTTTACCAATGGCCGGGTACGGCACAAATAATGCCGCCATCGTGGCGAGCAATATGCGCCGGACGTTTCCCTTCATACGAATGTTCCTACTAGTCGGAATAGGTGGTGGTGTCCCAGATATTGAGCATGACGTACGACTTGGCGACGTAGTGATCAGCACAGGCGTAATCCAGTACGACATAGGCAAGACTATTCAGCAAGGCCTTTTCCAAGCAACCGGTGTTATTCGTCGGCCCATGCCAACCCTCATGACTGTCGTTTCGGCATTACGAGCACGACATGAATCAGAGCCCTCCCAGATTCCCGATATTCTTTCTGATATGCGAAGACGTTACCCCACTATGAGAGAATACACCGATCTCGAGCGACTCCAGGATTTATTGTTCGATAGTGCCTATGACCATGCCGAGTCGAGTGAAAATTGTAATGACTGTGATAGATTAAGATTGAAGCACCGGCCTATGCGAAATGATCAGCACCCACAAATCCATTACGGAATCATTGCCTCTGGAAACCAAGTCATGAAGCATGCTAGGACAAGGGACCGATTGGCGCAAGAGTACAAGGCTATTTGTTTTGAAATGGAGCCGGCCGGCCTAATGGAGAGCTTTCAGTGTTTAGTTATCCGTGGAGTCTGCGACTACTCAGATTCTCATAAGAGCAAAGAGTGGCAGAAATATGCATCAGCTACAGCAGCAGCGTACACGAACGAGCTTCTATCAGTTATACCTACGACGGGAATTGAATCAAGTTCGAGTAGTACGTGTTTCTAACAGTCAATGAATTTAGGCTTCGTTGACACATCGATAGGAGAAGTGATTCAAGACAGGCGACGGCTTCTGATGGATTCACTGTCGTTTTCAAAAATTGATGCTCGACATTCCAACATCAAGCCTGCTCATGGCAAGACATGCGCATGGCTGCTCAGTCATCCCGATTATATAGGATGGCTAGCTCCCACTGAATACCCTCAGCATCATGGGCTTCTTTGGATTCATGGAAAACCTGGCGCTGGAAAGTCAACTTTAATGAAGTATATTTACACGCGTGCACAAGAGAACGCAGGTATCACTCTCTCTTTCTTCTTCAATGCAAGAGGAGATGCTTTAGAGAAATCGACAGAAGGAATGTACCGATCATTACTACTTCAACTTCTCGAAAAACTGCCAGACCTCCAAGAAGTGCTCGATCAGGCTGGCTACCATTGTTCAAGCTATAATAGCAATGTCCCATGGCGGATTGATTCCCTCCAAAGCCTCTTTTCTGCTGCTATCGCTAAGATTGGGAGACAACGAGTAACATGCTTCATTGACGCTCTTGATGAATGTAGTGAGTCTCAGGTTCGGGATATGGTTGAATATCTTGAGCAGCTTGGGCAGTATGCCCTTGAATCTGGAAAGCAGCTTTACATATGTTTTTCGAGTCGTCACTACCCCACAATCTGCATACAGCACGGACGCTCGTTGACATTGGAAGACCAGAATGGACATAGTCTAGATCTAGAAAAGTATGTTCGAAACAAGCTTAAGGCTGGGAAAGGAAAAGACGTCGAGCCCATCAGGGCTGAGCTTCTTCAAAAGTCTGCTGGCGTTTTTATGTGGGTTGTTTTAGTTGTCGACATCCTGAACGAAGAATTCGAACGAGGTCGTATTTTTGCAGTACGGAAACGACTACGAGAAACACCCGCTGAACTGAGTGCATTGTTCAAGAACATCTTGCGACGAGACAACAAGAATATGGCGGATCTTTTGCTTTGTATTCAATGGATACTCTATGCGAAATGCCCATTAAAACCCGAAGAATTTTACTTTGCAGTAGTAGCCGGGCTGGATCCGGAGCCGCAAAACTTAAGTGAATGGGATCCTCAATACATCACAACAGATGATATAAAACGATTTGTTTCAAGTTCATCAAAAGGGCTCGCCGAAGTCACTAAGCCCAGAGCTGGAACCGTTCAATTCATCCACGAGTCTGTACGGGATTTTCTCCTGAAAGACGGAGGCATTCGTGACTTGTGGCCTGACCTGGAGAGAGATTTCCAAAGTCGGAGTCATAATCAGCTGAAGGAATGTTGTTACACTTTCATGAAAACAGATATATCTGTTCACGTTTCGTTTGATCGCATGAAAACATATGTATCTAAATACGATCAACGGCTCCCAAAAGCATCTTCCGATGAAGCAAAAGCTTTGCGACAGCGGCTATCAGAAAAGTTTCCTTTCCTCCAATATGCGACCCACAACGTACTTTACCATGCCAACGCTGCTGCGATAGATTTACCTCAAGAAAAGTTTCTGAAGACTTTTGACCTTGAAAGCTGGATTTACCTGAATAACGTGATCGAAAACTTCGAAATTCGTCGTCACACTCCATCTGCAAGTCTGCCATACATTCTTGCCGAGAACAACTTTGCCAGTCTCATAAACAGTATGTTTCGCTATGACTCGAGAATCTCTTTTCAAGGAGAGCGGTACGCATCTCCCCTGTTCGCTGCCATAGTGAACGGACATCAGGAGGCAATAGTGGCTCTCTTACAGTTGGGGGAAACGGCGCTCGTTGAAAATGGACTTAGGGAATTTAAATCATCTAGATACGGGCAGAATTTCAAACTCAGCAAGGGACAAACACCATTGCACTGGGCTATGAAGGGAGGATGTCAAGCCATTATGCAACTGCTACTACTTGATCAAGGCACTGATATCGAGTCAGAGTATAACGATTCTCGCCCTCTAAGCCTAGCTGCTGAGCACAAACATACAGAGATTCTAAAGTTATTGCTAGATCGGGGTGCTAATACTGAGGTATGCAATGGGGCTGGTATAAGACCTCTTGGGCAGGCTGCCTTGCTTGGGCATACAGAGATGTTGCAGTTATTGCTAGATCGGGGTGCTAATATCGAGCCAGGCACTCTGTCATTCGCCATTTCGTGTGGACATACAAACGCCATACAGCTATTGTTGGATCGTGGTGCTGATATTGAGTCAAAAGATAGATTTGGCTTCACACCACTATTCTGGGCTGTTATACAAAGACGTCTAGAGATCGTGAAGCTGTTATTGCATAGGGGTGCTAATTTCAGGGCTATGGACAATGCTGGCGACACCCCAATGTCACTCGCTATGCGCTATAAGCATGAAGAGATGGTACGGGTATTATCGGCGTTCGAGAACGGTCAAGAAAATTAACGTACCTCAAACATCATCTACATACTTCAGGTTAGGTTAGATCACTTAGTCAACCCCGTGCTCACCAGGCCCTGCTCAGATAGCAACCTCTATCACTACGTTCGTTCAACCCCGTGCTCACCAGGCCCTGCTCAAGATATGTTTGAAGTTAACGCAAGTAGGCGCAGACGATCCTTGGGGACTTCTGGCTATGCTCTGGCTAGAAGCAGCATGGCTATCGCGAAAATCACAGGTTAACACGACATGATAAACCCTGTCTATTTGTGAGATAGACTGGATCTTAGCCAAGATCACCATAGGGACACGAGACAAGAACAATTGGCTTTCAATGGCACGGCTTCACATGTACTTGTCAATGAGTGATTTTATTACATATATAAATATTCATTCTCCTTCAGCCACAGGGTGTATACTAATTAAGTTATGTGATGAATTAAACGCGCTAAGCGAAATCCACATTCCTCACCGTTCGCTAGTGGTAGACCATGATAGCTAATTCATAATACAATAGACGGAGTTCTTGCTATCCTCCCTCGTCCAGATATCTCGACCCATCTTTCAGCCCTTCGCATTGTTTGAAGCGTTCTCTAAAAAACCTAGCAAAAAGTTCCGATCTGCGGACGAAAGAGGCGTCGCACTATTACGCCTTGACCGCTGCGAAGCAAATGACGTCAGCCGTGAACGAGGCATCGGTCCAGGACCAGTAGCCATCTGTTCAGATCCTACCGCATCCTTAGTCATGCCCTGTTCAATTTCTGGCGCCGGTGGCTTTCCTAATATGGACAACAATGTGTTTTTGTGCTCCACTGTCGAATTTTGCCGGGGCTTGATCATGCCAGGCGTAGGAAGCGTAGAGGCAGATGGAGAGCCCCGAACTTGTGATAGAGGATTGGTGGCGCCACCCTGACTCCCGCCAAACGGGTAAGACGGTATAGCATGTGTCTGGACCTGGCTAGCTGCTTGCTTTGGAGACTGAACACGCGTATTTAGGTAACTCTGGTAAGGTGACATGTGGCGCCGAGGCGACATTTTGCCTCGCGATGACGCTGGACTCGGATGAGAACGCGTCGGTGGGTTGATAGTAACCTCATTGGAATTTCGTGTAGGTAACGCTGGACTCTGAGCTGATGTACGGCTAGGACCACGGCGCAGTATAGAATGTGCACCGTAAGGTAAATTGAGCTCAGGATTGAACTGAATAGGTTGTCCGTTCCCCCTAGCGGCAGTTTTTAGAACATCAGCAGTAGACGGGCCGTGTCTTGTGCGCTGTTGAATTGGCGAATCGGCCTTGTCGACCCGAGGGACGGCCGTTGATAATGACGCGCCTTGGCCGTCGCCCTGTTGAGGGACGGCAGGCAACCCGGTTTTTAGCAAGCCTAACAACGAGACACGGTGCTGGTCTGTTGGTGCAATGGGACGGTGGTTACCACGCGAAAAGGGGGCTGGTGCGTTCATAGTGGCTGCAGGATATGGAGCCGACGGTATGGCTGTGCCGCCGTACTGGCCACGGAATGCGGCCTCAGGAGTGTGTGTTGGTTGTACCCGGCGCTGGCTCTCTCCAAGGGAGGGCAAGTTACTGGTCAAAGACGGAGGGTATGAAGTGGCGACCGGCGCTCCTGAAGCCGGAAGACTATCCCCTTTTAATACGTTTAGTAAGTTGACAGAATGTGCACCTAATTGAGGCCCGTGCTTTGCACGCTCGTCCATGCCTCTATGTTGTTGAGGCTGAAGTTGGGCACCACCAGCTACTGAGTGCAGACCCTGAGGTAGGCCATGAGAAGCGGGCTGATTGGCACTACCTATAACATTTGGTGATGAGGCCAGTTCGCGTAGATCACGTAGAAGCATCTCCTTTTGGACCTGGGGAGGTAGAGGTTGCGGATGCAATAGCTGGACAGGTGGATTTTCTGGTTTCCGTATCAGTTGGGGGATTTCATTCGTGATATAGACTTGCGGTCGCGGTCTAAGGGGATATTGTTGCTGGACAGACGGGCCAGTATGCGCGTTGATAGGGAATGATGATGGTGCCGAGGAATTGGATCCAGAAAATACATGAGCCTGCCCATGATGATGCATTGTCGATGAGTGAAGCATGTTTGTGATTTCTTCACCATAGGGTTCATGGAGTTGGCTTTGTCCTGGTCTGGATCCCGTATTGACCGTCTTAGGTTGTAGAATAGACAGTAACGCCTGTCCGGCCGGCTGGTTTGGAGTCTGAGATGGGAGCTGGAGGCCTTGAGTGGGGGGTTTGATCTGAAGGAGCCGCTGTAACTCTCTAGTTGCGCTATCGATATTTTCTGGATGTGAGCTGGAAGGTGGTGGTGGCGGCTCGTGCAATATGTTATCATCTATGAGGTTTTCTTCATACAAAGCTTGTGGATGAAGATGTCCAGTATAAGCTGGGGCGCTCTGCTCGTCCAGCTTCTTCTGCTTCAAAACCCATTGTCTTAGTTGCACCATAAAGGGCGCAACCATATAGAACCTATCTTGCGAAGACGTCCCTGGACCTTGATTCTTTGCAGCGCCTTTCTTTTTCCTATATGCAGGCAGATCGGAAAGCTTATACCATTTAATATCGCCTATCTCTTTCCTTGTTCTCGTTTCGAAAACGGTGTCCTCTGGAATACCACGGAAGACGTACAGCCGCACTTGTTGGTCATGCATAGTGACCTCGAGGGGATGGACAGGTGAGTTCTTCTCCATCAAGCCAGCTGCGCGGATATCATAGCCTGTCTCCTCGTAGACCTCTCGAATTGCGCAATCGACATCATCTTCATCTTTGTTGATCTTCCCTCGAGGGAAACTCCAGCTCGCCCCCTTCTTGTACCCTCTAACAAGCACTGCGGCGTCCATGGCATCATTGAGCATGATGGCCCCTCGGACGGGGACTCTGGTCTTATACTGCATGAACTCATCGAACGCCTTAAGGTGAATGTCGGCGGAGAAGGACGCCAGAAGCGGGCAGTGCTGGAACATCTTCAGACTGAACGTCCTCAATGACATGGATGGTAAGGTGGGATCTAAGGGCCGGATGAAGTCTTCGTAGAACCATTGCGCCTCTTCAATTTGGAAGCAGATGCGCGCCACTGATGAGAGGTCCTCTCGGGGGAGGTTTATGATGAATCGGACGCAGAGATCGTCCAGCCCTAGGAGAGTTTGTCAGATATATCAGGTCGAAATGAACGGTGGCGGCCATGGAGCGCGTGACGGAGTGACTGGCTACAGTAACATACAATCTTCTAGAGACATTTTTTCTTGCGCCATCTTGACCTCTACAGACTTGCATGACCAAATCTATGTAGCTATAGAGGAGAGGGACCAATGAATAAAGGACGGGTCCTGTGGTTTGATATCGTCACGGATATTTTTGGGAGAATCGGGAACCAGCGGGGTGGGTGCCGATTGCGCTCAACGGCGATTGTTCGGGGTAAGAGGTGTGGATGGCGTAGGTAGATGGCGTTAACAGCCTGCTTGCGACAGTGAGCACGACGCCGGGATGGAAAGGACAGAGAAAGGAGATGAGGAGATATATTGTGTGCGTGGCGCAAGGATAGCGAACGAAGAACGAGGTGACGGACCGTGGTACTGAGCCGGTGGACTACGTGGACATAGAATACCTACACCCAACGTGGTTGGCGATGCCCAAAGCCGTCAGCCAGTCAGTCACGTCGTGGCGTGGCAGCTCGGTCTACCTACCGCTAGGTACCTATTGTGGGCTACCTAATGCAACCTGGAAGTGAGGAGGTAGGAGGGAAGTAAGTACCAGTACGTACTGTTAGGTGGGGACCTCCATACAGGATGTACCTGGCAGTACCTGACAGCACTACCGGTGCTACTGTGGCGTTATGTGGTCCGGGTACCTAGGTAGGTAGCGAGCCGATAGCGAGCCGATAGCCTTACCTAATCTCTTGGGGCTGATATGTACACCTACTGAATAGACAATGACTGGACAATGACAGGACTACCAGGTAAGTAGACGTGTGTTGGCTTCGGTCATGTGCTCCTGTAATACTCACCTGTCTTTGATCCCGTCAGGTGACTGAGCAACAGGATAGGATATATGCATATTATGAATGAAGACAGACATAGACGGCGTTGTCCACTTCGTCGAACTGCCCACCTAATACCTACATAGTAGGTAGTTTCAAAGAACTTCATTTCTAGTACAGCCAACCCTCGGACATATTCAGAGGAAGCTTCTCCCCCTACCTATTGATTGTATTGAATAGTAGAGCTTGTTATATTCATTCACCTAATAGCCCGCCCGAATCGATTGGGGCTACGGTTAGTGGCGTGCATCCGTGCTAGCGATTTTTCGTTTTATATGTATTTCACCGAGCATCATATCATATGACCATGGCGTGTACAAACATCTGGCACCTACGACTCTGAAGCCTGGCAACTGGTGATGACTTTCCATGTAGGCAATCGAGCAAGTATGAGCGAGTTGGATACGATAACAAGCAGGGCAGAGAGCGCTTTCTGTAAAGCGAGCGCCGCGATGGTATTCAAGTAAACTTCCAAGATGCGTCATTGCACCGGGTAGCCTCAACTTCAGCAGCTACGATATCCGTCCCAAGGCGGTTTAGGCGTAGAACAACTCGCTGCTGTTCGTCTCCGAGGCTATATCTATACAATATACAAGACCGATCAACTTATAACTCCCCTCTAGCTATATTTTAGCACAATAGTTAGGTCTCTACATCATGATAGCATCATCGAACACCAGGAGTCACTCCCGGTATGAGGTTAACAGTAAGACTCTTATTACTACGCGAAGTCTAGAAGGTCAAACCTCAGTTTCAATGAGTGAGGGCACTCAAGCTCCTTCTGGCTACCTATATACACTTGATCTGTGAAGCCACTGCTTTGCAATTCGGTATACCTCCTAACGTTCAGAATGCGTATCGGTAGATATCTTAAAATCATCAGAAGGGCTTGCTTCTTTTGAAAATGTCGAGGCTCACTTACTTTCTGTGAGGCCCATGCCTGAGGACAAGAAGCCTCTGGTGCCTCCATCATCTTTATCCACTTCTTCTCCCTCTCCTCTTAGTCCCCATCCCCGCTGCTTTCTTGGCCCCCAGCCACTTGTCTCCTCTCTCAGTTTTTCGCAATGATTTCTGTTGTTGGATCTCCTCGCTTCTTTGGTGCTCGTTGTCATCTTCAACCATCTAGGAGTGGACTGGCTAGCCTATCTCTTGTAATATCTCGTAACAAATTACAACAGCACTCCCCAATCTTAGCTCAAGTTATTGTCTACGGTACCTCACTTTTAAGGTCATACTCCCATAACTGATCAAGTTTCTTATTTACTTTCTCATTCATCAATGCGAGCTGGATACAGTTACCTGCGTTAATGCATTCCCCTTCGATACAACTTACCCAACACCCCTACCTTGTGGTTCCGCCGGTCATCTAGTCAGTGAATATCTTGCTACTAAGTATTGACAAATAACGGATGAGTTTCACATCAGCAGACTGCTGCGAACGGCAAGGGCCTAGCTCACAAGAGAATTCTAAAACTTCTATGTAGCAATAATATAGGTACAGGATTCCTGACCGCATCTATTGACGGAGCCGGACGGTGAGGTTACACTTGTCCTAAGAAAGCCTTACTCGAATTTCGTTAACAACCTATCGTGCGATCACGATGACAGCACTGGAAGCTATTTTCTACAGCGAGGAACCTTCAGTGGAAGTGTCAAAAGACAAGGCTAAATATCCGAGCGGCACAGCATTCAACATGCCCACTTCACTTGGCCAAGACAATTGTAGTATTATGCGTAAATTACGACCTGCTTCTTTGTGACTAAGTCACCCATCCCTCGGTTCGATTGAACTTCGTATTTTTTAGTTTAAAACGGATTCAAATAGTACATTGCGGATTATATTAGTAACTTTTGGACTTGGCGCCCCGGTACTAGTGCTGCACTAGCCCTTCTCGCTTGCTTACGTATGGACCACACGATACCTATCCTTGCAGTTGTCGAAGTCCCTGCCATTTGGACGTCAGTTTTCCAGGTTACAGTAGTTAGTCTAGGGTTCGAAGTTCGCGGAATGTTGTATGAGAGAGCATAACAGGAGGGCCGATGGTATAAAAATAGATGTAGTGGCTTGATGAAGAGGCAGCAATAATCGAGAAGAATTATTATATAAACTGATCGAGTTATGCTCTTCGCTGATTTCATACTTTCGCTGTACTCTACCTCAATAACTACTACAGTTGCAGCTCTTCCAGGTCTTCTTTCGAATTATATTATCAAACTACCACAAGCTACCTCGCTCATCATGCGTGTATCTATGTCCGCTTTGTCTTTCGCGGCTGTCGCGGCTGCTATTGACCTCCCAAACTATCCTCCAGACGGAAACGTTGCTCTTACGGTAGGGGCTGGCTCAAGCCTCGAGGGATACAAACTCGCTGGATTTTTGAGCGAGGGGAAGGGTTTCCCGGAACTCGTGCCTGCAACTGAGGCCAAACCAGACACATGGTATCTACACTTCTGGAACCTTGTCCACACCGGTTGGTACGCGATTACTATGAGTATGTTACCGGCTGCATTTGAAACTAGAGTTGCTATGAGCTTCGACTCTTCATGAAACTTACATCGAATATTTGGTAGACATTGATGGCACGACCTATCAACTTGAAAGAAACCCAAACGATTTTGAGTTAACTCCCCAGACGGAATACTCCTCCGGCGACGATCTTTGGCAACCCAGATTAGACTCTCCTGTTTTCCCTTGGTGGGGTAAGTAGTAGCCGTCCCTGGTTGCCTATTAACGATGTTGAATAACGGTCGCTAACTACCCGACAGGTAGTGAAACGGCGTTTCCCTTTGGCTGCACCCGAGATGATGGGCACATTCAGCTTTCCATTCACGAGGCAGACGACGTCCCTGCGAACTGCGAACAGATCCAGTTGGAGTACCACCTACTTGCCTAGATAGCTTGAGGTTGTTGCAGCCTCAGTGTTGAATTGTACATCTAAACTTGGGCGGCATGCTAGCGGCATTACTAAGACTGTATATACAATTTCGGCACACGGGAAGAACACTACACGCTATGCCTCTTGTCAAGTAGAATATTTATACACTTAATGACTGTTACACGCGTACAAACTGTACTAGCTGAATATGCAGTTTGCCTTGCGCTTCGGCCGTACGAAAGGCCATTGCAGGCCGTTCATGATCATTCAGAGACATGCAGGCAATATTGGAAAGTGAGGTTATACAGACTTCGCTTCTTGAAACAGACCCTAGAGACCCAGGCGATCCGGGCTAGCAGACCAGTTGTATATAGAGTAGAACCAAGCCACCAACAGCCGAGAAGGAGTTGATTGGTCAAGAACTCATGCAGCCCTAGTTGTTCATTATAATCTGAATTGCCTAGATTCCAAGCTCAGTATTGCTGCCCTTGTTATATCAGTTTAGAACCCATAAAAATCTCGGTTCGGTAAAATCAAGCAGTTGGATATTTACAGTGTCGACGGTGGTCAGAAAATAAAAAGAATAATAACGGCTGATACATTCACCTAACAATAAAATATCCAGTAATGATGCTATCATTGTACGTGTAATTCGTGACCAGGTTACATGCATTTGGATGAGAGGTTGCCAAGTGTTGAGAGCCGCTTCTAATTTTAGTGTAATGCGGGGATGGTATCCACTGTAGTGGACGTAACCACGAAATCGGGTCTGGAGTGGGCCGGCAGCTTACACAAGGGCTATCTACTACGTACCTATACCTCCTCACACATTCAATTCCTTATTGGACTCATAAGTTGGTGTGGCCAAATATTGATGCTACCCAGGGTGTGTAAGACGATTTGTATGGATATAAGCAGCCGTCAGTAGCACGCCCCATGCCGCATAAAGACCAAATAGCTAGCACAAGCGTGATCAGAACTCAAAGCATCGAGAACTCTTCATTTTAGGGCAACTATCTTGTAATGGGGTATACCTAACTCCGATACTCCCTATATTTACGATCCTATCATCAAGATCCTGTAGATCATTCCACAGGGGCTACTTCTCACTGCTGAGCATTTGACATTACCTACTGAGGCGGTAGTGTAACATGGGAAGACTGACTTCCGCCCCACCTCCTAAATCTTTATGTCCAGCGGTGCTTGTTCATGCGGCGACATCAACAGTGTTTGGCATCTCAGATGACGTGTCGAACTTATCGTCACTTTCATTATTATCGTCGTCGTCGATGCGAAGCATCGCAAATCGGTTCCCCGCGCCCGCTACCGGCGACTTTACCAAAGGATACTGCGGCTTAATCTCCGCCTTTTGAACGGGCTCAAAGGGTTGATCACACTCGTCGATATCCCACTCGATCTTGGATCCCTTGTATTTTCTGACGGCACCTGTTAGATTTGTATATTACTACTTGTCATTTGGGAACAACTTACGCGCGGCTCATCATACATGTCCTTGCGAACATGGCATTGTGTACAGAATTGGTCTTTATGAAACAGCTGCCTCCTACAAACTCAACCTTGACCACAATTAGATTGTGTATATGCTCTAGGTCTTCGCGGACGCTGTCCTCGGTATGGTGGGCACCACAGCGTCGAATTATCAGATTTCGGGTAGCGCCAGTAGCGACCTTGTTCGCGACGTGCCCAGGAAGAATGAAGTGACGGTCGGCCCATTTGACGAAAACCTGACGCATCATTAGTGACCCAGATATAGCAGCAACAGTGTTCATTGCACATACTCTCTTGTTCTTTATGTAGACGTCATTTCTTCTCGCGTGATCATAGAACCGAACTGCATCCTCCTCCCGTACAAACGATACAGACGCAGTGTGCTCAGCACTTCTGAGGAATACATCTAGCAGCCGACCACAACGCACTACACTCGTCACATCTCCCAGGGTAGTATATGTTGGCAGTCCATAAAACGCAATCGTTCGTTTGCACATACGAGGGTAAACGGGCTTGTGAATCTGATGTAGTGCGTCGACATGCGCATCCGTCGGTCCGTCGGCGGAATAGGAAGGAGTCAAAGTGCCACCTAGCTGTTCGTGACTATTCCAGTCATGACTCTCTTCCAATGTAGCGGGCCTGGATCCACTATTGAAGTACGAAACGTTTCCAGAAGCGTAATTCGTGATAGAGCTATATGGGGTATACGATGACCCTCGTAAGGCTGATGCTGGGCACAAAGCATCTTCAGGACTTGTGTTTAGATCATCGCTCTGGTTATGGTTGTAATGCGGCGTGATCATTACATAGGATTCAGTTTCGTTACCACCAGTAGCATCTTGGACGAGAGTCTGGCGATTATCAACGGAGCTGAAGAAGTAGGTGGGTTCATTTGGCTATAATATGCACTTACGGCAATATTTTGCTCTGTGACACCAGCTCCCAAGAGACTTCTTTTTAGGTTCGCTAGGACACACTTAGCTGGCGTCTAATAGGAAATACTTTATGTTGCAGTCGCCAGGTTGATTCGAAGCTCACCGAATTGGCGGGAAAGTAAGACCAGACTATCGTATTCTTTCTTGGGTACAGGCACTACGGTCTCATCGTCGCAAACAAATTGTGTTGCGCTTGTGCCATGATTCTTCTAGTGGCAAGTCACCTAGTTAGAGTAGACGCAGATTGTCGCCCCAATGGGTAACGCACATTGGCTCTAGATAGTAATAGAGGATTAGGTTTCGGGCCATGCAACACAGGTAGAGCAGCATCATGAGACTCAGCACTCAGCTGGACTACTTGGGCATGAAAACTTGGGAGAAATTCAGACTCACCTCCGTAAGAGGGTATCGAAATAGGTCCGGTCAATTGTGACAGGATCTGCGATTGAAGACGACATGTTGGGATTGAAGAAGAACCGGTCTTCTCGTTTTTCCCAAGACAAATTGGAGAAAGAAAGAAAAAAAGGCAACGTGGGGAGACAAATCGAATGTGGGAGGATGGATAGGAAATAATATCTTGAATCACTACCTAGGTAAGGGGGGTTGATTTCGTTAGGTGTTGGGAAGGGGGGTCGAAGTACAGGAGTGGCAGGGGATCTTCAGGATCTCGGCAGGCACTGTAGCAGCAAGAAAGAGACACACGGCAGCCGTGGGGTGGCATCCCCTACATATGTAAGTACCTACTTACTTATTCAAGGTTAACATGTAGTACTGGAAGGTGCAGGTAGATAGAGCTCTAGGTACCTGCAGTTGATGCATCTATTGTAATCATACATTCCCGTCGTACATGTACCTACCTAAGTACCTACATTAACTGTTGGTTGCAAGATCCTAACTTTTAGTAAGGCGTCTGGGTAGGTACATCTTTCCGTATTGTCTGAAACTGTCTTCCCTGTACAGGTAAGAGCCTGAAATCTAGTGAGCAGCGCTGTACGAAGGTGCCACCTTGGGATACGGAACACATATGTAGTCGACACGTTCATGTGAGTTCGGGTGATATATGTAAGTACATTTTCCAGTTTGGTAATAGTACCTAAGTATCGTGAAGGCCTGTAGTTCTAATTGATGCTGCTAGGGAAGTACATATAATAGATGTACTAGGTACTTATTGACTACCTCACCTCTGGGTCACTTTTAGTAGGTACACTACTACCTACAGTACATAGTTGCTCTAGAGATTAGGTAGGTACGTTAGATGCGTGTACTCTGCTACTCCCGGACCATACCTAGGTACGTAGTAATGGAGCTACTGTAAAGCAAAGCATCGTGACCCCGCATGCTAAGTTAGTTTGACATATTGGCCAAGGCACCCTCCCATCGAAATATCTACAGCTACCTACATCTAAGTATGCAACAGTTCATGAAGCTGGAGGTAGGTAGGTACACAGGTGTGGTTAGAAGATACCATTTGCGGAGGGGCAAAATCCGCGTATGTGTACTTTATCTCCTGGCCTACTGACTACCTAAGGCACTGAAGAGCAGGCAGGATGGTTACCTATCAAGCCAACCTGACATTAGGTACCTATGTAAGTATGTAGGTACCTAATCTACCTACCTACCTGTACGTACAGGTAACATGTGTACTACATACCTGTAAGAAGTATCAGGAGGTTTACATAGGTAGGCGCTTCTGATTTCAGGTTCTTTCTGGCTCTTGCGTCAATTGGACAAAAAGATACCGCAATCCAACTCCGTCCTCCAATGGCTCATAAGAGGGTTTGTACAAGCAACCAACATGTCAGCCTCGATGCACACTATCAACATCATGTGCACTGCGTTTGCAAATCACACAGCAAACAGCCCCCCTCATTGTGAGGTATGCCTGCAGCTTTATACCAACACCACCCTCCAATAACAAGAGGTATCATCATGCGAGGAAACTAGGTCGATAAGTATATACCAACAGATGTACTACGTACTCTAAGACGACTAGATTCACTCCATACTCCTCGGGTGGTTGCCTAGGTAGGTCCTTGTCAATAAGAGACAGGTACATGGTGTGCTGTTGTTCGTTTTGCTCTTGTTTAGCTATGAAGGGGATTAAGGGCATATCTACAACAAATGAAGCGTAGCTAACTATCTGAGCATAGTGCCTCTAGCAATCAGACAGGTCGCAATATTGGACGTCATTTATAAAGTAAGCACCTAGATGCCCGACTAACCCAATTGTTGGTTGGGGTCGCATTCTGCTAGATACTAGTTACGGCGTAGGTAATTGAAGAGAGCGCACCAACCATCAGTCACTCATGACCATCTCTAAAAAAGCACATCGGATAGACTCCTTCTTTGTGCAGTTGATGGCTTGTGATATCAATCGAGACAATGATTACGTGGCTTTATTGGTTTGCTTCTGCCATACAGCCTGTACCTAGGTGAGTTATCAAATACCTGTATGCTTAGGTCCTTTGCTGTGTAGACATGTCACTTACGGATTTTCTCTTCCACTAAGCGACTGATGCTGATTTTCAATTATCAACTCCACTAGTTCGATGGGATTCATGAATTCAACCCGGTTTGTACATAATATCCATCAATCCCTTGGGCATCAAAGGACGATGGTGGGCCTGATGACAGGTAGCCGTTTCTAATGACAAGTTCTTGATCGATTGATAGTGGTTGAATGTTTCGGGCATGGTAATCTGAGAGCCATGGCTGTGGATTCTGGGATGTCTCACCCCAACTCTTGGATGTTCAAAACATAGATGGTTGTCACAGGTTGTTGCAACTTCAGGGTTTAGACTTTGGGTTTGAAGTGAGAGGATAGATGTGACCGTATTGCACAGTAGATGGTCATGATGGATGGATAGGGGTTGGACGGCGGCTTTGAACAAGCATTCCTACACCGAAGGTCCTATTTTTGGTGCTGAGCAAAACACGTCTACATACATACACGCCACACTCGGCGAACTTCCCACAACAACGTAAGCTAGCTCTGCTGCTAAGATTTGGTGGGTGGGTGGAACTTCACGGGAATACGATCTGGACTCCATTTTAGCACACCATTACTGGATTGATTGACGGAGTTATTGGCTGAGTGAGTGACTGTAGGCTTCCTCCGTACGTGCCACAGCATGGAAAACGATAGTAGCAAAAGCTTGGGTACACGCAGGTAGAAATAAGCTTGTTCGCAGAGGGTACGGTGTGTCGCCAACGTCACGGGTAGATAATCCCGCCCCATCCCTCCCGCCTCTCCCGTCTCCATGATTTGTTATATGAAAATGCCTCTGTGTTTCGAACTTGGGGCAAGAAGTAATTGACTGATTTATGGGACTGACTGTTGGTAGCTGTCCTTGTTTTTATCTTGCATTTTTCCATCCATTCCCGGAACTGAGGACCCAGCCAAGGGGGAATTACTTGGTGCGGGCCGCAGGGGGGTGCCTTGTTTGGGCTTGTTCCTTTTTTTTTTTTTTTTTTTTTTGTTATTGTTATTTTTCCCTCCAGACCTTAGCCTAGGTACATCCATCTACTACTAATACGCACCTAGTAACATGTACCTACTTCTTACTTCGTACCTTAGCGCTCCGCCACTGCCACTGCCACTGCTAGGCCAACTGCTTGAGATGATCTCCCATTCATGGATTGCTACTAGGTAAGTACCTAAGTACCTCCCTAGGTACTATGTAGATTGATTATGCCCGCCAAACCCTTCTGGGCCTGATGCTCGTGTTCGCTCGGCCAATCCAGTCTCACGTTGGCCACGCTCTCTTCCCGCCTGGCTCCGGACTTCATCTTGTCTCTGCTGTTCTTTCCCGTCACCCTCTTTCTCGACCATATTCATGAATTGACGATTCCAGACGTCTTCCATCATCTGTAGTAGTCCCTTCTCTCGTAACACTACCGTCGCTCGCTTTGGACAAAATCTATCATCATTCGCTCGCATTTTTGCATTAATCTCGCCCGGCTCTTTGGCGAACTCTGAACTACTGTCGTTTTAATACTGCATTTGACTTTTGTTTTCTTCCCTGGCGTGCACCCGCAGCAACATCGTCTCGAGAAGGGGGCCCGACCACCCAACGACCGACCTGACCAGCCGTGACATCCAACGGCTTCCTTTACCTCCGGGCCGTATCACGATTAATCATCTGGAATCGATCACATCCCATCTCCTTAGGTCAAGTCGATTAAGCCTCGTTTTTCATCCTCGCATCATCATATTTCATCTCTTCGACCACCAAGATGAGGAGCCCACAGCAATTCTTGACTATTGCCCTCGCCTTATCACCCCTCACAGCAGCATGGTCCCAGTGGCTGCCTGATCTAGACTCGTTAGTGGTACGACAGGATGATGGATCCTCCAGTAAGTGCAACTAAACTAGTACTTTCTCGCCTTGGATCAAATAATAACCTTTGTACAGCTCAGGAGAATCAACCTACAAAAACACCAGCACCAGAAAAGTCTGCTACCGACGATACAGCCAAAGAAACTGGCACTTCCAAGCCCAGCGACGAGGATGATGACAATAATGATGATGATGACTCTACCAGCAAGGTGACGAGGTCCGCTACTGGCACCAGTAAAACCACAAAAACATCAGCCCCAAAACACACGACGTTCAATGCGTTAGACCCACCTGGTGGTGTGGCCATGATCGACCCGCCAATAACAGCTGCTCAAACATTGTACCGCATCGATAACACGGATCCCATCACATGGAAATGGAACTATACATCCCTCCAGGGGAAGCCATCCGCTGTCGATGTTTTGATCTCATGCTCCAAGGCGACAGCAACGTGGACCTTAACACAGAACATGACCTTTGAGCCCACAGCTACCTTCACTTGGGACTCGAACGCGTTCCAGCAAAAACAGGTCGGAAGCCAGCTTCCTGTCGAGCAATATACGCTCCTTGTATACGACTCAGAGGGATCTTTCACTGACACGCCCGAGCCCGGATATCTCGCCCCATTTTCTGGCTTCCAGTTCGGTCTGTACACGCCTAAACCGTACAGCAATCTTACCGAATGGCGGTGCACCACTTGCAGCGCCGCAACCCCTCTCGAGCGCCAGGCCCTTGGCTTCGTTGTCACCATGAGCCTGGTCACCATCTTCAGTTTCACGTGGTACGTGACAGGAATTGCAGCACTGGTATAATCTTAACCAGATAAAGAAATGATCACTTTGGTCTACCAGTCTTAATCTAGATCAGAGTGTGTGCAATCCATCTCGTCCTAGGGACAACATTTAATAGCAACATCAGACTGGCAGATAAATAATCAATCGCATCGTGTCGTTGTCATCGTATACACATATATCACGTTAACTTAGTAATAATCATTTGCGGGGGAATCGGAGAAATGGAGCAATTCATATACTGGAACGAGGGACGGGCGTTTTTTATGCTGTTACTCTTTATAACTGTATCTATTTTGGACATTGAGGACACCTACCTAGTACTGACTGACGCAGTCAGCCATCAGCGGCTCTGAATCATGCACCATAATCTGAGGATATCTCTTTACTTAGGGGAAGCATGTACGAAAGATAAATAAGGGACGTCAATAGATATCTTAAATAATCGCAAGCAAAACGGCCTTTTCCTGGCATGACATATATAGCTTGTAATTGCGTTATACTCACACTTGAACACCAGGATTCGGTTCTTCGGGGACTTCAGTTCTACACACGAGATTGGTAAACGAAACCGAAGGACAGGTGACGCAAGTCGGGTGGAAGATGAGGTCGGTACAAGTACTATTTCTTCGTGGCTTTGGTATATCTCAAACCATACGTAATGCAAACCCGCCACCTCGCTCTTCCTTGTCTCTGCCGGCGAATATCCCGCTGAAATCCACGGTTCCCAGCGAGGCAACCTGTCCACGTCCCGGGGCGTTCGGTGTATCGTGGCGCCTCCTACGTTCTTGCCCAGCTTTGCTGGGGAACGTGGGGAACATGGCCTCGTGCTTAGGTTTGGGGTCCTGGCGGAAGTACTCATGCTGCAGCATCTCCTTCGCCGTGGGTCGAGCGTCCGGGTTCAGAGATAAGAGACCGGTCAACAGAGCACTGCCGGCGGCCGTTAGGAGCGGAAACCTGGCGCGGATGACAGCACCCGTGGCACCTGGGGGGTTCTTGGAGGGCAGACGAAGGGAATGTGCGTTGGGCAATCGCCGGAATCCGGGCCATGATTCTTCGGTCGGTATGCCGCAGAGCTCGAATATCATTGTCAACGTGTCTACCTCGTTCTTGCCGGGGAGCAATGCTTTCCGCGTCAGAATCTCGGCGAAGATACATCCTACACTCCACATGTCGATGGGTGCGCCGTATGTCTTTGTGCCGAGGAGAAGTTCTGGCGCTCGATACCATAGCGTCACGACTAATTGTGTTAATTTCGGGGCTGGATCGCCCACGTACCGTGCCATGCCAAAGTCGGCGATCTTGAGCTGGCCTCGGTTATTGAGTAATAAGTTGGAGGTCTTGAGGTCACGATGTAAAATCCACTGATCGTGTAAATAGGCCACGCCGCTTCCGAGCTGTAGTAATATAGTCTTAACTTCAGAGGCGAGGAATGGCTCCGGCATGTCCTCGAGGATGCTCTTGAGATCGTGTTCCAGAAATTCGAGAACAAGGAAGATGTTCTCTATCCGCGACGTGTCCTCGCCGATTACAACCTCCCGTAGCTTGACAATATTCTTGTGCGAGCAGTCCTTTAGGATCTGAATCTCTCGCAATCCTGTCTCTGGCAGGCCTGTTCGCATCGACTCATCCTTATCGAGCTTGAGTCGCTTGAGCGCTACCACGTCGCCTGTCTTGATCTCCCTAGCCCTTGCCACCCAGCCATATGACCCCTCCTCGATGTCATTGAGCTTGTCGTAGTTCTCAACGCTGCGCGAGGGCGCCCATCCCCCAGCATCGAAGCGAAGAAGATTTACGTCCTCGGTGTCCCCAGTCCCGCCATCTTCTCGTTCTGGTGTGAGTTTCCGCCTCTTTGCAGGCGGTCGGCGATCGCTTGATTCCTCATCCCGTTGCTTCTGCGCCTGTTCAGCCGCAGCGCGTTGCCTCTCCTGCTCTGCCTTGGCTGCCTTCTCGGCTTTCAGTCGCTTCTTCTCCTCTTTCTCTTTCTTGAGCTTTGCTTCCAGTGCTGCATCTTCCTCGGTGTTGGCCCAGCGGGATTTGCTCGCCATTTGTGTTGGAAATGGGATGTGGACGGCGATGATTAATTATGGTTATCGCGTGAACATTGCTAGGGTCTAGCTTCGGGGATGTTGGCGTCGCAAAAGTGGAAGAGAACTCGAAAGAGGGGCAGGTGATTCTGAATTATGTCGAATGGCGTATGGAGTGAATGAGAAATGGCTTGATCGCTAAGATAAATGCAATACCGCCACCAAATATTGGTGAGACTTGTATGTAGAATGAAGTGCTAAGGTATAACGTTCGAGGTTGGTCGCAGTAATCGGAGAATAATCGGGTTAAAGTGCCATGGACCTATTTCTGAAGCTCTCTCAATGCGGTAACAAGCTCCAAGCTCAGAGCTTCCTCATGGTACATGTACATATGCCAGCTCCTGATCATACCTTAACTTCGCGGCATTCCGCATAATCAAACATCGACATTTTTCTTTTTGGTCTCTTACGATGAGCACATAAGAATATTAACTAATATGAGGTCGGCCATTGTGTGCACAGCTCGCGCTGGGCTTGGATACGCATCGCGGAGACCTGCGTCCCTTGCGCCAAAGTTTATCTACCACAGCTCAAGGACCTTGTCCGCAACACCCTCAAGAAGAGAAGAAGAGGGTAGAAAATGGTCAACGCCTCTGGCAAAGCAACTTGCTGAAGCTATCAATGTATGCCACTCCTTGATCGAGCCCTATGATAGTGCATGAGAGAGACAAAGGCTGAAAACAATTTCAGATTACTGGCCCAATACCACTTGCAAGTTATATGCGTATGTGTCTTACAGCCGATGTTGGTGGATACTACACCGGTGCAATTGAAGCTGGTCGTGACCAGTTTGGGCCAAAGGGCGATTTTATCACGTCACCCGAGATATCCCAAGTCTTTGGCGAGCTCATCGGAATCTGGTTTGTGGCGGAATGGATGTCTCAGGGTCGCCCACGGTCTGGCGTAGAGCTAATCGAAGTCGGTCCCGGCCGAGGCACGTTGATGGATGATATTCTGCGGGTGAATCCTTACCTCAGCTAATAATGTTGTTTTTGGATTCTATGTCTCAAGCTATACTAACACATACAACAGACTATTCGAAATTTCAAAGACATGGCATCGGCTATCGATGCTGTGTATATGGTTGAGGCAAGCAAAGAGCTTCGCGTGGCGCAGAAGAACCTCCTCTGTGGTGAGGACGCCGCAATGCGCGAATCGAAGGAAGGCTGGCATAGCACATGCAAATACTCGGACCTACCGATCGTCTGGTCGGACTCGATCAAGGCCGTGCCGCACAACTCGAGCAAAACCCCCTTCATAGTAGCGCACGAATTTTTCGACGCTCTCCCCATTCACGCTTTCCAGGTTGTCGAGGTTCCCCCAACACAGCAGCCCGTCACATCAAGCGGCAGCTCGCCTTCAGCCTCAACCACCACATTGTTTCCAACGCGGCAATGGCGGGAGATGGTGGTTTCACCCACGCCCGAAGGCACAACTCATGCTGATCTCGGCACGCCAAAATCCTTGCAACACGAACGAGTCCCAGAATTCCAGCTCACACTCAGTCCTTCAAAAACACGACACGCATCCTACCTCCCAGAATCATCTCCGCGGTACCGCGCTTTGCGATCCATACCCGATGCTCTTATCGAAGTATGCCCGGATGCGTCCCTCTATGCCTCGGACTTCGCGACACGGATCGGTGGGTCAGAAGCGAAACCAAAACCACGCCCATCTGGCGCCGCACTGATCTTAGACTACGGCCCAGCAGACACGATACCTATGAACTCACTACGCGGGATCCGGCACCACGCACGCGTGAGTCCCTTTGCGGACCCAGGGCTCGTGGACCTCAGCGCAGATGTTGATTTCTTGGCGCTCGTCGAGACCGTGACCCGCGCAAGTGAGGGTGTGGAGTGCCACGGACCCATTGACCAGGCACATTTCCTCGAGAGTATGGGGATCGCGCAGCGCGCCGAGATGTTGACGAAGAAGGTCGTGGATATTAACAAAAAGAGCGAGATCGAAAGGGCATGGAAGAGGCTCGTAGATCGTGGCCCTGGTGGCATGGGCAAGGTATACAAAGCCCTCGCCATCCTTCCAGAAAACGGTGGCAGGAGGCGCCCTGTTGGCTTCGGTGGTGATGTAAGTACGTAACCTAGCAATGATAAGCCAATCGTGCGGTACGATGCCCGTGTATCATTATACTATTACATTTTAGGAATATATGATCACAATGGCACAGTATTCTGCACCTACAAGACTTAAAAAGAATGAGAGGGAGACAAGCTGAAAAAAAATGCATGTTTCCCAATCATGAAAATAAGAGTACCATATCCACCGATAATGCCCCCGGCCTCTTCAACTTCAGCAGCCAATTCGTTTTATGCGATATACAAGTTTCTCGTATAACCACCTTGGGTAAGCTCAGACTTGTTGTTAGACTTAGGTGAGCGACAAATACATTTAAGACCATGTTACCTCGGAAGCAATCGTGATTGATAATCAATGCCTTCAACGCCACGTAGAGTCGCTCTATATTAATACAGTGATGAAACACGCACTGACCTAAGTGTGCATTTCGGTAGTGCCCTCCTCATCCATCTTTTGCCTTCGACCACACTCTCCTATTTGTTCTTTCCTACAAGATTTGATCCTTCTCCACCATCCTCATCATCACTGAACTTGTCACCATCCTCACCAACGGCGAATATGGTCTCGCCGTCGAATGAATCTCGTGGCGACTCTGGCTTCGCCGGGGTTCTACTTATGCCCTGCGAAGCAGTGCTGACACCATTTGCCGGTGCCGGTGCCGGTTGCGATTTCGAAGTCTTCATTCCCACTTGCGCTTCCTCGTCATCATCTGAATCATCTGGGGCCCCCACATCAGCGAACTCGAAGCCGCCATCCTCATCTTGAGCAATTTCATCACTCATTGCGAAGCGGCGGTTGTTTGCGGTTGGGCGCCACACATAAGCAACCCAAGCAACATCAGCGAAGTAGACGAGATTCAGCCAACCATCAAGGACAAACCACCGAGACTTCCAGTGAAAAGGAACATAATCAGGGTCAGAAGCTGATGCGAAGGAGAAAGAGTTGAAGAAGAAGAAACCGAAGATGACCAGGATGCTGATCAGGATGCACCACCAGAGCTTTCTGTACATTGCCTCTTTGGCATTCTGCTTGCGTTCACGCAAGTCCTTGAGCGTGAAGTTGAGGGAGTTCAGTGTCCATACATAGAAGGCAGTCAAAGTGCCAGCAAGGGGGAGTACAATAAGAAGTACGAATGGTCCTAGGGATATTTTAGTAGATTCATTTCAGAGGGAAAAGATTAAACATACCAGCAGCTTCGGGCGAAACCAAAAGACTAGTGATTGCATATACTAGTCCGAAAACGAAGTGCGCAATAGCTAGCCATCGGACATATATCATTGTCTTGCCCAAAGACGGCTTGACGACGCCGTAGCCCATGCAAACGATGAGCAGTAGGAAAAATGAGAATGAATTGCGGAACGCATTCAGTACGGCGACCAGGACTAGGAGAACCTTGGACCCAACGCTAGAGCCGGTCCTATTGAGGAAGTCTATAATCACAATGAGCAACTACAAAGTATCCTTGGCGCGTGAGTTGACTTAAGCTTACCATAGAAGCCCCAAGTTAAAAGCATCTCAATAACGAGGAAAACAAGGATAGCTGTGATGTAATTCTGTACAGGTACTATAATGTTGATTAGTCTATTAAGCTCGCAACGAAAATGAAGGCTTGCTTACAAATATCGTATCTATGTTGGTAATACAAGAACCCCCAGAAGCTAATCACAATCAGTACAAGTCTAAGACTGCATTTGAGGGAGGCAATTGCACATACACGGCAACCACAGCATAGAGGATTGTTATGCCTCCATAAAATGGCAGTTTTGGTATCTGACTTGCTGGAAGCTCGCCATAAGCCTCACGAAATTCGACAACACCCTTAAATTCTTTGATGCTGTACCCATACGCCGCGACGCAGTAATAGCCAGTCTTCTTGATAGGGTAGTTAATGGGAGCAGACGATTTGAGATGGACAGCTTGTGTCAAGATTAGATTTCCCGATTTTTCGGTCGCGTTCGGAGCTACGATCCATTCACCCAAGTGGGACTTATCGCAGAGGTCTGCTTTGACGTTGTCTTCATCGCAAATTCGCTCCTTCTAAAGTGGCCATTAGCACGCCCCCAGGGTAGTCTATATTTATAGCGCATACAGTAAAGGCTTCAGGGTTGGGAAAAGCTCCAATCAAATCTTGGTCCTTCCATTCGAAGATGATCAAGCTCACGATAGGGTCCTCGTCGGCTTTTATGGTATCGTTCGGGAACACGGTGAGGATGAAAGGGTCAACCGGGCCGCCCCAGGCTGCTTTATTGTACATGCCTACGCGAAAGTTGAGCGCAAGTTGAGGGAGACGGATAGAACAGGAGATATACCAGCGCATTGTTGCCAATTCTCATCGGATTGGTCCTGCATCACAGCGTATAAGTCAGGGAGATACCATAGTAACTGGGACGTAACCTACTATTTGAACCTCCAAGGCCTGAGCTGCCCATGAGGACAATCCCAGCACCGTGATTACCGATGACCAAATCTTCATGATGGGCGTTGTACTGGCGATGAGGCTTCGGCGCGCAAGGCAGCCTTGTCAGGCAGCACGGTTCAGTGTGCCGCGTGTATCAGGTATAACTTCAATCCGAGACAAAGGATATATAATGGGATGATTTCTTCTTCGGGGCAGCTTTCGCTACGTGCTACGTTGACGATGCTCCAAATCGCGCGATGTGGGTGATGTTAGAAGGATAAAGTTAATTACCTCCAGTTAGGTAGGACTTGAGATCTCAACTGCAGGTAGTAGGTAATTAATTTCAGAAACAGCATTACGTTGTCAACTCTCTATATACCTAGCTAAGTAGTAGTAGGTACTTAGCTACATACAGTTGTAAGTATGTAGGTAGGTACCTACCTACCTACCTTATGTGTGTAAGGTATGTACCTAACCGTACAGCAGAGTCAGGGGTATGCCCCTAAATAGAAGTTACTGCAGGGCCCATGCTAGGCTAGCGAGGATCCAAAATTCAAAGTTACTTAGTAGCTTACACGGTATCCTCACTACATACATAAGTACATGTACCTTTCTAGGTACATATGTAGGTACCTAGTGAACGAGAGTAATGTGACCATAGCCAAATAGGTAGGTAAGTGGTTTGTTGAATGCTCGACTACTAATGAGTGTTGTAGCCAGCTAGAAATGAAGGTGTACTGTAGGTGGTAATCTGGTAAGGTTGGGTGGCCTAGGGCCCAAGCCAAGCCCGCTATTCTTATATGCCCTTGTTCGGTTGCGCCCCGAACAATACCTCGAAGTAGGTAGGTACCTACCTAGAGTAGGTAACCTAGTTCAAGAACTGTCTATCCATACGTCAGTAGCACATCGATGCGCTTCAAGTCGGTGTCTTCGTTGCGACCATATACATATAACACATTCTTGTGCGCTTGACGGCCCAACTGTCTCTCATCTATTTCGAGCCGATCTGCTCAGGATGGGTAAAGGCACAGACAAGCTCTACATCACACATTCCGAGTGGGCTTCCTCAGACGCCTTCTCGGCGAACACTGGTTCTCGATCCAAAGCAGCCGGCGCTCCTTTTCGACGACTACCTTTTAACTTCTGCGCGGCAAGTCTCCAGCCTTTCAAGAACCCCGTTTGTACACCCGACGGTACCATTTTCGACACCGAGGTCATTTCAAAATGGTTGGAAAAGCGCAAGACAAATCCTGTCGACGGAAAACCTCTCGCTGTTCGCGACCTCCTCAAGCTAAACTTCTCGCGCAACGCCGATGTTGATAGCAAAGCTGCAGATGGTAAAGGAAGTGATGGTAAAGGAGATTTTATAGATCCTGTCACCTTCAAGGTTTTCACAGACAACACACACATCGTTGCTATCCGGCATGGAACTTACGCCAACGTCTTCGCTTTTGACACGGTCGAAAGAATGAACATCAAGGCCAAAATGTGGAGAGATTTGCTGGACGATACCGAGTTTGGTCGCTCAGATATAATCACACTTCAAGATCCCCAGAATGCCGCCAGTAGAGATTTGAGCCAGTTCAAATACATCAAGGACGGCGAGGACGCGTTGTTAACCAGTCAGCAAGAAGAAGAGCGGAAAGAGGGAAATGTCAACATTGGCGCTCTAGGCAGTGTTGGCGACAAAGTGTTGAGAGCAAAAGAAGCAGTCGAAAAAGCAAGACGAGACCGTGAGGCAGGCCATGATATCAATCGTTCCTCAACCGCCATAGTAAAGACTGGTACAAGTAGTGCTCCGAAGCCAAGCATGATACAAGATAGAAAAGCAGCTTACAATGCTGCGGTATATACCACTGGGCGAGCGGCGGCAAGCTTTACGAGCACAGGGCTAACACCCGAAACGAGTGGCGAACGAGCCATACTAACGGACGAAGAATACATGTTGAAGCCTAAGCGTGTGAAAATTCGCGGATACGCACGAATTGAGACGAACTTGGGTGACCTGAACATCGAGCTATTTACTGAGTATGCACCAAAAGCTGTATGGAACTTTACTCGGCTCGCCCAGAAGGGTTATTACAAGGGTGTCGCCTTTCACCGGAATATTAAGAATTTCATGATTCAAGGTGGTGACCCTTCAGGGACTGGACGGGGCGGGAGCAGCATATGGGGCAAAAACTTCCAGGATGAATTCGACGGGCCCAACACTCACGATGCCCGTGGTATTTTGAGCATGGCCAACAAAGGCAAAAACACCAACTCTAGTCAGTTTTTCATCACATACCGACCGGTCAAACATCTCGATAGAAAACATACTATATTCGGCAAGGTTGTTGGCGGTATGGATGTTCTTAGCAAGATGGAAACAGTCGAAACAGATGGCTCGGACCGGCCATTGAACAAAATATTCATGAAGGAGGTCGTGGTCTACTTAGACCCCTTTGACGAGTTTCAAAAACAAAAGGCTGAGCGCGACAAAGTTGCTGAGGCCAAAGCAGAAATTGCAAGAACAGGTGGCACCGACGATGATAAGATGACATGGACCGGGAAACGCGTAAGAGCAGATGGTACAGTGGATCAAGATAGTGGTAGTGTAGGTGTAGGCAAGTACCTTAGGGCAGCGCAATTACACCAACGTGTAGACGACGAGATCATAGAAGAAGATCTCGATACCTGGGACGAACCGGTCAAAAAGAAGACGAAAACAGGCGGGTTCGGTAATTTCGATAATTGGTAGTCAGGATGAGCTCGGAATCTCCCTGGAAACTCAAAACCCCCTATTTAGTTCAAAATAGACACGACAACTAGTCGGCATCAGTCAGGAGAGCCACTCTTTCCAAATCGCTTTTTACTCTGTAGATCCTACTACTGTCCCACAGTGGTGAGTAGTAAGTGATCAACTCACGAGACAATGCCACGCTGATACAGACATAGGAAATGCATTACTATTCCACTACTGAACAGATCAGAATGCTCGCATTCTTGGATACGCGGTATACAGCTGAAAAACGCTCCGGGTCACTAGAACATATCCCGGGCTACTCTCTAAGTCCCTGCTTAAAAATATCTGTTCCTAGCATCATATATGCTTATTTACCTGCCATAGCTGGGATCTCAGCTCAGGTTCTAGCGCTAACCAAGTCATTCACCAGATGGATGCTCTATGTACCTACTCCAAGCTGCGCTCAATATGCATCTCTGTCTGTAGGTCCTCTAACGCGCCGACGAGGCTCTTTTGTATGCACAGGGTCCGAGGCTGAAACAGTGGACTAGTCTAATCAAGACGACTTATCTCTGCTGTGTTGGGTGTGCTCATTCAACTCTATACACCAATCAGTCTGAATATAGAAGTAAGGTTGAACGGACAATTGGTCGATAATTCTATTATAATCGATTCCTTAATATACCGAGGTGTTTAAATGGGTATAATAGTACCTAGTAATTCAAATGCCTATCCTAACCACCATCCGGCCTTAATCCAGCCCTCATTCCGTTGGATACAGGTCGTTAAATGCTAAAACTTCTACCAATGAGACTTATCGACAATGGGAATAATGAGAAAGGTCACATATCTTCCTGTCTCCATTGTAGCATGCCCTGGTTATGCTCGTCTGGAGGGAATGAGCACTTTCTAGGGAATAAAGTTGCTGTTCTGTTCGCCGAGTCTCCGTTAGTCGATGATTTAGGAGGGCGTGGAGCCAGTATAGTTCCAGAAGTCTGAATTAACAAAATATATCTATATGATGTTAATGCTCATTCGACGTGTTTCGTGGCCTCTTCCTAGTACATCGTACAGCCAAGAGAAAGTTTCGAAGTTGAAGGTACGCTTTATCTAGTGCTGGGTTCACATAACGATGATTGTCCTAACACTGGTCAATAGATAATAGCATAAGACAAAGGTAGTCTCCCTGCTGGAAGTCTCCTGCAATTATCATAGAACGGATTTTAGTGACTACGCATAGCCTTGATGGTCTCGAGATCAATCAGCCTCCGTTTCTTGCTTGTGCTATGACTTCAAGATTCCTCCCATCTAGCGATAATATTCTCCTCTAGGTTTGAGTTAGGGTATTTAGTCACATAAATCAATTTTCTAATTAATAAATTGATCAGGGGGTGCTAGAAATATAAATGTCAAATAGATACTTCAACTTTGCCTCGGTCGACAGTGTATTATAGCCTGTCTAGGCTCACTCAAGCTTTGCGTTCAATTTGGGACGGATGGCGGCATTTGGACGTGATTGAATTTATTTGGACTATTGCCTAGGCTTACTAGTCTGTGTGAATTACTATCAGGTCGTAGGATTGTCAATTGAAGACTTGCTTTCTGATGGCAATCTAGGGAAAGCTGCCAGGGAATAGAATAGCATCTGCCAAAAGCTAAGCTGAAATAGCACGAAAGCGGCTAATTCAAGGCCCCTCGGTCTAAGCAATGGCATGTCTTCGGATGAAGATCTATACGAACGCAAACCGTGCATATGACGCTTACTAGAGACGCGATTCTGCGCAGTTTCCAACTCTTCGAAGTGGTAAAAGAACGGATGCCCTTGCTTTCACCCTGCTATTAGTTTTTTCGAAAGACCTGATAGTGAAAATACTTCCTATAATGCAGACCATAACGTGCCATACGCGGCTAACTCAAAGGCTCCATCGCCATCGTTTATCAAACAAGTAGGGAGTGGTTGCTGACAAAATCGTTCAACCGCAAATGCTCGGCTAGAAATTTGCTCAGCAGCAAACGCTACCCACACAGCAGGATAGTACCTATGTATGGCAATACGGCTACTTGTGCTAAATTGCCCCATCCAACGACTGCCTGATGTATAGTGGCTAGCTGATGCCGAGCTCGAAGAGTACCTCAAGAGACATACCTTGGGACTGTGTATGAACACTCCCCGAGGATATCCTCAAATTGTGCTGATTGGCCAAGAGCCCAAAGATAGCTGGGGTGTGGTCAAGCAGCAGCCAAGTCTCCTACAAGCCTTTCATCCGCGGCCAGCTATTCTTGCTCGTTTTGCCTCTTCCTCTTTTTTGGCCTCAACGCGTTGCAAGAAATCTTGCCGATTTACGTATGATTCCTTTGACTTCCCTGCAAGTTCTAGTTCGTCTTTGATGCCCTCTTTGTCAACAAAGCCAGCCCAGTCCATGCGGCTCTTCTCAACGACATTGAGCTTCTTGGCTTTGGCCTGTTGTTCGCGGAGCTCTAGCCGTATATTCATACCCAGTTTCAAGTCAGCACGCTGAGAGAATGCTTCGATAGCAGGCTCAAAGGTTGACCGGAAGGCTTTCCGTGGGTTCCGCTTCAGTTGCTCGTTTTCATCTTCGGCTCCGGCGAGCTTCGGGTCTTGAGATGCTAGGTAGAGTTTGGCTTCAGCCGAGTCACGAGCAACTAATTTCTCCTCTGTGTGAACCTTTCCAGCAAAGTTGTATGTGCGCCTAATCTTGACCATTTCCAATGGGTCGATACCGTTGGAATTCCTCAAGGTGGTCGTAGCAGTAGCTGCATCATCACTCGCGTCTCCCTGACCAAGCTGTTGGTTGTCGTCCAATATCGTTGCATTCCTCTGCGGTATCAGCGGAACGGCAGTCATCTGCGCCCAAAGATCATCTACATCTATAGTAACTGGTCCCGTCACCGCAAGTGATTTTCGGTCCGCTTTCTCTAGGGCACGTTGCCTTCTTGTTTTAATGAGGCCCCCTTCACCTGCATCGTCTTCTTCGGTACCCCCTCTAGCTTGCTTGACTTTCTTCTGTCGCTTCTGGCCTTTCCGTATTATGGTTTCATCGCCGGAATTTTCGAGATCACCCTCAACGGTATCGGCATCGACTTGCTTTCTTTTTGGTATTGCGCCTACCGGTCGGTCGGCTGTTGCTTCGGATTCTGATTCCAATTCTGATTCCGAGCCAGACGCAGACTCTGCGGCCGCACCAGCAGGCGCAAAGTCGGAGTCTTCTTCGGAGGCATAACCATCTTCGTCAATGATCGGTTCTAGCGCCATAATGACTACATTGAATCTCTGCGAACCGTTGATCGACTCGTCAATGCTAATGCGATGTTGTAAAGACTGCGGAAAAGCACCCGCAATTACTAGTAGGTGGTTGGTCCCGCTAATGTGATGCCTACCTAGGTAGCGTACAAGGTACCTACCTAGGTAGATAAATTTAGGTGCTAGGATAGTACCTCTCTAGTACCTAGACTACTGGTGTCTTTAGCGGACGCTTGAGCCTGTTTCCAGTGATGTTACACGGCACCACTTCTTAGGTAGAGAAATCCCGCGCCTGACTTGGTAATTTCGATTTGGAAAGCTCCCTACTTGGTAGGTATATGGCACTTAGGTAGGTAGAGCTTTAGTAAGTAAGTACCTACTCCGTGGTATTATCCATTAATCCAAGACTGCTGTTGTGTGGCTAACTGGAAGGGTCACTCACGCCTTGGTATAAATGCTATGCATACTGAGAAGGCATTAATAGTATAAGAACTGATTGAGCACGACTACCCAGAGTCTGCCAGAGACAAGTAAACACGTCACCTTCAAATTATGCTTTTGAAACAAACAGAATCTGAACAGAAGTTATGATGTACGATACATCCGTTCTGAATTATGTAGTAAACTTCATTCCACCAAGGTAGGTGCACACAAGCATTGACGTCACTAATGAGATCATTGCGGTGGTACATACATGTACATAGGCGCTCTGGTAAACGGACTGAGTTCAGATATATAATGCTCTGGCGAGAGAGAAGACGAGTTTGTCACTTCTAATTCATTCAGCTCTACTAAATACTATCCAATCAAAAATAATTCGCTGGGTGTATATCTGTTACGCACAACATCGTTAAAAATGTCCTCCAACGATAACAACCAGCCCTCCCTCATTGGCGGCCATGCTGAATACGTTAAAGGAGCAGCAGAGGTATTGTCACTATCCACGCTATGTAGCTCATAAGGGGGGGTTTAATATTAACTAACATGCTGAATAGGCAACTATTGGGAATGTCACAGGTTCAGAGGCATGGAAGGCCTCTGGGGAGCAAGCGAAAGCCCACGCTGTTGACACTAGTATGTAACCCCCGGAGTCATTTTCTACTTACTCCTACTTACTCCCGGAGGTCATAATTGCCTAAGTATTAGGGGCACAAGTGTGTCACGGGAGTATGCGGAACTCCCAAGAAATTTACCTGAAAGAGTAATTACTGACGCCAGCGGTTGTAGTGAAGTCCGCTGGCGAGAGAAGAGACCCTTCGCAAGGGTTTGGTGTTGCTGAGCAGAAACTAGGCCAGGTTACTGGATGTGAAGGCATGGCGAACGAGGGTGCTGCTAGCAAAAAGCAGTAAACGAGGAGGTGTTGAAATTGGGGTTATTGTATAACAATGTACGATATCATGTACAGCTCGACCTGATAAATGCTTTAATCTAATCAAGCGTTGCAATTGTCGTTTCACTCTGAAGACTACCTCCTGAGGTACCTTGCCTTAGGTATCCAAGCGCTTTTCCAAGGTTTTGGTGCGAAAACTTGTTATGGGCGTTGACTGATTGTAGGTATTACTAATTACTACCGACTCTGCAAAGATCCCTTGGTAGGTAGTTATAATAGCTGTCTTTCGATTATCTTTTGTGTCTAATTCTATGATGATGGCATATGCGTCTTGACTGCCAAGAGTGACGAATTGTAACATAGGATGTACCTAGGTATGCATGCTAGGTAGTAATATGACATGTTGATGGATATGACAGTCTACTTGCTTACACATACTTAAGTAGACATCGTGACTGCCCTGGCCAATTACTTGCTTCCTAACACCGGCAGGGGACAGTGACCAGTCAAACCACCACAGGCGACTGGCCGGCCGATCAACTCCGAAATTGGCGCTTGTGTTCCCATAGAACTCCACATAACCTGAAGTCCGGCGCCTCTAGATTGATGCGACTAAGGTCCTCCCAGGGCTAGTCTGCTATCGAACTTTTCACATTTCCGTTCACATTTCGGATCAGAAATCGGGTTCCCCAAGGCCAGAACAGGCGAGAGGCTCAAGGGCGGCAGATCAAGGGACCATACACTACCACGCACTACCACCCCCCCCCAGCAGACCCCCAGGCACCCTCGGCACCCTCCAAGGATCCTGCAAAGCGTCCAGAGCCCAGCGTGAGCCAGTGTTTCCGGCCGGTGGCGAGCTAGCCGGCGAGAGCCAATAGCGCAGTGGGAAAGCAGATCAACTCGCTGCCTAGTGCACATGGCTTCACCAGCTCGACCAGGTCCCAGAAAGGCCTGTACGCCACCGCCAACCAACTAGGTGAGCCGCTTGGTGCGTCTTCTTCCCTGAATCAGCCCATATTGCCGCTATCAGCGCAGCACTGCACCTAGGGTCTGCTAGGGTCTGTTAGGGCGTGCTAGGGTCCTGACTCTTGCAGGCTAAAATCAAGGGTCCATACCAATCTTGTCTCACGCGTGAACTGCGACGATACACAGACGCACGCATGCGGGGAGGCGAAAGAGAGAGAGGAGGGGGAGGGGAAACAGGCTTGACAGGGGCCCAATTCGCACCCAATTTGCATTTTGTCCTTGTACGCTAGGGTTAGTTCTACTCGGTCTTACTTGGGTGCCGGGAATCCCTCGAGCCACCCCCAATGACATGTTGATGACATTAACATTAAGTCAGGGAAAAAAACTTGGAATAGCAGCATTAGCTGTCCAGCCCATGGCAATCCGAGACCCCATCGTGTGTGTATAACCCACCGGGCTGGGGGCCTACGCCTGGTATCGATCTGCTTAGCACGTTTACTAAAACAGGCGGGTAGGCTGGGTTCATCATTGCCAAACGAGGCTCTCGTCGACATTTCCGTTGTGTCTTTGCTCCCATAGTCAAGGGAACAATGGGAACTAGGTAGCACTCTCAGCCCTCCAAGCCCTCGGCCATTCTTTACAGTACCGATATCTTGTTACCTATTACCGGCCTCGCCCCTCAACCATTATCAATGAACTACATGTAGGTACACCACATTACTTGGACTGTCTCCACCAGCTATGAATGTTGGGTTGACGGACTGTACCGTACGTGTACGCTACAGTAGGAGTTATGCAGAGCACCTACATCGCTCCCCCTCCTCGTCTCAGCCTCCGCCGCTGCCAGATACACGAGGGCTTTTCTGCCATTCGTGCTCTATCTTGCCCCTCAGTGGCACGACCCGGCACCGGGATGGATTCTCTCAGCCAACGCAAACCAACCACCTACAATTATCCTACCTACCTACTGCCACCCACCTTTACAGTACTGCTTGCCACTACAACATCCTGTACCGACACCCTCGTATCATCGCCTTCCCCTTTTTTGGCCCCGGAGTGCCAGCTGCCACACATGTGTAGTCACTTGTGTTGCGCATCATGAACCGAATCTTCTGTGAACGACACTGACATCTGTGTTTGACTAGCGCCTCGGTGGCTTTCTTCCCCATCCCGCCATTGCCTTATCTTATCTATCCCTTTAGTTTCCCGTCCCCTTCCTACAGGGCGTGAGGATCTGTTGTCGAGAAGAGGCACATTGCTCATCCAACGCCTGTGTATGCCGATAGGGCTGCCTTTGCGGCTCCCTCTGGTTAGAGAATCGCTCCCACTTCGCTGCTGCGCGCATGCGCGTGTGTGAGTTTGGTGCTCGGTTAGTTGGTAACTGATTCTTGACGCTCGCTGTGACCGACCATGGACGAGTCGGAGGAGGAGATTGATACTCGAATAGAGTATCTCCTGCAACAGCGTCAGTCGTTAACTCAAGAGTTACACGCTAGTCCATATGATTTAATCCTCTTCCTGAAGCGTGCGCTAGTTTATTCCGACCTCGGCTATCCTGATCTGGCTTCTGGGGACGCCTACCGGGCCCTCCTGCTCACTGACGAGATTCGCAATGATGGCTTTGAGTTTCACCAGAGAGCCTCTCAATGCTTGGCCAAGTATGCGAACGACACAATCATCGATGTGCTTGACCATGGGGCCTTATCGGAAGACAGGCTTCGTCTCGCCAATTCTGCGTCCGGGACCGATCCTATTGCCCTCGCATCACTGTTGTCTATCCGCTGCTACCAGGTTTTGGCACTCAGCCTACTCTTGTGCGGCTGCCTGAAAAGTGCATACGGCTTCTGCGAACGTGGTCTCAGCGTGTCTCCCGACAACCAAGAGCTAAGAAACACAATGCAATATATTCAAACGGTTGGCGAACGGAGAACGCGCAGTCAGATTACTGGCCCCAGCGACCTTCCAGACTGGGGGATGGTGCGTCGAGAAGTCTATCCATGGAATGACTTCGAACCTGATCGGTTCTCAGACGAGTCTTTAGCGTTTCTGAATGCAGAGTTGGCTGGGATGGCTCCCAAGTGCTGTGTAAAGGTCGCCCAATTACCCATCCTCCTTGGAAGTGCTAGTGACACGGATGATTATGAGATCATACCTACCTGCAACCAGCTTGGGGTTTTTGCGAAGGACGACATTGCACCGGGAGAGGATGTGTTGGCTGAGTATTCCCTCATAACTGCCAACAACCGTTTGAAAGACTCGGTTTGTGATGCCTGTAGCGATGAGCTTCCACCTTTAGGCACGGACTCTCAAGCTGTCAATTGCCCGGACTGTTATGATACTGTCTTTTGTAATCAGTATTGCCTTGAGCAAGCGCAAAGATCCTATCACCCGGCCGTATGCGACAAGGATGTCGACTCGATTGCCAAAGATCCCGAGGCGAAAGAAGCCGACGAAACTCTCTATCTTCTACTCCTTGCGCGCGTCCTTGCAATGGCGGCTCACCAGGACATCCACCCGCTCGACGTCAGCCAAGTCAAATACATATGGGGGGATTTTGTTGATACGAAGGCCAACGAAATTAACCTCTCGCCCAACGCTGGCCCACCACCCGAATGGACTCTCCCATTCTCTTTCAAGTATAACATCGAAACCCCGTTGCACATACTCGAAAAGATGGACATCAATATTTACGAGACTTTGGCCTGCCATGATGTATGGGTCTTCAACACCCTATACAGCAAATTTCGAGGTACGGCATCGGCTCGGAAGAATCCGAGAGATGGCCGGCCAGATGTGGCGGCAGTACATCCCTTTTGGTGTCTTGCCAACCATGACTGCGATCCGAACGTGACATGGGAATGGAGCGGGCGGATGGTTCTCAGAGCAAGAGATACGCGCATCTTGGGCAATCTCCCGGGGGGCATCAGGAAGGGCGAAGAAATTTTAAACCATTATTGTGATATCAATCTCCCAGTTCAACAACGTAGGGAGTGGGCTAGCGGCAGCCTCGGCGGATGGTGTATGTGCAAGCGGTGCCGTGATGAAGCGGCTGCCGACACCCATTCCAAGGGGTGACGACCCGACTTGATGATCTTTCATCCTCGTCTACTTTAACTTTACCCCCATCTTCTACACTCAGACAGTTTAACGACACGGGATCTGACTGAGGGGTTCTTGACTACGTGTCACTCCCAACAAGTGAAGAGGTGGATGGAAAAGGGTTGGAGCATGGGAATTTCGATTCCCTCGGGGGTTGGAGATAAGCATGTCACCTAGCCAAGCCGCTGGGTGGCCATTGCGACAGACATGGACATGGTATAGTGGAGAAGTTGATGCCCGCCGACGTCATCCACAGGAAGGTCACCATCGCACCTATGATCATTCCACAACATCTACGAACACTATCATAGACGATAGAGGCACCTGGACCTTCGTATGGATGGTGCATGAGCGAGCGATTTCCTTACGCACACGATCATCTTTCTTCCCATTCTCCTTGGGCAATTGAGAAGCCAGATTCGAAAAAGAAAAAAACAAACAAACAAACAGGAAATAAGCCAATGTTTTTGTCTTACTAGAGATGAATCAATCGATAAAAAATACAAAAATCGTTGAACATCATAGAAACCAAACGCAGGGGAGAAATAGGAGATCTGAGTATTGACATGTACACGGCCCACGCTGACCAGATATTCTCTGGCCATAGCAGAGGAAACAATTGAACTTTGTGTCGAATCGCTAGGGAGCACCCATTCGAACAGAACAACAGAGCTTCTATACCATTCAAGGGAGGTGATCTCTGCTTCTAGATGTTACTATTGGATTGTTGAGGGCCCGATTCCATTTGTGGTATCACGAATGAGCGCACGAAGCTGGAGGTCAAAGTACTCAATCTGATTGACAACGTTGGTGCATATACCCACCTCAATGAATATTTAACGTACCTAGTTAATTTTATGCTGATTATTCATTCTGAGGCGCTAATAGACTCCGAACTAACCCAGTCCGGTAGTGCGAGGTTACATAGAATTTTTCACACACATTCTGATACAACACGCCTGCGCCTAATCTAATTGGTTACCAAGCTGAGTAATTTACTCCACTGTCGCGTCCTGCCCATCTCTTCTCGACACAGTTTCTCGCGCATCACCTTTTATTACTCGTACGCCACGCTAAACCTACTATAGCAATTGTTGGGTCTCTATCTGCAACCCCCCTATTTTCCCATATAAATTAGGTTAATTATAAATATACCCTTAATAGTAATTATAAAAATAGTTATTTTTTATAGTATTATTTAAAAAGTATACCTTTTAAAAAATAGTTAAGTTAATTAATTTTTTAAATTTAAAACTTTTATAATAAATAAATTATTATTATATTTATTAATAAAAATGTTCCCTTTTAAAAGTACTTTATAATTTATTTTTTAACCTTTTTTAAAAAAGTAATTTATTTATTAATTTTAATATAAAATTACCCCTTTTACTACTTATTTAATTAACCTTTAAAGTTAAAGATAATGCTTATTAAATATATATAATTTTTATTATTTTTAAAAACTTTAAACTAGTTATTATAAAACTATTATAATACTTTTTAATAATAATATTTTATTTTTTAATATTAAAGAAAATTATATTTATAATTTTAAGTTCTTTTTTTTTAAAAGCTTTAAAGGTTATAATATTATTATTTAATAGTTAAATTTTATAATATTAATAATAAAAGTAATACTATTAGCTTTATTTATTTATTTAAATTTATATTACCTTTTTTAACTATTATTTCCTATTAAAAAGGAATCCAGCTATTTATAATAAGCATTTAAAATAAGTTAAAAATATTAAAAGTATATATAAAGTATAAAATAATTAAAATTAAATTATTTTAAAGTAATTTATATAGTTTTTAAAGCTATTATTTATTTTAAAAGTTATTAATTAATAATAAAGGGTTAAGTTATATAAAATTAATTAATAATTATTAATAAAATTTAAAGTTCTTTATTTTAAAGCTTTATTTAAGCTTTAATTAAACTTTATAAAAATTATTACTTTAATTAAAAGATAATAATTATTAAAAGAAGTTATAATAATAAAGAATATTCCATTACTTTATAAAGTTATTAATATATTTAAATAGTAATTTATTAATTTAATAAGCTTTAAAAGCTATTTAATATTATTTATAAGTTTTTTTAAAAGTATATTATAAAACTTTTATCTTTAAAGCTTAATTATTAAATATTAATACTTTATTTATAATTAATTTATAATATATTTAATATTTTTATAATTATTTATATTTAACCTTTTTTATTATAATTAAAAATAATATTACTTTATATAATTAAAGGCTATTAATTTAAGGATTATAAAGGTAGGTTTTTAATTTAATATATAAACTTTTAACTTTTAAAGTTATTAATATATTATAGTTTTTATATTTAATTATATAATAATAAACTTATTATTAATATATTTATTAATAAATAAAAAAATAAATAATAATTTTTAATTAATTAAAAAACTTATTATAAAGGTTATCTTAATAATAAAGAGCTTTATTTTTAATTTTATAATAAGCTATATAATTAAAAAGGTTAAAAGCTTTATAGTATTAATAGCATTAATGTTTTATAATAACTTTATTTATTATTAATAGTAGTAAAGGTAATAAAGCTTTAAACTTTTTATTACTTATATAGTTAAACTTTTATTATTAAGTTAGCTTTATAAGTTATTTAATATTTAAAGGTTTAAAGCTTTAAGGTATAGTTCCTTTTTAACGTTATTTAATATTAATTTTAATATTAATTATAATATATTAAATATTAAGCTATAGTTATACTTTTAATTAAATTGCTTTAATTATATTATAAATACCTTTAGCTTTATTTATAATAATAATTAAAGGTATTAAAATATTAAGTTTAAGGTATAACTTTTTAACTTTATTAAATGCTTAAATATATAAAGGTTTAAAGTTATTATTTAATATTATAAAGGTTATATTAAAGGTTATATTTAATATAATTATATTAATAACTTTAAAAAATAGCTTATTAAAGGTATTAACCTTATATATAATATTTAATAAAATAACCTTTAAGAATGCTTTTTAAATTAAAAAACATTACTTTAATAATTAAATAAAATTATATATATAATTATTTTAAATTTTTAATTAATATTATACTTTTATTTTTTATAGGGTATAAAGGATTATAATGCTATTTATATAAATACTTCGTTTTTTATATTAAAGTTTATTAATAATATTTTTTAAATCCTATTTAATAATTATATTAAAAAGATTTAAAGCTATTATTAATTTATATATTTTTTAAAGGGGGATAAAATTATTAAAACTAATTTTAATAATTTTATAAATCTTTTTTATTATTTATTTTTAATAATAAAGAATTATAAATAAAAATAAAAGGTAATTATAATAAGGATAATTAATAATAAAGGTTTAATTATTTTAATATTTATAAAGCTTTATTATACTTTTAAATTAATAATTAACTTTAATATTTAAAGTTTTCCTTTATATAATAATAGATTTATAATTAATAATAATAATAATATATTTTATTATATATTATATATATTAGTTATTAATTTTATTAAAAGTATTATATTTTATAATTATAAAGCTTTTATAAAGTATATATATTTATTAAGCTTTAAAGCTTATAGTAAAGGTAAGAAATTAACTATTAAAAGGTAGTATTAAAGGTATAATATTAAAAATTAATAATTTAATAGTTTAATTTAAAAAAAAGTATAATTAATATAGAATTAATAAATAAAGTTAAAAATTATATACTTTTAATAAATATTATAAAGTATATAATATTATTAATAGTTTAAAATATAATAAAGGTAATAAATAAAAGTTAAAGATAATAGGTAAAAGTTAAAGGTAATTAATTAAAAGTTAAATAGCAATAATTATTTAAATTAAATAGGGCCTATAAATATTTAACCAATTAAATAACTTAAATTTAAAAATAATAGGTTATATATTATTATTAACCGCTATTTCTAATATATATTACTATAACTTTTAATAGATGTTATTTTTTTAATAGTTATTATGGGTCCTATTAAGAGATATAAGGGTTATACTTCGAAAAGGGCTAAATTAAGTGTGCTAAGGACCGTTGTGGGGGTATCAGTACGTACTGCCCCAGCAATTGCTATGGTAGGTTTAGCGTGGCGCGCGAGTATTAAAAGGTGATGCGCGAGAAACTGTGTCGATCTCTTCTGGCTTTGGCGATGCGTTCGAGGAGATAGTACGGTAGTTCAAGTACCTAAGTACGTGCCCATTTTCATCAGCTACTGAACCGAATAACAAAATTGACCAATTACCCCAGCCTCTGATCGCATTCTGTTGCTGGTAACGACCCTGCGACTAAAAATCTACCTCTGTACTCGTATCAACTTACGGAAACCTCCCCATCTCCTAGCAAGATGTCTTTTCTAGCTCGTCGCCTCGCTACCAACGCGACCCCTCGTCTCACGACCCGCGCATTCAGCGCCTCGGCGCGCCGTGATATCGCCAAGATTACTCTCGTCGGCAATCTAGCCGCAACACCCGAGATCAAGGCTACGAGCACGGGCAAGGAGATTATCGAGTACGCCGTCGCGAGCAACGATGGACCCCGCGAGAACAGACACACTTCGTGGTTCCGTGTTGCGACCTTTGCTGAGGAAGGGCCGCGCAGAGACTATTTGACTAGCTTGCCTAAAGGGTACGGCCTCCTTTTTCTTCTTTGCTTCCTTTTCTCCTCTATGCGTAGGGGCCCGACATCGCTTTGAGCCAAGAAGCAAACTAGAAACGGACATGCCTCGCTTCTCTAGTCTTGTCATCTCTGCTGGGGCAGCCAACGCCCACTTGTACTTGATTGCAAAGAAGAATGTTGATTAACACACTGGGTCATTAGCTCAACCGTATTCGTTGAAGGTGAGGCCGTCATGAACACGTACACCGACGCCGAGGGCAAGACAAGATCATCCCTGAGCATCTACCAGAGTAAGCTACCTGCTCCTGACCCTTTGTGCTATCGTTTTGTCGATGAGTGTGCATACAGTTCTTTCAGAAATGCTTACAAATCGATAATAGAGAACCTAGAGGTTCTCCGCCGTGGTTCTCCCTCCGAGTAAAGGCCCCGATTCTGTAGGATACTAGCGGCTTGTAAGGCAGCTACCACTTTAATGCCGATGGTCGAAGCGAGGAGAGAATGAACGGATCACGATGGACATGGATCACTACATAGACTTTTTACCGCACTCCACTCGATCATAATTTCTTCTGTACTCTATGTTCCATGATCTTGGCGGAAGGCAAATATGCCATCTGATTTCTCTTCCTTTCTATGGCTCTGTTAGAGAAGAAATAGGGGCTAGTGGGCTTTGCTGTATAATACTGAACGGGTGTGTATATACCCCACAGATTCGATAGCACGAGACCAATACAGGATGTCTCAATTGGCAATGGATCTATAACTTATTCAACGCCTAATGCTACCATGACTATGCAACGACTATTGGTATCTGGGATGGACACAGTTTGGTCCCAACTACGTAAACCTCGGACACAAATCTCATACCAGCGTACAGCTATCCATACACCCGAATCCTGCGGCCACCCCGCCTTCTTCGCTCTGATCACCCTTGGTCCGCAACAGGTATCCTACCTGCTCGTTATGCGAGATAGTCTTCGCCTTCTGATCCCATAAACACGTCCCGTAGATACCGAGCTCGCATATCACACCGCCCTGCTCCAGCTCGCCGTTCCGAAGAATCATGTTGCGCACGGGTGGCGGTGTGATCAGCTCCATAAGGATGTACGACGGCCAGTGGGCCTCGGGCACGCTTTCTAGGAACGGCGGGATCGCGCCACGGTAGATATTGTTGCCGCCCCCTTCACGCTGCGGCTTCAGCACGTAGCCCTTGCAGAGCTCCGGGTCCATGGCGATTGCGCGTGCCTTCATACCCGCCTCGCTTGTGTCGAGTGGGTAAATGTTTGTGAACGTGCTCGCCAGAGCGGATACAGAGGATGAAGAACTCGAGGACAGATACTGGCCTATTATGGACGGGTTTGAGGGCGTCGTGGGTGAGGCGAGGACTTGTTGCACTTTCTTCGTCCCCGCGATCTGCGTCAATATCGATGGGCATTTGATCGCCGCCGATCGCTCCAGATGGTACCGTCCTTCCCAGGCGCGGGCGTCGGGATAGTCGCCCGGCCCGTACCCTGAGCGCATGTATATCACGGCTACCTCGAAAGTACGCGTTGGGAGGTGCGGTGGTGTGTACAGGAGTTGCCGGCCTGCGCCGTTTGCGATATAGGTGTGCTCTTCGATCTGTGAGAATGGTAACCGGAACACGGGGATTATGGGGTTAGTTGAGGATTGAAGTGAGTACTCGAGATGCTTCTGGTCAAAGATGTTACGCTCTCCTTCTTGGATTAGGAAGATGACACATTTGCTGTGACCCGTGGTTGAGGCACCATAGGATATAAATGCCTCCTTGATTCCGGAGGCCAGTCCAGCTGCACTAGTGTTAGGGGGTAAGGTTAAGGTATCTCTTGGAATTGCCCTTTCGATTAAGGGATATTCTGTTAATGAGAGGTATCTGAACCTTTTAGTACAACTTAATTGAGGACAAGGAGGTATGGGGTGCTGACATGTGAAGCTGGGAGGTCTGAGATGAGAGACCTCCAAAGGACGAGGCGATGGTGTTGAACTCGACCTGTTTGATCTGTGGTCCTGAGCCACTTGCGTCCTGGTGCACCATGTAATCTGACCTAAATAGGCCTAAGCTTTTGTGCTGTTATACAGTCAATACGATGTTGACGATAACACGGGTGAACACACGTACTTGAACATATCCCTCGTCCTTTACCCGTAAGTGGACTTTCCACAAGTCCGTAATGAACTCATCGCTGTCCCCTATTCTGCAACGGATTAGCCCCAAGATCCAGTGAATTCTTGATTTGCCATGAGCGCTTCCCACTATGCCGCCTCAGCATTCATGGTTCTGGTGAACGTACTCTTTCACCATCCGAGCCAGGAATTCCTCGTCCTGACTGATAGAGGCATAAAGCTCATTGTACACCTTTTGCACAGCGATGCCCTGCTCAAAGCAGATCTTAGGAAAGGGGCTAGGGAAGAGTGTCACTGGTACCGCGGTGGCCAAAATTCCCCTAGGATCGGCTTCGGCGGCTACGAGAGCAGGGGGTGGTCGGACAGTGAGGCCGTGGGCAAGCGCCCAGTCCTTGATCACCTCTGTCAGCCTGGCCTCTTCACTGGCCGTAATTTCGGGTGGATAGTCCGCCATGGCCAAACAATACCCTTAATCCGATGCTTTGTGGTGGGCTTGCGGCTTATAGAAGGTCTGGCTGGTAGAGAAGTGAGTCAATAAAACGCCTTATACTGATGCCTTATTGCCTTACCAAAGATTAGCAAAGCTGGAGATAGTAAATATTCCTTATACGTATAGTTATAGAGTTACGGCCTGATAGAACCAGTAATTTTTGGAATGCTTGGTTCTCAGTATTGGAAGATGCTATAGAAGATTTTAGAACGTCACCTTCTGGCAATTTGGCCAATCTGATTATTAATGCTATGATACTGCTAGACTGTACTGTAATATTGGCTACCAGTTTAGTAGCGCATATTCAATCCGGTCTAGTGTGCTAACATGATAGTCTGAATGTAGATAGTAGTTGCTATCTTTGCGTTAAGTTGTGGCACACCCTGAAATATGGCGAGGCATAGACAGTAAGGTATCTGATTCAATTCCCTGGTATATCCAATGATGTCCGGGTGGCTCCGAGACAACTCGCCTAGGTATTCAACCAGGCCAGCTGCTGTGGTTGAACCTACTACCTACCTATTTACCTACCTATTTAGGGGAAGATTTATCTACAAGTATGCTGTTCAAACTGATAAGCCGCGAAGAACAGAGCAACGAGAAACGGCCTGCTTGGGTTACTACCTCGTGCCTCACATATCTAGTCGCATATGTATATCATCCATGGATGATATACCTACTTACATTAGGTACCAACTGGAAGTGCGCTACTCGAACTTATGGTCTATTAAATATGAGGTAAGTAACCGAGCATTTAGGTAGGTAGGAGCTGGGAGGAGACTGTGCGTTCTGAGCAGATACGGTACTAGGTACCTACCGGTAGCTTACTTACCCCTCCCCCCACTTTCCTTCTAAAACTTACCTAGGTAGCCCCCGCAGACCGGATATCACGTGGACTTCTGTACCGTTCGCGTCGCGACTGCTGTAGGAGTTCACATTACCTACTTGGGAATTGCGCGCGCGTCCTTCTACCACGTATCTATTGGAAAATCTCAATGCTACACTGCTGCAAAGCTGCAACAGTAATATCGACAGTACATCATTGAGTATATCTCTTCCAAAGATAGAGCCCTTATACAGCTGCATATTCTAGAAGTCCTGTTGAGATCGACGTGAACGGTTCTGTTCCAATTATGCCTTACCACTTCTAGCCCTTGTCATGGCCGACCAACAAGGCAGAAAACACTTACTTCTCAACTCTAGACTAGGTAAACCTTTCAAAGCTCATGTGGCATTTATGGTAGGCATTGATATCTTTATGTTTGCCTGACTTCCTACATCGGACAGGTATCTCAGGCTGCGTCGCTTCAACCTCGAAGTCTGTTGTGGTCAAGTACTGTAGGTACTTCGCGACTGCCACACGAGGGTAGCAGCCCATGGACGGCATCTTTATGTGCCGCCCACTGCTCAAACGCCCACTTTACCCTCCCATCACCACCGCTGCTCGATCGCCTCTATCTATCTACGTGGTTTGATTACTGAATACTGAATACTGGAGTAAGCCCCTCGATGGTGTGTACACTCTTTGTCATATATCATTATTGACAGCTACTGTTAGGTCACGCCCTGGTACTTGCAGCAACCTTATCAACTTCGACCGACCCCGCTACGCCACGCGCAGGCCTCCTAATACGCTCGACAAGTCCCATTTTGTCTCATCCGAGCCAAAACCTGAGCACACCGCAATCGTCTCTAGCACAAGGCTCCTGCGTCCTGAGAGATCTGGTTTCGATTTCTTGATTTGAACACTCTTGTCCGCCACCGGCCTGTGTCTGCCTGTATTGCCATCGCCAGTGCGGGTTGTCTCTGGAAGTTCAAAATAGTCTCTGAAGAACGCTCTCCATACTCAACTAGCCGCCAAGCGAACATCGCCAAAGTAACAACCCCACTAGGTACAACGCCCCGTTCAGGTATTTACATCTCTTGTGTAAGTTTCCAATACCTTGTATTGTTTCCCGTGTTTGCGTTTGGAGGATATAGGTATCCAGAACACATCTTGGCTATAGTTGTATATTTCATCTTCCACAAATTCGACATAGCCTTGTGCCGCAGACCCTTGGCAGATGCTCACTTGATTATCTCTTTGGAGACTGCCTTGCAAAGCCAATGTCAATCAGCACATATGAGACAGATACTTTACGAGTCTTGCGGACTTTCGGTAGAGACCATGAAACTTCCTTCTTAAAAATTTAGGTCTTTAATGTTCTTTCATTCCTAGGATGCCGTCTCCCCTCTCTTACTTAAAAACCTCCCCGCCAATGCTAAGCTGACTAGACGATATGAGTAGTTTTCTAGTCCTAAACCAGATGTTCTTGTGGGTTTTAGCCAGTTGAGATACGGCCCTTCTTTCCGCAATGGATGATCCCTGGGAGTGGGATGTCGATCGAGTCGTACAGGAACTCTGCACGCCCAACCGATCGTGGCATCCATCGTCAACCCCACTCAAACTTCCGCCCTTGGATCAATTGGAAGAAGCTCTGCGGCAACAAGAAGTTGATGGTGAAGTCCTTCTTACATATGACCAAGCCGAGCTTTGTGCAGAGCTTGGGATTAAGATCTTGAAGCACAAGTCCACCTTTAAGAATGCCATTCAAGAAATTCGATTACTGAGTAGTCGATATCGTGTCTACCGAAAGCGACAGGCTTCTGAGCTCGAAGACGTAGAAGAGTCGGTAACTGACGCTCGTTCACCTATTATGATACCAAATAAGGGCGCATCAGAAGAGCAGATCCAGTTGTTCAGCTCTGCAGGGGCCCGTCCCGAACATAGACCATTGGCAAATGGCTCAAGTATAACGGCTATCGACGAACAGCCTGCCAAGAGGCGAAAAATTACTCCGACTCTTGTTACCAGTACGATTGATCCCCACAGGAATCGGAAAATTGCTACCGAAGCCGATACAGTATTCCTTACACCGGCCCTGTCATCGGCGCCTACGGAAAAAGAGCCGGTTGAGCTACTCAATAACCTAGCTGCTGGTGCCTATCTTGGTAACAAATCTATTACAAGATTCGACATCATCGATTTCTCCAATCCTGGTCATCTAAAGTCGCTTGGAAGTGAGGATAAGCAGTTGAACTTTGTCTCTACGGCTCGCCTGATCCCTGGACGCATGATTCAGACTCACCGATTAATGAAACGTCGACTGCTTCGTAATACTGCTCCCCTTCGAACCACGTTCAACAAAAAATCAGATATTGTTCAAGGATGGGATAACCCAGATCATGACAAGGTTCTCCCTTTATATGGCGATTCAGACGACGACATGGAATATGATACTGAGACATGGAGAGAAATTGAGGCTGAGAGAAAAGAAGAGGACCTCAAGCGGTCTCTGCCTCCAGGCCTCACTGCAGAAGAGATAAGGATAACCATTGAACGAGTCCAGCAAGAAATGGTCTCTAAGTGGCAAATTTCAAAACTTCCTAAAAACGTTAGCAAGGCAAATCATCTTTGGAACAATGCGAGAATATCTGGTTTGAAAGAAGCGATAGACCGGGCTCGGCGTAAGCTGCGTGTTCTTGATGCTCGCATTGCAAAGTTGAAGGAGACGACGCAAAAGAACGACTACCGCAACATAAAAGAACTCGAACACTTAGTACTGTCCAACTTTGAAGTGAGTGTCTTCGATAGAGAGTATCACTTATGGCTGATTGGCCTCCTTACCTCTCCATCTGAACCAGCCAAGGTCAAGCAGCATCGTGAACCAAAAGCACGTCCACCTAAACCACAGCCTGACCTGGCAGAGGATGAAGAGATTCTAACGAGCGAATCCGAAGATGACTTAAATAACTTCATCGTTGACGATGAGGAGCCTCTTTGCAACGAAGGTGATTATCTGAGTGAACTTGGCCAAGACGACTCAATGTCGCCGAGAATCCCAGAGACGCCGAGCCGGGTTAGACCCGAAGCAGCTTCTCATAGGACGCTTGAAACGCCATCAAAAGCAAATCAACATGTGGTCATTGATTTGACAACTCCCCCGAATCGGAAGGGTCACATTATTCGCCTTAAAAACGGCAAGTTGGGTTCAAAGGCATCCGATAAAACGCAGGAGACTATTGCGAGCTCACCTTTGATCATGACTATCACAGACCTGGAATCTACTGAGCAGATAGTGGCGACAGCTCTAGAGACAGTCGATCAAATCTACCTTGACGCTATTTTCTCTATCATTCGCTCATGTGATTCACAAGAGGTTTGGCTGGATCTTGTTGTCCCGGCTCTGGATAGAGAGTGGCCCATTGCCCCTTACAACACCCATGTCAAAAAAGACAGCCTGGCAGCATATACTTTGATCCGTCTGTTCGATGCTTATCGAGAAGGCGCAATTCGCAAGCTCAGAAGATATAGAGATGCTGACGAGAAAGAGAAGCGACGAATCAGAGATCTGTACAAGTTATACTCTGAAGAATGGGACGCGTTCATCAAGTTCCTCGCGCGGTTGAGCGATCGCTTCAATTGGAAGAATATCGATATGGACAAAACTAAACCTAGGTCGACCAAGGAAGACAGCGAGGAAGAAACAGACTCCGACTCTCGTTCAGATGTTACGAACTCTGATTCTGATAAAGTCGAGCAACAAGATGGGCCGCAATCTGGTCAGAAAAAGAAGCGAAAAAAGAAGCGCAGACGAGTAATGCGAAATCATGAAGCGGCTATGGCTCGTGGCCGAGACCAGGCTTTCGCCAAAGAGCAAGAAAGTAGACGTAAGAATCTCCGTGCGACACTTGCAGCATTCGGTAGTAGCGCTTTGGGCAGTCAGCATGGGAGGCTTATCGTCAACGAGAGCAAAGGAGACGACCAAGGCTTCATTTATATTCATGACGACATCGCCCCTCGTATTAAGCAGCACCAAATAGAAGGAGTGCGCTTTATGTGGGACCAGCTTGTTGTTGCGAAAGAGAGGCAGGGCTGCCTTTTAGCACATACAATGGGTCTCGGGAAAACCATGCAGGTGATCACCTTGCTGATAACTATCAACGAGGCTTCTGTGTCCGATGATCCTACTGTGGTCTCTCAAATACCAGAAGAAATGCACCAGTCGAGAACATTGATACTCTGTCCGGCCACGCTGGTCAATAACTGGATGGATGAGTCATTGACTTGGCTACCAGAGCCTAACATACTTGGTAACCTCCTCAAAGTCGATGCTGTAATGAGCGTCGAGGATCGAATCCAAACCATTCAAAAGTGGGGTGCGGAGGGTGGTATCTTGATCATCGGCTATAGTCTTTTCAAGGCGTTTATTGAAGATGGAGATATGCGCGATGTTCTTCTTGATCGGCCTAACATCGTAGTTGCAGACGAAGCACATATGATGAAGAACCCCAAATCCAAAACTCACTCAACTGCTGCCAAGTTTAGAACGCTCAGTCGAGTGGCATTGACGGGTTCCCCATTAGCGAACAATGTTGAAGAATACTACGCCATGATTAATTGGGTTGCGCCCAACTACCTTGGTGATATACGCGAATTTCGTTCTGAATATGCAAATCCTATCAAGGACGGCCTTCAGGCGGATAGTACATGGAATGACAGACGAAAGGCGTTAAGAATGTTGCGTGTTCTCAAGTCAGAAGTAGCTCCGAAGGTAAATCGGAAGACTATCGCCGTATTAAAGCAGGGCATACCGGACAAAACTGAGTTCGTCATCACCGTCCCTCTCACACTGATCCAGCGACAGGCGTATGAGATGTTCATACAATTTCACAAAGGTGGCCAATCCGACTCAACTCAGGTGCCTCAATTCGCAATACATGACCTTGGTCTGATCTGTGCGTCTCCTTTAATATTCATGGAAAAGCTGAAGGACCCGGGCGGCAAATCGGCCGACAAAACCGAAACAGCTACATTACCCCGAAAACTCATTAGTGACGAAATGGCCCTTCTACGCACCGCAGTGAGAGAAGTAAAGGACACTATTTCGCTGTCTTGGAAGGTCCTGCTATTGCTCGAAATTCTTCGCCAGTGTAAGGAAGTTGGGGACCATGTTCTGTTATTTAGTCATTCGGTCGTTGCCCTTAATTATCTTGAGGGAATATTACGCATGAAAAGACACTCATTTATGCGCCTTGACGGCAAGACGCAGATGGCAGAACGCCAAAATCTAGTCAAACGCTTCAACAAGGGAAACATTGACATATTCTTGATTTCTACGAAAGCCGGTGCCCTTGGGCTGAACATTACTGGTGCAAACAGAGTCATAATCTTTGACGCTCAGTTCAACCCACAAAATGAGCAACAAGCTGTTGGTCGTGCTTATCGAATTGGTCAAACTAAACCCGTTTATGTGTACCGCTTCGTTTGCGGGGGGACCTGCGAGGAAAAGTTGTTGCATCAGGCCATCTGGAAGATGCAACTGGCATCACGGGTTGTTGACAAGAAAAACTTTGTTAAAAAGGCACCTCGGCTTGCTAAAGTTTGGGAAATGCCGGAGGAGTCCAAGCAAGAGGAACTAGACCCACTCCTGGGCAAGGACGCCGTTCTCGATGCGCTAATAAAGGATACAAAATCCAGAGAGGGTATAAGAGCTATACAAATGATGGACGTCTTTGAGGAAGAAGCGGTTGAGGATGCTGAGTTGCTACCAGAGGACATCAACCTCTCTAACGTGATGATCCAAGCTAATGAAGCACGCAGAATGGGACAGCCTATTCCTGCACACGTGTCCGCCGCTCTAGCTGAACTTGGTGGAATAGGCTATGGTCACGACTTCGTGCCATCGGGCCAACCCTTATCCGTTGGTCTTCCAACGGGACATCAGCACTTTCCACAGCCTTCTTCCACCCAGCCGCTAGATATAGGTCAAGCTTACCAGCCTCTACCTGTTGCACACCAGCCAAGCCACGCAATCTTGATGTCCTCCAGCACGCATTTACCCTATAACGCACGACCACCGTTAAGCTTAACACCGATGCAGCTTCAAGGAGCAGAAGTTCATGTTAGGTCTCCAAATGGTTTTTCAAATACAACGACTGGACGGAACAATATATGTGATAACCAGATCCCACAGAACCATCACCTCCCGCAGCAACTGAATATTAACGACCCTCTCCGAGTATTCCAAGCTCAACAAGCCACCTTGCAGGGTGCTTCAAACTCGTCTATTCCGGTAGCCTCGGCAATGGTTTCAGATCCGAAGTCGACCTCCTTGTTAGCAACTCAAACTCCACCGAGTCTGCCACCGGTGCAGCTCCAAGGGCAAGAAGTGCATACCAGGTCGCCGGCTGGGAGTCTCAATACAACCTCCAGCGCCGTTGATTCGGATTGGACTACTTTGTCCGCGGTTCAGACAGAGGTAACGCAGGCATTCACGGCTGCAGATTTTCCGGATCAACAAACCCGAAGTCGGGTTAGTTTTGATGTCTCGAATGCAATATGGGACACACTACAGCGTCTCCCCCCTACTGAGAAACTCGCTATGGAGTGGGCCATTAAGCGTGCAGTTTTCGATGAACGTTTTGTGCAAGCTCTCAGCATGGGTCTGCTTTCGCCCCAACAGCTGAGTCAACTGGCTCCAGATGATATTGATCGACAGCGCGAAATATGGAGAGGAGAAGTTCCCGCGGAATGGGACACAAGAAAAAATACATGGAGCCAAAGAAACCTAGTCCGAGACCCAGAAGTAAACACCCCAGCTCAAGAGCATCAACATAACGCCTCAAACTAATCTCGATCATTAGCATCTGCAAAATGCGCTGCAGCGATATTCCGTAGTCACCAACCATGGTGCAGGCACTACTGATCACTCTAAATCATATCGCCTCGACGACCACGAGGCGCTACAAGCCGTATTCGAACGAAGGAAGATAAAAACGCAACGAAAGGAGGACCAACAGGCCCTGCAGGCTGTTATGGAACGTAGGAGAGCTAAAGATTCACCATCACAGTCATTAGATATTAGTAAGAACCCGCGTCTGCCTCGGTGGGCGGAGAAGGTGGCACGCCAAGCACAGATCTCAGCCCCGTCATCTTCCAACCCACCGAGAACATCACCCCCAAAATCTTCATTGCGGCCGCAACCAAGAAACCCTTTCAAGTGAGGTTTCTGACACTGGCCCTAAATCCTCGACATAATCAGTATGCCTACTTCGCCCCTCTATTGCTTTCATCCCCCCCTTACTTTTTCTCAACATCTCACGTTTAGGCGTTGTTCTGGCGTGTTGTTTCTGAATTTTCTTCCATTTGAGATACCCCGACTCTTCCACAAGGGAGCTTTCTGCTTTTTTCTCTGGGATGGCACGCTGGTTGACGGGTAAGAAGCATTGAGCTCAACTTTGCCTGCAAGTCCGGCAAATTTGAGGTGAGGAAAAGGATGGGTCCGAACTCTACGGGGCAGCTGAAAGTTTAGACCTTAAAGTTGTGCTTAGCTCATGCGTGCTGTTGGCGAGACACTAAGTCAAGCTAGATAGTTAAAGAAAAGCCGATGGGTGCTTTTGCCCTTGTTCCTATCTTTCTTCTCCTGTGACATCAGAGCTGCTTGGTGAGTGTGGTCTAGTAAAGAGATCTCAGCTGAATGGGGAATGCCCTTTCCCTGAATTTTGTGTTAGTATTAATCGAATATTTGTCAGTTATCGGGAATGTCGGATATTGACAGTTTGAAGTTCGACACTGGCTTCTGAAGAGAACATCTTGATACAATCGAGGCCAAGAACTTTTATGATATGATAAACTCGGTGTTAACCAGTCAATGGAGTCAAGTTGTCCAGAGTCTTCAGCAAACAATCTAATTACCTAAACTAATTAGACAGGTGAGCGCATAACTGCCATGTCTTGAAGTATTAGGTCTCTTACTATCATACACTAGCCCACACCTTCATTGTCCAACAGAGATAGAGAGGTAGACAAGTGTACAGATACATAGGTCTCGATATTTTTATGGGCGATTAAAGTTTGTTTCTATGATCCTTTTCTCTGTCCACGTGCGTTCGTTCAGTTCCCAATTTAGCTCCGACTCCTCCCTCATTTGAGGGAAATAAAATAAGAGGAAAAAAACACCGCACGCTATAGTCTGACAACCTAATCTAACATTCCCAAGTCACCGCAGCCATCATTCCATTTTGCTTTACCAAGCCCAGAGCACTTTGTGATGCAGCACACGAGCGCCTAATCGCTCAAACTCGAAAGGTGTGATCCAGCTATCGTTGGCGGGTAGCTTGGTGAACACGGAGGCGCCCTTCCAGACTACGACCTGCTCATCCATGTCGCGCGCACTCCTAGAGACTAGTATGCGGTCAAAGAGGTCAGGCCTGCGGGCGCGTAGCTTCTCCTCGAGGGTTTGTGTGAATAGAGGTGTTTTAGAACCCCCGCCAACCACCATGATGCTGCCCAGGAAATCGCGCAGCCGCTTATCATCGCCTCGAGCGGCATTGTTAATGCTAGTCAGGATGGCGATGTCGAGCGGGGCGACAGGGAGAACGGCATCACGCTCCGCGGCTATTGAACGCGCACTGCGAGCCGCCGAGTCTACAAACATGCCAGCAGGTGGTGCAGGCGAGGCTCCGTTGCGAATAGCGGTGGGCCCATTGGGTGCCGGGCTGCCAGTGTTCCCGTTTGCACCAAACTGGAAGGCGGGTGGTATAGGAGTGGAGGCGCCTTCTGGAGCAGGAGATGCGGCGGTCGAACCTCCTGGCGTACCGTTGAGATCCCCACGAGACAAGAAATTGAATGGCTGAGACTTCTCTTTCATAGGAGTAGCGAGGTTAGGATCGGTCGGATTCGGTTGAAATCCATTGGGGTTGGAGACTAGAGACGGCTTGATGTGGGCTAGGATGCCTAGCTGGGCAGCGGACGCTGGGTCGTCTGGGACATCGACATCGTAAGCATTGTATGAACGGTCGATCAATTTCCGGCGGCCACGCAGTTTTGCCGAGTTATCGAAGATTGCCGGGTCGTAAAATCCCATGGGGGCCAGTATCACTTCGTCATAAGTCTTGAACTGATATTTGTAGGTGGGTTGATTGGGGGCGCGAAGATGAAACTGATATAATTGCACAGATATATCGGCTTGCGACATGGTGCAATGTTTGATCTTCAGCTCTTCAGCCAGAAGGAAGTCGTAACGCCTCCGAAGATTTATTTCCTGATAAGGGAAATTATCATAGAGCATCATTTTGATAAATGTGTCCGTGACATCATAACCACCGTACTTCAGGTTTATGCGCGAGTCTTCGATACACAAGCCGTCCTCGACACAAGCGATGGAGGTTTTCTGAGCGCCGACGTCGACGACGCAGGCTTGAGTATAACCAGCTCCAAAAGTAGCGGCCATGCTCTCCTGTATAAAGCATATCCTGCTAAACTCGAACCAAATCATGCAAGATTTGAGGACTTGTTCGACGTATCTCTTGTCATATAAATCCGGTATGACAAATACGCAGCTGTAGTTTTTCCATGAAGAAGTGCTCGTCAATCCTAGCTCTTGCCTTATAGCTTTATCTAAAAGAGTTTCAAAGTCGTCATAGAGGTGCTCGGCAGTGGTATAATCATCCTCGTTGAGAACACCGTGTTGTATGGGCCACCAGAGTTTGAATTTGGGGTCTGAATCGTCCGGGATGCGCTGGGCTGCATTCCCGATAAAACATGAGGCAGCCGAATCTGGATCCTCAAGGCTATTCACATCAGTCCAGTCGATCTCCTGGGGGTCATTGTGTTTGGGTATTTTCTCTGGTTCGGTCCGCCTATTGTAATTAACTACAAGTTCCTTGGAGTTGGGAAGCACCTTGCGCTTGTTCGCACGCATATCGACCTTGAGATCGTTACACATTTTCTGATATTTCTTAGACCATTCTTCGCCATACTGTTGATCAGTGGTTTTGGCTTCAAACTGCCGTCTAGGTAGGGCCTCGTGCATCTCAGACTCGGTCTGTGGGAACTTGGCGGCTACGGTCATAGGTATGGTCTTTGGCAAGGCGTCGCTGGCGAAGCCTATGCGTAGATTCTGGCTACCGGGGTGGATGACGATGACTTTGGAGGGATCTGCCCCATCAACCGTGGACGCGACAGCCTCCTCGGGCTGTATATCGGCGACGGGGAGAGGAACTTCAGCGTGTCCATTCCGGGCAAGAGCTCGATCTCGGTCTTTGGCAGACTGGACGAGTCTGTCGCGTGTGGCTTCAGCTTGCAATCGTAGGGCGAGCACTTGGTCATCGCGTTTCATGTAATCACTACAAGGCCATGCGATTCATTAGCAATGGGTTTGGTAGGGAGGGCAAACGAGTCGTGGCTAGCGGATGGCGTACGTATAATAATTCTTCTGATTGATAGGAGTAACGTCGGGCCAGTTGGTCTGTTTCATGCCATTGTCTGTCCTCTCCAGTCCTGGATTGCGAATGTGTGTCAGCAGATGTTAAAAGCACAGTAACCCAGATAAGTTACGACGCGCGCTTCCACGAAAATGATACCAGCGTGATGAGGGCGTAGACGTAGATTACACGGTTTTCTTACCTTCGCGCAGAAGCACGCGCTCGCTGACTTTTCCGACCATGATGAAAACAACTTATGACAGCGACAAGGCCTGGCACACGAGGGACATGCGACAGCGACGGGTGGGCAGAGTCATGAAGAGGCGTGTTGGTCGTAGATGCCAAGGTTAGCCCGGTGTCATCACAACACGGCAAATCAACCTTGAATCGATGGATTGGTCAGAAAGGCACAATAGAAAAGGGCGATGGTCGATCTACAGCATTGGAGAGCACGTAGCGCGAGATAGTTGTGTGCAGGATGTTTGCGTGTTCCCATGCCGTCAATAGAATCCAGATTCAGATTCCGACTCCCGATCCATTGATTCGACCACGCCGTATCGGTCGGTATCGGTCGGTATCAGTGGTTTAGATAGACGGATCCCTATCTAGACTCAACAGGCTCACACTTAGGTAAAAGCGTGCGCCTCACCTTACCATGCCTTGCCTTGGCTGGACCAGGACAGACACCTACACTAGGCAGGTTTTGGTGGGGAGGTTTTTTTTCCGGCAAGCTCGCTGCATTCATCCACTATTCACTGACCTCATTCACTGAACTCATCCACTGACAGCCACCCACCGTACCTACTGCAGCTGCTATATCTACCTACCTACCTAGATACTTACCTCTAAAGCTACCCTGCACTCCTCACTTGCTTATTTGAGGCTCCTTCTTTGTCACCGACCTAAATGTCGCGGTATTGATTGGTCATGATAGATATCCCACCTAGGTTTTTATTTATGTGGCTACCATGGCTTCGCAGCATCGCTAAGTTCGCTCGTCGGCGCGCCTCCAGAAGCAGGGGAGCTATATAATATACTATATACCTTAATTATCTGGTAGGTAAACCCCCCAAAGGATGCTGATATCCTAAAGTAGGTCCTGTAAGAAGCCACTTGGCGAAAACATCAATCAAGCAAGAAGAAGGACAAAGAGACAGAGAGAGAGAGAGATAGAGAGAGAGAGAGATAGAGAGAGAGAAGAAGGCTCTGGGTTATATTTATGCAAGTAGTTTGCTAGAAAACCTGCCACCTGGCATTGGAGCGACGCCTCAGCTTTACAGGCATCCATACCTCCCTTATGACGCCATTCTCCTAAGTCAGGCATACAGACGTACATGTGATCTTCTCGATCATCTCAAAGTTGCCATCATCTAATGCTGCAAATGACCACAAATGACCATTGGCTCCGCCGTCTAAACAACTTTGGTGCATCAGCCCGTTCATCTTACACCATTAGGCTGTTCTTTGTGCGCTACTTCGCCGCCCGTTCATCTACATCAATTTGATGTCACCAGCCTATTATAACTAGACACAACTAAACAGTGAATCTATCTATCAAGCTTCTTCAAGCTTAATCCCAACAGAATGGCCCCCATTCCTGTTTATACTAACAGCCCTATCACGGCGGCGAAGCCAGACGGCGTGACACCCAAGACCGAGCCCAGTAAGTCTCAGAGAACATCAACGCCAACGTCAACATCAGCTTCTACGCCGGCCACGTATGCTGCTGCACAACCTGGCGCTACGCCGTCGCTTCCAACGCCTACCCGTGCAGTTTCTAGCTCTGCTCTGCATACCACACCTACGACGTCGATAGCCAGTGCTAGTCCAGCACCACCTCAGCCAGGATCCGTCCCTGTCAGCGGCGTTCCACCCCCACCCAAGGTTGGTGAGAGATACCAACCGCCCACACAGGATCCCACGGCAACGATGCCGTATCCTGAGCAGATGGCTATTCCTGGCCCCACGATACCTTACTCGCAACAGCGTGGAACGTCAACTGCAACAGCCGCGTCACCTTACCAAGCTCACGTACCCTCTGGTAACGTGGGCGCCGAGAGCCTTTCACACCCTACCGGTTATCAACAGAATGTGAATGCCTCTGAATTTGATCGATATCAGAGAACAGCCATGGAGCAGCGCGAGTTAGACGATGGCGGAGAAGGTATGTGGGGGGCTGCCAAAAAGCTGGCTCAGCAGACAGGCGAACGGCTTGTAGCCGTGGAGAATGAGGTGTGGAAGAAGATCAACAGGGAATAGGCAGAGAGCAGCCATACCAGTAGGTGGTAGCACCTCTATCTACGCACGTTCAAAAGAAAATACTGGCCTCGCCTATCGTTTTATCTTCGCCCTTGGGGAACTCCTCGACGCCCAAAAACCTACACGCGTACAGGGCATTGTCCTGCTGGTTGGCCGGAACATGAGGTGGGAGGACTCAGCTCCGTTCTATTTGTGGCGTATGTTCCAGGGTATGACGCGGAGGATTTGCGCAATGAAGCGCGTGAGCCTTTGTGCTGTTGGTCCAGCAAGCACCCAGTGCCGCGCATTGCAGTTTTAATTGGGATCACGGGCTGTTGGGGGCTGCATGTAGATGTAGGAAAGAACACGCGGGCCAGTTCTACGCCAGAGGCAGAAGAAGCAAATCATTCAGAACACAACTATTAAGTCACCAATACGTGTAGGTAGACTGCCACGTGATAGATTGCGTTTGTTCCCGTAGATCTGCAACGTTTAGTTTCCAAAAGGGCCGGCCAGGAAACCCGACTCGCTATGGGTTGTTTTAACTCTGTGAACGCCGGCTCTGGCTGTATGGAACGAGGCTGGTTCGGTCTCATCATTATTAGTCCGAGATCTACATGGTATATGACGGTCGATATATGCTATGATTAGGATTACGGGCCCGAGGGCATGCGGGTAAAAGCCAGAGCATTGAATAATTTCCCAAAGAGGCCCGAGATGTCATGCGAGGAACGGGCAGTACCCCAGCAGCCTTGTTTGAGATCAAGGATCCGGCGGACCCACAGAACAACTGTCGAAGTCGTAGAAGTTTTCTGACTCCCGGCCCAGTTAGCGAATCTGTCGCGTTAGGCTACGGTTAGTGGCGTCGACTCATAAGTAGTGTTGTGGTTGTTTGCTTGCTCGCTTGTCCGTACCTACACATGCTACCTTGTAATGTAATGTACACCATGTAACTCGTGTGTCCCCACGGAGGACGGAACGATGCCCGTTCTCAAGAGCTGGCGTATCAAGGCTACCCTAACTGCACGTACATGATCGATTTCCTATTCTTATCGCTATCCCTCGGGTCTGGGGAACGCAGCGTTCATCGAGGAGGATAGAAGTGCCTGTTTGGGTATGCGCGCCTTGTTTCTAAGAGATGTGGACGGGGGAGGCTTGCCGAATAGGAAACCATCGCGTGTCACCACCCGACCTCCCTCCCTTTCATATTACGCGGCCCGAAAGGCTTAATATATGAGTTTATGGATTCTAAGATGTGCCTACACTAGGTGTACTAGTGTACTGGACATCGGAGACGTATGGCCTCGGGAGGCCGCCCATTTAATCTATGAGCAAACCTTCCAAGCTGGCCTCAATCGTGAGAAGTGGTGATAAAAGTCAACCGTTGTAGAGAAAGACTGGAACTTTCGAGCAGGTAGCACCTAATATGCCGGGCTCGATCTGAATCGGACCATTGCCATGCGCTGGCTCAGCAGCGACCAGCGTAGACCAGCGTAAACTGGAGGCCGGTTGTGGTCTCGTGCAGGCGTCAAAGCGAGGCCTATCTGTTCGAGTACATACATGACTCATGATTACGACCTGTAGATCGCAGACAGACTGTCATTAATGTAAGACAGGCAGGTTTGTTGCCCTTCACAAACAACTGCCGGATAGATGTATGTAGTGTACACTACACGACACTAGGTAGGGTCTGGTAAACTGATCTCGACCAGGCATCTGAATATCAGAAGCTACCTAAACTGGGGTATAAGTCCGAGAAGACCCGCCCGGCTGGAAATAGAAACAAGAACCAGGGGAGGATTGACGGTGCCTACCGTACCTGCCGTACCTGCCGTACCTACCGTACTTGGGACAGTAGGCAGAAGACTCGTGTAAGTAAGTAGGGGCCAGAAGAGGGGATCGGATGGGCCTATCGCATGCTAATGTTAGGTATTTGACTTGCCCGTTGTTACAGCTTCTAACACGGCCAAAGTTGCAATGGATAATCTGTACACAACTATATATGTTATGTAGCATGTAAGTAGGTAGAGTAGTAGGTAGGTATCTCATCTCGGTGTCTCCTAGCAGTACCTTCATACATATGTAACGTGCTGATGGAGTTCGCCTAAGTACTAGCAATCCAACAGAACGAGACAGGCGGTACTTGTATCTAGGTAATGTTTCGAACGACAAATCGTACCATTGGTCTATTTGGCAAGCGTACGGGATGTTACCGCACGCTCGGCTAACTACCTAGGTAAGGACTGTAGATACTGTAAGTACATAGAAATCTACATATAGAAGCATAATGTAATTAACCTTAGGCGAGTTAGGTTACAATCTGGTTGTTAGTAAGTCCCCATACGCCTGGTACTATCTTACATACCTACTTACATACTTAGGTATGTAGTTAGAATGTGTGGATGGCAAGCGGGGAACTCCACCGAGCTGTTACAAGGCCCATTCCGACATAAACAGGCCCAACTTCATAAGTACCTACCAGCTAGCAACGGTGACGAGAGGAGGTCCTTTTATAATTTACACCAAATAGGACGGGCTGCCACTTACTAACACCTCCTGTTAAACCCTTCCCAACAATCTAAGTATCTATGTAATCTAGCTATCATTCTGATTTACAGCGTGCCAAAGTAGGCCATCACCATGAAGCTCGTCTGTTCGTCATCAATGCTGCGTGAAGCGCCAGCACAAGCACCAGCACCAGCAACAGCGGCGTGATGAATGTCTCCTCCTTGGTAGGTATATAAGTATGTAAGTACTACGTACTTACTATGATTTACTTACTTATATGACCTGCATCCAATTTGCGGAGGAGAGAAGCAGAAGTCCAGACTGGGCGTTCTGCTCACAGACCAGGATGTCCATTTGGGCCATCTTGGCGACCCAACCAAGACACGAAGCTGGACGTGCCGATAAACCCCAGACAGGGATTAGGTCTGTAACAGAATCTGAGACACGACGCTGCAAGGGGCTCGCCACACCAGTCCACTCTGCGCCCACCCAGCACCCACCCAGCACCCGCTGCACGCCCTGTCTACGCCCCGCTCTGCCGCCAGGTACCCAATCGTATCTCTGCGCTGCCCCTTCCTCTCCTTCCATCCCTGCCCCCACCCCACTCCGTCGCCGTTGCTGGCCTGTCTCGCGCTCCACTATCCACCCACCAACCCCCCCCCTCCTCTCTCTCCTCTCCTTCCTCGCCCCTCTCAGTAAATTCCAGGTTCACAACATCAAACGCACTCCGCTGGAGACGAGACGAGACGATGGAACTCGCTCTCGCTCGCTCTCACCTTCACCCTCGTCCTTGTCCTCGTCCATGTCCTCTGCTCTCAGCTAGAGCACCGTATACAGTAGTAGTGTAGCGTAGTGAGCCCTACACCACCGCCGAATGCCAGTCCTCAAGCCCCGTCTCTCATCTCCCGCTTCGCTCTTTCGTGCTTCTCCTGCTCGTCTATTGGCGGGCAGCCAGCCAACTGTCTATCCTCCAACTTCGTCGAGCACCACCAAGACACGCCTTCTCCGGTCCTATCACAGCGCGCCCGCAGCTGTCGAGCCTAGATCGCACTGCCTCTGGATGGTACCCTCCTCAGATCGTGCGCGCCCAGGTTTCATCTGAGCGCCGAGCTGCCACCATCTCATCGTGCTAGAGGCCGCATCAGCAGCTCTCGGTCTTCTCTTGCAGCTTACTTCACTTCCACGGCCTAGCAATCCTTCTGCTTATTGGCTGACTGTAGCTGTCTTTTTGTATGCTATATACGGTACCTATAAACGGAACTCATTTGTGCGTAGGATTCATGGCTTCTCTTCCTGTCCTTTTCCAACAAAGGAAAGGACGACGAGCGCAAACCCCAGAAGAAAAAGGCGCAATGTGGAATCGTCTGAAAAATCATCCCATTCGCCCTCAGCCTCACTGAGCATGTGTACTTGCTGAGTAGTACTACCCTACTAATCGATGCTGTTTCGTTCTGGAAGGCGGATATCAGCCCCTCGGTCCTGTTACTAACTTAGTGTTGGTTCAGTTTAATCACGGCATGCATGTGTCCCTGTGTCTCATTGTTTCTTGCTTACGTGCCTATCTGCACTACACCTTAATTGTCTCGTGATTGGTGACGCTTCGCTGTTTCCACGGAGCTCGGAGCAGCCATAACTCGATCTGGGGAACATCTCCCAATTATGTCTAGAACGAAATCCGACTTTCTCCCCTGCACTACATATACACTACAACCCACTGCAATTACGTGCAGGTTTTTAAATGTCCACTAGCGTCAATGGGCACAGAAGCTGTACATACATGTAAGTATGGTGGTCAAGTGGCAGACACTCTGTCACAGATCTTGTGGTCAGACGAATGATCCATGATCCCCACAGCTACTTACGATAGACGAAGCTTCATAACTCTCAAGATCGCTTGCACATCTTGTGCTGCCCTCCTAGCAAGGTCTAGGACGCGTTTCTGAGTTACCCCTCGTAAGACACATGTTGCGCCCTCCAAATACTAGGCTTCTCCAGATCGACGTATCCGGCCGACCAGGTGTCGTGGTTTGTGTCATACAGCGATGCTCAGTGCGTGGGAATATTGTCCTGCTCGAACGCATCGTCTCGCCTCCATCATCGTCGTCGTCGTCGTCGTCGTCGTCCTTTGTATTGTATTCTGAGCCGAACGTTGGTTACCAACGAGAATGTGTACGTGCTTGCTCGTCATAACTTGCTATCTCAATTGTTGCTACCGCTCGATGCCCGCAGTCTCGCGGTCCGTGTATCAATCTGCCCCATCCACCGATGCGTACAAGCCACCCCCTCCCAATCATCTTTCCCCCATGACCCTCTCCTCGCAGCAGCACGGTTCTTTTAGTGAGGCTCATATCGTCTTTCTCGGTCTTGGCAGCAGTCACCTATTTTCCTGTGATGGTGCTTCTGCCCTATATCAAATATGCTCTGTCCCTGTTATATCCGGACCCTGGTCGGTCTATTCCAAAAGAATGTACCTTTCATGGGTCCTCAACTGGGGCAGTCCCTGACATCCCGTCAGTTTCTAACTGCTTTCTCCCATCTAACGGGCGACTTGATCCCTCCGTCGCTCACCCAGATGTCCCAGTACAACTGCTAACCAGTTCCGAGGCTTGATGGGAACACATCATCAATGGACAGATGTAACCTTCCCTACCCTGTACCCAAATCCTAGTACAGTCCTGTAGCCCTCGCTGCTCCCTGTCACTGCCCTGCCGTGATGTCCATTGACAACTAGCCAAGCAGCACCTCGTACACCGATCTCTCTCCTAAGTCTCTAGATGTGCCTAGGTTTGTATCAGAGAATCCGGCTTAGCTCCTACCGGTGTTCCGAGCCTAGCCATGGTGAATTGAATCGACGTGATCCGGGATGATGCCTATATTCGCAGAGTACTTCTTTTATACCTGTGGGCGACCTGTGCCGCCCTCCGCCCACCTGCTCTTCTACTTCTTCTCGCCTTGCCACTCTCTCCACCTGCTATAGACCATGAAGGCATACTACCGCTAGTCACTCCTTTATCTGCCGTTCAAAGTAAAGCCTACTATTGCCCCTCCGGTCTATAATATTGGGAGCTGGCTCTCTTCTTACCAAGACGCGCCAGCGTACGTGTACCTGACCCAACTCACCTAACAGGCTGTCGTTCCTTCAAGCAACTTAACACGCTCTTTACCGACGGGAATGTTCCTGACCCCGAGTCCCTACTAGCATTGTTCAATCAAATCGACTTATTCGCTCCCTTCAGCTCTCACGTCGCGAGACACGTTTCCCGCCATATTTCCATATACACACCCAAGTCACGTTCATCCTAATCATACACACTTTCACAACCGCCCCGGAAATTAATGATTGCTTAACCGCCCATACTACGAGCTACTATACTATGTAAGTCAAACAAAGACCTAGTCTTGTGCCATGATAGAGATTGAGACTCGAACGACGGCACCGACCCCCTCCCCCTCCATTAGCCTACATAGATCTCGGAGTAGGCCACATCGCTCGCTGCTCATCTACTAACATAGAATACTTGACTTCAGTGACCGCTCTGTAATATACCCTCATTCGCTTCATTGCTTAATACATTAAGCCATGGACTCGAATGATTCCAACATGTAAAGAATTATCCTTGCCCATCTCTGTATCCTTATCGGCGGCTAATACATTACTAGGCAACAACAATTACAAGCGTCTGCGCTTGTCTTCAACCTCGACGACAAAGCGAGGGTAGACGGACGACCTCCAAGCTCAAATCCTATGGTCACTATGGCTGGGATGGAGACTCCCAAAACAGAGCTGTCGGCAGCGCCTGCTGATGTATGGACAACTCCGACATCTCAAGGGCCCCGGCCTAGACCAGCTACTATTTACGAAGGTTTTACGTTCTGCGCTGGCGATGAATTCGGCTCAATGCCATCATGGGAGACTTCATCAGGTCTGACCATGCATACCCCAAGTGACACAATGTCACGCCCCGTCTCGATGCATCAGAACTTCTACCCGGGACTGGGAATGGAGCAAAGTAAGTTTAACTAAAATCTCACAGGATAACAACTGACCGTAAGGACAGATGCTTGGGGCAAGCCGTGTGACGATAACCTAGACGTACATTTCGATAGTGATGCGGCTATTGGCCAGGCATTCACTACAGATGAAGCGATTCCCATTCTAGATTTGCGATACTCGAATTCACAAGTCGATAGTGAGACGCTCAACTTTGAGTCCGCTTTGAAACCACGTCGCATGTCAGGTTCTTCTTTTACCATGTCGACTACTGGCCTCTCTGATATGCCTTCATACGATGATTTCTCTGCTGCGTTGTCAGAAGCACCATCTTTCTCATCAGACTATCCGCCCCCCTCCAACCGAAACTCACTTATGTCCTCGACGCAGCTATCTCCCGTTGCATCTCCTCGTATGACACCACAAAGCCGTTCGGAGCTTGTTCGCGCGCAAAGTCGTGGTCGCGGTGCGTCTCCTTCGCCACGTCCGGTAATGAGATCTGCGCCATACAATGTCGATAATAGCTCGCGCAACAAGAGGTGGTCTACTGGGTCTTATGGAACGACTCCTAACCGAAGACCGTCGCCTTTCGTCTATCACCACACCCATGACGCTTTTGGAGCACGGATGCCTTCACGCCACTCGTCACCTACGATCTCTAACAGTCCAATGCCATTAAACTTCGGAAATCTACAAGCTGTACAGCAGTATCCCTTCCTCGTATCGCACCCGCCAGCCTTCCGGAACGGCATGATTCTGCCGAGTCAATTACCGCCGCATTTGCCGTCAAATGGATTCCATCCGGATCCACACCACTTCGAGAACCCTCCTCCACTGATGTCGCACGGGCTTTTCAGGATGCTGCAAAGCAACGCAGATCCACATTCGCTGCATGGCCACTATACTGACCTTTCTGACCCACCGGATTTGTATTCTGCGTTGCAAGAAGAACAAATTCCACCACCACCTGAGGACATGAATCCTTCAGATCCTGAGTTAGTGCCTCATGAACAGGAATTACGGTTTGAAGGAGATTTATACACCCCGAGATGGGTTCGTGGCCATGGTAATAAGCGAGAGGGGTGGTGTGGCATCTGCAAACCTGGTCGATGGCTTGTGTTGAAAAATTCTGCTTTTTGGTACGACAAGAGCTTCACGCACGGCATTAGTGCGGCGACAGGAAACCCATTCCAAGAGCCGCAGGAAACACGTCGAATGGACGGTAGTCCGGATGTCTGGGAAGGGCTATGTGGAAGTTGTAATGACTGGATTGCCTTGGTCAGCAGCAAGAAGAAGGGTACAACATGGTTCCGACACGCTTATAAGGTTAGTGATAATATGGCTAGAATTCTACTCTCTTCAGATGTACTAACTTGGACAGTGCCACACACACCCAAAGATCAAGGATGCTCCTAAAAGGCGCCGCGAAAGTAGTCACTCTAGAGCACTAGTTGCTTCACAGGTCGCGAAGCCTAGGATAGAGCAACAACGCCCGGTAACGCCTCAGAATACGTCAGGTTCTATGTCCATGGCTACTACTCCCACGCCAGCATCGATGCTTTCTATTGTTCAGCACTCAACTCCTAGGCAGGAGGATAAAGTATCAGCCCATCGAACGCTTTTAGTTCCGGATGCCAACAACATGATCTAGGGTGCCAGTACCTAGCCTCTGCTTGAACGCTAAGTTTGCAAATTCAGGCAATCCTTTCTTGCTCAAATCTCAACAGAAAAGAAATTTACACGTGTTACGAAACGCATGGCTTGATATCCGGACGAAACCGAAATGATATAGACTGGAACAGGGACTGGTTATGATTTTCTTAATGGCGACAGCAATCCGATTCATGTTCTACTTCGAGCGCCACTCCCAGAAGAGGGGCGCAATGCGCGCTTTGTTGCCAGACTGACTATGTCATACACAACGTTGAACATAACCGGATTCTGGTGGAGATTATGACTCTCTCCCTTCAGACATGTCTGATTAATATGAAGTGGAACAAGTGCAACCGGCCAAGCATTAGCAAATCTTGGGATATTCAACGCAAACCAAGGGCACTTCGTTGCCCCGGGTTCTTTTTCATATGCCTGGAAAGATGGATTATTATTTCCAGGCTCTTTGCTGTCACACTTTACCTCACACACACACACACACCAAACCAACTAAAAAAAAATTCAACAGAAAAAACATGCGAATCTCCCATTCACACTGTTCATATGACACTATACAAAAGAACATTGGCTTCTTTTATTTTTTTCCCTTGGACTCTCTCCTAGATAGCTTAATTGTAGATAGCTTTACATCACCTGATACCCTTTGGTTGTGGTTATGGGGGAGGGCGGACTTGATTGAAAACAGCTATATGCCCAGGACGAGCACAAGCGGCGCACGCGATGTTGTGGGATACTTTCAGTCGTTTTATCTCTTATTTTCCTTTGATGTTCATTTCATTTTCATGCGCATAGAGGGAAGGTTTCGGGGACCGATGGGACGAGAACAAACATAGTACAAACATATTAGTCCTGCTGGGCAGTAGTAAGACGCATTTAACAAGTTGATCTTGATCACGAAAGGCCGTTTTCCATCGCATGTGACACGCAATATTACGAGCGAAAATCTTTTTGCAAACTTGATATATCTATCTCACTAGCTTAAGTTCGCCTAACATGGGGAATATTCGCTAGATTACGAGTCCGACGATGGTGACGATGACAACGAATAGGTAGATTATTCCGTACACTTTCTCCCGGCACAATCTGTAAGGCGTACAGGATGTTTCACTGTCGTCACCACACTACGTAGACTACGTATTACTTGGGTATGCATGTACAGTGAAGACATTGGCACTAGGAACTGACAACTCATATGCCCCTTCCTATACAGGTATCTATCTACCCAACACCGCCGAAGAGGGGGGGAGGGGGAGGAGAGATTCAGAGAGAGCCCCCGAGGAAGAAAAAGCGGTGGCGTCCTATTGCTCATCGGACTAGACCTGCGTCTGTACGCACGCGGCGTCAAGCTAACAGGTGCTGGGGAATGATGATAAGTGGTGGATGGACCGGATAGATGGATGGGCGTGCGTTGTGTGCTACTTGTCTAGTCTCTACCGACTTTCGCGAGGATACCCCATCGTCGATGAGGTGAGGATGGAGACGACGATGTTGGTGGTGATAGATGCCCAACATCGTAGAGTTACTACTAGCTAACTCTACGACTACCTACAGTAGCGCCGCCCGCTTGCTTGCTTATTCTCTCCTGGCACACATCTTATCTCTTACAGGGTATCTTTGATAATGGTGTGTATGACGAGAGACTTGCCTGTTTGCTTGCCTGCTTGCTCCTTGGTGTTCTCTGTTGATACTTGTTTCATGTGACACTGGATTGCTAACCTACCTACCTACCGTTACCTGGCTTACGCACATAAGTAGGTACACGTAAATGTACGTATCGTACTCGAATAGATAGTGTAGGCACAGTTAGAAGCCTTTGCTTGCAGAGGGTAATTCCGAAGATCCTAAGAATATATCCCCCTGCAATCCCCTGCTCTACTCTCCACGCTCAGTGATGAAGAAGGCTAAGTGGGTGGTTAGTGTGATGTAGTGTATGGCGCGAGCATAGCCTTTGCTAGCAGCTGGGGGTCACATTTGGGGCAGGGGGGGTCCTGGTCCCTTGGGCTCAACCGGACTTGGATAGACGACGTTGGTTGGGTTTGCGTGTGTACTTTTATGTGCGTGCTTGTGCAGCCAGGTCGATCTGTGGGTAAGCTAGGCAATCCTTCCCTCGCTCACGGCCGCTTGGTAGTGTATTCTGGACTCGATTTCGCGGTGCAACATCATGGCAGTATCTGCGCTAACCTAGATTTTCCTGATCTTGTGTGGGCGTCAGCCAGCATTCGGGACTGTTTCGTGTTAACGAGGATGACGATATTGGGGGCCGGGCGGTTGGAGAAGGTCGAGATGACGAAGAGATGCGCGAGATAGGCTAACTGCTCGCTTTGATGTACTCTACGTGTAGAGTGAAGAGGCGCGGACATAATAGCGGTTCAAAGCAGCGAGGCCGTGGGCCCGGATGTTATGTGCGCCGTGACCGATGATTGTCCCATCCGTCTCGTCCGTCCCCGTTGTGCTGCGTTGGGCTAAGAGTACGCTACCTTCTGCCGATATGAATAGTTCTATCGAGGTCACTCGCTTGTGACTTGGCTGTATTCTCCTGGGAGGATCACAACATAATGTACAGCTCAACCGCCTAGCCAGGTTCTTTCCTTTCTTACTATTCCCAGCCTTGAAATGGGGTCTTGCGCTTGCTGGCGATGAGGAATGAGAAGCCAAGAACGGCTAAATCAAGCCCTCGTCCTATACATCCATTTGTGCTGTTCTTAACACCAAGTCTGGTCCCATTCGTTCCGGTCTGTAGTTATACTTAGGGAAAGGATATGGGAGTGCACTAATAATATCGGGACAACGCCTATCCGAAGAATGGAAGATTAGATCATGTCAACATGGATGAAAACAGTGGCGTATAGCGTGTAGCTGGTCAGTGAATCTAGGCTTCATATCTTGAATACAATAACAGATGGATAATCTCACAATCCAGGACCAACGGACGGGTGGCTCTCAGGCACTCGCGACTGGCCGTGTTCCTGGCTAGATCTTCTTATGTCATCTTAGTCGTCATGTTATCCGTCACCTTCCATGGCAGCACACCCCCTACCGATCCTCTTTCCCCCTTTCAGCGGATACATCACATCTACGGCCAAAGTAATCCGGTCCCTGTCTGTCTGCTGTCCTCCCCGAGTATGGCAAGACAAATAGCTCAGAGAGTGAGATTATCGTGCGCAAATATCGCAATTAAGGTGTTGGTGTGGTGGGCGACATGCCCATCTTACTCACAGTACATATATGTGCAAAGTCGTATCGGATGTTTCATACACGCATCTAGTTCGTGGACCACGGATGATGACGATTGTTGGGGTGGGTTGGCAGTAAGTCAGAACGTTTCAGGTTGACTGCTGGACTATTCTTAGCAACCACTCGAGAGAAACTCGTCTCGTCTGATTCGCTGCCGCTACTGCGTGTGTATATGTATAATAACTGGCATTGCAGTCGCAGTTGGTGTGGTATTACCTATTGTTTGCTTTTGCGACTCACCGTTCACGCGGACAATTGAGAAACCCCCCCTCTCGGAGGTAGTCTAGACCATTCATCTGTCTTCACGGGGGTCGTTAGGTGGCAAGGTCACACGTCCGCACGAGGAACGATATTGACCACGGGTGACTTGTATTAACATGGAATCCCCGGCTATTGAAATAATACGGCTACTATAGATGTCGAGCCACTAGACCAATGAGGGAGAGAAGAGTGATCATATATCATCGCGACATATTGGGACGACGTAGTGTAGGACTGGGTCAACATTCGAAGTTGTGCATGCAGTTGTAAGATTAATTTGTGATACCAATACACTCACACATATGTAAAATCCTTCGTCGGTGTTCCTATAGCGCTGAGTTCGGCTCTTTTTATCTCAGTTTGTACCAAATGATCAAATCGTTACCGAGACATGTGGAAATACGCCAGTATACACAGACCAAGATAGGATAACGATCATTCCAAGATCTCATCCCACCTGCTGCAACGGTAGCTGTCGATGGTTTGAGAAATTTTGATGGAGGAATCTGGTCTTCATACATCCACCAGAATCCCAGTTTCGTTAATTACCTGAGGATGCAACCCAAACCCGTGGCTGATGTACAAAGGCTATGCGATGTGAAGTGGTCTGATGAAAGTTTCTGGCTGTGCATGTCTTGCCTCCCGAGGCCTCAAGCCTGTCTCACGAGAACTACGGAGCCCAGTACCTTTCATACTCAATTTCATTGGTTAAGTCTTTATCTAACCTCCAATTTTCCGAAGAAGCTACCTACAAGGGTATGGGCGTTGTCTCTCATAGACTTGTACGTAATTTGAAGAAAGTGACAATACCTAGTTATTTTCCGTTGCACAGTTCAAGTTAGGCAGTGATCTGAATACCCGCTGTATCACTTCATCAGACGGTAGTAATCTCTGGGGTGAAAAACCTTGATATCTATTTGAAGGCATCTGGGTAACTTACAGGAGGGAGTGGCAGGAATCAGGCAGCGAGAAATTCAATCTAAAGACAGGACAATCTTGTAGAAATTACCTTTTTCACGTGTGGCCCCATGTTGATGTCAGTTTGATATCAAGAATGCCACCATTGGTAATACTCCAGATCAGGTATTACTGATACAGTAAGAGGGAATGTAGGAAACAGAAATGATACTATGTATTTTCTCTGGAAATTTTTCACTAAGGAGAGGTTATCATTAGTTGTCACAAGGTTATTGATACTCAATCTGTCCAGTTGGGCGAGCAATAAAGGTATCCAGGGGCACACACCCAGACCCATATCCATACGTCAAGGCAGTAAACGGAAGCTTCTTCTTCTTAATGTCTTCACGCGCCAGTGCTAATTTCAAATAGAAAAGCACTACATTCATGCAAGAGGTATTTTTCCAAGGACAATGTCCTTCAGCTAGTACCAAAGTCTATTCAGTATTTTGCTCCCTGGTATAGATATAAGTGAGTATACGCAGCCAGTGTCAGTCTTGACAACAGACAATTCCCACAAGTGTCCAGTGTTAGTGCTACGAGGCAAATTAAGTGCTCACAACCAAATACATATCCTCGTAGCAGGACTAAGTTCACATAGTGCTGTCTCTTCCCCTAATAAAACTTACTTGAGATCATGGAACAATATGAATTTCGAAAATCTCGCTATCCCCAGCGGTCAAGAAAACAGGAATACAATATTATACACAAAAGTACCGAAATTAGAACGTTCTCAAGTTGGTAACTTAGCCATTTGCACTCATCATATATGTCGCGGGGAAGTGGGTATGTCATATAAGGACCATTAACCTTCACGGGTTAACGGCGTCGTTTTTCCATGATAATATATGGTGCTGTGATATCAGCTAATAAGTAGTGTTTTCGAATCAGAATCCCCCTAGTGAAAGAACCAAGCGGGAAGTAACCTTATGTATAAGGGGTAATGTAAGGAGCAGCTAAGGTAGGTAAATCCTGAATTCGCGGAGTCTCGATTCAGAAATGACAATCCAAGGGACACCTGTAAGCCAACTCACATACTTGTTGAAGGAAATTTGGAGTGCCTTAACGGAACAGGAAAGTGGAGTTATTCGATTACTCTCATGGGGGTTGTATATGAAATTGAACAACCGAACTATAGTTACCCATACCAACAGATAAGTAAAGGAACTATGAGCCGGGAAGAGTAGCCACCAAGCGCACCAAAGAGGAATTACTTACGGTAAACCCAACCAAAACCTACTAATTCATAAAGCATTCTAAGCACGGTCTGATAGATTTTGGAGGGTAGTCAAGTGTGCGCAGAGGAAATGAGCATAATATGTGTCGCACCCTTGGAACGTGGCTCGAAGAACGGAGGAAGTATAGATACATGACTGCTCATGAGGAAGAGCGACAATAAAATCTAATTGGGAATATAAAGTTCCCGAATAGACCCAATGTGGGAGAAGCGGAGGTAGATTTCGTAAGCGTCGGAAGCAAAATTACTGCTGAGTAATCCCCCCTATTCCTGGACCACCGGAAGATAAGGGTTGATATACTGGCGCTGTAGTCTAAGATGATAACTTTCTACGAAAGAAGAAGAACTGAAGTAGTTTTAGGAAGACTACTTAATAAGAATAGCAAGAAGCTTGACTACGGATAGGTGGTTGTTCGGCCGATACATAGCATGTTGGCGGAGCAAGGCAGCCTCCAACCCTCTTCTAAAACCTTCATCGTGAGTCCATAACCCTTACTATTAGAATACACCTATTTTCTTGATTTAAAAATCCTGACAAATTATAGGCGTGCAGTCGGTGCAAGATTCGCAAGAAGAAATGCGATGGTGGCTCGCCGAAGTGCTCCAATTGCGCCACGCATAACGCAGAATGCATCTATGCAACCGTGAGAAGGACACGGGGTACAGGCAAAAAGTATAAACTGCACCCTATATGCTATGGATAGTTGATCAAAAGAGACTAAATCATAACCTCATAGGTTTAGGGAAAGCAATGACGACTTAAACTTAGAGAATGTTGATTCTAAAAGACGCCCCGAGGGCGAGGAGCAAGCACAATTGGTGACGCCAGGGCCTCTCCCTGTACCCATTAGCAACACCGAGTCTTCATTCTTCAGGCTTCCCCCAGATCGCCCAGATTCCACATCACGGCTGCCCATCGTCCCAGACTTTCTACTCCCGGACAATTTCCGTAAGAATCTCGCGTCGTTCGTGTCGCGGCTTAATGCAGCCGCTGCCGTGGGAGGATTCTATCCGCTCATGCCTGTTCATATCTGTCGGCACTTGATTACAGCTCCTTCGCTGAGATAACGGACGAGCACCAATTCATAAGCCTAGAAAGCTTCATGCAACTCTTCGAGGAACAATATGCAGCCAGCACAGATGAACCGGCTGGGGGGGATGCTCGATGGGCGCTTATGAATGTTGTTGTCGCGATGGCGCTACGCTCCAAGACAGCCGTGGGCGGAGAGTCATCAATCAGTCCCTTGATCCAGAGCTTCCACCTGAATGCGGCAATGGTAGCGCAGCGGGTCATCTACCAGGATCCTAACCTCCTTTCTGTTCAAGCGCTTCTTGCCATGGCCGTGTTCTCTTGTGGAATCCCCGATCCTCAGGCTTTCGGCATGCTGGTAACTAACGCTTTATATCAGCTTGAGATTTTGGGCCGAAAACAGTTCGGAGGGTTACTTGGAAGCGAGGAGGATGAATACTGGCAAGTTAATCAGGTTTCAATGAAGTTGAGCGAGGGAATCGGTCTTAGAATATAGCGAGAAACTCATGCACGAACCTGCGACTAATGGCAAGTTGTAAAGGACGGACATCTATGTTCACAGAGCATCTGCGTCGCTACAAGCCCCTTTGGCGCGTCTCTCGAAGTCCCCAAACCCCCAGGTGGGCTTGGTGACTAGTAGGTTTTCATAATAGACGAATATGTGGTCATAGAATCGCCTAGAGTGTTGTATATTTGCAGGGACCTTTGGCCGCTCTCTGAACTATAAGACATACCGGTGTGTTTGGTGGCATTCAAGTCTTCAACTCCCAGAATCGTTGATACGTAGACACCGACACCTGCTCAACACAGTCGCGGCTCTCCAAAGATACGTCGGCCTACTAAGCTCGACATACGGAATGGCCAGAGATCTCGAGAAATAGGAACGTTAGATAAGGCACTGCTCAACGGGGCACGTACCTCATCTTTCACATTAACAAGAAAGAGGATATTTCTCTCGATGATTGCAACCATTATTTATCTTGTCGGTTACGCGGACCCTCTCCATAGATGCACTAGTTGAGGGCATCACAACTAAAATAAACCGTTGTGGTCCTCTTAAGTAGTTGGCCGCGGCCATACGAAACGTGCTTGGAAATAGTTGTTGTTGGTTAAGTACTTGAGAAAACACATAGCATCTTATACAGGATAATAGCCGTCACATCCAAGGAGGCAACATTCGTGATGATGCTAAGTAGAGAGGTTTTGAGTCCTACCGCTATATATCAACTGTACATACCCAGTAACCTATTATTCCAGTCTCAGAGCTGGCGCTATGATTATCAAACAGTAGAGTGCATAGAAGAGAGTGCAGGCATAACGATATCTTTAACTTTTTTTATAATCTACACTCTGTGTGCTGTCTACAGCTACCCACTAACAAGCGTGTCTTTCGTGAGCCCCGGCGCTAAGGGATTGATTGACGGCTCCCTGATACCACCATCCTTTTCATCAGATATCGGTAACTCGTCTTCAAGTGTATGGGTCTGCCCATGACTTTCTCCCTTGCTATCGATACACTCTATAACAGGAGGTTCCACCACTGATGCAGCAGCCTCTTGTTCTTTTGCTTGCCTTTTTTGGTCCTTCTTTGATAACCTTATACTACCCTTCGCCAGAGCCTCTTTCGGCAGCGGCCTAATAATGGGTTGAGTAATCCACCAAGGCCGCTTACAAGCCCTGACTGTTGCTACTGAGCTTTCTGGGTCATCTTCTGGGTCTATATCATCATTAGTAATATCCTCTTCGGGTAGCCCCTTGTCCTGAGGTTTGGATTTCAGAACTGGCTCTTCGTCTAGACTCTTCCCATCTGTCCTTTCGTAATCTATTAATCCCTGGGCGACGCGCCTTTCCACCATGTTTAAGACTTTCTCGATGCCATTTATGTCCCCAGGATTCGTTCTCGCCAATGTATCGCGGATATCAGTATGCTTAGATATGAAATGACGTAGGAGGTGAAAGAGATGAGGGCGGACAGCGACAATGTTGGGGGATGTCGAGCGTTTACTTGCGCCATCCTGCTTCAATTTTTTTCGCGCCGGGCCTTCCTCGTGGTTGTTATTCCGGGCTTCTGTATCTTGAAGGCAGGCATCATCATCACCTACTACAAAAAGTGGCCTCCTTTTCGGAGGCTCCTGCTCTAGTGCATATTTGTGCAGAATGTCCATATATCGCCTGAAGACAGCATCAACCCTGTAGCCGCCTTTGCCATCGCGGCCTCGCCAGTACTCACGCCCCTCTTGTCCGACTGGAGGTGGCGCAGCAAATATGGATGGATCGCTAAGATTTCCTTCTGCGCTCATGACAGCATCAGCACCCGTAGCTTGGAGACATCTTTGTATGTCACCATGCTGGAGGATATTCCCGTTGGCGAAAATGACGGTCTCCTTGGGTAAGTTTTCTCGAAGGTAACGGATATAGCCCCAATCCGCTACGCCCGTCAGGTGTCCTTTCTGCTCTCTTCTTCGTCCATGGACGGTAAGAATACTGGCTCCTGCAGACAAAACGTTCTTTGCGTAGGCTAAGGTGTCTTCCTTAGTGTCTAGGATACGAATCTTGGCGGTTACGGGTACAGAAAGGTTTCGGTGAAGATTATTAATCAGTTTGTAGATGAGCTCCTGGTCCTCCTGCAAGAACGCACCATAATGGCCTTTGCGGGCTATGCCCTGAGGGCAGCCTAGGTTTAGGTCGACGGCGTCACAATAAGGTGCGACCATCTGCGCGGCATGGAGTAAATGGTCAGGGTCGTTGGCGCAGAACTGGACGAATAGAGGGCGGTCAATCTTGGGGTTTCCGTCTAGGAAGGGGCTGGCCGGATCGGCATCTGCGGTTCCGACGGGCTGTCTTGTTGCCTGGAAGTGGGCGTCCCTATACTTGGGGGTCTCTTCGAAAAGACGAGCGTGGAACATGGGAGTGTAGGCAAGCAGCTTCGCGTTCTCCTGGGGCGTGAGAAAAGACCGTGTCAACGTTCGCCAGGCCTGTATATCCAAGTCAGTTATGAAGTTGATAGCTCTAGGCACAGATATACTGTGGCAAGTGGGAAGACTCGCAAAGGAAAGACGTACAAACTCGGACTGGTCTACCATGGGGGCGACGATGAACTGTGGGCTTCCTATGCTCTCGTAGAAAGCACGGCCATGTAGCTTGGGCTTGGGCGATGTTGAAGCTGGAGTCGGGGTTGGAGTCGAAGCCATCGTGTTGATGTACCGGCGCAGCAGAAAGCAGCTCCTAGCCGCTGGCAATTGAATATAACGGAACGCCACAGCTGAGAGATGCAACTGTTCTACGGAGTAAAGCTATATCGTTTATTCTGATTTGGCGTATTCTATTGGCAAGGAGGTAGTTGGTAGTATATGTGGTTCTCGAGGTATGGTTTTCCTTTTTTTCCGCCTTTCTCTCTCTCTCGTCATGATTTTTTTTTTTGTTCTTCCTACGCTATCAGCCTTGCAACCCACACCCCCAACCCCCCACATCACACAGTTGTGTAGGTAGGCACCTAGGTTAGTGTAAGATTTATGGTAGCGCACCCATCTGTACTTGCGGCATATCTCGAATTCGGGGTATATCAGCGCTATATCTATGCAAGTACTAGATTAATCCAGTATTTTTCGCAGTCCCTTTTGACAGTACATCAGGCACCTGCTTAAAGTCTAAAGATATCGGGGTCTCATGCATGTTCCATGGCTGATGACCCGTGATTGCAACCATTGCACTGCACCTTGGGCCTCGTATTTCAGTTACAGCAGACCAATTCCATGGCCGTCGAATTCTGCTTCGAACCTCGCAATGCAACCTCTTGGCCACACACACAGTACCGGCATTCCTGCATGCATGAATAGGTACGTGCCTATACTACGTAGCAGCGGAGCCGGGAGGACTGTTCTACTCACGACTGTCCATGTTACAACTACCGGCCTGGTAGGTTAGGAGGAGCCTCAGCGGTACGAGGTGCACGCAAGAGTCCCCTCGACGAAGCATGCAACTGACGAGTTTTCATATGCACGTGCCAACCGTGCCATCCGCTGTGTAGTATTATGCACTGCTTCAAACCGCTTTCCTTATTGCTAGAATCCTCGCTAAAAGTACAAATTTCTCTCCCTGTTAGCCGGTTGCTGAGTATCTCCGATAATAGCCCACAAGCAAGGGTTACACCCCAGCCCGCTTCGCCAGCCAACCTCCTGCCTTCCCATCTTCCCGTTTTGACCGGACAGTCGTGTTGTCGTACATAGTCCTATGCTGGCTTCAAACCTCCACCCTCCGAGGCTCCCGCCGAATTAGATAGACAAAGAAATGTTGATGCCTTTGCTTCATCAAAAGGTCACCTGTGGCACCCGTGCTGACAAGAGTTCATCGTGCCCATCCAAGAGATAGTCTCGCCTCACATTGGAAAGTCGGTGTCGTCTGTCTGACACGAGCAGCACAGCACACCAACAGGATACTTGAACTAGAGACGCGCTAGTCCAATGCAACCTGCCATTTGTTCGGTTTCGTAACCTCGGTGGTAGGAAAAAGAGCAAATAACGGGACGTGAAGAGCTGTACAACCAAGGGCTCGTTGGCTGTCGAGATCGAGTTGCCCCGCCCCGCCGCCTGTTCAAAAATTAAGATAGAGGCTGAGCCTAATAACTCGCCTTGTAGACATGAGATAGTTAAACGTAAGAAACAAATTCGAAAACGCCCCGACACCTTACTATGCTGGCCATGTGCAACGCCATTGGATTGGACGAGAGCCAGAAACATGAACGCAGGTCTATGGCTTTGAAACGAAAATGAAAGAAAAAGTATCGCTGAAATGCTTTGTGAAGTGTTTTGTCGTCATCAGAAAAAGTGGGTGTATATCTTGGATGTCTCATGAACTTCCATCTCCTGTCAAGTCAATATGTTAGCACAATCTAGCCCATTCTTTCCTCACGATTTGGGTGTCCCACCATCTTGAAGCTATTCAATTCCTCTTTGATCTGCTGTGCAAGCATAGGCGTCAGGCGGTTGCACGTAGCAATTTCGCCGCGGCGATCGTACTCCTGGCTGTGCCAAGTGTCATGAAAGATAATTCTAGGGCTGAAAGTGGCGTTACGCTTGTGGCCTGCCTGAGGAGTTCCCGGCGCACTCTTGGTATCCTGGCGCAGGCGTAATGCTGACATGAAATAGTCTTCGTTTCCAATGGCAACGGACCCATTTCGCTTGTGGCTCTGGATTTCATCATTAGGCGTGCTGGGTGCACTAGAATAAGGCGAGTCGGAAACGTTGGGAATGGTAGGAAGACCAAAGCCTGGTCCTTTGCTCTCGGGCATTTGAGCAGGAGGAGTCGGGGAGTTGCTACGTGCTGTGTATTCATTCATTGTTAACTTATGCTTCATCACAAGCCAGGAATGCACTTTGTACTCACTTTTCAAGATACCCTTGCGAATAGTTGCAAGTACTTCAGCTCGCTCCCTTTCACCGCCTACGATGCTCTTTCTTGCGGCCGAGTTTTCGCTCGAGGTGTCTTGTGGATCATGACTCAAACTCTCTCTCGTCTTTACCGCGTCAATAGAGTTGCGCTCCAGATGAGGAAACCCAGTGTCAGTAATCTGAGCTCGCTCAGCATTGGTAGTGACGTTGACACGGTCACGCTCGGCTTCAACAGTGACCATCGATACAGTGGCCTGGGAGGCTTCTGGTGCTGCTGGTGATTCTTCACCTGGTGACCCAATCATTGACTTGGGTCTGAAGAGACCAACGAGTGACCGACTACCTTTTTTCATGCCACGTCCCATCTTACGGAGCATGATCGAAGCAGAGGACGCAGTTGATGATATCGACAAGTTATCAGTTGAGCCAGAAAATAGCTTTGTACCGGAATAAATGCTGCTTCCGATACCACCCTCTTCTTGTTTCTGAGCGATTCGTGCCTGCTCTTGCTCATACAGGTCTTCTGCAGTGGGGTCTTTATGCAGTCGGGCCGGCTCGTCATGCTTGGGTGCAACCGACTCTGCACCAATATCCTGTCCAGTCGCTTTTCTAAGCTCGGCTGCACTGCCAAAAGAGAACGCTCTGCGCAGCCGCGAGGTTTTAGTTTTCGATTTACCTCCTTTCTCGTTGATTGCGGCAAGCTGCTTGGCTGCTGGACTCTCAGTTTTTGGTCCACTGGGCGACGCCGGATGTTTCGTAGGCGACGAAGCCGCAGCGCCAACCCCTTTGTTGGCCGACGACCCAGGCGCCATGTTGACCGGGTTCGATAAGGGTGATGGACTGAGAACTCGCTTGCTGACATCAGTGGATGAACCTCTAGGCGGTATGTTGACAATCTTTGGCTGCTCATGAGCCGACACCTTTTCCCCAGACAAGGAAGAGGTCGAGGCGGGGCTGCCGGTGGGGGCAGAAGCGTTGGAGTTTCGATTATTCGCCGACTATGTGGATAGCATTAGTATTGTAGCTAGGACAATATGATTGGGTAATGAAGCATCAAGAAAACCATTCTACACTTACCGAAGACGGCCGAGAATTACTGCTGCTGCGACTAGAGACGATGCTTTCAGAGCTGCCACTTCTGACATGCAAAGCAGTGGCCGCGGGAGGAGGGAGAGGAACAATTCTCGCTGGCTTTTGATCCTTGTCAGCACCACCTATCTTCTTTGAGCCTGTTGATCTATCCGGTTGAAAGGGTTCGGATGTCTGTTTGAAACCCTGTGGAGCTTGAGCATTAAAATAATCTGACGAGTTGATCGAGTGAATGCTGCGTCGCCGGTATTTTTTCGACTCATCATCAGCTGTATGGCGATAAAGATGCATATCGTCCATCGTTGCACCTGCCAAAGACCCATGTGCACTCTGGGGTCGACTAGAAATCATCCCTGGGCTTCGAGGAACAGCTCTAGAATTGTACGACTGAACTGTTGGATGCGCGGCTTGCCCTGTTTGGGCACCCGAACCATGTACCTGCTGAGACTGAGCCAAGGACGGAGATGAGTCGACTAGCTTTGGCACAGGTCGTCTGTATCTCTCAGGAGAAGCTTTGGCAGCAACCACTTGTGCGAAAGTAGGTTGAGTTGGAGTGGTGCTCAACTGAGGACGAGCCATAGGCACAGATGGCTGCATCCTTGTATCTACCAATTGCGGCAAATTGGGTACCGTAGTCCCAGAAGATGTTCGATATCCTCCATGTTGTGATATTTGCCCATTTGTCGCAAGACTAGGCGTTGAGGTAAATGCATATGGCTGGATGGGTGTTACGGTGCTGCTTCGATATGCTGTCTGGCCCCCTACGTTTCCTAGCGACCCGTGATATGCATTTCTTTGAGAGTTGCCATATGTTTGACCAGAATGTCCCTGCGTGGTGCCTGACATGATTCCCGTACTCGATCCTGGTCTCGTTTGGAGCAGAGTCACAGTTCCAGATTGCTGAGGATATGCCTGAACCAATGCAGCCATATTAGGAGCCACTCAGCGAGCAGACAGCGTCTTCCTCAATAGCCTTCGCTACCAAAACGCGCTCGGGTATTCGCCGCCTTTCAACACGATCTAGTGGGCCTAAGTTTGTTCAAAAGCGAGACGTTTAAATTGTCCCACAAGATTTGGAAAAAATTTCTCCGTCGTAATCTTGACAGGATTCCAGAAGGTTTAGGGATATTCTGAGTGCTTCGAATCAAAGATAGTACCTTCAACAGGTCGAGTAGCCTTTGTCACAGGTTACTGCGGTCTCGAGAGGCGTTCGGAGGGAAATAGGATGCTTGGAAAGAGAGGACGCCCGCGGCCCAAGGAACAAGAGATCTTCAGCTAGCAGACTACTATTACCGTAGTCAAGGCCAGGCGAAGGGAGCTCTGCGGTCCAACCGATATTAAAGGATGGGCAATTGATTGACAGTTGAGCCTCTAGTGCCACGGGAGACACGAGGAAAGGTATACGATTTTTTCTAATAGAAGGACATGGGAAAGACTTGTCACAATGTCAACATTTGGTCACTAAAGAACAGACGGGCTAGGGTTGGTTCGGGTCTCCTCAGTGTTTGGAGGGGAGAGAGAAACCGTGGGGACAGCGGGTGCAGAGGAGTTTGAGACAGACTCTAAAGGAGAGCAATGGCACCTAGAAGCTGAGATGAAAAGAGATGAATGAACGAGAGAGCCTGGGTTAAAAGGAGACGACAGACCTTAGCAAAGGGGGGGGCGAGGCAGAAGATTGAGGTCAAGGAGAAAAAACTGTCTTAGGCCTAAAGGTAGGTAGGAAAGAATAGTATGTACTAGTAGGATGAGAATCGAATAACAAGTGAGGGAAGAACGAATGAGAGGGTTTTGGGGGTAAGGGGGGAGGAGAAGGAGAGAATGATGGTATTCAGACGAGCATTTGGGATGGAGAGAAGGAGGGAATGGGAGGTTGACTGCATCGACACGGGATGAAATGAGCGAATGTGCCTGGAGAGGTAGAAGGAGCGCGAAGTGCCAATAGCAGGGAAGGCCATCGAACCGTTGTGGATATTGGGGCGAGCGCCATACCAGCGGGTGCATCACTGCCCTGCAGCACGTATCTAGATAGGTAGGTCAGTAGGCCGGGCCCTGCCTACATGCCCCTAAAGGCGCGTACATACTGTTAGGTACTTACCTAAGTAGTAGGCATGTTCTAGGGGGCAACGTGCTGCTAGCATGGGCAGCCGCTGTTGAGGCCACGAGGTACGTAAGTACCTCACTATGTAGTAAATGGCTGCCCTAGCGATCGGGTCGGATCGTGCTAAACACAGCGTGGAACTACCTAAATCCCTCGCTACCTACCTACCTACCTACCTACTTCCAACACGTTAGGTAGGGTACCAACAGCCATCCATGGGTCACATACAGCACTGGAGTCTTGAATCCCCCCAGCACTAGAGTCCACTGAGCTAGCCCACCTAAGTAGGTATCTATACGGGCTAGATCCCCCTTCTAAAAATCCAAAAGGAGGCATGCACAGCCCGGAGACATACTACGTACAGGTGTTTATTTTCCATATTTCCCTTTGCATTGATCCATCCCTTTTTTCTCATTTCAGCATTTGTAAAGAACACATTCACCTTAGTATGCTTTTGGACCAGCGTCAAGAAATGCATAACAACGTCAGATCTTGTTGCCACCAAAAAAAAAAAAAAAAGAGAGAGGGAGAGAGAGAGATTTGTTCTTGTCTCTTCCGTGTCTGTTATGGCGTCACGATGTCTCTCTTTTTCTGTTTCCCCCTTCATGAATTGCCACGGGACCCATGATTAACAGTCAATGGCAACTGCCATTCCCACTTGGTTCCGAAAGGGAAAAAAAAAAAAACCACCATGCAATGGCCAACCTAAGGTACCTAGGTACAATAGGTGGTGTATTTTACCCACCGGGCCTGCATGACAAGCGATTGAGATCTCCCCGCCTGGTCAAAGGTCATGCATCGCAAAACATGCAACAAGCATGGATGTTAGCTGTAAATGATGAAGAAATCGTGCCAGCACCAGAGTCTGACCAGAGGAAAACTAGGTGTCTGACTGTTATGACACCGTCACCGACACTTTGTGGACTTGAGTAACAAGCATCCTTGGTATCAAATGCTGCCAAAACGGTATTGTGATGAGCACTACATTAGCTTGTTTTCTGTGGCGAAAATCAGCTCTCACATACGCGCATCCATGTACCTACATAGTATGTGTTACAAGCCTACATGTTCAACAAGTTGTAACTACCTACTTACCTACGTCGACTAGGTACACTTTGAGCGCTAGAAGTACGCCGGCGGTAAGTCGGTACTGTATGAAAAGCGTGGAAGGTTTACCATCAATACTTCCTACCTACCTAGGTAAACAAGGTGTTTTAGACAAGAACAAGCCGAAGGCTACGAATCCGTGTTTCGTCCAGGGTGGGTTCAAGTATCACAACTTAGCACGCCTCAAATGAAGCTCAATTGGAGACCTAATACATAGGTAGTAGGCATTAGTGAAAGAGTTTCATATTAGACAGAAGTGTACTAGGTACGTGATTAGGGAAGAAATGCTGTTTAATATCGCTACATGACTGACAGTCTTTCTGGTAAGCCAAGTACACAGGAGAAGAAGCTGGGATGTACCAGCCCAGCCCCCCTATTGGTGTTGTTGATCAACAGGGCATTGATTACTATCGCGCTAGGCGAGCAATAACATGGGATGTGCTTGGAACGGGGTCGAAATGGCTGTCATTGGCACTGGATAATCCGCAGTATATTATACTTATACAACTTATATTAGCTACAGCGCATCCAACGCGCTTGAGCATGTACCTACAGCCTACAGGAATGAGAGATTTTCGGTATACCTACTACCTACCTAACTAAGACACTGATCTAGGCTGTACACGCATTACCTACGCACAAAAGCATCATGCCAACATTTGGTCTCTCTGGAGTTGCTTGTTTCGTTGCTTCTACTTACCAGTAGAGCCGCCTTTGTTTTGCCGTATTAGACGGCCTGTAGTAAGTCGTGTCTGACTCGGTATGATCTTTCTCATGACGTAGGTACGGCGGCTTATGATCGGCCAGGTTCATTCTGCTCTGATCTCTTATTAGGTACACCGCGTACACTACAGTCGACAGCAAGCAAACACCACATTTCTGACCACGTAACAGTGGCTCAAGTGGGTAAGTATAAGTCGAAATCTGCTGCCAAACATGACTCTACCGAGCTCTACCCGTATCGGTTGTCCTGGGGTTACACTACTGTAGGTATTCGTCACCTAGCAGCCGTTTGTCTCCTTAACCTCTTCTGGGAGCTCCCCTATCACCCAACGCCGTGGGCACCCACAGAGTTGGCGGTGACTGGTATATTCGCACTCCATCGGCTATATTCCCAAATCAGTCCCTCGGCCTCTTGAGCATGAACGTGTGTGTTCAGAAGCAAACTCAAGCGTGGGTAATTTTAGAGGTTACCTAGTAGCCTCATGTCGAATACCAAGAGTGCAGAGTGTCGAGTGGTAAGTGGCGCTTGGCACAAACAACATACTTAAAGTAACCCGGTTTTCTGGCCGCCGTTGATCTTACCCCAAAGCCTCGGGGCAAGGCGTAAAAGACTTACTCGCATCTTGCAGCAGTGGAAAAGCGGTGGGTCATCAGCCACGCACATCCCAACACTGTGTCAACCGGTCGCCCGATTATCCTTACCTCTGCTTCGTATTACCTGGACAGTTTTACGCACGCCATAACCTCCGACCTCGACCTTGACAAATATTTAACCTAATATGGACATATCTTGATACCTACTTAGACATCGTGCCCAGCTACGTGCAATAGATCATCCAATACACCGAGATACATACGTGTTGTGTTGGTACTGTATGGAAGTGTTCTGGCACTGACATGCACCTATTACGTAGGCTAACTAAGGCGTTGAGCTCACAGTCGTCACCGAAGCGCATCATAGTTGTCTCAGTACATTTGGGAGAATAAAATAACACTCTACGCTGAGCAACTGTTTCTCTAGAGACTTACATGAATCATTAAGTGTAACTAGAATCCTTTTCAAGGTCCTTTTCCTGGGCAATCTTGAGCTCTACCGGTATGTCTGAAGCAAACCAAATCAAGCTACTATGTAAGTCTGTCCAATTCAAATCGGTCCCAGCGAGCTGGTTTGGACGGTCCCAGGTGCATCATGGACCAGTTACCAACAAGAATAGCCGATGGTTAGTGGCACGCACCGATCTTGCTAGAGGCAGCTTATCCAATAGGGATATTTATTTACGTGTTTGGAACCTAGGTGTTTCAATAGGTTGTAATGCCTAGTGCGTCCCTAGTACACTGTTTATACCTGGGCTAAGGGATAGTCTTCTAAGTAGCTAATACGGAGAGATAGATACGGTAGATTCTCGATGGATGAATGTCCGATGAAATATATCAGTATTTCGAAGTACGTAGGAGGTCCCATAGATGATAAGTATAAAAGCAAACCGACGAAACACATGCTCAGCAGCTTCCTTTCATTCTCGCAGTCCGTCCGAGGAACAGGTCCGTTCCTGCATAATTATCTCCTTTACTTAGGTACATGAGATAGATACCGCACCGGCACCAGTAGAAGATGCAAGACAATGTCTTGCTGGTTCGCTAAACCGGGTAACATCGGGTTCGTAGGTAACAGCAGTTTGTTGACACCGCGACTTGCAAGTACGAGGCCGATGGCATTCGGGATCCAGCAGATACAAGTCTGCGTATGCATGTGCGCCGGTAACTGGAGAGCAAGTTCATTTAGTCGCCTGTTAGCTGAGAATCGGCCGGCTGACCTGCCGAGCCAACGTCCCGCTTTCTGGTACAAGATCCGCCCGCCCATCAACGGACCAGTCTATTCCCTCTCGATAACTACTTTCATCATTCGTAGGTCATAAAGCTGCCCAGCGACTATCTGAGAGCGTACAGTTAGTATGGGTGGGAATGGATTTTCGTGGCGCGGGTAAACATTTGTATCAAGCGAAGCTACTTGTGCCACAGGGTCTTCGGCAGAACCAATGGGTCAAGTCCACTGTGGCTACGTTCACTAATTCGAGGAATCAAGACGGTAAATTCGTTTTTCTCAAACGGTATATGTGGACTCTGGGTATATCTGCTCGAATGAACTGACCATTACGATTATTCGTCGGCCTCAAGACCGTAAACTAAAACATCAGGATTGTGTGCAACAGTACCTCATCTGAATGAGATTAGTATACCTAGATCAGATCTTGTAAATATCTAGATCCCACGTGTAGGCTTGCTTTGTCGAGATTGTAGCTCCATCCCTCTCGCGTATGTAACGTTCTCATATGTCTACTTCGGTAGCCTCAGGGCGTATCCAGTACAATCCTAGCCCCCGCCGATTTGCTGTTGGAAGCTTGAAACAACTGATCAAGCGAGTAAGACATATATTTCCTCTGTCCTGTAGTTGAGATGATTTGAGCTGACTGCTTGGTATGTTGTGCATCTCCCAAGCGCTCGTGACCGACAATCAGTGCCGCCGACCACTTGGATTCGGAAGACGTTAAGACCAGAATGCGGTGTCACGAGCGACTTAGACCGAGGACATTGTCAAGTTTTGAGTCCATCCACCATGTATTTACTTTTTCTTCCACTGCATAATGCACCCGACACTAGCTGCTTCGGATCAGACCTTGGGACGCTCATTGTACGGGGACACCAAGTCATCTTAACTTTTGTAGTTCATACACACAGACTCTCCTCACCTGCAGCTTCTTCCAAATGGACCGCGTCATATTATGGTTCTATATAGCGTACTACGTCGCGAATTTTTACGTGCATATTTTTATATCAACCACCAGACAGGAAATATCTAGATATGTCCGGAAACCTTGATATCAAGTCATCGTGCAACTAGTATGTATGTACCACACCTCAGTGTCACGTCGAGAATGCGCAATCAACTATCCATGCCTCTATTAGCAGCAGCTAGGTATGTTGTAGTCACCACAGTTTATAAGCTGTGCAAACATTGCGTGGCCCCTCTGCTCTGCCATGTAGCGGTGAAGACGCCTGTCGATCATACGTTCGCATATTCACCCTCCCTGCAGGGTTTACCGACATGAGGTGGATGTTAAGGACCACGAATACTAGAATAAGATGAGGCGCAAGTTGGTCTACGAAGTATCGGAATTTATGTCCCACTATCTAGCTTCGCAAGCCTATATAGACTTGCGTCCTTTGTCCTACATACATATGTATGGATACATCTGGATTTTCCTGGACTCGGCCAGCTAAAGCAAGCCGAATGCCACAAAACGCTCAATATAGGTAACTCACCGGTTCCCGGGAAGCCCTGGGATGAATGCCCCTAAGCATGCGGTAGTTTAGCATCAATGCAATCCGTAACGCGTTTGCATGATCCAATTACAGGGTCCGGTATATTCACAACATCGGTATGTTTCGGCTTCGGAGATCAGTACAGGCTCACACACATCCCGCATTTTACATCTTACTTCTATGCAACTGTTGAATAGTATGTTGATTTCTAGTCAGCCATTTCTTTACGCCATCTAAATCAACTGTTTCCACCATTCAATCGTCGGGGATGGTCAAAGGGCGGTCGATATATCTTGTGAAACACAGCTAGTCGGGCAAAGGAGCCACCGCTCATATCGCAATGGCTTCATCGGTAGCCAACGCTGCTTGTTAACTAACCCGCTATACATCGCCATCTATGTGAATATAATTAGTAGGCCAACGTAATGAAACCCTGGGAATGGCACAGCGCCCTTTGCTACAAGAGAAATAGCACTCAATCATGATAGGTAGCATGCGCCACCCAGCTTCAACAACTCAATCTGTAAAGGCTCGCTTGACATTTATTTGACATGTCACCCCAAATTATGCCCCAACCCACGAACACCTAAGCCCTTAAAATACTGTTGCTGTATGGTATCACTGCATGTCTTTGACCTGTGGTCGCTTTTCAGATAAAGATGAGGATATTAAGCGAGATATACACTCCGATATAATCTCGGTTAGCATGCATGAGATCCGATGGCACTGGCAGTCGACCACCCAAACTGAACCGCTTTAACGTGGCGCTTGCACCGCTGGCCTACTTGATATGTGATCGGGAGCAATCCAGTCGCTTGGGTTCGGATAATAATGTAGTTGGACGTTCGGATAGAGGCGCAATGGTATATTCACTTATGAAAAAGTTAGCTGTGCTATATTTGAACATGACGGGATAATGACGGCTTCTCGTAGTCACCTTAGACTATCATTTAAACCTTAGGGTATGTAATAGGCAAGTGTCCTTAGTGATCCTGGTGATTTTCAATGTGATTTGATGTAGGCAAATTTCGTAGTGATATTCAGATGGCTAGAAGACTTCTCTGCAACGAAAAAGTAGAGATACACATACTGGGCAAGTAGCTTTGATGAAACGGCCACAAAATACGTGTCGTCGTCGCAGAGAAACAGACGAATAAGGTACTCTGTATATAGTATCAGCAGTGGGTGGAATAGTTATGTGTAGGACTCGCGCAGCAACAAGAGTCATTCATACCCCATATACTTGACATCGCGACATTTATTGAGGTGTGGTAAGGAAATTTGGTCCAAGTAAAGTTCCCTTTTAGTAATTGGGGTGGAAAACCTACTATTCTTCCGAGGATGATTCACTCTAATCATTTACCAAGTAACCAACATAGACAATATATATCTATAATACTTTTTCGTATGATATGGAATCTGTATTTACTTACTAGGATTGAGACGGCTATATAGGTGTAAGACTAATGCAAACATTGAAGCCGGTTCTTCTGACCGTCGGACTCGAATCTCACCATCGGAAGTTCAGGTATGTCCTTACGCGCTTATTCATGACACTATTTGCAGCACGGAAGATATGTGTATTGTAGCAACAATACCTCGGAGAAGCTATAACCATTGATTAGGAGTCGACTTTCGATTGCTCTGGTTTGTTAGGGGGTTATGTTTTATTTGATGGCGGACACAGTATGGTGCTGCTGTAATTGTTGTCTTGGTCAATAGAAATACGAAATGCTTCTTCATCTCTGGATTATGAATGTCATTTTATCGCTGATCCGAGTCTAGCTGCTTGGCGGATGGGAGCTGATATGAGCTTGAGACTACACGGCGAGTTTAAGATATTGTTCGTCAGAGGGTTGGTATTAACGACGTACCGGGTAAGTGAGCCTCGGAGAGCGAAAGAGTCGTCAGTAACGTTGATAAGAAATCTACGATGTAACGAGTGAAAGGGGAATGGTGATATTTGTTGCCCAGTTACAATCCCATGATTGTATATACGCGGTTGGGGATAGAAGCAAACTGCGACGACCCTTCTCTTCTAACTTCCTAGGTGAAGTATGTAGAACATTGGCTATGGCGTTATGATTGAGCGATTCTTTTGACATCACCCCTCAGGCGCCCTGCCTACAAGGAGCCGGACCACATTTAGTCAGCAGCTTTGAGTGCTAGATAAGATTATTACATATGCAATTATTTGGCTGTATGTCATCCCGGGCGCATGACTGACTTATCACTTTGAAATCGGTTCACAAAAACAAGCCAGAGATACGGGAGGCTATTACGAAAAGACGATATTGGATTGTTTTCTAGAATTTGGTGACTGGTACTAGATGCATGCATGATTCTGCTGTAGCGCTACACCACTACACTTGTGACGTAATATGAACGTGGTAGTCAATAACGATGACAGGAAAAGATCAAAAGGGTATCTCAATTAAACAATCTCTCATTCCTTCCACAAAAGGTGAAGCTGCCACCTGCGAGTAGGCGGTTACTTCTTTCTAATAATGTCCTTGATTGACTCCGAAATCGAATGGCCGCCGAATAGATATTGATTGGTGTGTCGTCCGCAATGTGTGTAAAGATTGACGGTTGGGGTGTTCGGCTTGTGACCCTCGCTGCTGCTCCTGGTTCTCTTGAACCAATGCCGGGACTCGGATCTTGAAGATTCCTATAGTTTAAAGAGTAAGACTAGCGCTGTAAGGCCGGAAGGAGGATAAACTAACCTTGTTCTCGGTTGCCTTATTATCGAGTGTATTATCGGAGCCAATGCTATCCTGTCGAGATACAAGAAACTTTTCAAGAGAAGCTCGGGTTGGATAATCAGGTCGCACCATGGCTGGTAGGGTTGTAGGCCGCTAGGGTCGGATTGGATTGAAAGTTTTGTTTGCCGATCCAAAACAATTGCGCTGGTATATAACAACACAGAATAGTATATGGTATGTCAGCTCGGCTTAGTGTTTGAAGGTTGTGATAGACCAAGTAGGGATTATTGTCTAGGATAAAATTATACGTCTGGCGCAATGTCGAGAGATATAAACTCAAGGAGTTGGAGGCTCTTTGAGTCCAGATGGAGATGGCTGCCTAGGACAGCTCATTTATTTATATGTGTTACAATGCAGCACGATGACCGGCTCCTGAGAGCCGAGATACCTGACATCGGAGCGCCATTGGTCCATTACGCTGGTTCTCGTGAGCAGCAGCTTGCCGACTTCCAGTTGCAGTGATTCGCATGTAAAAGGACGGCACATGGACGCCGAGCTATGCCCGGATTGGCCACCGACGGCTGGGCATCGAACAGGTGCGTGGTGGGCTCCAGTAAAGCGGTGGACGGGTGGAGAAATACGAATACCTATGGGATCACCGTGATGGAGACAACGGGGGGCCCTGACGGCTGCCTTGGCCAGCTTGACCTCTGGCTCAGCGTAGCGCAGCGAATGATGGAGGAGGTTTGGTGCCCTCGGGTGAGAATTGGTGCTATCTTCGCTGGAGCAAGTAATCACGTGGAGCGTCATCATCACACAGTAGTCATGTACTAAGTGTGTATCTGGTATGTGGAAGGAAAACGCCCAGGGCCTGAAAGCGGATCCCCATCAGCCCTACATACTAAGTACGTGCGCTTATCGGAAAGCTCGGCATATCATGGAAAAGACGGCATCGACACCAAGACTCAGAGAGAGAGCAAGGGACACGCGGCTCTCGTACCAAGAATTGCTCTAGAGGAGCTTTGCCAGTAAGTGTATTACTTTTGTGCTAACCTAGGTACCGCTTTCTTTGCTGGCCATTGTTAGGAAGAGATATATTCATATCGTCTCGTGTGGTAATTGAAATACGTGGAGGGGTTTATAGATCTCTTGAACCTGACAGCCAGGCTCTGGTACCTATCGCGAGGCTGAAGGGGCGGGTGGCAGGAAGCAGCACGCAACTTTGGACAAACAAGGTATAGTTATCCTTTTTTTATTATTATTTTTATTATTTTTATTATTTTTTAATATTGTTTAAGCTATGATAGTAGTACCATAAGGAAATATATAGCCACTTGAAGATCATGAATGGCTGCTTCATCTGTGCACTATCTCGACTATTTACAGAAATAAGGAACATCATATTACTGAATTAGGTGTGTAATCACCTGTATCGATAGGTAAGGTATGTACCTACTACATAGATGATACCGGTAGGTAGTACAGTAGGGTACCTAGGTACTGTACCTGAGGCACTGGCAAGCAGGTGACAACAATTTGACAGGTGGGCGGGAGTGGCAACGGCCCGGGCAGGAAATTCGGTGCCTGCTCTCGCCTTGGCACCGCACTTGCCCTACCCACAGGTCCGGGACCCCGAAGCACCATAGGGCGATCTTGGGGTTGAGCCGCATTCGTAGCGCCGACAAGGGCGGTCCAAAAATCCGGGGGAGTGCATGCGAATGGTTAATCTCGAAGACGACGAGCTATTGCTCGACATGTCACGATATCTGCAGGTCATTCGGGCAAGTTTCAAGGCGGAAAATTGAGCAGAACCGGGCGCATGGGCTAGGCGACCGCGAAGGCGGTATCAGATCAGATGATATCGCCTGAGAATACCTATATAGAGAGGGTTCAAGAATTGTTGAAAGTCGAGGTTGAACGAGATGGAAGACGCGATGCAAAATGATCCGGATGAGATGTTGTGACGTTGCTGGATATTGCTCGGCTAGCGTTCAATTCTCCTCATGTGCGTGGTCTGATTGGCTGGTTCCGCGCGCCATGGGGCCATCTTGGCCCGTGCGGACCCACTTAGTCCAGGCTGTCGCTGCTCCCTCAGCAGCGCTCCTGCTTGCTGCTTGTGCTGCGACGCGCACCCCGGGACAAACTCCCAACTTCCTGCTCATCCGTCCTCTCTGCCCATTCACCATTCACCGCCGCTCTCTCTTTGCATCTTTCATTCCGTCATATCTGTTCCATTTTCACCCCGTCTTCTTTGGTCTATCGCGCCCCCCGGATTCCCGCTTAGGAAATATCGTAGAGAATTAGACACTTTGCAAACACAAAAGTACTCTTCTTGATTGCCTGCGCACTCGGCTTCTGTGTCATTATAGCCCTCAAAAGCCCCGAGCCCTGAGCCCTCGACCCCAACTTGACCCGTCATCGACCCAGAACCGAACCTCGACTACAAATAACTGCCCAAGATCCAAGATTACGCTGCGCGTCACCCTTGCCGTTTGACCACGCTCGCGGTGGTGTGTCTAAAATCCTTTCACTCCACTTCGTTCTCAAGTCCTGTTATCGAACTCTCGTCATCTCGGTGGGACCCCCTCGAATCATTCTTATACAGCATCTATACTCTCCCTAGATGCTACCGAAATGTGCTAGGTTTCGCGTGCTCTAACGCCATCTGGTCTCGTATCTTCTGAGTCTGATTCTATCTATCCATCAATGATCAATACTCTGTGGACGGGGGTAGATTTTTGTTGGCTTTTTCTCCATTCAATTCATTCAACCAAATACACCAGACATCTGTTGCAAAGTGCAATTGCCTCTTTGTTCTTGCTAGACGGGAGTTTGTTCTAAGAATATTTTACTTAACCCCGTCATACTCGACGCATATTCACTATGGCACCCAAGCGAAGGTACCCTGGTAACCTGGTCGAATTCGACCCAAATAAGTCAGACCCCGACGATGATACCTTCGAGCCCGAAGCTGATGACCGCTCTGGCCGTCCTCGAAAGCGGCCACGAGCTGGCCACAACAGCAAGCAGTCTCGTCGTAACAATAAATACTATGGATCCGATATCGATGAGGACGAAGATGACATTTCCAATAGTGAAGAGGAAAAATCATTTCACGAGGATGACGAGGATGATGAACCCCTTGTTAATACAAACACCGGTCGTCGTGTGAGGAAGGCTGCGGCCAAACGAACAAACTATAAAGAAAGTTCTGATGATGAGGAAGAAGCGGGACACGATTCAGATAGCAAAGATGAACTCGGCGGAACCACTCCTCAAAAGCGGTCCAGGAGTAAGATTGTCACAATCAAACTTACGCCTGCCTTACAGAAAAAACAGCTCCTTGCCAACCCCACCGTTGGGACTAGGCGTACTCGAGCTCGTACAGCAGATGCTGAAGGAAACGGTGATAATGAGCTTGTTGAACTGTCAAACTCCGGAAGACATGCTAGACCTGCTGGAGGCTCTAAAAGCCGGAGCCCCGAGACTGTAGTTCGACGCAGGGCAACGCGTGGTGCCAAAGGTCTCAAACAGCCCTCTCCACTACCCGAGGCCACTCAGGAGGACATTTCAAATGCTGATGAAACAACCTCTGAGCCTGCGGCACAAGAGGATATAGGAGCTGCTCAAGGATCTAAAGTCGATCTTGATGATGCAGCCGATGAAGATGAACCCATGCAAACTGTTGAGCCTACTGATGACTTGGACGACGAGGAAGATGCTCCAATTACTCGCCGCACTCGTAATAGACATGCAGTGGATAATGTGACCGACCCGGAGAACCTGGAGCCATCGGAAAACAATCAAGATTCATCCCGACGTCGTTTAACGCGGGGCCGAGGAGGAACGAAAAAATCAATACAAGAACCTAGTAGCGATTTCGAACCTGGCAATGATTCCGAGGAAGATAATGACTTTGCCTCTGAAGGCAAGGGCCCTGAGGGCGAGAATGATGACGAGTCCAGTCCGAGTCGCCAAGGGAAGCGATCTCCGACAAAGAGTAGAAGATCATCTAGAAGACCTCGAAATGCAGATGAGTCTGCGGATGAACTTGATCGGGAAGAACTGGCAGAAGAGCTCGAGGATCTTCGAGAAGACTCATTGTCATTGAGACGCCCTAGGCGACGGCCTTCTCCTGAAATTCTGTTCGAGGAAAAGAAGAAACGACGAGTTAAGAAGGTCGATTACTCAATTCCCCCATTGAACCAAGCTAATTTCGAGATTGACGAGGAGGAAGCGGAGGTAACTATCTCAACCCCAGCTCGTCGGCGTGGTCGTGCAAATGCTTCGGTTTATACCAGTCGCACTCTGCATACTCTTGCCGGGCCATTTGGTGGTGTTGCAGGGGAAGGGTCCCTTGCCGAAGGACCTTGGGGCCACGATCCCTCTGGAGCTACTGGCAACTTTGATTCCGATAGCAGTGATGATGAGGGCAACGCTCGTTCCGGAGTCGCAGGCAACCCTCCTGTAACGCCTCGTGGTCTTCTAGGAGGAGGCGCTCGGCCTGCCGATGGAGACGGCTATGGTAATAGAATTGGCACGTTAGCACCAAATGTGGGCAAGGTGAAAGATCATAAAGCTCTTGCAGATGCGGACCCATTAGGCGTTGATCTGAATGTCAATTTCAGTCAAGTTGGCGGCATGGAAGGCCACATCGAGCAGCTCAAGGAAATGGTGCAATTACCCCTATTATACCCGGAAATGTTCATGAGATTTCACGTTACTCCTCCTAGGGGTGTACTATTTCATGGCCCTCCTGGAACAGGAAAAACTCTTCTCGCGCGTGCGCTTGCGAATTCTGTCGGCTTTGGCGGCAGAAAAATCACGTTTTATATGCGCAAGGGAGCTGATGCTTTAAGTAAATGGGTAGGTGAGGCAGAGAAACAGCTACGCCTTTTGTTTGAAGAAGCCCGAAAAACACAGCCGAGCATCATTTTTTTTGATGAGATAGACGGTCTTGCTCCTGTTCGATCGAGTAAGCAAGAGCAAATCCATGCCTCGATTGTTTCAACGCTTCTGGCTTTGATGGATGGCATGGATGGCCGAGGTCAGGTCATTGTCATTGGTGCTACCAATCGCCCCGATAACATCGATCCAGCTCTACGTCGCCCAGGGCGCTTCGATCGTGAATTTTACTTTCCGCTTCCAGATGTAGACGCCCGTAAGTCCATTTTGGACATTCACACAAAAGATTGGGGCTTGTCTGAAGATTTCAAGATATCACTGGCCAAAGATGCGAAAGGCTATGGTGGCGCTGATTTACGGGCCTTGTGCACTGAGGCTGCCTTGAATGCAATTCAGCGCACATACCCCCAAATCTACCTTTCTAAAGAGAAACTTGTGGTTGATCCTGAAAAGGTCAACGTACAAATGACTGATTTTGTTATCGCGAAGAAGAAGATTGTTCCCTCGTCTGAACGTTCCTCAACATCAGGGGCAGCCTCGCTTCCAAAGCATATTGAGCCTCTTTTGCGAACTCAATTCAAAGCTATCAAAGAGAGGCTAGATAGCGCCTTTCCTCGAAAGCCCAAGGTGACAGCTCTCGACGAAGCGATGTATGAGCCATATGATGATGAGGATTTTGGCTTTGATCGGGAACAGCTATACCAAGAATTTGACAACTCACGAGCATTTCGGCCTCGACTCTTGGTCCACGGTCTGCAAGGTATGGGGCAATCATACGTTAGCGCCGCTATTCTGCACTACTTTGAGGGCGTTCATGTGCAGAACTTTGATTTGCCTACGATTATTGGTGATTCACGAGTAAGTCTCTTGCTACTGTCTAGGTACGTTGCTGAACTGTTACTAAATATTCCCCAGCCTCCCGAGCAAGTCTTGACCGGTCTGTTCACCGAAGTAAAACGGCAAAAACCTAGTGTCATCTTCATTCCTAATGTTGATGCATGGTATCACACATTGGATGGGCCTGCATTGACCGCCTTCTTGGGCATGTTACGATCACTCCATCCAACCGACCCAATAATGGTGCTCGGCACTTCGGAAATTGAAGTTAGAGACCTCAATCCAGACTTGCGGCGTAATCTCTTCGGCTTCTCTAAGTTGAATACTATTGAGATTGTTCGTCCAGTCAAGGTAAGCATCTTCCCAACGGCATAGATTTGTGCTCAAACTAAAACAGCATAGGAAAATCGGGAGGAATATTTCTCTAGGGTTATAGCACACATCCGACGGATGCCAAAGGACTTCCCTGATCCATTGCATCGCAAAAAGCGTCAACTAGAAGAACTACCTGTCGCCCCACCCCCTCCCTCCAAGAAACTGACCAAGGAAGAGATTCATAACGAAGACATACGGTATCGACAAGCTCTCAATTTGATGAAGGTACACCTCCAGCCTATCATGGACCAAATATCTAAAAAATATCAAAAGTTTCGCCATCCTGTTATCCCAGAATCTCAGTATCAATATTTGTTAGACGAAGCAGACCCGAACTATGTCCGGCCTGATGTTGCGGATGTACCTCTCCGCCCCTACGAGTTCTCAGAGGATAGCAATGGGTATCCTGGTCTTCGTGAGACCGCAACGGGCAAGTTCTTTTATAACCTCGACGTGAATATCATAGAGACTAGGCTTGCGAACGGATACTACTGGCGACCATACGAGTTCTTGAAGGATGTTGACGCTCTGAGGAGCGATGCAGAAAGCGTCGGCGATAGAGCGCGTTGGCTGAAGGCCTCAGAACTCCTGGCCAATGTGGAAGTTGACGTTCTTGACGTTGATGAGAAGCTACGAAATACTGGAATCAATTGGGAGAGACTGTACGAGACACACAAGAAACGGAAGGGCGAAAGGGAAGAACGTGCTCGTAAGAAGCAGGCCATGCAGTCTGTGCTTGATACGGCGCGTGCTAGAGCTGGCAGCCGTGGAAACTCGCAGAATGGCTTGCACACCCCAGGCTTACAGACCACTACCGCACAATTTCAGGTCATAGGAGGTCCACCCAACGGAGACACGGCAGAGCAACTCGCTGCGTCCACTGCTGCTACTAATGGAACATCAGTACCCTCTCGAGCTGCAGGCGAAGATATCGAGATGCGAGATATCGGTGACCATTCAGGCCACCGGGTCCTCATGCAGCCGCCATCGCAATTGCCTCGTATGCCACCACGGTCCCTTGATACCTCTGCGATGGCTACTCCCGGGCATACAACGCAAATCTCACAAGTATCGGCCGTGCAGTCAATACCGCACGGTGTATCCCCATCGGCACTAGTGAACGATGCATCGACAACGCGGACTTCAGATCCCTCTAATAGATCTTCCAATCTTAGCACCCAAATTACCAACGGCGAGTCAGGACCTGAGACTTTGCCGGACACTTTGCCATTTCCTAGTGGGAGTCAGATCACATCGAGTGGTGAGGTATGGCCCCACTCTCAAGCTGATGCTATACGGCAAGGATATCTACCACAGACGAGACTCTCGCAGGACTCTCAGAGCCAGGCATCGCCGACCGCAGCTAAATCTTCTCATGCGGCTAGTATGGCAAATCTCCTTAATGATCCAGAGGAAGCCTCCCAGTCACAACCCCAGTCACAGAAAACGCCGCAAGTAGAGTTGAGCGATGGTTCAGCTGAGTTCCTCCTAACCGAATTGACGAAGCGCACATCTGGTTGCACGATAGAACAGCTAGAGCAGATCAATCGAGATCTGATGTCTAAGCTGTGGGAAACTCGAGGTGAACATAACAGAATGAAGGTGTTCCACTTAATCACGCGTGTTTTTAATGAAACCATGCATGATATACTCGAGATGCAGAAGATACTTCAGTCCAGCCAGTGAGCTTGGCAAGCATTGTATAGGATACCTACACCCGCCAGGAGCGCCGACAAGTAGGCGAGCTCTAAACGCACTCTCAAATACTCTTAAAATTTCCCACGTTTCTATTATTCAGAGTTGTGAGTAACGATTCAACGCTGCACATAGCCATTTGAGCTTTCAAGTGGTACACACTGGGTCGCCGTTGATGTTTGTCTGGTTTGCCGCTTGGACATGGGATGTACTTAAAATAGATGTAGCGAGCGATGACGCGTATCGGGGAATATACCGACTTCTTTTGCATAGCATGTACCATTTCAGGCTTGTTGACTCAGCTCTTCATTTGGTAGCATGTACGAGTGGTCATGGAATATGTGATGATGCGTAAGAATTGCCGATTCGAGAGGTGCATTTTGTTTTAATATGTAACTACCTACCTACCCGTCCTGCCGGAGGATGGCACAATGCCACACGTGCAAGGACACAACAATATCATTAAAATTGCGAAATATATGTACTATGCTGATTGCTCAACTTTTCATGCGATCATTCTATCCTGTAAATAAAGGTCTTAGGACATCTCGTTAAACTCCCCTTGAAATTTGTCTATTCCTAGGTACCTAGTATGTCGCATAACGCCAAGTAGACTTGTAATTATAAGTATGCTATAGATTTGGAGGTGTCCTCCGGCTCGCTGCGTATTTTATCTCATACTTCACTCCAAGACGTGGGTCTGTTGACCACTCCATAGAACACTTGAGACTGAAGCGTTGCAAGATAGGGTGGTGACTCGTGATTAGAACGGGTAATATGCAAGATATATTGAAACTGAGCAAGTCTATTTGGGAATAGTGGTATCTCTGTCATAGCTGATTACGAGCAGATAAATCCTCAAGGCTCGAATTTTTCTCCTTCGCAAAACGACGCCATGCTGATGGGGACGAAAATGAATATCACAATCAGTATAAATATAAATATGCTTCATATCTATACAGGCCCCTAGAACAGCCATGAAACCCACTTCCTGTAAAAGGACCTGCCGCGGTCGGGATTGGCGGCCCTCTCAGCAGCCTGTTGGGCGAGGAACTCCTCTTCCTCGCGGTCGATGATGTCTTTTCCGGTGTAAAAGTCGCATTCATGAGGGCGGACGCCCTTGCTTTTGGTGACGTACTTGTGTCCGAAGATGAGGGCAAGATAAAGTGGGATGCCGATGTAGCCCGTTATGAAATTCTTGTAGTTACCTTTATAAGATAGGCTGGGGATGAAAGAATCGAAGTTCTTGGTGATGGCCACAAGCACGCAGATGAACAAGGCGACGTACGAACCCCAGATACCGAGCGGCGCGGTGTACGGCATCTGCTCATCTGTGAGGCCCTGTGCCTTGCGGGCTCGCACAAACCATATGTGGGTTACGAGAATAGAAATCCACGACAATAGGCCGAGGATCGTGGTTACGTTGACGAGGTAGTTGAACACCTCCTTGGAATCATCGGACACATTCAGGAAAGCGAGTAAGCCGAAGAGGGCAGACAAGAAAAGAGCATAGATCGGAACACCACGTCGATCCGTCTTTCGGAAGATGGCAGGCGCCGAGCCGTCAGATGCTAGACCGTACAACGTGCGGCTGGCAATGTACAAATCGGAGTTGGCTGCCGAGAAGACAAAGAGCAAGATGGATGCGTTGAGAATATGGGGGAGAACGTTGATCTTGGCGTTGACGATGGCGACCACAAAAGGTGACGCGGCAGCACTGGTTGACTGTTTGTTGGCGAAAGCGAGTTCTTGATCGTTGAATGGGACAATCATGCCGACAAGGAAAACGCTGATGATGTAGAAGACAACAATACGGTAGAATGTGAGCCTAATCGCGCGGGGAATTGTCCTTCGGGGATTCTGAGCCTCGCCCACTGTCACACCCACCAACTCTGTTCCCAAGAAGGCAAAAGTCGCCGTGACGAGTGTAGAGTAGAAGCTAAGGAAGCGTCCCAAAGGACCATCAATGCCGCTGCCGAAGTCACTATTGAAGGCGCTGTTGGCATGTTAGCGCATTATTCCCCCTATTTTACCAGTCCTATCAAATAGACTTACCCTGGATTTCTCCAGTACTCAAATCCTCTGGCATGGCCGTCGGCACCACCAGCTGTGATGACGAGTGAGACAAGAATCACGCCAATGATGACGACAACCTTGAAACTCGATCTGAAAACTCCAAGTTAGCTTGGGCCATTTTTGTTTCCGTTCAGCTCGAGACATATCAAACAAAGGGACAATTTCAATGCCTTTGAGTAGTCCATCAAGCGAAGTGATGGCACGACCGAATCATTGAAAACATCTTAGAAAGCACTTACAGCCAGAACTCGAATTCACCAAAAAAGCGAACACCAAAATAGTTGATACCAACGATCAATACCAAGAATATGGCAATCCATACTCCGGGATTGACGCGGTCTCGAGGTAACCAAAATTGAATGACTAATGCTGCAGCTGTGAGCTGGTTCGGCGGCAAAACTGGGTTGCGACAACAGTTAGCGCTGGAAGACACAAAAGATAATTCCACCAAGTCCAGGTCTCGGAACCGGCACGGCAGGTTTTGATACGTACTGATGTACTTGAACCAATAGCTGGGAACAAGAAGGCGCGCATGTTAGTCACTCATTCTATATGAGACGAGAGGGGCGAAGAGGTCGGTGTTGGTATAACTCACGTCCAACCAAGAGCGAAACCGAGCGAAGGGTCGCAAAAACGGGACGCATAGCCAGTGAAGCCAGCGGACATTGGAAGCCAAGCAGAGATCTCTCCGAGACCAGCCATGACGAGGAAGACGACGAAACCGATGACGGAATACGAGATCAAGATAGAGGCGGGACCAGCTCTGGCGAGCGCCTTGCCAGTACCGATGATTACTGTCGCTCAATTAGTACATTCATTGTGGTTTAGGTTCAGGTCCTCCAAGGATGGGCATAACCATAACCGCTAGAAAATTAAATTAAGGTAAACACGTACATCCAGTTCCGATAGCACCACCGATGGCAATCATAGAAATATGACGAGCCTTCAGACCACGGTGCAACGAGGTCTCGTTGGAGGTCTCAATGCCCCGTACCTGGACCTGTTGGTAAGCATCGTCGCTGTAGACGGCTTCCTTGCCATCGTTGGGCGATCCCGAGGATTGCCTCGACCTCAGGCTACCGGACTCCATGGTATATATAGGTCTACGTTGAAGCTCGGGTCCTTGTTGCGGCGTGGGCGTGTGCGTGTGTTATGTCGCCGGCAATTGGGAAGCGAGTCGGGACGAGGCGCGAGAGGGTAGTATGCGACAAATACTACACGAGTCCGGAATGCGAACGGCGCTCTGTAGGCAGAGAGCAGCGCCCGCCACAACTTTACGAGAAGCAAGTTTAAGAGGGCAAAGAGAGGATTACCCAAGACCAGGACCGCCAGAACCAACAACAAAGATGGTACGGGGGTGGGAGTTACCCAAGGTTAAATAACACCAGTTCACGCCGAGAAGGGCGGCGATTCCCATTGACCAGTGACCACTGGCCCAATGATGGACATGCTTCCCCCCCATTCAGGTCCATCCAGGTCGTGCAGGTCTGTCTGGTCCTATCCAATCCTGAGCTCCCCATCTCTGCCCCATCTACTCCCCATGTCCAGACCATGTCTATCACAGGGAGAGGGAGCTGCGCGCCAAGACACAGCTCGCGGCCATGATTGACCCATTCTGTCTAGATTTGCAAGGGGCCCCGGCCTACGCCTCGTTTCTGGCTACTTAGCCCTGGCAGTGTTGCAGTTGGCCATTTTTTTAATTTTTCCCTTGCCGTTTCCCCCGGGCTTATCTTTTTCTGACCAAGGCTCCGGGTCGTTCTTGTGGCATAAGTACAGTGTGGGTTACGATCACCACTGTACTAATAAATACCCCATCACTGACGACGAGATACCGGTAGCTTGTCGCCGCGATGCGAGTCTCCTAGAAAAGAATGATTGTAATCTGTTCTTGTGCAGCATTTCACAGCCGACCTCGCGAGCTGATCTTGCGGATACATATTCTACATATCAGAATATATACAATAGGGACCTGGAGATGGCGAGATTACCCCACAGCGTTTTCGGGCATTTACTTATATAAGTACCTTATAAAATAGGTCAGAGTAGGTATATCAAATTGTCAAATTGTACCTACGAACACCTGCTCTGATCGCGGAATGACACTGCACTGTGCTTACACCACCACCAAACCAGCCAAGCAAAGCTAGAGTTCTGCCAAGTCTCGTGGACCCGTTGTCTTATCATGGATTCATTTCGACTTCAACACCTGTCTCGCCTGTGCGTGTACATGCTACTGTATGTAGAACATTCCATGGGTAGTTCGGCGGCATAAGTGCATGTACTACCCACCAGATGAGGCATCTGTATGTTTTCAGCTCGTCATGCCACTTTATTTTATTTTTATTTTTTTTATTTTTTCTCTCTCCTAACTGTCGGTGTGAGGAAGGGAGACAAAAAAAAGGATTTCACCAGTCCCGGTTGGCGTACACAACATTCTATTTGCCATCGGGTTACTGCATAGACTACCCGACTACTCATGACTACCAATAGTATTATATAAGTACTGCCGAACGGACTTCCATAGCGCAGGCAGCTAGTTTGACGCTCTAGCAAAGCCAATTATAGTACCTATATCTACTGAAGTATGTGGTCGCTCGCATGCCGGCAGGATACCGAGGTAGGTAGCAGAGAAAACGTCAACGGCACGTCAAAGCCCATCAGCCACTGAATTCAGCCCAGGCTGACTGGGTACTCCGACTCTGTACGACCTAAGCATCGGTATTGGTACAGGTTAGCAGCAGTTGTAGATGCCTAGCTTGGCGGCAACGGAAGACGGGAAAGGCGTGCTAATGCGACAGTCAAGTGCTGCTGGTTGCTTTGTGGCGTTACGGAGGTGACCGAGGGCCCAAGATGGACAAGCATTTTTCTCTATCTCTTGGTAAAATCCTGCCCACCATCACCACACTACTTACCTAGGTACTACAGTATATAAGTATGTACTTATGATAGCTTCGAGTACAATACTTGGATACACACACATACATAGGATGCAAGTAGGTGACGGCCGTACTAACTGCGTCATCGTAGGCCGTGGAAAACATGTTGTTATATACTCCGTACTGCGGCATACATCGAATACATGCATATAACACATACAACACATACAGCACATGCAGCAGAGCTGGGACCATCTCGTACGGCATACGATTATTCCCTATCTGCGGTCACGAGTCGACTTGGCAGCCGTGGCAAGTTAACCGAAAGAAGAAGGTTAACAGGATCCTAGCTGATACTGTACGTTTCTAGTGTTCCCCCCCCCGCACTCGGCTGGGGTCGAGCTTTCTGGGGCCACTAAAGGCTGGCTAGGTACTAGGGACTACATATCTTGTGATTATTAGGTACCTAGGAGGTAGTTATAATATGTGTCTAGAGCAAGTGAGTACATACTCTGTCCAATGGCTAAGGTGCGGACTTCAATGTTAGTAGTCTCTAGGAAAATGGCGGCTGAAAGAGGGACCTCACTGAGACAGATACCGTAGAACCAATGCGCGACTCTTTACCTTAGCAAGGGGCCATTTTCCTTCCCTTTTCCTGTCCTCCACGCTACCTAGGTACTCTAAATATCTAGATGGTAATCAAAACTTATTTGTACAACTCTTTGATGAATGTATGTTGCTGCCAAGACCCTAGTCGCCATGTGTGTGCGAGCCAGCTTGCCGCACTGCTAGGGTTGATGATACACCTTTACTTATCTCTTGATTTGCAATAGGGTTTCCATCTAGTGAAATAGCATCGGTGCTGATTTAGGATCCTCGGTCGGTGTCTGATTTTCAAACTGTGGCACACACACAACATTAGCCTCAAAACTCCACCAAGAGTGCTCGTTTAAATAGGATCGCGCTGTCTCATACCTCCAGAAAACCAGTGGCTGTGATAATAACCATGAAGGCTTCGGCTAGATCGCCAATGCGTTGGGCAAGCACCGAATCCATCTTTCCCACCCCTGCGCCTATTCCTGCTGATCTCTTCAAGACATGCGTGACTAGCATCCTATGATCTGAGAGGAATCGCCTGCCTTGTAGTATATTATGAGAACCGCGGCTGACTATTGCGACGCCAATGATTTGCGCCACTTTCACGAGCAGTACATAATGCTCTCTTAATGCCTTCGAGTCCGAAGGTTCAACATGCAACTCGGGATCCACCGCAAACAGGCTAGAGTGCTCAATCGTCCGGAAAATATTCGCATACAGAACGTACTTGGCACCCTGGCGTGTCTGACATAGTTGCAAGAGAAGGACTAATTTGGCGTTGAGATAATTCTGGTCATCAGAGTTGCCTGAGTTGTAGACAAAAAAAAACATGTCAGCTTGTGAACGCCGATCAAAATAGGGGTCTCTCCAAGTTCTTTGTGCTTACCTGTGCGATTGGCCTCCATCCATTCCTGCATCACGTTGCGAAGAGAATCGACGAGAATGCCGATAAAGTTCAGCTTGTTAAGTGCCTCAACCACATAATCATCGCCTTCCTGTTTGCCTAGTTGAACCAAAATTGTTAAGAAAATTAAAGCTGCTGATTGACATCGAGCATCTCCACCAAATGCATCATCGCAAACCACATTCAGAAGCTTTTCTCCAAATGACTGTATGGTTCTAGTGGTTCTCCGAAGCCCAGAAGGAGTTCCATCACTATGATCAAGAAGTCCGCTCAGATAGCGGTAGCAGAGACTGTAGTAAATGGCGCGTAATTCCTGGTTGGCTACCCACTTGGCAATTGCGTCCAGACATATCTGCAACAAGTGGGATAATTTGTCGCTAATCAAGCTCTCTACTGCCCCACCATGTTTGTCGATTGATAACATTCTGGTAAAATCAAGCTTGAAGAGAAGCACTTTCGCAAGCCTTGCCAACTCGAGAGCTGTCCTAGGTTTCTCGGAACCGTACATCTCAAGGCCAGGCAGTGTCGCTTGGAGGGTTTGCAAGATGAATGAAACCTCATTCGTACCCTTGAAATCGTTACAGTCTGTCATCACCATTAAAAGCCTCGTCCACGCTTTCAGAAGCTTGAGGCTGTATGCTCGAGTTTGGGTTAACCGATTAAGGTATACGACGTATTGTAGCATTGTTTCCTCCTCTGAATCCATCTGAGCTGCATCCTGCTGTAGAACCACCTCATTAGATTTCGTGCCTTCGTTACGCCTCAGCAACAGAATCTCTTGCACTTTGTGTATATTATAGACCAGGTTAGAGTCATCATCCTCTTCGAAGCATGCTCTAAGATCCAGATCACTCAATGTCTCCAGCTGCGGTGGTGCTGCTGCAAACAGATCTTCCTGTGGCAACGAATTGTGAAACTCGAACACAGACGGGACAGATATCGGCTCTAGACCTTCAATAATGATCTGGCCACCTAGGGCGTCGAAAATCCGTCTTTTCAGGGCTGGCATTTGGCCTTGGCTGACGCTACAGAGCTCATGGGCGATATACTCTAACGCCATGGCGCGCATAGAGAGATAATCGACAAATCCTTGCGCAGCAGGGCTTATGAGAAAGTCAGGCCCGCTAGCTTCTTGCCCATCCCATATGGAGCTTTGCTGAGCCACAAGACCCTGCAACAAGATGTGGAACAAGAAATCATTCTCTCGTAGTTCGTCAAGAACGAGATTTGATGATAATGGCGAACTCCAAAGGAGTTTGAAAATAAGCATGACTTTGTACTTGAGCCTTACCAGCCACTGTACCATGTATCCGTCCTCATTGTTCCCAGGTAGTTCAACAACGATCGGCAATAAAGAATGGAACAGGGCCGACCGTTGGTCAAAAGCGCCTCCAGGTTCAATCTCCAACGAGTTGGTTGAGCAGCGGAACCCGAGCAAAAGGTGTGCAATTGTCGGCCGGTCTGGATTAGCTTTTAAGCAAGAATAGAGGAAATCTAATATATAGACCTTGATCTGATAATCGGGAGATTCAGCTTCTCGGCGGAAATCAAGCGGAGATGTCAACTCAGAGTTGAAGGCACTGGCGATAGCCTGCGCGTCGCCATGCTCTTCAAGGGCCACGATTGCTTTGTTTCGATGTGATTGGTTGAGAAAACCTGACTGCCAAGCTGAGATGACCCTTGGGGACGTGGATATTTTTTCCAACAATTTCAGGCTCGCCATGGTAACACTCGGGTGACCTATGCCACAATAACCGCCAAGATCTGATATTAGTGTAAGACTAGTCATGAGACCATCATCAATCGAAGCGAAGGCTCCATTAGAGGTTGGTATAAACGACGATCGGCTCTGTGTCCGATTTTGGGGCTTAACTATTGGTCTGACTAGGTCGAGATATGTGGCCTGAAGGGCTAGGGCTTTTGACAGCAATTCAACAGCTCGCAGAACACCAAGAATAAGGGGAGAGTCGGGTGCTGCCTTGCCAATATCTGAGGCATTCTGATGAATAGTATCCAATAGACCTTGCATAAATTTGCTATCGTACATCCATTCCATAACGCGAGCGAACGGATGCAGACTCACATAGGTCTCCAGATCTTTGGTCTGAATAGCAGAATCAACGTTCACGTTCGACTCGTTACCAAACAGGATTAGATCTTCGTTGAAGCTGGAAATGCAGACTAGGGCAAAATCCAAACAATGATAACGGAGTATTCTCTGCTGAGCGACATCACGACATTCAGGGACTCTCATCGAGAATACGTGACCTAGAATGAAATCGATATAAGGTTCGATACCAGGACGTGTACGTGTAGCAGCGGCAAGGTCTTCTGCGTAAGGTAAGGCATCATGTAAAACATCACTTTCGTCAGGTAGGGATGTTAATACGGTCATAAACTGGATAAAAGAAGTCATATCGTCGAAATTCGGGCTCATCTCTTGAAATAAAGATTCCATTAGGGAAGATCCAGTTGGCGCAGTCGTCGCAGAAGTCTGTGTCCTAGGAGAGACAGCAGGTGAGATATAGAAGCCTGTGAAACAAGCTTCGACATATCCCCACATCGTATGGTTCTGTGATAGATTCTTTCGGGCCATAATACCAGTCAACGCTCTGAATGCATGAGCTCTGACCTGATGACCAACAGCACTACTGATAGCTTGCATAAGCAGCAGAACCAGTTTGTTATCCTGTAACTGCAGCAAATAAGTACGACAAGCTTGACTGTGCGAAGTGAGCTTTGTTATAAGCCGAAGGTAAGCTTCCTGTAGCATCAAGACCTCCCCCTCGCTCTCTACCCGTTCACTATCAAGTTTAGTGACTCTGTGTGTGATCGATTGCGTAGCAACTGGCTTTGCCCTGGCCTTATTAACGTAGTATTCTAGCTCTTTCAAGATATGGGTCCATGTAATGGAAGATGGCCGTCGTAATTGATGAACTTCATCTAAGAGAAACTCATGTGCATAAGTTGCGGTTTCCTCGTCGTCAGAAAGGCACTGTAGCATTTCGCAGAACGCAGTTTGAAGAGGCGTCGTCGTTCTACGGGATGCCCATTGTAAGAAACCCGCTAAGTTGCTCTCGGGGTCAGCCCAGAAGGCATCTGCCACCTCCGGTCGGCCCTCGTAAGAGTACGCGATGAGTAAGAGAAATCGCTCCAAATCAATATCCTGTTGCTGATGTTGACCAGCCTGACGTTGCTCGTCTTCTTCAATCTTGAGCTTACGGAGCACGTCAGGCATGTTTGATATAAATGCGTCTACGAACATCTCCATTTTCGACATCATGCGATTCCGTAATTGGGTGGAGAATGGAACAGTTTCAGGAGGGAGTGTTGGTGTTCTCTTCTGAATCCAACCTCTCATCTTGTTCTGGAAAGGGTCTAGCCATTCTGTCATTTTAAGATCGAGTACGACTGTCAGCAAGAAGTCGAAGGCACCGTCCTTTAGAGATTCAGTGAATTGCTTAGATCGCTGTATATCCTCTACCCTGTACATTAGCAATGCGAATGCGAATTATTTAGGTGACGGGTAGATCTAACCTTTATCTAAGTCAATATCGGGTAGAACTGACCCAGCTGCATCTTCCATATACCAGCCACTGTATTCGGCAATCCACCAACATTTTACTGCGGCATCCAGAAAGGGCAGCGTCCCAATAGAGTTCTCGGGTTGTTGGCATACAATGGCATTGAGTTTTCTGGCCTGTTCTACACTACCACTGCCTTCGGTCGAGCCAAACATCGTGATATAGGCGCCGAGAACGGGCATCAGGTGCACTACAAGAGTCAATACTAGTCAAGACAGCGTGCGTGTTGTACAGGTCTAAATATAAGGAACTCACCTATAGAGAAATCATATCTATTCACACGCCGAAATTCGCCAAGAAATTGGATGAAATCGCTCTCAACTGCCGTGTGTCTCTCAATTGCATAGCAAAGAATGACAGCGAGAAGCTCATGCTGCTGCATCAAGTTAATGTGTGTAAATTCGTATGTTTCCTGGGCCTCTAGCTCAGTCGCACGCCCCAATAGGGTGGCTCCGGTCACTTGGTCCGAAAGCTTCTGTAGCCACGCACGGATATCACCTAGAGCGGCGGCACAGGCTGGAACGAATCGTGGTCTCGGTTTCAATTTTGCAGCACCGGGTATATTGTCTCGAAGAATATTGTGGTTGACATATTGACCGAGCTGTCCCAGGTCACCGCCATCATCGTCGGCCAACAACTCATCTTCTTCTTTAGAAAGCTGCAGTAATAGGAGCATGCAGCTGAGCAGATACTTTCTTTGTTGATGAAACCGAATAAGAGCGCATTCCTTTCTGGATCTACCCAACCGAGCCTCTTCCTCTTCTGCTTGTAAGGCAAGCCGAGCGGCCTCGATTTCGTCTAGGTCGAGGTCGTCGGCAACTTGAAGAATGATTTCTTGAAAGTCCTTGTTGAGTGTCCACTCTTCGTCGTCTACACTGATCTTCCCTGTGCTCAGCTTGGTCAGTAACGATGTTGGTATGCAGCGGGATTCCCAAGTACTGACCCGACAGCACAGTGTCGCGACTCTCTTTCTTTCGCCCGGGCTTGTCTAGCAGACGCTGGAAGCTGTCGGCGACAACTTCGAGGGTAGGGCTCTCTGAGATTTGAGCCAAGGCCACGCGGCCGCGATCTTCGCGATCTTCCTTGAGGGCATCGGCAACGATTGTCAGGTCTCGGTGGAGAGCCTGGAAGGCCTCCATAATGCGATCATCCGCCATAGTCTATCCACCAGTCTATCGCATTGTGTGGGCAGGTCGAGATCCACGGCAGCGGCAATGTCGCACGAGAGGCGGCGCTGACTTTGAGGGGAGCAGCAGTCGATGAGCACAGTGAAGAACACTACTTAGTTAACTAATGGTGGTCAACGGCATGTGGAAACGCGTGTGGTGTTGAACTTGTTGAACTTGACCTCTATAAAGTTATCCTTCGCCTTGCCTAGGGCAGGTAGAGCTACCTGTGTAGGTATGCACTTTCCCGCAGTAGGTAAAGCTACCTAGAACTAGGTACAAAAAGCGGGAGTGGGTGCTGTAGCTCAAGGATGTAGAGAGTATGTAGCTACAGGTACTTTCCCTACTCCTAGCAAGGTGAATTTGGACGGACCTGTTCCAAAGAGTTACTTAGAGATACCTGTGCAGCTGCTACGCGATCCTGGCAAGGCTAGGTAAGGTTGCATGTAGCGGACGGATCTACTCATAACGCGCCGCATCTCCAATGGGCACAGGTAGACTTAAGAGCTAACAGGTACATATGTACAGTACATACCCGTGGGCAGGCTCAGAGGTGTAGGCAAGGGGGGAAAAAAAAGTCAACAAACATGAGGGCGGTGTATGATTCTGCCGGACATACCTATCCATGCTGACCTGACCTGAGCTTCATTTAGCGGTTGCCGCCTGTTACCTACCGGCACCTACGGCTCATGTTTGAACTCACGTTGATAGGCAACTACATCTTAAGTACATATTTACCTTAGGCACTGCAGCATCTGTTTGATCATGGCTGTCTTTTAAGATAGAAAGTGTCTTGAGTACAGCATTCGTACCAGCACGAAGAAATCCTGATACTTAAAATCTGAGCTATCCATGGCCACATAACACCTCCGATTACCTACTCTACCTACTCAACACGTCGAGTTAAGATACCTCCTGTCCAGTGCTTTTTTACTAAGCATCCTCCTATCTCGGATGTTGGTGTAGAGATAGTGGTTCCTTTTCTTGGTTTCCAGCGCTATCAAGGTTGCCATGGCACATTAGAAGGTCTTAACTATCTATTCGGCACGTCAGCTCGACGTTACTTGTCTGCCTATCTTACCTATCAGTAAATCCGGTTGGAGTTTTGTCCTTCAGATGCGTCTCAGGAGGCCACTTTCGTGAGGTAGCTGCCTTAGGGACGCAACGTGGTTGTCGCACCCCATTATAAGTCAAAGGGTTATGTTCTCTAAATACCAGCTTGCACAGGAAGCAAATCTTCTCGGGCTCCGTAAATGGAGACGTGGGCACTAGATTCAACTGTATCGGACATCATTACGCTTGGATACCTGCATTAATCCTCTATTGGCGCTGTCTCGATTTTACGTCTAGGATCATTTTGGGAACTAACTTGCGTACCCTGGTCCTCCAGGTAGTTGCATGCCCCGTACTCTAGTCACATTCTCGATTCGTCAATTCTTGCACATGCATTCCTACGTTCAGATCCTCGAAGAGCGATCCTGAGACACGATGGCACCTCGCACGGGAGCCCGCGAGCTCACCATGAAGAGAGCGTTAGGCATGTCGTCTCCTCAACTATACCCTCTACTACAACGATAAGCTAACAGCTAGTTCAGATGCGATTGAGAGCGGCAATAGACCGAACGGCGCAACCGGTTTAGACGGTGAGTTAAGCTCGTGCAATTCTAACACGAATGCCCAGTCATATGCTCATTGGATTCGAATAGATTTGATTCACATATTCAAACACCAAGCTACAGCCTCCGATTTGTACAGCACCTTGTTTTCTAGAGGAAATTTACGATATACTAAGAAGTCGCAGGTTAAAATTGGATGATAAGAGTTATCATCGACTGTTCGAGGCTCTCTTCCGTTATACATTATCTGAAAAGGAAGCATACTACCATGGCAGAGGGGCCAAATCTACTGCCTCTAGCAGGCTCACCAGATGTGCTGAAGTGCTTCGCCTAAGTGTTGAACATGGCGCATCTAAACTAAAGAGAAAAACATTTTTAGCAGTCATCGACCATATTACCGACATTCTGCCTCACCCTGATGATGGGCTAGTGTTACCATTAGTCTCTGATTATACCAAGGCCCTTGCCACGCTCCTTGGGCATGGGGCCAATGTGGAATCCCTGGCAACACATAAAAGTGATGGATGGTTCACTTGTGTTGACTTTGTTGTCGAGAGCATCTCTCAGTACTCAGAGGATTCTGATCGCGATACGCGTATTTCTCGTGCTTCTCCGGCCCCCTCGGTAGGGATATCAATGACGCTCCCAGCATTGACTTCAAGAACACGCAATACACCTAAGCGCAACGGTTCCAATGATCGATCATCACGTGGCCACCTTGCAGCTCTCATGGAATGCTTATTGTCTCTTGTTACCGCTCCAAATGCACCCTTGCTCCAACGCACTAAAGATATATCATCTGTCGCGCTCCAGGTTCTTCAGCTTCGATACCTCGGTCTAAGCCAACTTCATCAGTTGGCATTTGCCGTCATCAACGCGATACTAGTCATAACTCAGACAGATGATACCACTCATTCAAGCTCATTAGCTGTCGAATGCCTGCCACTCATCATATATTGGTGGCAAGCTAGAACTGCATCTAAATCCGACGCTTTGCTCAATGTTGTTCGGGCAGAGATGCTGAAGCTTCTATATAGTATTCAATTACAACTCGAATTCTTAGCTCGGCAGAATAGCGAGGTTGCCCTCTTTGAAGACATTGAGAGCCTGTCAGAAGTATTCTGGAGCGAGTACTCGAAGCGAGATGACCGGGCTCAACTTCAGCAAGATGACCTCACGTATATAGTTGATCATCACACAATCAATCCTTTTTACATCCACTCGTTTTCGTTACGGTCTTACAACATCGAGGGCGAAAGGCAATGGGCAGTTGTGCAAATATTGGCGATGCTGGAAGCAATATTGTGGAAACGATCGAATTTTTTGCACGCAAACACTCTTAGTAATGAAAACGCCGAACATCCACACAAGAAACAACGGAAAGATACAGGGTCCAGTAGACTACGTTATAGGCTGCACTCCGTTGATCGTTCTACACAATTCACAGCGTTGCAGATGATTCCTTTTTTTGTCTCGGACATTTCTATCACAGCTGAAGAAATATATGATGTCCACTCTGAATTGATCATTCTTATTACAAGCAAGAATAGCAAGTTATCGACTTGGGCCATGATAGCCTGTGCAAGGTTAGTCTGGCGCTGACTGAAATGATGCGCCCCATACTAACTGAGAATATAGTCTAGCCGCTAAAGCTATTCCTACTAATGATTCTTTCGATACTCTTTGGAAACAGACATGGCAAGTCGCAGTTCGATCTGTCAGTATGGCAGGGACTTGCCGAGCTGCAAGCTTCCTACTTTACTCAATATTAAAATATGAGTTATTAACTTACAGCGAGATAAAGGGCGACATCAGTGATGTGGTTACAACTGCAGATGTGAATGGTCCGGCGGTTCTCGTTGACTCTTCGCTTGTTCTGATGACAGCCCTTTTGCAACTTCGTAATCATCACATCCCCAGCGCTAGTCATGCGACCAACAACCACGTCATTCGTTGGATGTTATCTCGCTGGTTTCCTGGTGAGTGGTCATCACAGCGCGCCGCGTGGTTCTCACCTCTAATCGTCACCAGCCGATGCAAACTTTATCTCATCATATTCCATGCATATTTCTCCGCTGAACATGGCGAATGTTATACGAACAACTTGCGGGGATACTGAATTATCATTCCCGAAAGTTTCTCAAACGATATCGGGCCCAATTGCCGAAACAGTGCTTTTGCTTCGTGAACGTGAGAGTGTAGTAAAATACCTCCTGTTACTTGACGATGGTACAGGCAGTTTGAAAATGGGAAGTAGCCAGAAGACCGTCCCACCGAAATCCAATGGTGTACTTAGAGACTCTACAAGTACTCTTGCCACAACGAAACTTGTAACCGAACTGTTTTACTCGAAGTTAGAGGAGGTTGAGAGCTTATGCAACGCTTGGGCTAAGAAGACAGAAGGCGCCGGCCATATCACACCAGAAAAGCTTCAGAGCGTGATTTCATGCTTGCTACTTGGAGCTCTAGTATTGCCGCGATTAAAGGAGGTCAACACACGGCAGTCTCAGGAAATTGAGCATGTCATTTTCCGAATATTGAGAGTCCTTATCGAGGTCCTGTCATCTGCGCCTGAAAGCCAGCCGCTCTATGATTGCCTCTTGAGGTTTATCCGAGCTTATTTACCAGAATTCACTAGCAATTCTCTTGGTCAACTCTCAACAGAATACACATATCTGCATCAATTGTTTGCTGAGATATCTGTATCTCTATATCGACAACGGCTTGATCAGCAATCATTGGAGGAAGACAGTGACCCAATGGACATTGATGATGAATTTGGATCACAAGGCAATCGTTCAAATACTAATCTGAATATGGCCGAAACACCTAGGAGAGAGTCGCTAGTAGTGCTTCAGGCTTCGTCATTCTATATCGATACCACACAGCGACTCCATTTCCTTCAACAACTCCAAGAAGACAACAACCGCATTGGATTTATTCCGACATCATTCCTTGACTCGTTTCTCCTATTAACAGATAGAGAAATTGTATCATGTCGGTGTTTTATGAGAGAGCTGTTCAGTTCAGATTTAATTATTAGTCCCGATGATGCCCAGAATGTTGTCGAGAGACTCGGCGCGTTGATTGGACAATCCACATTTTCATCATGTGAAGTAGCTCTGAACATCTGTCTCGACTTGATGGAAGGCTTCATAGAAATGTGGTGTAGTGGTGATGATGAATTATCCTCTCCAGTGGGGGATTTGTACAGGCACTATCTCAACAAAGGACTATCACACAACCTCCTCTCGCCCAGTGTTCAAGTAACATTATCACGTCTGTTACTTCGACTGGCTCAAGTGGGTGAGAACTTCCCTGAGACAGTAGCTATGGGTCCTCCAAATACCTCGCTCTTGCGTATCTTAGAAAATAGCCCCTTAACAGTCAAGTTCTATATAGGGGCTCGCCTTCCAAGCATGTTCAGTCGCTATATTCTGAAGACCCACGAAGAAATGTTTGTTGACATCCTTGAGAACCTTCCAACAAGCAATACGTTTCTGGAAGGCATTGCACTACGACTCTTTGTGCTCGGGGAGGTAGCACGAGAATGGCCCACGCTACTACGAAGAGGCATATATCATATCTTTGAAACCCCTGGCAAGGTCCCCCATTCAAAAAAGCATGCTGCTTACTGCCTCAAGAGGGTTGCCGCTACGCTCAAGCTCGATGGTCCGATGCAGCTTTTCGATTTATTCGCTTCGCAGCTTCTATACACGTGGCTCGATGAGGGAGCTGTCGAAGATATTCCATTTGAAATATTCGGGTTTCCCAGCCTCGAGGCCCTCCTTCGCCGGTCCCAAACTAACGTTGTGGCTCTAATGGTCATGCGTGCCCAGGATGAGGCACTGATGAGACTTGCTACAGCTCTCAGCACAACACCAGCGCAGCTTGTACAATGTAACTTCTCGAAGACACTTGCATATAGTGTGGCCCATGATATTAGCATGTCGAAAGGAGAGCAGAGTCAGAGCGGAGAAAGTCGGCTTAGGAAGCTTCTGGGGAGGGAGAATTTCCTGGAGAGCGTATATCTTAATTTTGCAGACATCATTGGGACGTTTGTGAGCCTTATTGATCAAGAAGATCCCATTGAGAAGTGGTGGGCGAAGGACGAAAATTTTCTATACGCTACTGAAACCATGGCAAGCATCAAGCAGTGCGGGCATTCGGATGTTTTATTAGGGGCGAATCAGCAACCCACCTTTCGTCCAAAGTATTTGATGAGGGAGATTGTACTGCTCTGCAGCCGCACCGAATATGAATCTTCCAGTCTGTGGAGTCCAGCGCTCGTGGTCGCTGTTTCCAGGAAACTTTTCGGCAGTATACACAAAGCTCTGGGTCCTTTACATGCATGCTCTGTTCTCCGGAAGGTCCGAGTATTGATGTGCTTGGCTGGCCCTCATGCCTGGAATTCTTACCCATTGGAGATGCTACTACATTCTATACGCCCATATATTGTCGACACTGAGTGTGCAGATGATGCGCTTGGGATGAGCCAATTCTTACTGGAGAAAGGCTACACTGCTCTTTCGAAATCGCCATCTTTTGTTGCGGGATATGCTTTAACAACTTTGGCATCCCTCCGAGTTTTCCTCAAGACATCGCAGTCTAGCACAACTCAAGAAAGCCAGTTTAAAGCAACAATGAGCAAGGCCCAAAGGTTTCACTCATGGTTCGCTAATTACCTAGACACATATGCTTCGAACGCTCTTAAAGATGAGTCACAGAGAGATGCATTCAGGGCCATTACCGAATCTGCCGTTCATGTACGTGCTTCAGGAAACGCGGAACAAGGAACCCATGAAAGTCGACTGCTTCTGGAGATATTGAGAGACGAGCATAATGGAACTAGGCTCCTGAGCGCCGCCTCCCGCAAGTTAGCAATAGAAATGCTCTGTTGCAACTTTACCATGCCAACCACATCAAGCGTAGACATTATGCGTTCTGATGGAGACTGCAAGATGTTGGCGAAGTCCATTTGGAGAAGTTGTAAATCACAGAATCTTAGTGATGAATATCTGGCCTGGGCGGGGCGGGTCATCGGTAGGGGTTTCGCTTCATCCGGCCATATTGACAGTGAGCTGCTGCAAGAGTCGCAGCTATCGAATTATCATCAAGACGCAGGGAGCGAATCCGCCTCCGAACAAGGACTTCTCAGCCTTCTTCAAGCCCTTACATCTGACAGCGACTGTATCAAAGCAGGGCTTGCAGAGTCAGTTTTGAGAACAATATGTTCAGAAGCAGCAGCTCAAGGCGACGATGCACTACTCGTAGCGTGTGAGAAGATTCTATCCAATCAACTTCTTCAGGCTTGCCACTGGCTACCGTATCGAACACCGCCCTCTGATAATTATCCTGTTGACGAGATGGAAGAAGAATCAACCTTTTCTCCGGACTCGATTCAGAAGCCGAACTGGTCCGAGAATATGACAGTGTACCTTGTGCAAAACGCCCCCAAAAGCATCATACTAAACGCCTTACCTCCAATACTCATGAACGTTGAAGGATTTGCGAAAGAAGCCTTTCCCTACATCATTCACCTCATCTTATTAATCGAGCGCAAATCTCAGCAATCAGCAAGGCGTAGACTATCAGGGGCACTGAAACACTGGTTTCGAACGGACTTGCCCATAGCCAAAGATAACGTCAGTCTTCTGATGAATGCGATTCTATACCTCCGAACACAGCAGCTACCGGGAGAAAATTCCATAGCTGATCGAATGCAGTGGCTGGAGCTTGATCTCACCTTAGCATCTTCAGCTGCAACCAAGTGCGGCATGTATAAGACTGCCCTGCTCTTCGTAGAACTATCTTCATCTGAGAGTGTTCGCTCTTCTCGACGCTCGTCCGCCATTCGATCCCAAGATTCCACGGATTTGCTGTTAGATATCTTTGAAAACATTGATGATCCAGATGCGTATTATGGGTTAAGCCAAAATGCAAGCTTAACGAACGTCCTGGCTCGCCTAGAATATGAAAAAGACGGGCTGAAGAGTCTAGCATTCAGAGGAGCACAGTATGACAGTCATATCCGGAGAGGTGACACAGCAGCTGTGGTCGATAACCGGTCACTCGTAGGCACCCTCGGTAGCTTAGGCCTCTCTGGCATGTCTTATGCCTTACTACAAAATCAGCAAAGTCTCGATAGCTCCTCTAGTGCCGTTGATAGCACGTTCGATACAGCAAGGAAATTAGAGACTTGGAACCTACCAACAGTCGGCCTCGCTAGTAACCATTCTGTCACTATCTATAAAGCGTACCAGGCCTGGAATCAAGCCACAGAACTAGATGTGGTAAAGCGAGTTGTCTGGAGTGGATTCAGCGACATTTTGCAAAATGTATTGAGAAATGAAGTCAGTGCGCCTTCACTTCGAGACCATTTAGGCGGCCTAGCAGTTCTAGCGGAGCTTAATGATGCGGTTGACATAACTAATTCTAGCGAGCTTGAACAACTCCTTGACACATTCAGTAGTCGCACTTTTTGGATGAAGAGCGGACGGTAAGTTTATGTTAGCTGCATTTCACATGCTATGGGTGTCCGGCTAATCGTCAGTAGATATGATGACGTGGGCCGGATACTGTCTTGCAGGGAAACAACCATGAATTTGCTTTCGCAGTTCTCTGTTCGAGGCAATGTTGCCAATCTAAACCCTCCCGAGACTCAACTTGTACAAGTCAAGTCGATGCTGCTATCTTCCAACATTCATAGGTATCATCAAGCCTTTCAGGAGTCGCTAAACATCGCCACATCTCTTACCCACCTCGTGCAACCCAGTGCAGACCTGGGGCTCAATATTGATTCTGCGGCTAGGATTGAGGTAGCCAACTCTCTTTGGGATCATGGAGAAATGATGTCTTCGATCCGACTACTTCAGCATATTGATGAAGATACCGACCTTAAGAAGCAAACCATAGCGGTCAGCCGACCTGATCTTCTTGCCAAGACCGCACACCAAATATCCGTCGCAAGACTTGAAAAGCCAGATAGCATACAGAAAAATTACCTTAATCCTGCGCTCAAAGAGCTAAAAGGAAAGGCAGACGGTGAAGAAGCCGGTAAAGTATACCATCAGTTTGCTATGTTCTGTGACGAACAGCTACAAAATCCCGATAGTCTTGAGGACCTGGCTCGCCTACAACATCTGAAGCAAGGAAAGAGTGACGAAGTTACCCAGCTTATGGAGCTAGTTTCCAATGCAAAGGATACGCAATCCAGGACAAGATTTACATCTCACCTTAATAGGGCGAAACAATGGCTTGGGCTGGATGAACAGGAACTACGCCGAGTCGAACAAAGTCGGGGTGAATTCGTGCGTCTCAGCTTAGAGAATTATCTCCTGTCACTCATTGCCTCGGATGAGTACAACAATGATGCGCTTCGGTTTACTGCGCTTTGGCTTGAACGCGCCTCTGAGGGCTACGCGAATGAAGCTGTGAAAAAGTATATAGACAAGGTCCCGACTCGGAAATTCGCGCCACTCATGAATCAATTAAGCTCTCGTCTCCTGGATCAGAATAGCTCTTTCCAAAGACTTCTTATTGAATTAGTCTACCGCATCTGTGTAGATCATCCGTACCATGGGATGTACCAGATATGGTCTGGGACAAGGTCTAAGCACAAGAAAGAAGACGAAGTCGCTCAACTCCGGAAGCAAGCTACTGAAATTGTGGGAAAGAAACTATTTCACACAGAAACAGCAGCAAGCACATGGACAGCAATCTATTACACCAGTAAGGCTTATCATGCACTAGCTCTTGAGGGCACATACAAGGGAGGTCAAAAGATCTCGATTAGGGAATCGACCGCTGGAATGACTCTCACCAGTTCTCTCGCCAAATACCGCATTCCCCCGCCTACCATGCATATTGAACTTTCAACTAGTCTCGATTATTCCAACGTTCCGTTGGTCACTAAACTCGAGCCTACCATGACCATTGCGAGTGGTGTAAGCGCCCCCAAGATCATTACAATTATAGGAAGCAACGGGGGGCGCTTCAAACAACTGGTTAAAGGTGGTAATGATGACCTTCGCCAAGACGCCATCATGGAACAAGTTTTTGCTGCAGTCTCATCTGTCTTAAAATTGCATCGTTCAACTCGGCAGCGCAATCTTGGTATCAGAACTTACAAAGTCCTGCCTCTTACCTCGGTATCCGGGCTGATTGAATTTGTTCCGAATACCATACCTCTCCATGATTACCTTATGCCGGCCCATGAGCGATACCACCCCCGGGATTATAAAGGCGCACAGTGTCGCCGGGAGATTTCAAATGTACAAACGAAGTCATCTGAAGTACGTCTTGCCACGTACAAGAAAGTCACCGATCGTTTCCAGCCCGTGATGCGCTATTTCTTTATGCAATACTTCCCCGATCCGGATGACTGGTTTGCTAAGCGAACGGCCTACACTCGCACCACTGCAGCTATATCCATGCTCGGCCACGTCCTCGGACTCGGTGACCGCCACGGGCACAATATCCTACTAGACTCGAAGAATGGTGAGGTTGTGCATATTGATCTGGGAGTAGCATTTGAGTCCGGTAGAGTGTTGCCTGTTCCCGAACTTGTGCCATTCCGACTCACACGAGACATCGTGGATGGTATGGGTATCACCAAGACTGAGGGAGTCTTCCGACGATGTTGTGAATTTACTCTGGATGCCTTACGTGAGGAAACGTACTCGATCATGACTATCCTGGATGTGCTTCGCTACGATCCTCTCTACTCGTGGTCAATCAGCCCAGTGCGTGTAGCCAAATTACAAGACCCGCGTCGTGATGAGGCAGGTGACGATCCAGAAAGCGAAGTTGATTCGAAAAAGAAAAACATTATGAATAAGAACGGTATAGTAAACGAGCCTAGCGAAGCGGATCGTGCTCTTGAGGTTGTACGAAAGAAGCTCAGTAAGACACTCAGCGTTACGGCCACGGTCAATGACCTCATCAATCAGGCGACCGATGAGAGAAATTTGGCTGTATTATATTCAGGTAAATCGAATTCTCCGAGCTCTATCATAGGGCATCTATCAAAGGGACGAAATGGCTAACTGAGATTATTTCCAGGTTGGGCAGCATACGCCTAGAGTATGTAAATGGCGCGATATCTTGTACATATATTATTGTGAATATTATAGTGGAATCATAGTTTATGTATTATACAGCTGTCGACGGACAACTTATACAAACAAGCAAATGGTAAATTGAGAATGAAAACAGGGTCATTGGCTTTTCAAATGATATCATGCAACGTATCTTTTCCCCCACTAGGACTTCATTCCCTGGCCCGAGACATCGAGTTTGGGCTGTTATTGTTCCTGAACGAAATCGGCTGCCAAAGGCTATACTCTTGGCTGGTAATCAATCCCGTTGAGATGGGTCACCGTAACATATAGCTTGCACATGCAAAACCCAGTTCTGTGATATTTTCCGATACGGGTTGCGTACTTCCAAACGATTGTTGAAGGCTCTAATCTAGGTCTCCCTGGTAAATTATGTCATCACTCAGCCGCCGCAGGCCAGTCAGTGCGTAAAAACTTGCCTCCATAGATCACGAGGTCGTTCCTCTGGAACATGCGCTTGACTTGTAAGGATGGCTGCCAATCCGTTCATTGCCCGATTCACCATTTGTTGTCCTATTGAGAGTTTTTACCCGCTGCCGCCTCGGCTTTCGCACGCCTCTTGCGCGCCCGGCGCACCTCGATCTCAACACCCGCCATCTCTACGTCTAGAGAAACCAGGCGCGGAATCACGTGCTCAACAGCGCGTATGCTCTGCGTCTGGGCCTGGCGCAGGGACATAGGGGTAAGGAGTCCATACCAGCGGAGTGGATCACTCGGCATTTTTAGTGTGGTTGCTTGTTTTCCTGCTACTGCAGTAAGGGATGCGGTGGTTTTGGTGTGATTCCACGGCTGAACGTTTACATCCACTTCTGGAAGTGGCATCGGAGCATTGTGAGATTCTGTGTTTGTCGATTTGGTGGCGCTCTGCTCTATGGATCCATCGTCTCCAGCCCCAGGGCGATGAACAGGATGTGAATTTATATCCTCGCCAGTGGCTTCCGGGCCCTCCACGTCTGAGGCCGGGGGCCATATAGCCGTAGGATTAACAACGGTGAAGCTCGCCACGCTGTCATCGAGAACGACTGGATGCCTACCACTTTGGCTCTCGCTTGACTCCTTGGTTGAGGCTCCGACCTGGCTACTATAGGCGATAGCTAATCTTCTGGATGCTTGCATGCGATCATCGTAGTAGTCCTGGCCGAACCTCACGCCTCGCTCAGCGGCGAAATTGGCGCGCGCAATGTTCTGGTACATGCCCGTTTGCAACGCGGCGAGCTCCTCCCTCAGGGATGTGTACTCGTGGAGTAGGTGGAGGTAGCGCTCCAGTAAGCTATCGATGTGATCCTGATCCATAACTAGGACGTCTCAAGGGGTCTAGTTTGCCTTTCATGGAACAAATGTGTCGTGCCATCAAACAGACCGAAATTTTCTGACAGGCAGGACTGTTCTTCACACTCGTACAATAAATAGCACATGTACTTCTCTAGTTACATGGAAGCAGATGAGGCGCCACACTTACATATGTGGCTTTGTTCAGCCGCTAAGGTCGTGGTACTCGATAAGTGAATATAATGGCATATCTAACATATCCACGCCCAAATAGGTAGGTATCGTTTTTTCGAATGATCTTGTGAACCGATCAACAGGGCGATTTAAACACACATCATGCCAACGCAATAGAACCCAAGTGGGAGGCTGGAGGGCCGCCGGATTGATGTCAAATTATAACATGCCTATCTGCCCGTCTCGGGATAGCTAGCCAGCCGTGGCCTCACCTGAGAAACCGGTGTCCTAGATTGGCTCGGTAACCGTCATATGCGATGCGACTGCGCACATGCATCGCCAGTCTTCTCTGTCTATCTGCCTAGGCAGCCAGCATTTGTCTTCAGCAGCCTACCTAACGGGACACTAGTATGTGCCTACGAATGGGGATACCTAGAAAGAGATCGGAAGTGTGCTACCTTGTTGGGCCGAGTTGCTAGTCGTGACAACACACATGCACAGGGCCGCCTCACATACCGGTCTGTCTTGCAGTCTTGTCGCCTGTCTACCGTGCAACGTCATACTCAATGATAGCGATCACGCACGCAAATAACGGCTCAGTCATACCGATGAGGCCGGGCTACACGGCGGGTGAGGTAGGCAGGCGAGTCTTCAGTGGTGCTCTCATCCAATCAACAGCCCAAGTTCGTGTACAGCATGATTCCATGCCTGACTGTAGCCACCCTTCCACTTCGCATTTGGTAGGTAGTTGGCTTTCCGATCAGCCGTGACAGCACGGCATAATGGATGGCAATCGCTGCATTCGAGAATGGCAGTGCTGTAAATCACCACGGTCTCACTCTGGCGTGACGGCTGATGCTAATATGCGTGCTCTGCAGGTCTCCGCAGCCCAATGCACATCAGCCCGCCATACAACCGATGGCCTTTAGAAAGACTCATGTTATAAAAAGAACGAGCTTAGAGTCGTTTTTCGGCTACCTTGCCTTGTTCAAATGATCCTTCATCTACACAACCCCTTCGAGAACTCGTAGAAGAATTCCTTTACCCTGGGGTGTAGAAGAAGGAATCCACCTAGCTGGTGGCGTCGTTTTACTATACTAGCTAATGTACCTAGTTCGCAGTCCGACTTCCTCCAGGGAAAATTAGTGAAGCTGACCATGAGGCGACCCTGATAGTCGGGACTCGCATTGGAACTATGATCTCATCGCTATCAAATCTCCGACCTTTGTTGTCCACACACACAACTGAAACGACGTTCTCCATGAAATCAAAATGGTACCGTCTTCATCACATCGTGATGTCAACATTGTACTTTTGTTGCTGCACTCTCTCCGAGAGCGTGTAAATCCATCTTCGCTGGGCTTTACAAACCAGAATCTATATCATAGATGAACAGGCCATGTGTCTACCAGCCAAGCAGGCCACTTGCAGGCTAAAGAAGGGTGCCTAGCAATCATATTAGTTTGTAGCAAGGAGTATACAACAGTTTTGGTAAGCATCTGCTTGGTCTAGACACCAAGGAACGGCTTTCACCGAGATTGCAGACAAGATTTGGCAATCCAGAACATCGAAGTCGAATTGGGCTTGAAATCATTACCTGCTCCCTTGTCTCCACTATAACCTTAGATATCTAACTCAAGAGGCATACCTACGAGACTACGATTATGGTCATGATGAAGAGCGCTGCCTACTACCCTGTTACATAGATACCGGTACCTAGTGTACCTATCTTCAAGTACGATCTTCCTCCCCTTGATAGATAGCAATATCTCAAGTACCCTAGTGCAGACGGGAAGTAGTGAGTTTGATGAATTCAGGAGGCCACTAGCCGCACTAGTTGATGGCCAAATCTCCTCAGTTTTGCCATGGATGGACTCATGCGCCTGCGGCATTGTCTACTCGGACGAATAGAAAAAAGAATAGAGGTCGGCTACAATTGCATAAAAGTGTGATGGCCTATGAGGGGTCGGGTCCCACCGCTCCCATGTGCTACCTATGCTCGTTAGGAGAGTATGTAACTTTCAGGGCTGGAGACAAGTACTTACAGCACCAAGCTTCATGCTCATGCTCATGCCGATGCTGATGCCGATGCTGATGCTGATGCTCACGCCTCATGCTTCATGCTCGAGAGGAAGGCCAGCTCCACACTCCACGCTTTCACGCTCCAATGCTCCAATGCCCCAGGGCTCCACGTACATACAGTTCGATCACCTCCTAAGCAGAATACCAAGCTGAAAGAGGTAAGTCGCCAGCTTCATAACTCCCAAAACATGCCTCAATGCCCTCGTACCATAGATACCTAACCTAAATGATAACAATCCAATTTCACTGGCTACCATGGGCTTGTACGGTCGTTCATAGGTGGATAATGTGTCCAACGCACACTCCGGGCACCCTTCATGAGTAAGTACATACAGGTAGATTGCTACTGTAGAGCCAATCCAAGCCTTCTTGTAGAGGAGATAGACAGCCTTAAAGACACAGCTACCACTACCAGCGAACGGGAATACTGAATTCTGTACAATTCACTGCATCCTACCCATCCTGATCAGTCCCTGTGTATGTACCTACCCATATTATCCCTACATGTACCTAAGTAGGTGCTCACCTAACCTTATCTGCCTACAGACAGAATTACACAGATGCCGTAGATATGTAGGTACCTATACAGTACTTTATGTAGGTAGTGGGTAGGTACATACTTAGCTGAGATAGGTAGATCTCCTACCTATTTATAGAGAGGTAACTTTGAACGTAGCCCGTTACAAGACGCTACCTAAGGCTAAGGTACATGTAGATAGCACTCTAGACAGCACCAAGTTGCCTACATAGCAAGTACCTAACTACAGACCTGCCTTAAGTACTACTATAGCATCAATTAATCCACCGCCGCAAAAGTTAGTAATTAGGTAGTACGTAAGTACCTACAATACCTACCTCCCTACGAACGGACGGGCTTGAAGAACCAACCAACCAACCATCCTGAACCATCCTGAACCAACCCGTCCGTCAAACCCAAGCCAGCCAGCCGACCAACCATCATCCAACCAACCGACCGATTGTGCTTGTCCGCCGCCATCCTCTTTGCCTTCCCCGTCTCGTCTCAACCCTGTCATTTCCATCTCCCATTCCCATTCCTGTTCCCTTTCTTATGACATCGAGTCTCGAGGAGAAACGCATGACTTGAAACTCGGCACAATTCGCTTTGTGAGTCCCCCAGTCACCGTCTTCCACTTCTCTCACCCTCCGGGCCCGTCCTGATCCCGATCAATTGCTCCCCCATTCTGCCCGACCTGCCGCTGTGACGTGACCTGCCTACATAGTAAAGGCATTGCCTAACTTGGAATCGTTGAGACAGCTCACGCCCACGCCCACGCCCTCGCCCACGCCCTCGCCTTGAACCGTCGACGCCCCTCCTCCGTCTCTGATTTATCTTGTCCATTGGCTTCTTCTCGGGTCGCCCTGCTTGGCCCCGTCATCCACCCGACCGCCCACCCGACCAACTGGCCAGCCCAGCCAAGCAAGGCCAGCAGACCAGCACAGCCAACCAGCCAACCAGCCAACTCACACACCTACTCACCTACCCAAGTCAGTAATAAATACATCGTAGCCAACGGCCGATACCCGCCCAACGTCTGGCGTCCGCGCGCTTGCGATAAGAAATCCCCTATTAGCCGTCGACTTTTTTTGTCGACAGTCATAAGCCGTCACACGTCTTGCTCCCCTTTTTTCTGAAGGAGTAACCCATTTCACCAAAATGGTTGTCGCTACGATTAAGTCAGTGAGCTTGCTCTTATTCCCTCTTTGCCATGGCGTGCATCGCGTCGCATTGTCCCATGCGTCCCATCAACAGCCGCTGCTTTTTTGGTTGTAGTGTGCTATATTAGCTACGCATGTGCACCTTAGTTCAGTAGCAATATGGCGTGAACTCCCAGATAACTCTAGAGCATGTTGGCAGTTTATCTTTGCTAGACATTAGCTGACTAGCTTTCTTTCCATAAAGGTGCGTTGTCGTCGGAGACGGTGCTGTTGGCAAGACCTGCCTTCTCATCAGCTATACGACGAATAAGTTTCCCTCGGAATATGTTCCTACAGTCTTCGACAATTATGCCGTCACTGTTATGTAGGTACTCTATTTTACTATTATTTCCCAGATCGTTTTACCATATCGGGCGCAGTCTGCACTCAAGTGCTACTCTGCGAAATAGTTGCACATGTCTTCTCTTGTTACTAGGAATGTATTCAAATACAGAGACGGTGCTGCCAAAATGGTAAACATGTGCTAATATCATTTTCTCTAGGATCGGTGACGAACCATATACTCTGGGACTATTTGATACTGCAGGTCAAGAGGATTACGATCGTCTCCGACCCCTTTCTTATCCTCAAACCGATGTATTTCTCGTATGCTTCAGTGTCACATCCCCAGCCTCATTTGAGAACGTTCGCGAGAAGTGGTTCCCTGAGGTCCACCACCATTGCCCCGGTGTTCCTTGCCTCATTGTTGGCACACAGACGGATTTACGGGATGATCCTAGCGTGCGGGAGAAGCTAGCGAAGCAGAAGATGCAACCTGTGCGGAAAGAGGATGGAGAGCGGATGGCCAAAGAGCTCGGTGCCGTCAAGTACGTGGAATGCAGTGCGTTGACGCAGTACAAGTTGAAGGATGTATTTGATGAAGTAAGTCCACCTGGCGTTCACGGTGTTCAAGAAGGCACTAATCTTCCCTCAGGCGATTGTTGCTGCTCTAGAACCCCCTGCCCCCAAGAAGAAAAGTCGGCATTGCCGCATCCTCTAGATTATCTATCGGGAGTAGGATTAAACGAAAGCGCCTTGTGTTTTGGGGGCATCTTGCTGATATGTGAGCGGTGATTTGCCGCCGTTTCTGCATTTCCATGTGATTTGCTCCACGGCGATTCAGGGCAGCCGCGATATCAGCATCATTGGCAGATAATGCCCAAGGCAATCGTGCCATCATATGCCCTGGGATTACAGAGAAGTTACTGTTGGGCTATTAGATCCACCTCGTCTGTCGGGGCAAATACCCTGAGCATGGCCTCTACCCCTCGAGGAAAAATACAGATGCATCATATAGGGAAATGGCGCACAGATGCCGCGTTTGGTACAAAAGCTGGGCTGTTCTCCCTAATCTGCTTCCTCTTTCTCTTTTTCTGATACAATCGACAACACGCTTGGAAGGGCATCCATACATGCAGGCAGGGTTTCGATAGGATTGTTTGGCGATTGGAGTGCATCTGAATTAACTGATTTCTCTTCCAGAGATACCTACGTGCTATTGGGTGCTTGTCACAAATTGATACTTGCCAAATTCCATAAAATAGGTACTTCACTTGCTGTATAATGTTCCTTTGAAGAGTATACATGGTGCTAGGAATTAAATACCTTGCGCGAGATCTCTTGTGGATACATTGGTAATCCCTATGTACGATTGTCTTTCGAAGAATCACATGCGCCGTTTCCAGAGGACTGACAAACCCATCATGTGTAATGATATACCGCCAGTAAGCAGGTGTCAAGTTTGACATTCCACCCTAGGCTAGTATTAGGCCTGTTCTTTTGTATTCGAATCTGTACCTATCTATGACTATTGGCGCACGCCACTGAGACGCACGATCCCTGTGGCCATCGCCATGTCAGCCGCTTTGATTTCGCCTCAATTAGCCATTCTATATACAAGTATCAGATTATTCGCTGGTTTAGATAGAGGTATTACTCCCAGATCCATAGCTTGCCCTCCGACGGTCCTATTGATCCCGCTGTGACCTCTTGAAACCTGTCACAAAAGTTCGGTGCATGACCGGGAAGTATGCAAATATCGGCGCCCACTTTCTCCCATCTTTTTCATCGTCGATTGGTCACTGAATCTACATGTTTATTTCCCTATCGAAAACGTTAGGTAATAAGGTTAAGTAGTGAATAAAAGATATTTTGACAGATCGGATTAGTCGAGAACGGCTATCTCCTGCTTCTCTCGTGAGGCGACTGTACTAGCTCCGTCTGCGAAGCCGCCAATCGCACACACCCAAGGAGCTCCGAGATAGCAACCTTGGAATCTGGGGGAGCCAAGACCGGCCGATGCATTTGCCGATGTGCTATCGTCATTGGGTATCCAGTATGATTATTATTACTACCTCTTATCAATCAGCCTCTTGCATTTCTCAATCATAGGATACAACCTGCGAGGTTAAGTTTTCGTTTGCCCTGGGTTGAAGGATTGTTCCACGGGCTACAACTAGTACAAGAGGGGGTTGTCGTTGCTTTTCGGGAGGGGTTATATAACTTCGCCGTCTTAGAGCCCGAGGACCGGACCAATTACGCTCTTCCAGCTGCACGTGTAGGAATGAAAAGCAAGGTTTACCGCCAACATGAGACTCAAGAGTTTTATCTGCGTTGCTCTTAACTTCACTTTAACTCTCGTTGCTGCTTGCGGTGGATCTAGCAAACAAGCTCGGGAATGGAGTCCAGAAGAGCTGGCTGAGTTAGAAGCAAAATGGGGAACAGATGTAAGTCCTGTCCTGTCTTTGCCTGTTTCCTGGGTCTCTTGTATGCAAGTGGCCAAGGGCAACAATACTCAGCGGGAAGCTGGGTGTGCTTTACATAGATTTGGACGCGAGGTGAACTGCTAATTCAGTTGCCCTGACTTTTATCATATTATGTTTTCAGTATTTCTGAACCTCGAAGCTGATCATTCAACCATTCATCTCCGCGTAGTGGGGATTCAGTGGCATATCTACATTTGCCCACCTCAAACATGTCAAATGCTTGACCACACCTAGCGAGCTCTTTGACATTGCTATCCTCGGCGCACCGTTCGATACTGCTGTATCGTATCGCCCGGGTAAGTTTGCGAGCCATCCCCGTGAGAGACACAGACTATATGTGTATCTGTGATCTATAAGCATCTGCTAGTCCTGCTACCGATCAACCTACCGCTGACCAGCCGCCTTTGTTGTTTGCAGGAGCCCGGTTCGGGCCGCGGGCTATCCGCGCCGCCTCGGCGCGTCAGACCTCGTTTCGTGGGTTTAACCCCCGGGCCAGCGTAAACCCATATCAGAACTGGGCTAAGATACTCGACTGCGGTGACATTCCCGTGACGCCCGTGGACAATGCCCAGGCCTTGACGCAGATGAGTGCCGCCTTCTCCGAGCTCGGAGCTAGACCGGCCTTGTCTCCCCTCTTGACTAAGCCCCGGATCATCACCCTCGGCGGTGACCACAGCCTCGCTCTCCCAGCTCTCCGTGCGCTGACGGCGGCGTACGGCCGACAGAAGCTGCGCGTGCTGCACTTCGACGCGCACCTCGACACGTGGCACCCTGAGAAATACCCTAGTTACTGGGCTACGGAGCAGAGTCAGTTCAACCATGGCTCAATGTTCTGGCTGGCGGGCCAGGAAGGACTACTGGCGAACGTCTCGGAAGGCGGCTTACCGTCCGTGCACGCGGGACTCCGGACAAGACTCTCGGGAGATGACTTCGGTGATTTCGACGATGACGATAACCAAGGCTGGATCCGGCTCAGCGCGGATGATATCGATGAGCTCGGCACCGGGGGCATCGTTAAGAAGATTATGGACACCCTCGGCACTGAGGACCCCGTGTATCTGAGCGTTGACATCGATGTGTTAGACCCGGCGTTTGCGCCAGGTACGGGAACGCCGGAGCCAGGCGGCTGGACGACGAGGGAGCTGATTCGAATCCTGAGGGGCATTGAGGGGCTGAATGTTGTTGGGGCGGACGTTGTCGAGGTCGCGCCGGCGTATCAGGGGAATGGGGAAGAAACAGCCCTTGCAGGTGCGCAGATTGTATATGAGATTCTCAGCTCTATGGTTAAGAGGGGGTTGCAGGACATGACAAAGATAGAACCGGAGAAGGAGATGGTAGAGTCGACCGATGGGAAAGATGAGCTTTGAGTGAGAGTGGATGGGAAGGCGGCACGAGGTTGCCCAGCATTGCTTGGACGAACAGAGGCGTAAAATGATCGATCAGACCATCTACCTCATCTTACCTATCCTCTTCGGGGCTAGATATACCAGCAACTTCTTTATCCATTTTACACATGGCAACATACAATAGGTTATTCAGACACTTACAAGGAGTCGCCAGATAAACCAAGTATACCTTTTTAAGGATACATGGGAGGATATGGTGTTATATCAAATACGTTTCGTAGCAAAAGTTCACATGTCCTTTCCAACCCCCCGTTTGATGGATGCCGTAGTCGCTCGAATGCATTTCTTAATAAGATCCTTCGTTTTGAACCAGTATTGGGACTTATAATGGACAAGTAGATATTGAGATCCTCCTTGTCTTCATTAACATACCTACGTAATAGGTATATATTCAACATAGTCGAACTCGAACCTAGGTATCCCGGGTAGTGAGCTAGTTCACATTACTAGGATCTATTGTTGGGTTTCCAGCTGCCGAGAAGATAGCCTACACAAGTCCCTCATATAAGGACCTCATGAAGAGTATCACTGTTCTTTTGGGACATGGGAAGATGTATAGGGGGGGTATATGGAGGGTAGCGAAGTTTGTCGGGAAAAAAAAGCGAAGGTATTCGAAAACATAGGTGCGTCGTAAAGCTTTCACTATCACGGTGTTATCCACACGCAACTCGCTCGCAGTGTCTGAGATCTCGCCGTATGAAATATTGCGAGATAGGTACAGCCCAAAAAATTTGCGCTCTTGGTGCTGGTGAGATATATGAGATATCTTATCTACTCAAGGAGGTAGCTTAAGCAATAAACTGACTATGAGTATTTACTGCACGTTGGTCCATCCGCCAACGTAAGACCACGTAGTTCGAACCGTTAGGCTAGAATTGCAGCTGTGGAGAGGATTTGAGGGCAAGAGTTTGCGCGAATATTGTAGATAAATACGATATAGATATCATGGTATCTGTCTATTCTTTAGTGATTAAATATTCGAGTAACATCTGTAACCGCTCGAGACTTATCACCTCTGAGTCCACGACACCTTCCGGACACTATTAATCGGGTCTTAAGCATCTCCTAGATTTGCTAACAAATCTACATGCAAAAGCTCAAAATTGCTTGGTCTTTGCCGATGATTTATACGCATTTAATAAACCGCCACGGTACATATCCAATATGCTCTGATTGGCTATGTAGAATCTTGGCAGGTATTGGAGGTTTTGTGGACTCAAAGGTGATACACCAGTCTGTTACTGATGAAAGGGACTAAAGGTTGGTCATGAGAGAAGCTCTGTAGCCGCCTTTTCTATTCAGGAGAATAAAATACATTGGAGAAAAGATAAAGAAGTTGAATGAAGAGATAGTGTATATTGGAAGAGTAAAAGCGTTACCCTGAAACGCCCTGTATTGAAGGGCTCCTGTCATAGACTGCGCAGTTTTGTAAACATCCAGGATAGTTATGTTACCAGAGTCTACAGCTAAGCAAGTGCCGTTTGGTGTGTCTTAATATACAGTAAGGATTGCATAGTGTACCCCAGTTCGCATACTTGTAGGCATCGGTACCTACTTGATAGGGTAAGCACACTTACCTGGTAGTGTACGCGATGGTAAAGACAGTTCCCCACGATATGGCTTTGACTCCAAATATAGCTTTTTACTACGTATTGTATGAGAATAACGGCGATCATGTGAAACGTGCTAAGTAAGGCCAAACATGTTGTACCTTTGTTTTCCTCTGGTATCGACAAATCCACAGAGAACTGTTGATGGAAGTTTCCGAGCATTGATGAGCCTCCTCATAACGTAATGCCCAGGCATATATCCATGTCTACCTGACATGGCTAGCAAGTAGATGTGTGTATGTAGGTAACACTGGCATGTAGGGAATGTTTCACCAGTGTGTCTTGCTGGCACGCCTGAATGGCTCAGCCTGCCTACTTACAATAAAGCAGATACGCATCGTGTCACGGGCGTCGACGTTGCATTGTACCTGCATGCAGGCGCTTCGGGTGAACATCAATGCAGCCTTCAAGGCGCGTCTAGACCTCTAGTCAAAATGTAGTATTCCCTCAGAGTAGGCCATTATTGTTGGCTATGAATGGTAACACACTACCTACTACGTAGAGTAGGTAGTTGCCCTAAAATCCCGGTCGATTGATTGGTTACAAACTGGGGTTTAGACAGATATATTCACATACATTTTCAATTATTACACACTGGACTGATTTCGCCGCAGTCGATATGCCAACATGGAG